CTTGTTTTTATCTTGTTTTTACAGAAAAGGTACTACTTTTTAAGAGCATTTACCCACTTTATTGGGGGTAAATGCTCACAGAATTGTGGGTAAATACCCACAGCATTGTGGCGAATTGCCACTGCTCTGCAGTTAGTCAAAATTCAATAAACAAGTTAAAATTCAAAGTTGATGGATAAACTACCGTAATCAGCCACTAGACGATATTCAGTTGTCCGTTTGGCGTGGCTTGTGCCCCCTTTTTAATTTTTTTTTTTTTCTTTTTTTTTCTCTTTTCCCTTTCCTTTTTTTCTTAGTCCAGGTTGCTAGTGCCAGGTTGCTAGTGCCAGGTTGCTAGTGCCAGGTTGCTAGTGCCAGGTTGCTAGTGCCAGGTTGCTAGTGCCAGGTTGCTCCAGTTTGAGCGAAGTTTGGCCTAATAAGGGAAAGTTTTGATAAAGATTTGGTTCCTTTTCGGTACGGATTTGTTCCTTTTCTCTACAGATTTGGTTCCTTTTCTCTTCTCTATAGATTTGGTTCCTTTTCTCTTCTCTATAGATTTGGTTCCTTTTCTCTTCTCTATAGATTTGGTTCCTTTTCTCTTCTCTACAGATTTGGTTCCTTTTCTCTACAGATTTGGTTCCTTTTTGGTATAGATTTGTTCCTTTTCTCTACACGTTTGGTTCCTTTTCTCTATTATGTGTTTTCAAGACATCTACCATTAAACCACACCGAGACACGGTCTCACAAGAAATTATAAAGATCAAAGTATAAATATATTTCTTACAATTATCTATTAGGTTGATGCATAAGTCTTTTCGTTTTTTTCGTACTTCTGTTAAAAAGTAACAAATTCACCAATTAATCTATAGTTTGCTCTATAAAAAAAGTGTTTTTTTGTTCAATTTGCATCTTTTTAAATGAATTTCGGTTCACTTTCAAGCAAATTCGAGAGTGAAAAACGCCTTTTTCGTAAAAATCTATAAAAAAACTCTACGGAAAAATTGGCTGAATGAATTTCTCTGAAATTTTCGCGAAATATCAAACGTTTTTTTCTCTATCTTTTACCTATTGACACGAAGATAGGTTTTCTTTAGCTAAGGTGTCTAAACCGCATCATCGAGTTAGCCCTTTTTGACTACCCGACTTCATACTCTCAAGAAAATCCAGGCATTAAATATTTTTAAACCCGTTTTAATGTTATTTTGCAGAAAAATAATTGGTTTTTCTAATGAAATCAACCGTAGTTTAATTGGTGCATTGGTTGGCTTGAAACGGCAGACGAAAAGGAACAAAAAGACTTATGCATCAACCTATTACCAAAAACTAGCGTAGGGTAGCCTTAATCAAATATCAAAACAAATATGACTTTCAAATGATCCAACAGTTCTCGTTTACTGAAAACGCGAAAAGCAGGGAAATTCACGCAATTTAAGCCCCGTCCCTTTTTGCCGTAATTACGGAGCGTCGCGTTTGCGCACAGACAGACGGACCGGCAGACGTCTCTTTTGCTTTATATGGTAGGCCAGAATTACGGCTTCATCTTTTCATCTTTTCATCTTTACATGCCAAACGCCGCAATCAATTCAAAAATTCTAAGTGTGTTATGTGGAGAATTGAAGCCTGAATTCTTGCCTATATTTCTGTATCAAAAGATTTTTGATCGAAGTTTTGCAGCTGATTTCTAAGACTCTCAAATGAGCTCAATTCGATCAATCTCTGGCACGCTTCCATTTTTAGATGTTTTCGAACTATATAATATAATAAATATAGATATTAAATATTATATACCGTATTTTCTGTAATAGTAGTGCAGGCAGGAGGGGGGTTTAAAAAATAGTAGTGCACTCTGTTAAGTTTTGCCCTGTTGTTGTTCATTTTGGTTTTCTTTGTTTTAAAAGTATAGTGGTAGCTAAATGAGATGTCTTTATGTGATTGTGAATAACTTTTTGACAGATTCTTTGATTTCTTTGATTGATTTACAAGCATTTTCTTATTCTTTGCAATACGGTTCCAATACGGTTCTTTTTTTTGATCCAATACGGTTCCAATACGGTTCTTTTTTTGATCCAATACGGTTCTTTTTTGATCCAATCTGGTTCGATACGGTTCTTTTTTTTGATCCAATACGGTTCCAATACGGTTCTTTTTTTGATCCAATCTGGTTCGATACGGTTCTTTTTTTGATCCAATACGGTTCTAAGTGTGTTATGTCGAGAATTGAAGCCTGAATTCTTGCCTATATTTCTGTATCAAAAGATTTTTGATCGAAGTTTTGCAGCTGATTTTTAAGACTCTCAAATGAGCCCAATTCGATCAATCTCTGGCACGCTTCCATTTTTAGATGTTTTCGAACTATATAATATAATAAATATAGATATTAAATATTATATACCGTATTTTCTGTAATAGTAGTGCAGGCAGGAGGGGGGTTTAAAAAATAGTAGTGCACTCTGTTAAGATTTGCTCTGTTGTTGTTCATTTTGGTTTTCTTTGTTTTAAAAGTATAGTGGTAGCTAAATGAGATGTCCTTATGTGATTGTGAATAACTTTTTAACAGATTCTTTGATTTCTTTTCTTTGATGACTATTTCTTTGATTGATTTACAAGCATTTTCTTATTCTTTGCAAAGTTTGATTTTTTAGAAATGGACAGCGATTCCGATAAACACTGGCAAGAATCAAGAAATCGAACAAATCAAGCATCAAATCAAGCAAATCAGCATATTGATCAATTCGAAAATGATACTCGAGATTGGAACGCTCAATGCAAAGAGGATTTTCCCGTGCCTGAAGATGAAATCAACTTGGGTGCAATCAGCGGCCGCTAGAAAATTCGGTGTTTCGGTTTTCGGTTCGCTAGAAAATGTTCTCCAATGATGCAAGCAAAAGGACGATTTTGTGAGGCAAAAAGGAAAACAATTGACGGAGGAAATCCCGCTCCACAACCGATGGAAATTTACTTGACATGGGTTTGAAACGCTTGGAATAAGCTGCCGAAGGATCTAATCGTTTACTCCTTCAAGAATTGTAGAATTACTACAACCACTGACGAATCAGAAGACCACATTATCCACTGCTTCAGAAAAAATGGCTCAATTCCGAAGGGAGCAAAACGTCTCTCGTCGCTCGAGCAGAAAAAGCAACAAATGAAATCAACGATCATCAGTGAAAAAAAATGGAAACTCTCTAATTGTAGTACAATTAGAAAAAGCCTGCAAAAAAGCCTCTGCAGGCTGGAGGGCGGTTGAAAAAAAATAGTAGTGCGGTATATATTAATTAATTAAATATATAAATGAATGAATAGCTAAGGTTTAAAAGTCCCTAACTTTGTTTAGAGATATTATTATTCTAAATTTTCTATATTATTTTAAAAAGGACACGTCAGACTTTAGAATTATACAAAATAAAGCTTACTTGAGTCATTTGATTGTAATTTTAAGTTCAAGAGTCATCCAGCCGAAAGGAAAGCCTTCTTTCTTTATTTCCTTCTTTCTCTTCTTTCTTTCTCTTCTTTTTTTCTCTTCTTTCTATTCTTTCTCTTCTTTTTTTCTCTTCTTTCTTTTCTTTTCTCAAAGAAACGGCTCCTTTGATGTTTCGGGAATGATCAAAAAGACACAAACCCATACTCTTTTCAACAATTATCTTCTCTTTACCAATCTCTTTCCCCAATTTTCCCCAATTTTTTTGTTTTCCCAACAACCCAACATCCTTTTTCTTGCTTTAATTCAAAGCTTTACCGCCATGTCACATTTATTTAGCTATTTTTGCAATAACTGAATATCTTTAGCAACTAATTAGAGCATTTTGAATTTCTTCTTTCTTTTTGACAATTTCTTTTTGTTTTAAACTTTGAACTATATAATTTGAATTATAATCACAATTTGCGAATATTTCCTTATCTGGTAGATTGATCCTGGATGTCATTTCCTTTTTTTCCTTATAGCTAAGATCTATTCGTTTAGGTTTAGCAAGGGTTTTAGTCTAGCAAAGACAATAGATTTTATCGTACAGTTATACCTCAAAACTTACATTAACTCTCAATCAAGATGGACAAAAACAAAACATGTTTACAGGGGTAATCATTGAAGAATAAGTGAAAGCAATGCTCTCGAAGAGAACGTTTTTTTCAATTTCTTAACCATAAACTCCGCTAGATAGCTTTCCAAATGATTTCGAAGATTTCCTTTTTATTCCTCCGTTTCGGGTTTCTCGGCGGGTAACAGCATAACCGTGTAGTAACGATTTTACTTTGTCTATGGTTGCTCCAAGGTTTTTTTCCAGGACAGGATCAGCTCCTAGCCTTGCCTGAGCCACAAAAGTCACTAAATCCGACTGTGACCCTGAAAATTGCCTCTGGAACAGCCTGTACACAGGCTTGTCTTGTCCCTGGTTTTTAGTCTGGATTTGGACTGAATTTGATTCTTGAATTGAATTCTTGAATTTGAATTCCTGAATTCCTGAATACCTGAATAGCCTGGCTGACCCTAGAACCTGCCAGCCTTGAATTCTTGAATTCCTGAATGGCCTAGCTGACCCTAGAACCTGTCAGCCTTGAATTCTTGAATCGACCTGGCTGACCCTAGAACCTGCCAGCCTTGAATTCCTGAATTCCTGAATGGCCTGGCTGACCCTAAAACCTGCCAGCCAATCGTCTCGGTCTACTCCTAGCTTGTGGCTGATCTTGTGGCTGATCCATTTTGTGAGCCCAGTTCTCTAGTTCAAGAAGTAACCTAGTTTGCTGCAAGCCTGGCTCATGAAAAGTCCTTGAGCTAGCATTTTTTCCGATTTCCGACTTTTCCGAGTTACAAGTCAGAGCCGCATCCATTTTTCTTCATCTTCTAGGGTTTATTTTTAACTCCAGTCACATTAGCATTGATCTCGAATAAATGAAGTTCATTTATAGCTAGATCCAACTATAAACGTATCTAGAAACGTATCCATAAACTCTATTTGCCTGTAGATTTCACAAATTCATCCCAATTATCAAAGCTATCAAAGCCTTAAAATTTCGCATTTTTCAGGATGTCCGGCGCTCGTACGGCTCTGCGGGACGTCGTCGCACTGCTCGAGAACCCCGACGGAGTGCACGCGTTCAGGAATTGGCTGTCAATCGTTCGTGGCCACTAGAAATCTATCTAAAATCATCTAATCAACAGATCCACTCTATAGCTGGCTCTTTTTGAGTTATCGTGCTCGTTTCCCGGATTATTTTCCGATTCGAATCGATAGTGCAAAGTTGGTGCACAAAAATTCTCGTTTCTAGTCTAAATCGTGGCCCAATGAGCTCCCAGCCAGATCCTTAATGGCCCAGCCAGATCCTTAATGGCCCAGCCAGATCCATAATGGCCCAGCCAGATCCATAATGGCCCAACCAGATCCGTAATGGCCCCGCCAGATCCGTAATGGCCCCGCCAGATCCGTAATGGCCCAGCCAGATCCGTAATGGCCCCGCCAGATCCGTAATGCTTTCCCTTTTTTCTGTGCCCGGCAACAGTACAAAACTGTGGTCAATTATCTAATAAACAGATCTAATAAAAAGTCTAAGCCTCTAGCACATACGAAGACTTATCTAGAGTCTAGAGTAGTCTAGAGTAGACTATAGACTATAACCTAGTCTATAGTCTACTCTAGACTTGTAACGAAAAGATCTCTCAAAAAAAACCGGGAAATGACCACGATTTTTTCGAGCACGACAATTTGAAAAGAAAACGATAAAGGCCTCGAAAAGGCTTCGTTATCAGTCTAGAGCCAACAGATTCAATCTCCAATTTTCCAGGATCCAGCGCGTACAATCGACGCCCTTGACCTGTATCTCGCACTACGCGGTCTTTCACTTCTCATCGAAAATGAGGACCCGAATTCGCAGCGAACCGCTTGTCACATTCACAGAAAGTACATCAGGTATTCTATCCCTAAACAATGCCCAGCCTGGCGTTGGCCTTAAATTGTAGGCTAGCCAGGATTAGACCAAAGCCTGGCTTGGCTAGTCAGCCCAAGATCCAATTGGATACTGGCTAGCCAGGATTAGACCAAAGCCTGGCTTGGCTAGCCAGGATTAGACAAAAGCCTAGCTTGGCTAGCCAGCCCAAGATCCATTTGGATACTGTGCTAGCCTAGGATTTTAATTCATTGTATAAATTGGCTGTCATATCTGCCATAAGATGAAATCTCGAATTTCTAGTCTCCGCACGGGTTCCTGTCATTTCCTGCCCCATGATGCCCGTCTCGAGATGTCCTCTCGTATCCACTCGCTTCCTCCATCACTTCCCACCTTTTCCCCTCCACTTCCACCAATCGATCTTTTCTCTCCAATCCACGATCATCTCCATAATCATCTCAGCTATCTTCACTCGCAATTCATCACAACAAAACTCTTTCATGATGTAAGTTTTCTGATTACGCTGATTACCGTAAATATTCTACTAGAAGAGCCCCTCTATAATAGCCATTTGAATGGTATCTTAAGAAGGCATTTGAATAGTAACTTAAGAAGACATTTGAATGGCATCTTTAGAAGACTTCTTCAGAAGCCATTCGAATGGTATCTTAAGAAGGCATTTGAATAGTATCTTAAGAAGATATTTGAATAGTAACTTTAGAAGACATTTGAATAGTATCTTTAGAAGACATTCGAATGGTATCTTAAGAAGACATTTGAATGGTAACTTAAGAAGACATTTGAATGGTATCTTTAGAAGACTTCTTCAGAAGACATTCGAATGGTATCTTTAGAAGACATTTGAATGGTAACTTAAGAAGGCATTTGAATAGTACTTAAGAAGACATTTGAACAGTATCTTAAGAAGCCATTCGAATGTTATCTTCAGAAGACATTCGAATGAAGACGGCTTTCCCGGCGGTGCTATATCGGTGTTTATGTGGACAAGCGTCTAACTTTAAGCGCTTTATTCTCAGCGCCATTTCATGCTAAATGGTCTCAGCGCCATTTCATGCTAAATGATCTCAGCGCCAAGTGTGCGCGAACCTTGCGAAACGTTGGGGAAAAGTTAGAAATTCATTTGGGAAACATAACATTTAATTCTGATTCTTCGTTATTTTTATGTGTTGAATAATAAATAAAATTCAAAATCTCTGGATTTTTATGGGACAACCTAATAAGTATCAAAAAGAAAAAATAGGGCCATTAAAAGCTAATAGAAGCACCGCCTAATAGAAGCAATCTAATAGAAGCACCGCGTATAAAGACGGCCGGAGCGTCACGTAGTCGTCACTTTAAGCGCCTCGTTCTCAGCGCCGTTTTATGCTACAGTGTGCGCTTAGGCATCAAACGATAGCCCTGAATCTCAGCTATCTTTTGACACCAAGCATGCATTTTTTGAAAGTACGGGCGCTTAGGAAAAAAAGAATTACTGAATTACTGAAAAGATTTTTGTGAGGGGTGCTTTGATAAGAATATTTCCGGTATTTTGTGCCCTGAGAAACGCATGCTTTCTGGCACACTGGGTTTCTTAATGAATTGATTTCAGTTTGTCCACATGGTCACCTCCACAAGCTCTTTCGATGTCCAAGAAGCGACCACCAGTTATCCAACGATACAGAGGTATTCATAGTTTCAGTTTTTTCGGATTTTTTCCTTTAGAGTAAACATCTCTGGTGTACTTTGTGCTCAAATTTGTAAACGCACACCTACTAGTGTACACGATTCTCTTTATTACTCGATTTTTCTCTCAATCTTTTGATTTCATCAGAAAAATGAAGGATTCGGTGAAGAAAGGGTGCATTTACAAATTTTCGACTTTTGGCGTAGATTGTAGCTAATTGTAGCTAATTGCAATGTACAGGGTTTTCCAAAATTACGGGGACTAAGAGCTTTGAAGAAAGCTCTTCAAAAAGCTTAAGCTGTTTTGTAATTTGTAATTTGGAGTCTTTGGATTTGGAGAATTTGGAGTCCCAACTGGATGTTGGGGTGCCGCTCCACGCCTTAGGCTCAGGCTCAGGCTTAGGCTTAGGCTTAGGCACTGTGCTCTTGTAGGAACTCATGAAGCATGACATGAATATGTCCCGGTGGTCAATTAAAAGATTTATCCCCAGTACCAAACTTGGCAAACCATTTCGGAAGGTGAATCCTCCTCGTTCTTTCGGAAGGTGAATCCTCCTCATATATCTTTTTAATATTAGCAGCTGCCAAGCCTGCACTATGCCCTATAAAGTAACCAAATAGGAACCATAAAGGAACTAAATACGAATCAAATAGGACCCAAATAGGAATCAAATAGGACCCAAGTAGGTCCCAAACAGGCCCAAATAGGAACTACAAAGAACTAAATAGGAATCAAATAGGAATCAAATAGGAACCAATAGAAACTACAAGGCTACCTTCGCGCGACCTTGGACGCGATCACTCGTCTCGTCAAAGCGTCAAAACGCCTCCAGGCCTGTGCCGGGCCTGTGTCGCCAAGGGGTGGTCTTTAAATCCTCAAGTTCTTTAGTGCCCGTAATCCTGAACAACCCTGGTAGTCTAGGCTTTGTGTAGCTGTAGAAATTTCCCAAAATTCAGATCAATGCAAGCGATCGAGATCGAGGAAAGCGATGGGGAAAGGGAGGAAATCGAAAGAAATGAGCTGAATGGAGGAGGGGGAATTGTTGGAATGGACAAGCCACCGATTGTCCCACCACATCGATCATTCACATTCAACACGGTCAAGAGGAAAAGGGTGAAGGTGGGTGAATTACAGAAGATGAATAAGTGCTATTAGTGCAGGCTTATTAGTGCAAAGCCAGCATGCAAGACTAGCCAGGCCCCGGTCCTTTGCCATTGGCAATCTGACTTTAAGCTCGCATATCTTGGTGTTGGGTTGTCCAATTTTAATGATCTTGCTACCAATCGATAGAGAAAGACTAGGCGCATCTAATGGTACCAAGAACATTGAAATTGGACAGCTCAACACCAAGATATTTGAGCTCAAAGCTAGACTGCCAATAGCGAAGGGGGCGCCCCGTTTGCCATTGGCAACCTAGCTTTAAGCTCACATATCTTGGTGTTGGGTTGTCCAATTTAAATACTTTTTGTACCAATCGACAGAGAAAGACTAGGTGCATCTAATGGTACCAAGAACATTGAAATTGGACAGCTCAACACCAAGATATTTGAGCTCAAAGTTAGATTACCAAATGGCATTTGATCTTGGCTTATTTCAGAAAAATTTTACAATTTTTTCTTCAGGTTCCTTTACTCGTCGAGCCGACTCCATTCCGTCATGATCGACCCGAGGGACGGCTACATTTTGCGGCAGTGCTCTCCGAGAAATTGGATCATTTACGAATGGAAATCGCGCAACAAAGAAATGAAGAGTATGGGCGAAAAGAAAATGATATTAATGTAAAGAAATTCAGTGAGAAAAATGCATTCAAAAAGCCGGCTTTTGAAGAAACGACAAGTGATGAAGAAGTGGCAAAATACGCAGAACGGATGAATGAAAGGAGGAGAAGTGGTGAGTGGTTTTTTTTTTTTTTTTATTCAACATTACTATTATTCGATGCAGAATCAAATTCCGCATCAAATGATACCAAAAACCAACTCAAAATATAAAATCCATGTAAAGTTGTTGGCTAAAAAATTAAACCCTGCCCATAATGGGCGGCACTTAGCGTTTCGCGACTCAAAACTTTGCATGGATATCACATTTTGAGCTGTTTTTGATATCATTTGATGCGGAATTTGTTTCTGCATCGAATTATAGTCGAAATATTGGAAATAAAAGGATTGGTGCTGAGAAAAACATGAAAAAGCTTAAATTGCCAACTTTTCGTGTTTTTCTCAGCACCAACCCATCGATTTTGATTATTTTAATTATCAAACGATGCAGAATCAAATTCTGCATTAAATGATACCAAAATCAACTTAAAATATAATATCCATGCAAAGGTATGAGGCAAATGGTTAAGCCCCGCCCATAATAGCCCGGGTTTCGGTTTTTAGCCAACAACTTTGCGTAGGTATTACATTTTGAGTTGGTTTTGGTATCATTCGATGCGGAATTTGATTCTGCATCGAATGCTAGTCAAAATAGTCAAAATAAAAGGATTGGTGCTAAGAAAAACACGAGAAACCTTAAATTGCTAGCGGCAAAAAAGGATCGACAGATTTCTTCGTTACAAGTCAACTTTCAGCCTCTTGCTCCCCTCCATCAACAATTCCACTCTCCGTCGAGCCACTCGGCGGTCTTTATGGTCCAAAGGGTTTTGCCCCTCCACCACAAGCGATCACCACAAATCCCTTCAAACATCGAATCGATTTGACGACACCGCGGAGATCACAACCCAGGTATTCAGTTATTTGAAAAAAATCACTCAAATCTCCTTTCCAGACACCACGAGGTGCCCCCATCGGACTCATCCGGTTTCTGCAGTGCTGAGTCGGCTTTCTGTGATCGATCGATTGATCGAAAAGCTCAAGGTAAGCCTCGGGAATTGAAATCTCAAAGCATTTAAGCTCAAAGCATTGAGCTCAAAGCATTGAGCTTAAATGCTTTGAGCTTTGATGTGAATTCTCGTTATTTGGGGGAAACGTTGCCAGGGAAAACGTTGCATATCTTTATGGCAATTTAAAGTACAGTACCCGTTTCCCCTTCCTTTCCTATAGCTTTGCAAATCCCCACACTGATATTTGGTCTGTGAACGATGTAAATCTGTGAGTCAAACCCCGAATTTTTGGAGAAACCTTCCCCAATTCCTGATATGATAACTGTAGATCATACTCATTTCTTGAGAAAAAAAAGATTAACTTTTTTTTAAAAAAAACACACTAATTCCTTTTCAAAGTTTATTCCCTTTAGAGTTCCCAATTTCTCCATTCAATCGTCGAGATCGGAGTCGCGACGCGCATCGTCGTTTCACTTTTGGAACCATTCCGTGAGTATTTAGACTTATCTTCGAGAATCTTTAGATATTTACAAGAATATCTAAAGATTCTTGCGTCATTCAGTCGTCCTCAACGTCCTCAACTCATTTTCAGTCGTCCTCAACGAATCTCAAAAGATCCGCAAACGACGTTGACGATCACTTTGCGCGAGATCAGCGGCTCAAATTCGATTCCCCTTGTCGCGAGAGTTCCCGCAAATCCGCCGCTCACCTATCGAGAGTTTCGGCGACTTTTCGGCATTCGAAAGGATTCAAGAAAGAGGTAGAATAAAAGAGAATGACAAAAAAACACAGTACTCGGTGTTCATTTAGACAATTAAACTAAAAAATACAGTCAAACTATAGCACTACTGCAGCAGTAACTACAATAAGAACCTACAATAAGAACCTACAATAAGAACCTACAATAAGAACCTAAGAACCGCGTCAAGCGTGCGTTTACTCTTTTTAAGCACAAAACACGAATCCAACAATCCGCACATACCTATCATTCATTTTTAGACTTTTCTTCAAATCTCCTTGTGATGATGGATCGGCTCCATTTCAATGGAATCTCCTCTTCGACGATTCCGATTTTGTGCCCACATTCGGCACTCAAATTTTTGCTGAAAGTCGCCCCTGTTTGAGCGAGGACTCAGATTAGAAAAAAAAAGAAAACGGTAAACCACGTTTCTCGGGTATTTTTCGCACTGTCATTAGATTTTAAGTGAATAAATCTGATAGCTTTGTGTCTCAAACCAATCAGAGCAACCAACCAAACATTTTGTTCGTTTATTTTTTTATTTTAAACCCCGCTGGGGCCTCATTCAAACCTTTATTCACACACTAATTACACCACGAGTCACATAAAAAGCGAAAGTGCACACGAAATCGATGCAAAGCACCGTTAAAAGAGGACACAGCCAAGTAGGTAATCACTGTCGAATCACACAGAAAAGCACTTACAGAATAAAAAACAGACATTGAAACGAGTTTACGAAATAAAAACTGGTAAAATGGTGACTTGTTATCGGCTTGAAATTCATCTGAAGAAGGGCGCATCCACTTTTAGCTCCTTCTCGCTTTGCTCCGTCGACGAAGCTATGACAATCGGCTCCATGCTCTTCGACGAAGCAGTCACGATCGATTCCTTCCTTTTTGCTAAAATAAAAACATTAATCCATAGTTTAGCATGATAATACTATAGTATGATTAAACAAAAAGTTACCTTGTGCCGCACTCGTTGAAGTTGTTGAAGCGACCGCAGTAGAGGATGTTGTTGTCGAGTCAGTAGCAGTTGAGCCTTCTAAAGCCTCACTTCCGGTCATCGAAGGAGGGTCAACTGAAAGAAGGGCATTAGAGCTAGATTCTAAAACTTTCTAGCTCAAATAACCAAGCTTTATAGATTATGAAATTTACCTCCTTCCCGAAGAGGCTGTGCAGAATCTTCGATTGCCTTAATCGCGACAATCTCGGCCGACTTCTTGTACTCCTCGAGCATCGACGTCAATTCAGATCGACGAGGCTAGTTGGTTCGCTTGGCTTCCTAAAGAAAGAGATTGAGAAATTTTATATCTGTTTTCAATATCACTTCAATAATTTTAAATCCGAACCGTGTTGGGGCCTGTGCTCGTCGCTGTCGATTCTAGCTTGACCGAGTCTTTGTTCGTCCCCACCGTCTTGTTCGTTGGCTCCATCTTTTCCGTTCCCTCAGCCTTGCCTTCTAACTTGGTTCCACTCTTGAAAGTCTTCTCCATAGTCTCCTTCTTGGCTTTGTCCTTCTCGGGAACCTGAGAAGGACAAAGCCAAGAAGCGATGGGCTGATCCGTTTCGTTTTTTTCGTTTTGTCTAGATCCTTCGCTTCCTCCATTGACCGTTTCCGAGTAGCGAAAAAATGATTTGAAAAGGTGACGCCGGGAAATCGGTGGCACAATTCAAATGCAATTGTTCGATTGATAAATCCAAATTGATTGTTCGAGTAAATTGATAAATCCAAATTCTAACACAAAAAGATCAAGAAATGGAAAAAGCACAAAACGAAAAGCACACTTCATAAATTTATTGCTCGAAAGATATTGTGCTTTTAAAACCCGGTAAAAAAGAATTCATTGGTAAATGGAATGTTGTCAAATTTATCGTTTAAACGGGGGTGGGACAAATGCTACCTTTTTTTGCGCACCTGGACATTTGCGCACCTTTTTTTTGCTGGAAAAGGCCTTAGGAAAGGTCGTAGAGCTTCAAAAATGTTTTCATGGAAAGGAATCGTATGCGTAGATTCCGAATTTCGACAAATCAGACCTCGCTGACACTGGAACTGTATCCGAACCATATTGGAACCATATTGAACCATATTGGAACTGTATCCGAACCATATTGGAAGCATATTGGAACCAAATTGGAACCTTATTGGAACTGTATCCGAACCATATTGGAACCATATTGGAACCATATTGGACCATATTGGAACTGTATCCGAACCATATTGGAACCATATTGGAACCATATTGAACCATATTGGAACCATATTGGAACTGTATCCGAACCATATTGGAACCATATTGGAACCATATTGGAACCATATTGAACCATATTGGACCATATTGGACCATATTGGAACTGTATCCGAACCATATTGGAACCATATTGGAACTGTATCCGAACCATATTGAAACCATATTGGAACTGTATCCGAACCATATTGGAACCATATTGGAACCATATTGAACCATATTGGAACCATATTGGAACTGTATCCGAACCATATTCGAACCATATATACGCAACTTAACGCTTTTCCACAGTTTTTGTCTTTTAGCCCAAATTTGACGTGTCAGCGAGGTCTGATTTGTCGAAATTCGGAATCTACGCATACGATTCCCTTCTATGAAAACATTTTTGAAGCTCTACGACCTTTCCTAAGGCCTTTTCCAGCAAAAAAAAAAGGTGCGCAAATGTCCAGGTGCGCAAAAAAAGGTCGCATTTGTCCCACCCCCGTTTAAACTTAAAACATTTCAACCGAAACTTACTCCTCAACTCTTTTGCCGCTTCCACTTCTACTCCGTGTACTCGATGTCCCATCAATTGTTGCAATCTGATCGGTCTTCTCGAGGTCTTCCTTTGATTGTTTCCTTCTTAGCGTTTTGTTCTTATAATTTGGATCGTTTTCCTCAGTAGCTTGCTAAAAATGAATTGATCATGAAAAGAAACGAAGATTTTAAATCTAATACTACGTTAGTCTGTCCTTTAAGCGCTTTTACATAACTTCTAAGCTTGACATTACTATAAAAATTATAGTTCTAACGATTCCAACAATCAACCAAAATAAAGCTATTACTTTTTCTCAACACTCGTCTTTTCTTTCTCTATTTTCCGCTGTTTCTTCTCTTTCTCATGCATTTCCTTGTCATTTTCCTTCGGTTTCAGGCTTAAAATGTATTTCTATTTTTTTAAATGTCTCGAAATACCTTTTCCCTTTACGAAATAAGTTTGTGCGACGAGCAGCATTACTTTTTGGTTGTTGTTTATTTTATTATGCTTTTATTTTATTTTAAAATGCTTTTACTTTTTATTTAGATCATGGTCGAGCAAAAGTTTGTGCGACGAGCAGCATTACTGTTTAACTTCGAAATTGGAAAGTCTGTTGCCGAATCGCATCGTTCTCTCTGTGCTGCTTTCGGAGATATTTGTAGAGAAAAGGAATCATATTTGTAGAGAAAGTTCGTCTCTCAGGCAGTGTCAGACTTGGTTTCAACGATTCCGAGAGGGAGACGAGGCTTTGGAAGATTCGAGGTTCGAGGTTCGAGCACGGTTCAAGGCCAGAAGTCGTGAGCGAAGCCAAGTTGAGGGACGTTCTTCAGGCCGTTCTTCAGGCCGATCCATGCCAATCTGCTCGAGATCTTGCGAAAATATTCCATTGTGATCATGTCACCATCGAACGCCATCTTTTTTTTAAATTTACCGTCAAATCGGCAGTTTCTTTTGCACCACCCTAATAGAATAATTTCAATGGGTTTCACAGGACAAATTGTCCGTCGCAGCGCAGCTAGAGATAAAATAATCCGTCAATTTGTCAAAACACGCGCAAAGTGCTTAAAAATGTTTTCAAAATAACAAAAGTTACAAATTGTTATGAAAAGTAGGAAAAAATTGGGGTTGAAAAATCTAATCGTAACTTTTTTCAATCTGGCGTTATTTTTGTATCGGCGCTGTTTTGGCGGCGCTTTTTTGACAGCGCTATTTTCACTAGGCGTTTCATTTTATTTTACATACAACCGTAATCTCATGATTAACACTACTTTATCCGTGATCTTTTGGTTATCTTTTATAGTCTTATAGTCTGAGAATTGAGAATTGATGACAATTGATGACAAAGGACAAAAGCCATTTTCAAAACGATTTTCCCGTGCAGCCCTATTCGCAACAGTGTCATAGTATCCAACGAGTACAAACCGTGACGCTGGCGAATAGGAAAGCACAAGAGAGAAAAGAGAATGAGGGACGTGCACCAGAAAGAGTGCGTTTCAAAATTTGAGCACAAAGTACATCCAAAGCCTTGAATCCCAAGCCTATCTGCTTTGAATAAATCGTTCAAAGTTTTTTTTAAATGATCTAATTTTTCAAAGATTTCCTAGTTTGAATTCTTCAAAACAAGTGGATTACCAAAAGTATTAATTTGAATAATTCAGGCTGGCTATGGGTTCAGAACCAAATCAAGTAGATAAACCAGGTAGGGTGTGGCTTCTGATCTTCAAAAGTCAGGAATATCTGAAGAAATAGATCAACGATAGAGATCAAACACATCCAGGTTTCATAATAGCAAGGCAATGCAAAATATTAATTACTCCAAACAGTCCCTTCATCTCTAAGTAGGCACTTCTGTCGGCTTTTCGTTTATGAGTTGTGTCGGTAACCCGGGATACCATCTCTTTTCTTTCTTTGAATTCTTCCTTCTTTTTCCACTCATCCACTCATTTGTAGACAACGTGACAAGCAAGAAACGAAAGAAAAAAGACCCAATACGGGTAATGCAACAGGAAATCATCACTTCAGCTGTGCGACAAACGTTTGAGGGACCAAATTTGTTACTTCTATATTATTTTGTTTTATCTTTGATAAAAAACAATAACAAGTCGGTAGACTGTATTCTTTTTGGTTAAACCGTTTTCTAAAAGGTTTTTTAGAAAAAGCTACCGTAATCTATCTGTCTTTCGTTGAAATTAAGGCAATTTTGAAAATTTTAGGGGGTTCATTCACCTGAACTCTTTCAAAAATCCTAGAATACGGTAATTTCCCTAAAGAGCACCTTTTAGAAAAGGATCGGATCAAGAAAAACACACTCCAATAACAGTAAACAACAAAACAAAATCAACAACGAATCACAATTGAAAGTTTCAAAATAATAAATTTCACAAAAAACCTACGAATATTCGATTTCTTTATTTTTACATTTGGTGCATGTGTAGAAAACGGTTTGTCCTTCATCCGCCGATCGAGTCTGCATTGTGGTGAACGTCGCCCGATCGTGACCACATCTGGAAATGTAAAATTAAACACGTTAAAACGCTCAATTTCATTATAACAGTACTGATTATAAAATTTGCAAGCAATTTCGAATTTTTAGCCCTTTAACAATAAGACTTTTACGATGTCAATTTAAATGGCCAAGTAATACAGGCTAAAAATTTTTTAAAGCTTTCTAAAATTTACTATTTCAACTCGATAAACAAACTCACAATTTGCATAAATGATCGACTTCTGGATCTCCTGAGCCAATTTCGAAATTGTCAGCATCTGCTATTCCATGATTGTAAACCTAAACATGGAAAATAAAGATTAATCTTTTTAAAAACTTTACCGTTTTGATAGAATAAACAAAATTATTGATTTGCTCGGCAATTTTTACCCTCGATCCACAAACCAAACATTGTGTGGGCCCGGGTACTAAAATTAAAGAAAATTTTCAATTTTTTATGTAGTAAAGACACATGTTCTAAACAGATTTGCCTAACGATATCGATGACTTTAACGCTAACAGACCTATCAAAATTAACTTTTCATAAAGGTAACGCTTTACCTGTAGCAAACGGAAGAAGCGCTCCACAAGTCGAGCAGAAATCCGAGTCACGAGAGGTTTGTGAAACTGGCTTTTCACCTGACATTACCTAAAATTTAAAAAACTTAAATGGGTAGATAATTAAGTTTAAACCATTCACACGACTTATAGTTAGAAATTTGCTCAAATGAATCTCCCATATGATTTCGCAAAATTTCTAACTTTCAAAGTTTTAAAGCAAACCACTCGAACAAACTTGACTTAAAAGCTATTGATGCATGTGCTTTTCAACGGCTCGTAGGTATTCTAATCAACTCAAACAATGTTTTCTTACCAAATCCAATGCGGCAACAGAAAACGTTTATTGTAACAGTGCCAACCAATACCATAGATATACCCAAATCACATCATATCTCGAACAAAGAAACGATAATAAGTTAAAAGCTCAAAAAAAAATCAGTGCACAAATAATGACTTTTCGTCCTGATTTCCGTTTAATAACTGCGTCCAAACAGGGCGAAAGCCTTCGATTTGTGCGCACAACCGGGATTGATGCATTTCTCGGGAAGAGCCTCTTTGGGCTAAAAAATTAAAAATTATACTAATCCTGTAGTGCAAAACTGTAGAAGCGTATCACAACTTCAAATAAAACAAACCTGTTCAAGTGGGATGCAAAGCGTCTTGGCTCCCATCAGCGCCGTTCCAGCATCACCATCGTCACTAAATTTAAATCAGTCAATCTATCAATCCAAAATCTTTTACCGTGTTGAATGTTTCTTGATCTCCTCCTCACAAGCAGGCTCACCGCAGAATGGTGAAAGAAGCACGAATTTGTCATCGAGCAATCGCTTGAACTCCTCGAAATCCGTCGTCACTTTCATGTGAGCATTTCGAGACTCGAGAACCCTAAATATTCACATGTTAATAGAAGAATTTAGGGTAAAAGTTGAAAACTAGGGGTAAAATATTCCTAAACTGATATGGTCAAATATGGTCCAAAACTAATACTAGCTTCTTGTGTATCTTCTTTTTGACAAACTCCTAAGTTTGCCAACATTTTAACATAGTAGATTCTCCGTAAATTAATAGCTTACTTGTTGTACATGGCTTGATGAATCTCCTCCAAGGTTTTGTGCAACTCAGCAACAAGTTGATCCCGTTTGATTGTGCGTTTCTTTCCATCAAAGCGAATCACTGCCGTCACTTGATCGGCTTCCAAATCCTTGGGTCCAACCTGCAAAGATTTAATGGAATGACGAAGTAGTTTAATCTTGCCTCAATGCGGACAGGAACTCCTTTCAATTCCCAATGGTTGAATTTCCAGCCAGATGTGTTATTGTCCCTAAAATGATAATATTAATTATGGAGCTAAAACATTTCTACCTTGAGTCAGCTTCAGCGCGAATCTTTCCAGCGATTAATTCGGCAACAACTTTCTCTGCTTGATCATTGATCTGCTTTCGTTGCTCCTCTGTTGTCTTGGCAGTGATTCCAACAGGGATGACGATTGCCTAAATTTTACAATTAAAAAACTCTCGGGCTTTAAATTGATAACAAAGACCAATGCTCACTTGAATGCAAGCCACTCGGGGAGGAAGAACCAAACCATTGTCATCAGCATGAATCATCACCATTGCGCCAATTGTTCTTGTCGAGAGTCCCCAAGAATTTTGCCAAGCAAACACCTAACGAAAAAGATAAAATTGAAAAATTTAATAGAAAACTTTTTGTCCATTTCCACTTGGATCCTCGAAAGCGATGTCGAACATCTTTGAGAAGTTTTGTCCAAGATGATGAGAAGTGGCTCCCTAAAACAAAGAAAGATCTAAACTTTTTTTTCTTGAATTAGTTTGTTGGTTGGTAGACCAAAGTTTTAAAGTACTGCACTTACTTGAATTCCACGTCCATTCACAGGCACATAAGCTTCGACGGTCGTCGTGAAATCACCTCCAGCGAATTTTTCCTTCTCCGATTTTCGTCCCTTCACAACAGGAATGGCGAGAAGATCGGTGTAGACTCCAGCGTAAAGATCCAGAATTTGGAACACTTCTTCTTCAGCATCTTTTGGGTTCGCGAAAGCAGTATGACCTAAAAGAAACGGTTAATCATTTGATGTTTCAATTCACCTTCTTGCCAAAGAAACTCGCGAGTCCGAAGGAAAGGAGTTGGATGTTTGAATTCCCAGCGCTAAAAATTGAGTTATGATTGAAACGTTCTCTGTTAACCGGAGACATTGAAAATGAAAAACTCACCACAACATTGCACCATTGATTGAGTTTGATGGGCAGATCACGATATGATTGAACCCATTTCTTGTATGATGGATACATGACAGTCTCCGATGTGGGACGAATGGCGATTGGTTCGGCCAATTCCGAGTTTCCGGCCCGGGTCACCCAAGCAACCTAAAATCGTAGCGTTACCACTTTTAAATTCAACTTTCAAAGTCTAGAGTACTTGTGCGTTAAATGAGCGTTCTTTGTGCATCAGCAGTTTGTTCGGATGTTTAAAGATTAGCAACAGTTTCTTGCTTCTAAATACATTGAGTGGTCAATTTACCAATTTAGTCGAAGTCCGTTAGTCATTCAATTAGAAATAAGTATCGAAATTACCTCTAAAAATGTTAGCCATTTTCACTAACCTCTGGAGCAAAATCAGCAATATGTGTCTTTTCTCGTTCCAAAGCGGCATTAGAGACGAACATTGGGAAATAGCAATTCTTGACACCCAATTTTTTGATTCCAGCATCGAACCTATAAAGAACTTTGACTTATGAAGCATTATATAAACTTTATACCATTGTTGAATTCCCTCCCAAATAGCATACGACCAAGGACGAAGCACATAACAACCAGAAACATCGTAGTATTCGATCATTTCAGCCTTCGTAATTACCTAAACAAAGAAAATCTTTAAATTACTTCGATGTACGAACTTTTAAACACTCATAAGCCTCACCTGACCATACCACTCCGAATAATTCTCGTCTTTTTTGACTTCAATGCCCAACTTTGATTGCTTCTTCCCATCTGTCTTCTCTTCAACCTTGGGAGCTGACTTTTCTTCCTAAAAGTGACCAGATATCAAATTGAACTAAAATTTCAACTTTTTTCTTGTCCTTTCCCCCTTGCCGTCCACCACCACCAGTTCCAGCGTAGTCCTTGCCAGTTTGCTCCTGAAAAAAATTGTTTAACAGCTAAATATCCAAAGCCACCTTGAATGAGAGCTTCAACGCAAGCAGCTTGTCGATGGCCGACTTCTTGTCTTCCTAAATCAAACGCTAAAGTAAAAGGAGACTGCACGAAAAGTTAATAGATAGATAACTCAACTCACCTCTGTACTTTTCGCGTCTCCTTTCAATTTGCGCACCAAGTCGGCTTGAGCCGTAATTTCAGCCTCAAGTTCTGCTGTCATTCTGAAAAATATAATAGAAATGATTGCACAAGAGTAGAAAAAAAAACATGAAAAGTTATTGGCCTAAAATTTAAGAGTCAAGAAAAGAGTCTAGAAATGTCAAAATTGATGTAAATTTTGTAAAATCAATGCGTTAACTTAAAATTGAAAAGGTGCACATGTAAGAACGGAGAAAAAAGAGCGATGAACTGGAATTCTTTCAGCCGTAGGGGGGAAATGGACGAGATTCAATTGAAAAGACGAGAAAAACCCGACGACAGCAAATACCGGACTTTCCGCTAAAAGACACTAGAGGAGAGAAAGATTTTACACGGCGAGGACGGATTAGAGATAGAGAAAATACAACTGCAGAGGAGGAGGAAGAGCTGGAGGCGGTGATTTTATATTGAGAATCGAATGTTTTATTGGGCTTTGTTGTAGAATCGATATCGAAACGCATCGCCTCAAAGAATTTTCTTGTTTGCTATTTAAAATCAACGGTTTTACGGCAAAAGCGTGAGTTCTGCAGAACTCATAGCCGAGGCGTTAAAGTTTAGAAAAGGACACTTGTGTAAATGCAAACGAGACAAAACATTTGAAACGTTAATGTGAGAAAATATTCAGATCAACAACTGAATATAGATAAAATGTTTGATTTTATAAAAGTCAATCCTCTTTAAGTTTCCTCTGTGTCAATCCTGCCCAGTTTCACAAATCATAATCAAACTGCAACATTTTGAAACTTTGATACAATATCCACATGTGATTTACAGATTATCTAAAAAAACGACATAAAACTGAAGAATAAAATATCAGGAACACCCCTAAGCCTAAAAAATAGGGTAAATAAGGGTAAATAAGAAAAAATAATTTTGACAAAGACTATAAAATTACACTGGTTCTAAATACGCATAAAAATTGTGCAACAACTATGTAAAAGAAGGGAAAATTTGAAACGAGAAAGAGAAAAAAAACACATCGATCACAGCTGCGAAAACATGACGCAATCCGAAAAGAGGAAAAAGCCCAAAAGGAACTCGTAAGCCAAACAAAAAAAACAAAAACGATTTTGTAAGAAAATTATCACATGAACGAAATAAATTAGCACATAAAAGGTGAAAAAGCAAATAAACAATCAAACACTCTTCAAAATCGCTAACAATTCTTCGTTTTTTTCTCCACCGGCGGACGTTCAGCGAACCATTTTTGCCGCAACTCGAACAGTCTATTGTACAACTCCTAAAGTTTCAATGAAGTGAGTTGTGAAAGTTTCACTCACCTTTGCTAGTCGATGTTTTAAACGGAACGGTTCTTCTCCATCCTCTTCGAGATATTTTAACTCATCTGACATTTCTTCATCCAGCTAAAAAAATTGCTTAAGTACCCAAGTGCCGGATAAAGTTACCCAACCTCAGTAGGCCAAACATCCAAAAGTTGATGTCGCGGTCGCATGTTGTGTAAAGCAGTTTCGGTTTGTTTGGGCACTTCCTAAAAATTAATCGTAAAACTAAAACAAATAAACCAGTTACCATTTTCTTGAATAACAAGTACGCAATGATGAGTGGAACGTGAATCGGTGGCTCAGCGAGGCGACAAAGTGATGCAAGATTCTCTCCAGTTGGCAACTTTGCAAAAATTTCCTGATAATATTTCAGTCGCGTTGTCATTTTATCTAAAATTTAATCTTGATTCAATAGCCAGCAAACATTGAAAATTACCATAAAGTTCTTCCGTTTTTGAGCCCGCTAACTCGGCCAATGGAGCTAGTTCAGCAGGAATCTGTTCTTCACCACATTTGCTTTGCAATCTAAAGCGAGGATATTACAAGAGTTTGCATAAAACTCACAATTGTGTCCGTATTCGATGATATTTAGCAAGTGGGAAGCTCTTTAATCGATCCAAGAGTTTCGTGTTGTCCTCAAAATATCCAAATTGCTCAGTCAAAAGGGCCAATCGAAGAATAGAAGCATCTGTGCAACCATCTCGATCTAAACCTTGAAACTTTAAAAAAATTTTTTCAAACGTTCACCTTGTAAAGCAAGCACTCGCTCAAAGTCAACTCGTGAAGACGTCGGATCTATTGAATATTCGGACAAAGCGAGCAAATCAGACAGATTCTCAACAGTAACCATCTAAAATCAGTCGTCTAAAATGAAATTTGTCAAAGATCTACCGCCGGTTTATACGTCAATGCCTGCAGGAATGATTCGACTGCGGTTTTCCTCAAATCTTCAACAATCGCTCGATCTCTTCCCTCGACGTGCGAGTCGCTCAATGCCAAAAATGCCTAAAAGTTGATTAACTTAAAAAGATTTTCAACAACTTACATATCCTGTCCAAGTCACCGCACACTCTGGATCCACTTTCATCGCTGATTCAAACGATCTCTTCGATAACTCGCTGAAATGCTAAAAACAAAAATTTTCGTCGTTTAAAATTTTAAAACATACAAATCCTGTTTTTCCAAAAAGAATCGCTAAACTGCACCACGCTTCCGCATTTGATCGATTCAACTCAAGAGCTCTAGAAATCACAAAGTTAACGACTAGCTCATAAATGTAGTTACCGAATAAGACAATGTTGTTGCTGATTCGGTGGTTTCTCAGCAATTCTCGTCGCTTCAGCCAATTTCACCCAGTACATCGAGCGCATCTCATTGTCGCCGGCGAGACGAATTGCTTGTTTCAGGAAATCAATTGCTCTAAATGGCATTTAAACAATTCCAAAAAGTTTAAACTTACTTTAAAGCCAGTTCGCCTGTTTTCTCAATTTGCGCTCTTCTCGTCAAAATGATTCCCATATCAGCCCAGGCCGCAGATGATGAACGATCGAGTGAGAGCACAATGCACGACATCGACGCAGCCAATTTCAAGCAATCCGCGGGTGATTTGATCGAAAAACTTTCAGGTATCTGAAAGTTTTGCTTTAAAGAAAATTTGGTTATTAAAGGCATAGACATTTATTAAGGTTTTAGTATTGGTTAACATTCCTAAATCGTACCTTCATCTCCTTTAGTACTTCCCAATTAAAATCCACACAAAACGTCAACACTTCAGCCGCCAATTTGTAGATGGTCGCATACGGGGGTCGCTTCTCCAATACACCATCAAGTATAGTGAAGATTTTATTCAAATGAGCTAAACGCAAAAACTACTATGGAAAGCTAAAAAGTAATACCAATTTGTTCACTTCCAATCGCATTTTTCCCAATTTGAAACAAGGCTTGCGCATGAACAATGTCGATTGCTATTTGAGACACCTCGCTCTTCATCGAATCTTCGTTTTTCCGCCTCCACTCATCACATTTCTCGACAATTTGCGTGTATTGACCCAATCGGAGGAGAACGTGCAACATCTAAAAGAATTTGTTCAATGTCTTAAGCTTAAAGAAAGCTCACTGGAATCTGGTACTCTCCTTCTGGCCTCAACTTGCTCGCCTCCAAATAAGCATTTGCAGCTGCCTAAAAACTATGTTTATTGTAAAATTTTGGTTTGCTCGATAGTGTGTAAATGAAGCCATCAGAGCCATCCTTTTCTTCTTTAAAAGGAAACGTACTTGTAAACTTCCGCGTTGTAGGTAAACCTGTCCCAAAGTCATCCAATAACTAGCATCATCCGGCGAGACTCGGATCAAATGTTGAAGAGAGTGAATAGCATCATCACTAGGACAGAGTTGTAACTGATTCTTGCAATTTTCCAAACGTACACTTTTCCAATCTCAAGGAACAGCGTGTAGAGTCGTTGATGAGCCCAATTTGGTCGAGTTCGAAGATTGCCCAACACAGCGATTCGTTCACTAGCAGCAGAGTCTAAAGAGTTTAATTAAAGTATTGTGTTTAAAAGCCCAGGTCGAACCATTTTGAATCAGAATGTCATCCAAGAGCTTCACATATTCCTCGTCAGTGGGTCGAATTTTCACCGCTTGTTCGGCACAAGACTTCGCCTAAGGAATGAGTTAAGAATTAAATAAAACACAGCTCACTTACCTTGTTTGAATTCTTCTGCTTCAAACATGCAGCAATCAGGTAGAACGCCCGACTACATCTTGGACGTTCTCTCGCAATTTTCACCAAATACGGTAACGGGTCCTGTTCAGTGGCAAACAAGATGTCCGAAAGGAGTACTTGATCCTCGAATGATTCACTTACTTTCTAAAACTTAGACACTTTAAAAGTAACCAAACAATCAAATACCAATTTTTCAATGTAAGGAATAGCCTTTTCGGGTTCTTTGCTTAACAAAAATCGATGGATCGACAGTCGCTGCTTATTTTCACTTTCTTCTAGTGTCCCTTCGTCAACTTGTTCTCCAAGATTCAACCGCAAAAGAGCATCGATAAGTTCAAATCTAAACCAAAATATTGTAGCTTGATAAAATTTAAATTACTTCGCTGGCAGTGGACAAATTTGTCGTCCCAAGCGAAATGATTCCACGGATTTCATGTTGTAAAGTGACGAGGCTTTATATCCAAGGAGAGCATCTACAAAAGCAAATTTTTTTCCCCACTTTACTTCAAAATGAATAAGGAATAGCTGCTGTTCAAGCATTACCTTTAATTGTCGGTTCAGCGTTGACCTGTGGTAGAGCGATGGCTATCAAACGAAGACACCTGAAGTACTCGTTACAATGAGCAATTGGTTATAGCAAACTTTTCATAACTTTCATCATCGTAGAAAACACGAATTGCCGAGAAAATCGACGGGGGCATTGGATAAGCAGAAAATGAGGCATCGGGGATCTCCAGAATCACATCAGTGGCATCTTCCCACTCCTCATTCGCAACAGCATCAAAAAGCGAGAATGGCTAAAAGAACAAATTCTAGAGTTTATATTTATTTTATTTCACAAACATTTACAAATTTATATTCATAACTTACAAAATCATCTTTGTTTTCATTATATGTTTCCACGTAGTATGTGAAAAGCTCATCAGAGAGTGCCCCATTTGTCAAAATCGATACGTGGAGTAGAAACTCAACCTTTTGCCCTAAAATAATCTCAAATCGAATCCAATGAAGAATCTTACTAATCCAGTCATTAGGCTGTGGATGTGCTTTGATAAATTTCAGAACTTCTGGCTCCCAATCGACGTATGACTTGGAAATCTAAACATTTGTCACATTTACAAAGATATTCTCCTTACTCCAACTTGATAGCAAACAAAAGCCAGGTGTAGTTTTTGATCTTTCCATAGCTCATCATCAAGCGCTTTCAAACAATTCAACATCTAAACGATTAAAAGTAAAAATGTGTTTTGCAATAGAAAGGCACCTACCATAAATAGCGCTATTGCAAAAACTTACCAATGTTTTCTCGGTCTCATTTTTGTTCTCCCGTTCAAGCATGTAAGTGGCGACTTGTTTCAAGAAATCAGTTTTTGTCCCAACATCATCCTGAAGTAATCATAAATTAAAGAAAAAAGGATGCAGTTACCTTTAAAATGGAGAATTTTCGCAAATACCACAAGTATTCCCGTCGTTTCTGTTTGGCTTGCTCTCGTTTCTCATTATTTTCCCTGTAAAAGCTCTTGAAAATTCAAGAAATTCTAAACTCACGCAAATTCCATCACTTTTTCAGCCGTTTCAATCGCTCGGTCATCGATGGGCAATCCTAAAGTGTCGTAGAGTTTGAAGAGTCCTTGCCACGCAGTTGGCTTGCTTGGATCCAACTTTATCGCCTAAAATCGCACTAATTACAACTGGAAACCTAAGTTTTAAACTACAAAGCATTCAAGAACGACAGCCAGCTTATAGCTTAACTACATTTGAAGCAAAAATTTCTTTACCTCGAAATAATGTGTGGATGCATCCCCCGGGTACTCCTGATTGGCGTTTGCAAGAGCGGCAAAGCAGTATACCATGTATTCTTTTGTTCCCTCTTCGATTGCTTTCTCCAAAAAAACAAATAACTTAATCTTTTACTAAATACTTTTACCTCACACAACTCCATCGCTTCCTCATTTTTCTCCTCGACGAGCAATTTCTTCGCCTCTTTCAGCAGCGCTTTTACGTCGGCCATTACCTGAAAAGAACAAAGTAATACTCAAGACCCAAGGCAGATAGAAACAATAAATAAATATGGCGCGCATTTCCTGCACAAGCTTGTGAAAAACTGTTATTACACCAATCTTTAGCATATTTTATCCAGATTTTACTTAGGATTCTCTTTTATGGACAAATTTTTAAATCCCATAAATCATGAACATTCCGAAACTCTTTGAATGCGTACTCCTTTTTAAAAATTCCAAAGACTCCTTGCTTTTCCACGTATATTTAGGCACTTTTAAAAACTCGAACCAATCAAACGATTTATTCCGCATAGAATCTACAAAAAAAAATACAAAGAATTAAACGAGAGAACCCTATAAATGAGCAACTAATTTACACTCAAAATTAATATTTACATTTCGAATCCAATGTTCGGGGCGAAATGTCCACTTCCTGACACGAACAGTTGCCGTCCCTGTTGTCGATCCCACCACAACATATCTCCATCCAAACAAGACTCGCCACTTTTGTCCTAAAAAGAGTAAAAAAATTATAATCAAAATGAAAACAACGCTTAGATTTTCAATATTATGCTAGTTGTTTAATAAACCGGTACTAATAAAGATTGGGGGCGGCCACTTTGACCTGACTTGGTCAGATTGTATTTTTTGACTATTTTACCAAAGCTATTTTACTTTTTCTGGGATAATCAAATATGATGAATCTATTGATAATATGTTTAGAAAGTTTTGAAGAATTTTTGTTAATATTTTGATAAGCTAGCGGAATGTTGCCTCCGCAGTGTTGTTAAGCTTGAAAATGAGAAGAGGGGCAAAATACAAAGTGCTAACCTATTCAAAATATTATAAAAATATCGTTAATCGATTAAGCGTATTTGGTTATCCCAGAAAATGCAAAACAAGACTAGAATAGGGTCTGACCAAGTCGGATCAAAGTGGCCCCCCATTGGCCCCAAGTTTAGTACCGATAAACCAAATAAATTTAGAAAGCTTGATTGCTTTTTGAACGATTTGGTGATTTGTTTAAAAGTCTATCACAAGTTAATTAGGTGCCTATTCTAATATTGTATTAAGTCTATAAAAAAACTTAAAACCCACAATTTGAACGTAGAGGATTCGAGAGTAGAGATAGAAAGCAAGGAAGATACCACCCATGTAAAGAAAAATTGATCGAGGAGTGGCTCGGAAGAATTCGGCCTGGGTCATGTCGGCTGAATACCATCGGAACATTGCTGGGTCCATAACGACTCCTTGCTAAAATAGCAAAATTTAGAATATCCTCTTGACAACATACTGATTTAAAATCGCAATTTTCTAAAGTTTATCCCAAAGTACTGCTTTTAAAATAGAGCAATTTATTTAAAAACAGTTCTTGTTATTTATTTCTTCATGGAAATCATTACCTTGTATTTAAAATTGTGTGGATCATATTCTCGGCGGAGATATTCTTTCTTGAGGATTTCCTTCACGCGATATCTGTAAAGAAACAATGCAATTTTGTCCAAATCCAAAGTCAAACGCAAGAATTTTTCTAAAACACCTAAACACAATGAATTTTACCTCCAAAGTACTGCTTTCTTTTCATCGACGGTGAGATTGTACTCTTCGTTCGGTTTGAACTCCATCTTTCCGTGAGTCTAAAAGAAAATGATATAGTCTGTCGTTAATCGTTTAATCTCTGAACTTGAAAATAATCTTGAAATAATCTAGGACCTACTTTAGATATTCACCAATGAAAAAATGTCAAAAATTATGATCAAATTCTCAAAGCAATTGGGCTTAAGATTTAAACTTTAGTAGTTAATGACAGTGACGAAAAAGCTTAGGTTCACTGTGTGTTCTGCCTCTTTAATGAAAAAAGAATTGTTAGTTTGAAAATGGATGTCTCAAGATCACTAGCAAGTTTGCTCATGTTTGTAACTTGTGCATAAACATCAAAAACTTTTTACCTCAAAATATCCAAGCACCGGATCTTGCCACAATTTCGGCGACGTCACATTTTGATTGGCGGCGCCCAAGACGAGCCTTGTGCCTCGCATTTTGCGGCTGAAACAAGAAGATTCGTTATGAGATGTGAAAAAAGTAAAGTAAAAGAAAATCCAGGTATAAACATAGGGTATAAACATAGCTTACAAAGTTTAAAACAACGATAAAAAGGACTTTCCCTACGCGAGTGAACACTTTTCGGGGTTTACTGAGAAAAGGGGGAAAAGAATGGAGCTGCTACACGCACAAACAAGAGACGAGGCCCATTTTCGACCATTTTTAGACTTTTGAAAGCTTTTTTAGCACTTTTAGCCGTACGGAACGATGTATTTCTCAAGAAAACGCTTAAAACGTTGAATAAACTTGAAACACTTAGCAAAACTATGTATATGAAAACTAAAATTTCGCTTGACAATGTTACTTTTAAACTGTACGAAACAAGAAGATTTGTTATGAGATGCGAAAAGAAAATTCATGTACAAAACTTCTAGCTTACAGAGTTGAAAACAACGATAAAAAAGGGCCACAGAGTGGGCCAGAATTACGGCTACACCTTTTCAGCAGATTGCAAACGCCGCAATCAATTTAAAAATCCTAAGTGTTAGAGAATTGAAGACAAAAACCCTAAGTGTTAGAGAATATAGAGAATTGAAGCCTAAATTTTTGCCCATATTTCTGTACCAAAAGATCGGGGTGCTAGCAAAAGCGCCAAATTATTTGCGCCACGTTTCATTTGCGCAACGTTTCATTTGCGCCACGTTTCATTTGCGCAACGTTTCATTTGCGCCACGTTTCGTTTGCGCCACGTTTCATTTGCGCCACGTTTTATTTGCGCAACGTATTATTTGCGCAGCGTATTATTTGCGCAGCGTAACATTTGCGCTTTCCAACACATTTTTCTACCAACTCTGATTGACCATTTATATATTTTTTTCAGTTTTTCCTCGTCGATAATGCTCGCTATTTTGCCGCCTTTACCGGATCTAAGAATGGCATAAGATGATCTAGAGAGTAAAACGTCCAATCGGGGACACAAAAATCACTGCTTTTGGGGTCTATATAGGTATTTAAACGTGTTTTCTAATTGAAAACAATGAGAACTAAAATTGTGAAGCAGAAAACTGAAAAAAGTTGGTTAGAAGTTGGGGAAAAGTGATTTGTTATAGTGATTTTCATAAGCGTAAATTTGGCACAAAGGATTTTGGGGCAAACGAAACATGGCGCAAAAAAACACGGCGCTTTTGCTAGCACCCCAAAAGACCTTTGATTGGAGTTTTGTAGCTCATTTTTTAGATCCTCAAATGAGCTCAATTCAACCAGTCTCCGGCACGCTTCCATTTTTAGCTGTTTTCTAACTAAAAAAACTTATGTAGGAAGAATTTTTCTTTAGTAAAAGCATATTTTTATTTGTTAATCCTCTTGTTAATCCTTACCCTTTAGACTACTCTACAAAACTCACCCTAGGTCAGATTCATTTTCGACACCCGGCACAAGAATGGATTCTGCGAGACGCGGAGTTTGAGGTCACTGAAAGCGCTCACTCGTCAGAAGGCGAGGATTTAGCTGGGAGAATACTATTTTTCTAGTGCTTTTTTATTTGAAAGGCTTTGAATAAAGTTTTAATCGTTTATTATCAAAGCCTTTGTTAAAAATCGAAGTTAAGAAGGTCAATCGACGCGGATGAAGGAAGAGATGATCAAATCTAAAAGCAGCATATCAAGATAGCAAAAAAAGTACAAACTTTATTGCTTCAAATCGAAGTAGATCATGGATTATCTAAAAAAAAGTTAAAATTAAGTTATTTTAAGCCTGGTACTTACTTTCCCATCGCTTTTTGAGGTGATAAGCCATAAGATCGTCAACGGCTGGTGGTAGATCACGAGGAGCCATCTAAAAGAGGAAAATTGTTCATAGGTGACTGAAAAGTCATCCAGGGTGACTAAAAAGTTCTGATACCTTATGAAACAGTTCTTTTTGATGGGAAATATTGAGAAACTCTTTAAACTATGTTGATTTCCAGATTCTCTACATATTTTTACATTATAAACCAAATTTTCAGCTCACTAGCTCTATTCGGAACGATCACTAGCTCACTAGCTTTTACGCTAATTTCTTTCTGATTTGCGTTAATGCTCGTTGATCGTACCCTCATAGACAACAAGGGGAAAAGGAACGTCACCCATTTTGTCGCTTGCCATTCCGTTACATTAAAGTACTTCTTTTCTTACTAAAAGCTTTTATCATCAATATCATCATTTTATCATCATCAAACTATCATCAATAAGTGAAATTAAGTAGCAAAAACAATTAAAAAGATGTTTTATGGCGCACATCAGAAAGAAATTAGCGTAAAAACTTTTCCGAATAGATCTAGTGAGCTAAAAATTTGGTTTATAATGTAAAAATATGTGAAGAATCTGAAAATCAACATAGTTTAAAAAGTTTCTCAATATTTCCCATCAAAAAGAACTGTTTTATAAGGTATTAGAACTTTTCAGCCACCACCATTTACTCATTGAGATGAATTTTACGTTGTAAGTAGCTTTATCAACTAAATACGGAGCTCTAGATTATCAACGCAAACGCAACGCAACTTAACCGTAAGAGAAATGACTAAATAAACATAAACCTTACTTGAATCACGTTTAAACGCCAATTGATGGGCTGTATGACGATCGGTGGACGAATGGAAGCACGTTGATTCGAAGAAATCGAGTCATCTTCACTAAAAAAACGTAATAGAAGGAATGCGTAATAGAAGGAATGAAGGAATATTTTCCATTAACAATTACCAACATTCATAACAATGTTTAACAATTAGACAGACTTTAAGTAAAGTTTTAACGGTTTCACTCATTTTTGAAGGACAAATATAACGGTTTTACTCATTTTTGAAGTTATTAACATCGATTAGCATTAACAGAATTAGCAAATCGATTAAAAAGGTCAATGACGAGTTGCTTGCAATATTTGAAAGCTTAATTAAAAGCTCAATCATCTTTCAAAATCTTTTTAAGATTAAGCTCAATCATCTATAAAGATGTCTAAAACAAAAATTCGGCTTTATTCATTTTCAATTTAAATTTTCAACTTCAAAAATTCAAAGCTACCCTTTCTAAAAAGAAACTTTGGTGGTACTTTGAAGGTACTTTGGAGGTTGGGAGGGGCCACTTTTGGTTTGCTTAGTCGAATCTACTGTTTTAAGCGGCTCTATCGATACTTTTTCTTCTATCCTAAAGCGATTGGTGCTAATTTAAGAACGTTTTTTGATCCTATTCGACATTTGCCGATAATCCTATTCGACCATTTTGCCCTAGCCTGTGTCCTTGTCCTAATCCTAGGGTCCTAGTCCTAGGGTCCTAGTCCTAAGGTCCTAGTCTGTTGTACTTTAACCACCGAACGTTATTTTCAAAGGTGATTACCGAACGTTATCTCAAAGGTGATGAAAAGCTGCAATACTAACTTGAAACATGTTGGAAATACTCTAAAATTAACACCAATCGCTTTAACATATATATAATTACCACGGAACAGAAGAAAAGTATCGACACGAATCGCTTAAAACAGTAGATTTGACTAAACAAGCCAAAAGTCGCCCCTCCAAACCACCAAAGTTTTCTCTTCACCGACCAGTTTCTCTTCAAATCTTATGCATACTTCAAATTTTAATTATTATAAATCAAAAACCTTACTTGAGGCTTTTCGTTGGAAGTGCGGAGAGGAAAACGAGAGAAAACACAAGAAGAATCGCCGAATAATGCATTGTGCCCGAGAGAATGAATGAAGAAAACTATTTTGGGAGAGCAATTCATACACAACTTGTAAATGCAAATTTTCCGGACCTCGTCAAAACAGCGCCGTTTGAAAACGTCATTCAAAATAGCGCCGTTTAAAACAGTGCTCATACAAAAAATAGCGTCAAATTGAAAAAGGTTACGATTAGATTTTTCAACCCCAAGGTTTTTGATCCTTTTCATAACAATTTGTAACTTTTGTTATTTTGAAAACATTTTTAAGCACCTTAGCGCGTGTTTTAACAAACCGACGGATTGTTTCATCATCAGAATCATGTTTTATGGCCTATTTTAGTTAAACAATGCGGCAGATTTTGTTTTTCATCTTTTTTTCCTTGTTTTTACTATTCTTGGTACTTAATTTTGGGTTTTTCAGATAAATGAACGTCGCCTAAAGGAATAGAAGGGTCATTGCAAGTGATTCGACGTGGCTAGCGATATATATTTTAGACAAACAATGCAGGGGGTAGGTAATTTCTATTTTTTTTTGCGCAACTCGCCATAACCTTCTTCTAGGTGGACCAATCTTTATGATTTTGATTGCACTTATTGAGATCTATTGGGTTGTCCAGTTATGAATGCGCGTTTTTTACTATTTTGTAAATTTCTCAAGATACCGAAATCAAGAAAAAGATATATATATGAGCATTATTCGAAAGCTGAAGATCTCCTCTACATTTTGATATAAAAGTCTTTGAATTTGTTCAGCTTTTGGGCAAATTGACTGCACAGAAGAGGAGGTGGCCAAAAAAATGGAAGGGTACCTTTGGATCAAGTTTTGGCTCCGCTCAAATTGAGTTAACCGTTTGATGTTTGGCCAATAGATATATCAAAACAACTTTTAAAAAAAATATAACAATTTCAGAGCATCTTTACTTTTCTTTTCTGGGCGGTTATTTTACACCATAAAACTTGAGGAATAGCTAAGCTGGAATGAGCTTTTCGAAAACGACGTCTCCCTTTGTGCAGTCAATTTCCCAAAAAGTTGAGTGAATTCAAAAACTTTTTATATCAAAATGTAGAGGAGATCTTCAGCTTTCGAATGATATATAACACTCATATACATCTGTTCGATATCTTGAGAAATTTACAAAATAGTAAAAACGCGCATTCATAACTGGACAACCCAACACAAAATGAAACCAAAATCATAAAGATCGGTCCACCTAGAAGAAGGTTATGGCCAGTTGCCCAAAAAAAATTTGCGGAAATTAGCCTACCCCCAATGCGGCATAATTTTTTTTTATCGTTTTTTCTTGTTTTTACTGTTCTTGGTATTTAATTGTGTTTTTCAGGTAAAAATTGAAAGAAACACAAGAGGTATTTACTGTTTTGTTTCACTTATTGTTTCTAGTTTGGATTTTTCGATACGTGAGATACACTGTGGCACCAAAAACGATCGAATTGCTGGAGTTCCGACGAAGGAAATTATTAAACGACGTGTCCTCGGAGCTCACCCACATCTATTGCCCCCCGTTGTTTTATTTTTTCAATTCGTTAATTAAATAAACAAGTTTTCATTTACTATTTACCTTATAATGCCCAAGAAACTAAAGCTTTTGTACTTTTCGGTTATATCCCCACAAGGCTCATTGATTAACGAACTTAGCATCAAACTACTATTTGACGTAGTTCAAATATAGGTATCTCTACTGTAAGTTGGTCTAGAAATATTCCTTGGACATTTTAAACCCTTGAACTACGCATAATTATGCTAATTTGACTTGTTTTTATGGTATTTTACGTGTATTTTATTGTACAGTTTGCCTTGGTCTCTAGCGCGCACTTTGGTGTTAATAAAGTTTGGGTTTTTCAACAAGACGGTGCTCCATCTCACAAGGCTGTTGATACACAAGCTTGCATCTCCTACAACTTCCCAGATTGCATCACCGTGGGTACTAGTCAACAACACCCAGGCGAATGGCCATCAAACTCGCCCGATCTCAATCCCTTAGATTACTCAATATGAACGATTCTTGAAAGCAAGGTTTGTGCTAAAGTCCACAAATCAATTGACTCCTTGAAACGAGATTTAATCAAGGCATGGAACGAAATCTATTAAAACCATTGAAAAAGCCATTGATGATTTCCTAAAGCGCTTAAGAAAATGTATTAATGCAAATGGTGGCCATTTTGAACTGTGGACTTATTCGTCCTTAGCTAGAGTAGTCCCAGGCACAGTAAGCATACAGATTTACAAAGAGTACTGTAGGATACTGAAGGCTTATTGTAGCCCGGGTTACTGTACCGATATTGCTCAAAAAGCATTTAGCATTAGCTAAATAAAATCCGAGCTCAATTTCCTCATAATGCCAACAAACCATGTAATAAACTCTTGAAAGTGGCTGAGTGACCGGGGTGAAAGGGGAAGAAGAGGGAGAGGGTCCGCCCCCACCCTACCCCCATCCCGAGAGGCCAGAGAAAATAAAAACTGGGGGAAAAGCATTCTCTTTCTCCTTTCCACCCGATTTCTCCAGTCATGCATTTCACTGTTTCCCCTTTTCTCTTTTCCCTCTTTGCTAGTGTTGGGTGTATTGGGAGCCTGCCATTCGGCTCGATCCCCCTAGGGTCGTTGTGCAAAAAATCTTCAAAGAGATCCTCAACATTTGTCTCTTTTCTTATTTTCTTTTCGTTTCTATCTTCTTTATCTTCATCTTTCTTCATTTTTGACTCTATTTCTTGCTTTTATTCGTTCAATTTTTCGTCTATAACCTATAATCAATGTCTCTAAATCTTTCATCAAGCTGAATCACTAGATATCTCTGTTCTGTGTTCTCGTATCTCTTCTTGATCTTCTTATAGCTGTTTTCTCGTACTTATCCTTTTTGATCTTAAGCTTTTATGTATAACTTTGAGCTAAAGCCTTGAATTTCTATGTACTACTGTTCTATGTACTATGTATGTTCTATGTTCTATGTACTATGTACTACAGGGTTTCTATATTAGATTGACTAAGTCTTTCACCATACTAAGTTCACTAAGTACTAAGTCTTTCATCGAAATTCATTTTCTAATTGAATATGTCTCAAGCAACCAAATAACAAACAGTTTCTAGGGCAATGAGTTGGGGTTGGGATTCGGGTTGGGGTCAATGGGTGGGGCCTCAAAAATGCCTCTGCCAAGTGCCTTTTCTAGGGTTTTCGGCCACGCCGAATCGGTTCGAGAAAGCCGAGAAAACGAAGGTGGAATTAGGTTCGCGTTGGAATTTTCCCATGTAGCTAATTGTAAAATCTGTGATCTCTATGTAAAATCTGTGATCTCTATGCCTCTATACTTTTCTTGTGGCTAAACTTTTATATCAATCTCTTTGTTTAACTTAAATCTAATCCTCTATAAAGCCTAAAGTCTCTAAAAGTTTTTGCGATATCTGGAAACGCTTCTTTCTCACAAATTTTGAGTCTGATTCTGATCTATTTCTCATATCTCAATCTAGACTACGTTTTTCCGTAATCTAAACACTCCATCGTCCTATCAACTCTATCAAGTCCTCCTATCAACTCCATTTTCTTACATTGTATCTATCTTTTTCTATTCCTAGTCGATTTCTTTCGATTCGAGTCGATTTTTCTTAAAAATCGACGCTATCTTTAAATCTTCATGCCAAATCAAAAACCAAATTTAAATCAAAAAGTTAGATCGCCTCTTTTACATTTTCTTTCTTTTCCCTCGTTTCCCTCCTTCTTTTGATCTGTGTTTATCCGTTTGTCAAAAATTTTTTTGCTTACCCCTGCTTTTTCCTCTTTTTTTTTTGCTCTTTTGGGTTGAGTATCGATTGTACACAAAACGAGAAAGCATTTCCCCCTTAATTACTAATTTTCGATTAAAGCCGATTTCTTGAACGATTTTTTAACTTTGCTAACTTCCTGCCAGTATTTTACACGTTGCTTTTTGCTTTTACACAAATGCACACTCTTGGGGGTACAAAAACTGTCGATTAGCAGTCTGATCGATTTCCGTACTTGTACTGACCTCTTCAAGATTCCTCTTGTATTAACTTTGTGCTCACCAGGCTTGTAAGCGAAAAAAAAGCAGAAAATAGAATATCTTTTGTTTTTCAAAGCAAAATCCAACAAATGGGACAGCTACGCAATGCAACGGAAAGCGGAAATGAATATTTTTCGTTTTCAAAGCAAATTCCAGCCGATGGGGCAACTACGCACTGCGAAGGAAAAGCGAAAATTGAATATCTTTTGATTTTCAAAGCAAAACCGAACAAATGGGGCAGCTACGCACTGCGACGGAAAGCGGAAATGAATCTTTTTCGTTTTCAAAGCAAAACTAACAAATGGAGCAGCTACGAACGTTTTCCCGCAATTTTTTTTATTTCGTCCCAGTGCGTAGCTTCTCCATGTGTTGACTTTTTCTTTGAAAATTAAAAGATATTCAATTTTTCGCCTGCAAGCCTGGTGCTCACGCGTAAACGCACAACGCATTTCAAAATTTTTCCACTTTTGTAAAATTTTAACTTTTATTTATTTACTTTTAAACTCTTCCACCTTTATTTATTTACTTTTTAAACTTTTACATTTTATATTTTAGTCAAACAATGCGGGGGGTAGGCTAATTTCCGCAATTTTTTCTGTAGCTATTTTGTGGCTAATTTGTAGAGAAAAGGAACCAAATCTGTAGATTTCCGCAATTTTTTTGCGCAACAGGGTCATTTGCGCCAACAGGGTCATTTGCGCAACAGGGTCATTAGCGCAACAGGGTCATTTGCGCAACTAGAATATGGTTCGGATACGGTTCCAATATGGTTCCAATATGGTTCGGATACGGTTCCAATATTATGGTTCCAATATTGGAACCGTATTGGAACTGTTTCGGAACCATATTGGAACCGTATTCGAACCGTATTGGAACCGTATTCGAACCGTTTTGGAACCGTATTGGATCCAGAAAAGAACCGTATTCAAACCGTATTGGAACCGTATTGGAACCGTATTGGATCCAGAAAAGAGCCGTATTGGAGCCGTATTGGAACCGTATTGGATCCAGAAAAGAACCGTACTGGAACCGTATTGGAACCGTATTGGATCCAGAAAAGAACCATATTGGAACCATATTGGATCCGTATCCGAACCATATTCTAAGTGGACCGATCTTTATGATTTTGGTTGCACTTATTGAGATCTACAAAATGAAACCAAAATCTTAAAGATTGGTCCACTTAGAAGAAAGTTATGGCGAGTTGCGCGAATGACCCTGTTGCGCAAAAAAATTGCCGAAATCTACAGATTTGGTTCCTTTTCTCTACAAATTAGCCTACAAATTATTTATTTCCTTTTAAACTTTTCCACCTTTATTTCTTTACTTTTAAACTCTTCCACCTTTATTTATTTACTTTTTAAACTTTTCCATTTTCATTTATTTACCCAGAGAAACTTTCCAAATCCCAATTCCAGCCTTATATTTCGAAACTTTTCATTTATTTTGTCTTTCAAACTTTCAAAAACCCTTTGATTCACTCCATTTTTTCTTTCTTTTACACGTTTCATACAAATTTTGCACAATCACACATTTGTGATAAGAAGTTAAAGAAAAAGCGAAAAGAACTCGTTTCAGTTTCAATCAAAAAAACATCTAAAAAGTCGAAAATTCGAAATCCGAAAGTTTTTTGATGGGAAATGGTGATGTCGGCGTTGAATCCGGCTGAGGTCCATCTAAAAGTGTATGTCGCATCGATTACATCGAATCCAGAGGTGGGTAATTGCATCTTGATTCGTTGTTAGCGTAAAATCCTTTTCTAGTAGAGATAATGATGGTCCTTTTTCCTTGTGATCCTTTCAAGTGATAGTCTAGTTTTTTTAGGCTAATTTGATCGAATTTCATGTGTGCAATTCAAGGAACTAAATAGGAACTATAAAGGAGCTTTAAAGCCATTGCCAGCAGGGTTTTAAAGGCAATTTTTCCGGGTTTCAAACCCTATAAACCGGTCGTGCACTGGTTTCTTTTGGCTTTAATGCAAGCTTGGTCTATAAAAATCTTAACACTGGCGGATTCTGGCTTCTGATCGATGGGATCTAAGCCCAAAAGGATGCAAGGAGGGATGCAAGCCTAAGGCAAAGCCTAAGTCTAAGCCTAAACCAGGAACTGGCCGAGATCCAGAAAATGGGGGTTCAGCCCAAGCCCAAATAGAATTAGTGCGAGGCGCTAGCCGCTAACCTTCCCACTAAGTCCAAGCCTAAGTCCAAGCCTAAGTCCAAGCCTAATTGCTAAATACCAAAAGTATTTTGCTAAATCTAGCTCTTTTTGCTAAATTTGACAGTTGATTTAACCTAAACCCGAACCCTGGCCTTGTCTGATCTCGCTTTACTGCCTGGATCTGACTTTATTGCTTTGCCTAGATCTACAGCTACAGCTGTAGCTTCTGGTTAAGCTCTGGTTTGGCTTCTGGTCCGGTTCTAGCTCTGGTTTGGCTTCTCCAGCACCAGAGCTTTCATTCCAATGAATTTCATTCATTCATTCATTCATTCAAATTTGTAGTACGCTAATCAATTCACAAATTTCAATACTTCAGTTGTATTCTTTGCAAAATCCTAGAGTCCGTTCGCTTTCTTTCGAAATCGCAAAATAGAGGACTGGATGGAGTTGAATGAATAGCTGAAAAGGGAAAAGAGGAGGGAACACTCTTCTTTTCTTGACAAAATCGCTAAAATGGGCACACAAACGAGCTTTGGCCTCTTTTGGCCAATCCCAATCATTTCGTTTCTTTACGAATCCCCTCAAGACCCCCAATTTATTCACTAGTCCCAAATTTCAAATGCGAAGATTTCAGTGAAGAACTTTAGAGTTCGGTGAAGATCTTGAAAAGTTGAGAAAAAAGTATGTTTGGTGCAATCCTTTTAGGAGCAATCGAAGTGCAATCCTTTTAGCTTCAGTAATATTTAGGGTGCCTGGTTAATATTACAATAATGTTAATCCAATCCTCCTAAACACTATACAAAATCGGTGTGCTAGAGAGTGCACGTTTATTTAGAATGGATTTCCTTTAAACCATTAATCAATAAACAAATCAACACTAATCATGGCTTTATTGGCTTTATTGAATGCCAGAAACTCTACTAGAATTTATTTCAAAACTTGCAATTCAATAAGTTCAGAATGAAAATTTTGCCAAATTTCTTCCCTTATATACTCCCTTCACTTCAAATAGTTTCGTGACCGGGCACGGAATAGAATTTTGTTTCGATCAAACTACATAAAAACATATTTCTATTGTCATGCCCCGTAAGCATCCTCTGGTTGGTCGTGTTCTAGGAATTTATGAACGCTGACGCTTCAAAGCTCATAAAGTTCATTGATAAATAAACTCAGAAACAGTAATTTCGAAAGAAAAAGCCACTCAGAAACAGTAATTTCTGAAATTTTATCAATCTAGTAACACAAAACAAAATAAAACCAAGCTTTTTTCCTTTCTTTCCTTTCCTTTCTTCCCAAACATTCCTCTAAGAATTCAAGTATTGAAAAAGCGTCAAAACCTTGAAAACCACTTTTCATCTCAAAAGAGTTGACTATTTCGTCCCAAAAGAGTTGACTATTTGAGCTTTTCAAAACCTTTCTCTTTTCTGCTTTTTTTGAGTGAAAAGTTCTTTTCAAAACCTCTTCAAACACATAAAAACAAAAACTCCTAAAGCCAATAAAAAGCTTTCTGGGATTATCGAGAAAAGGGAAAAGAGAAAAGTTTTAAGAAAAGGTTTTGAAAGCTTTTGGAAAGCTTTCTCAAGGCAAAATTGATCCCTATTACTTTATCAAAGTTGATACAATAATCCTAGACACTACACCCAAACCAGTGTGGCAAAGGCAGTGATTCTTATGACATTATAACAATTTATAACAATTTATAATAATAATTAGGGGTGGTTAAGTATGTTGGAATGGCCAGTAAGAAAAACTCTATGGAAAATATCGGCAATCTTTTATCTTTTCTACAAAACTTTCATCTCCATCTTCACAGAGTTCATCTCCGCAAGTACACAATGGAGTTGAAGAAATCGTCACGCATATTATCGTATTTCTTCGAATAGAAGACCGGGTAAAGAGTATGATCGCGTACTCCTGCGTAGCAGCCCTTTTTAAAATTTCTTTTCTGCATAAAAGCTTTCAATCAAGTGCTATAGAGCTGGAAAATGGCTCAAAAATCTGTTAGCTCATGTGGTATTTTTGAGCCATTTTCCAGCTCTATAGCACTTGATTGAAAGCTTTTATGCAGAAAAGAAATTTTAAAAAGGGCTGCTACGCAGGAGTACGCGATCATACTCTTTACCCGGTCTTCTATTCGAAGAAATACGGTAAATTTATTCAAAACAATAAAACTTACAATAGAAGAAAGAGCTAGACTAAATAAAAAACGTTTTGAGAAACAAAATGAATAACAACAAAATAATTTAACGACTACACAACGCTCCTTTAGACGTCGCGACAAAAATACAAAAGGGCACGGTTTAGCACGACCAAATAAATCAAAACACGACTAAACAAATCTGTGGGAATGAGCATAGGAAAAATGCCGAGGAATAAAGCAGAGGAATGCCTAGCACTAACAGAAGCCTATGGGAGCGTCGCGTAGTCGAAGTTGCCTCTCAAAGAAAAGCTTAGATCTCGACACCAGTACGTTTGTTTCTACGGACTTAAGTATCAAATTAAAGTAGAGAGAATGGGTAATTTTTTGAGATATAACACAGATTTTTATAATTAACCAGTGCTTAGAAAAAAATGATTGAAAATGGCAAAAAACAGCTGATAAGCCGACAAAAAAGTCGACTTTTTTTTACCATTTTTTAATCATTTTTTTCTAAGCACTGATTTATGCTAAAAATCTGTGTTATATCTCAAAAAAACACCCATTCTCTCTACTTTAATTTGATATTTAAATCCGTAGAAACAAACGTACTCGTGTCGAGATCTAAGCTTTTCTTTGAGAGGCAACTTCGACTACGCGACGCTCCTATAGGCTTCTATTAGAGTTTTTACGGTAGGTGTCTATCTGATCAATTCAATCCGTGGTTTGATCACGAGATTGTCACGATAAAAAATCTAGAACCAGTCCTGTTAAAATGATGTTGTTTTCAGACGCGGAAAAACTGTCAAAAGACGGTGATGCTATTGGAGGGATTGCAAGTGCCATGCGATCTCATTGACATCACAAAACCCGAACATGCGCCATCGAGGTGAAATACTGCAAACTGACTATTTTTACAATAGCTAGCTGACAGTATTCTATAACTATTCTCATAAAGGAGTAACAAAATAGGTAACAAAATAAGGCACTCGTCAGTTGTAGCCCGGATCTTTCTAGTCACAAGAACACGTTTTCACGTTTCACAACACGTTTTAAGTCTCGTGTTATGCGTCTTAAGTCACAAGATGTCTTAAAACTCGTGTTCTACGTGGCACCAAGTCCGTGAAGCAGATCACCAGGAAGCAACTGGGTCGAAAAAAACTCTACAAACAAAGCTTCCACCATAGAAAATGATAAAAGCCACTTCATTTAACAAAGAAAATGATAAAAGCCACTTCATTTAACAAAGAAAATGATAAAAGCCACTTCATTTAACAAAGAAAATGATAAAAACCACTTAACTTAACATTAGTTGGCATCAAGTTCGTGGAGCAGATCGTTGGAAAGCAGTTGGGAAGCAAGTGGGACTAAAAAAACTCTACAAAGAAAGCTTCCACCATAGAAAATGCTATTAAAAACGTAACTTAGCTTTATCCTCTTTGTTTCATGCAAAAACAAACGCGAGCACATCAGAAAAGCGTAAAAAGAATAAAATGAAATGAGCAAAAATGAAAAAATGAAATTTCGCGCTGTCTTTTCTAGGAGGGGTACGGTAGTTTTACCACGCTTTAAAGCGCCAACCCAGGATTTTCTCGGAAAAAGGTCACAAGGTCAATGATAAGCCAGAGCCAAGGTATAGGCATCCATCTCTACAACGCTTTTCTAATGAATTAAACATCAAAAAGACTCCTATATTTACAAATCTAGATATAAAATATATTTAGATATTTGATTAGTAAAAATTTTAGGGTCCTACTGCGCGAGAAGGCACAAAACGAGCGTCAAAAAGCGCCGCTTCCGCCTCAATTCTTCTACGATGACGAGTACTTGGGGGTGATTTTTCAGATCTAGCTCTAGATCTAGCTCTAGATCTAGCTCTAGATCTAGCTCTAGATCTAGCTCTAGATCTAGCTCTAGCTCTAGATCTAGCTCTAGCTCTAGCTCTAGATCTAGCTCTAGCTCTAGATCTAGCTCTAGCTCTAGCTCTAGATCTAGCTCTAGCTCTAGCTCTAGATCTAGCTCTAGATCTAGCTCTAGATCTAGCTCTAGCTCTAGATCTAGCTCTAGCTCTAGCTCTAGATCTAGCTCTAGATCTAGCTCTAGATCTAGCTCTAGCTCTAGATCTAGCTCTAGCTCTAGATCTAGCTCTAGCTCTAGCTCTAGATCTAGCTCTAGCTCTAGATCTAGCTCTAGCTCTAGCTCTAGATCTAGCTCTAGATCTAGCTCTAGCTCTAGATCTAGCTCTAGCTCTAGCTCTAGATCTAGCTCTAGCTCTAGATCTAGCTCTAGCTCTAAATCTAAATCTAGATATCATATAATGTATCTAGAAATTCATTTCAGAACTTTATTGATTTCGAGGAAGCCGTCGAGTTGGACAAAATCGCCGAGTTTTTACGTCTAATCCCCGACGAGGTTTGCCTAAACAGCTAAATTTATAAAAAATTTTCATTTTTAAGAATTTACTTATGTTTTATTAGCTATATATCTATCTTTTTCATCTCTAGAAATGGACGAAGAGCTTCAAAGGCTCTTCTGAGCAAGAAAACACGTCCGATAACGGTGAAAACCCAAGAAAATGCACTGTTTTTCAAAATTAAAAAAACAAATTCTATGGTATTCTATGGTATTCTATAGTACTGTCTTTTTAAATAGATCATTATTTTAAAAGATTGGCCATAGAATCCCCAGCACAAAGCTTTATTGTTGTTAGTTTTGTTGGCTTAATGTTGTCTTTCGTGGTTGGTAGCGCTCTCTTCAATCCGGTTTTCTAAAACGCCAACTTTCTAACGCCAACTTTCTCTTTCTACCGTGATCTTGCCTCTATTTTTATCTAATCTATCCACTTTTGTCTGTTTTTGCGACGAAAGATACAAAAAGTAGATATATTGGCTAAAAATAGAGAAAACATTGTGGTAGAGAGAGAAAGTTGGACGCGTTTTAGAAAACGGAACTCTAGGAGACTCTAGGAGAGGTGGTTTTATACTTTTTAGGTCAAGAATTGATCTAGCTTTTGTTTCATAGGTCTAGATTTTATTCCATCGCTTTTGTTTAGCAACTTTACCCTCAGTCAGGGATGTTGCAACCTTTTTTCCGAGATCAAGTCTAGCTTCTGGCTCAAGTCTAGCTTCTGGCTCAAGTCTAGCTTCTGGCTCAAGTCTAGCTTCTGGCTCAAGTCTGGCTTCTGGCTCAGGTCTAGCTTCTGGCTCAAGTCTAGCTTCTGGCTCAAGTCTAGCTTCTGGCTCAAGTCTGGCTTCTGGCTCAGGTCTAGCTTCTGGCTCAAGTCTAGCTTCTGGCTCAAGTCTAGCTTCTGGCTCAAGTCTGGCTTCTGGCTCAGGTCTAGCTTCTGGCTCAAGTCTAGCTTCTGGCTCAAGTCTAGCTTCTGGCTCAAGCCTGGCTTCTGGCTCAGGTCTAGCTTCTGGCTCAAGTCTAGCTTCTGGTTCAAGCCTGGCTTCTGGCTTAAGTCTGGCTCAAGTATCCAGTCAGGTCTAGGTCTAGCTTTTTCCTTGACTCTGGCTTGGTTTCGCTTAAAAATCCAATCCGGTTGGAGCATCCCTGTCCTCCACCCAGTGCCTAGCTTACACCGTTTTTTTGTTGAAAATCTTTTCCACAACCTTGTCACATTACTCAAATTTAGGCCTGGCAGAGCAGTGCGTCGACATCGGAAGTAAGTGAAAAAGGGAGAAAAACGTTCTTTATACGATACTCTAACTTAACGCCAAGTTAGCCAAGCTCAAACCTGGCTTAAACCTGGCTCAAACCTTGAGCTTGACTACTCTGGCATTAAAGTCAAGCTTATGACGTCCCTGTCCTCCACCCAGTGATGGATTGTGAGAATTGTTCAAGCTTATGACATAGATTGAAGAATCAGAGCAGTATTATTGCTCAGTAATTAGTAATCAGTTTAAAATTCAAGCTTCTAAGATGAAAATTGTTAAAATTAGGATTTAAACAATGATAACTATATGAAATTAACTATATAAACTATATAAACTATATAAACTATAACTATATGAACTATATAAACTATATGAAATTCTAAATTACAGGCGGATGAGGAGAGCATAGCCGAGGAGGATGAAGAGGAAGATGAAGAGGATGAAGAGGATGAAGAAGAAGGAGAAGATGAAGAAGAAAATGAAATTGATGGGGAAGATGAGGAAGAAACAGGAGGAGAAGGAGTGGATGAGGAAGAGGTTTGGCTTCAATCAGTATAACAATCTTTATCTTGAACATCTTTCTGAAGTCTGACTTCTGACTTCGACTTGTTTCTTGAGGCGACGTTTGTGCTCAGCTCTGTAGCTCTGTAGCAGCTCTGTAGCGCCGCATAGCTCCTGATGCGCTTGTTTCTTTACACTTCTTGTGACAGCAAACAGTGTTCCTTTTAAATTCTAGAAACTGGCAAAGTTTTAGTTACAGTTTTAGCTAAAACTTACAGTTTTAGCACAAGGTACACCTCAAGAAAGAAGCCACTCTTTTCTCTTTCTTATAGCAATCACTCTTTCTCATAGCAATCACTCTTATCTCTCTCTCCCCAAACACTGGCACTCCTTTTCTAATCTTAGATTTTTCTATTTTAGCTTGATGAAGAAGTTGATGAAGATGAAGAAGAATGGGAAGAAGAAGATGAAGAGGAACCGGTTAAGCCACCAGCTAAGGCTGGAGCTGCCAAACCGGCAGCCACTGCGGCTAAACCTGCTGCAAAGCCAGCTACTGCAGCCACTGCGGCTAAACCTGCAGCCAAGCCAGCTACTGCAGCCAAGCCAGCTACTGCAGCCAAGGCAGCCACTGCAGCCAAGCCAGCTACTGCAGCCAAGGCAGCCACTGCAGCCAAGCCAGCTACTGCAGCCAAGGCAGCCACTGCAGCCAAGGCAGCCACTGCAGCCAAGCCAGCTACTGCAGCCAAGCCAACTACTGCAGCCAAGCCTGCTGCAAAGCCAGCTACTGCAGCCACTGCAGCCAAGCCAGCGGCCAAGCCAGCTACTGCAGCTAAACCGGTTGACGGAGCTACGGCTGCTAAACCAGCCGCCAAACCAGCCACAACTACAGCTGGAGCCAAACCCGCTGCAAAAACCGCCAAGCCAGCTACTGCTAAAGATGGAGAAACTAAGCCAGCTGCTACAACTGCCAAGCCTGTAGCTAAAGATGGAGACGCGAAACCGGCTACAACTGCCAAAACACCGGCAAAACCTGCTGCTGGAGCTACGACAGCTAAACCTGCAGCTAAACCTGCAGATAAGCCAGCTGCTGGAGCTGCTAAGGATGGAGAAGCAAAACCAGCAACTGCTAAACCCGCTGCTAAACCAGCTGCAAAACCAGCTACAACCGCAACCAAAGCTGCAGCTAAACCCACAGCAACCACTGCAGCCAAGCCAGCTGCCAAACCAGCTGCCAAGGATGAAGCGAAACCAGCTACAACCGCAGCCAAAGCAGCTGCTAAACCTGCTGCTAAGGATGGAGAAACAAAACCAGCAGCTACTAAACCTGCTGCTAAACCAGCTGCAAAACCAACCACAGCTGCAGCTAAACCGGCTGCTAAGGCTCAGGAACCAGCAAAGCCAGCTGCCAAGAAAGTTGAAGAAAAGAAAGACGAAGAAGTCGAGGATGAATCGGAATGGGAATATGAGGATGAGTCAGAATGGGAAGATGAAGAAGAACCGACTGGAAAAATGACATTGGCACAAGTGATCGCACAAGCGAAGAAAGAAGAAGAGAAAAAGAAGGGAGCTGCGTCGACGAGTGCTGCGAAACCGACAGCTAAACCAGCTGAAAAAGAAAAGCCTGTCGCAAAACCGAATGATGCAATAAAGAAAGCTGAAGAAGCTAAGAAAGCTGAAGAAGCTAAAGCTGAAAAAGCTAAAGCTGAAAAAGCTAAAGCTGAAGAAGTAGAAGATGAGTCAGAATGGGAATATGAGGATGAATCGGAATGGGAAGATGAAGAAGAAGCAGAACCAACTGGGAAAATGTCATTAGCACAAGTGATTGCACAAGCGAAAAAGGAAGAAGAAGAGAAAAAGAGGAAAGAAGATGAAAAGAAAGGAATCAAACCATCGACAAGTGTTGCGAAGACAGCGGCTGAGAAGAAGGCTGAAGCGGTTAAGCCTGCTGCTGCTAAAGCTGATGCTAAACCAGCTGCCACAGCTGCAAAACCAGCCGCTAAGCCTGGCACAGAAGCTAAGCCAGCTGCTAAAGCTGAAGCTAAACCAGCTACCACAGCTGGAAAGCCAGCCGCTAAGCCTGCTACAGAAGCCAAGCCAGCTGCCACAGCTGTTAAAGCTGAAGCTAAACCAGCTACCACAGCTGCAGCTGCTAAACCGACTCCCAAACCAGCTGCTAAACCAACAACAACAGCAGCTAAGCCTGCCACAACAGCTGCTGCCAAAGCTGAGACTAAGCCTGCTGCTATCCCTGCTAAAGCTGATACAGCAAAGCCTGCTTCTAAACCAACAGCAACAGCTAAGCCTGCTACAACACCTGCCACTGAAACAAAACCAGCTGCCAAGACAGCCACGGTATCTAAAACGGATGCAGCTAAGTCAGCTGCTAAAGCTGACATTGAAACAAAACCGGCTACAGCAGCTAAAACCGATGCAACTAAGCCGGCTGCTAAAACTGGTACAACAGCTAAAACCGATGCTAAACCAGCGGCAAAACCGACCGCAGCCACAACAGCAAAACCAGCAGCTAAACCTGAAGCAGAAACAAAACCCCCAGCTAAACCAGTTGCAAAAACGGCAGCAGTTAAAAAGGAAGATGAAAAACTAGCTGCAGCTAAGCCAGCTGCAGCTAAGCCAGCTGCAGCTAAGCCAGCTGCAGCTAAACCAGCTGCTAAAACAGCGGCTAAACCTGGAGAAGAGAAAACCCAAGATAAACCAGCTGCAAAATCAGCTGAACCAGCAAAACCAGCAAAACCAGCTGCTAAAGCTGAACCTGAGAAGAAACCGGCTACTAAAACTGCTGATAAAACAAAAGAAGAAGAGAAGAAAAAAGCTGAAGAAGCTAAGAAAGCTGAAGAAGCTAAGAAAGCTGAAGAAGTGGAAGACGAATCAGAATGGGAATATGAGGATGAATCGGAATGGGTGAGTGAATGATTGTGACTGAGACTTGGTTGATGATCGAGTGATGAACTCGAGTGATAACGGAAACTTTTAAGATCCGGTGCACTGAATTCTTTATTTTCTTTCTTTTATGTACCCTGGGTTCCGATATACGATACGATTTTTAGCGATAAAATGATTATTCTTGGCTTACATTAGCTGTAACGGGTTTAGGATTACAGATTACCGGAATCTAAGCTACGTGAAAGGTATTCATTCCTTAAATTATCTTTGCTGTAATGTTTAGATAATCTTAAATAAATTCAAAGACAGAATTCTGTGCACCGGATTGCGAACGATGAAAGTTGTTCTTATCGTTGACCGTTGAATCGTTAGCCAAGTCGAACACTGACCCCTCTCGTTTTCTTCTAATCATCTTTTTCTTTAACCTATTCTTCTCTAAAAGTTTTATTTTGCATGAATAACAATTATATGTTTTTTTTTGATTTGATAATATATTAATTTGATAATATATTAATTTGATAATAGATTAATTGGTAATTGAATAAGTGTTTTAGGAGGATGAGGAAGAACCACCAAAAATGTCCCTTGCACAAGCGATTGCACAAACGAAAAAAGACGAGGAAAAGAAGTTGGAGTTGAAGAAAAAGGAAGAGGAAGAGAAGAAAAAGAAAGAAGTTGAAGAAAAGAAGAAAAAAGAAGAAATGGAAAAGAAAAAGAAAGAAGAAGAGGAAAAGAAAAAGAAAGAAGTGGAGAAAAAGAAGAAAGATGAGGAGGAGAAGAAAAAGAAAGAAGAAGAGGAGAAAAAGAAGAAAGAAGAAGAGAAGAAAAAGGAGGAAGAAGCTAAGAAGAAAGAGGAAGAAGTGGAAGATGAATCCGAATGGGAATATGAGGATGAATCGGAATGGGTGAGTCTGCTGATCAACTAGGTATAGGTAAAGGTGAGACAGCTATTCTAAAAGCGTGTCTTTGTCTTTGATTGTCATTCTAACGGTTGCTACTGTAGATAGTCTTTTTGACTCCTTGTACAGAGTCTTTTTGACTATCTACAGTAGCAAAGCAGATGTCTGTAGATAGTCAAAAAGACTATCTACAGACAAGAACTCTGTACAAGGACAAGGACAGCAAGTCTATTACAAATATTATCTACAGTACGGACAAGAACTCTGTACAAGGACAAGGACAGCAAGTCTATTACAAATACTATCTAGAGTAGTCAAAAATCTTACGAACAAGTTGAAAGTTGAATTAACTTTCAGGAAGATGAGGAGGAAGAGGAGGGAGCTGGTGGAAAGCTGACTCTAGCACAAGCAATCGCTTTAGCGCAAAAAGAAGAAGAGGAACGATTGAAGAAAACGGGGAAACGGTGAAAGAAATGATGAAAAGAAAAGAATATCCAGTTAATTGAATGATTTTTCTTCATTATCTGTTAGGGTCTTCTTATAATTTGGATTGTCTTCTTCTGATATCAAAAAGCAAATGAAAGGATTACTGTAGTGTAGAAATTGAAGCCTGAAAATGAAACTGAGCCTGAAATGAACTTAATGCGCCAGAGCCATGCGCATGCGCCAAAGCATGCGTTTACGTGAAAGCAAAAAACACCGGTCAAGTTTTGTAGCGGTCCAGAAGATGAGTCTTGCTTTCGTTGTTTCCATTCAAACCATCTTACAGTTAGTTTTGGAGCGGAATGCGCAAGTTAGCTAGGATTTAAATTATGAATTGAAATCAAAATTATACTTGCTAACTCGTAAAAACCATAGATCATTACAAAAAAAAAAACAAAAAGCGTCAAAGTGTAGGTTGGACGATTCAAAAATTCATGAAAAATTCAATAACGGCCGTAAAATATATAGTGGAACACAAAATTTATCGCGTAAAACAATCCTTTCAATTCATCTGACCAAAACAAATGATTTGAAAACAAAAAAGAAACGACGACGCGGCGCTCCCATTGACGACCTCCAAATGGCGGCGACGTCAATTGGAATGCGACGTTGCGCGAAAATTGGGGGTGGGACAAATGCTACCTTTTTTTTGCACACCCGGCCAAAAGCCTACCTTTTTTTCGCTGGAAAAGGCCTTAGGAAAAGCCTTAGAGCTTCAAAAATGTTTTCATGTAAGGGAATCGTATGAGTAGATTCCGAATTTCGACAAATCAGACCTCGCTGACACGTTAAATTTGAGCTAAAGGCAAAAACTGTGGAAAAGCGTCAAGTTGGGCAATTAGTAAAAGTCGGATAGTCGGACAATTCAGCCGCTTCAACCTTTATCGTAAAATGCTATTTGTAAAAACTTATTCGTTAAAAGTTCTTTTTACAGAAAACATGATTAGTATTCGTTGATTTTTACCGAACTGCTCGAACTGTCCGACTTTTACTAATTGCCGTTAAGTTGCGTAGTTTTTGCCTTTTAGCTCGAATTTGACGTGTCAGCGAGGTCTGATTTGTCGAAATTCGGAATCTAGGCATACGATTGCCTTATATAGAAACATTTTTGAAGCACTACGGCCTTTTTCAACAAAAAAAGGGGCACGTTTGGCCGGGCTCGCCAAAAAAAGGTAGCATTTGTCTCGCCCCCAAAGAAACGACGACGCGGTGCTCCCATTGACGACGGCCAAATGGCGGCGACGTTGCGCGAAAATTAACATTTAACAATAGGATAAAATTCACACTTAAAATTTGGGACCGAAATTCAAATTTAACACGAGAACGTCTCGAAAAGCACATTTTTACTTCTGAGGCTCATTCTCTATTGTCAAATACAGTAATCCTAAAGCTAAATCGGTATGCCAGAAAGCACAAAGCGCAATGCACAAAGTAGGCAGCAGCTAGAACTGGATACAGTAATCCCTGAGTAGGGTAATCTTTGTCTACAATAAACCACAGTACAGTAAGCCACAGTACAGTTTTCTTACTGCAGTAATCCCTGGATAACTATTGAGTCCGGTAACCCTTACAACTAGATTTACACTAATCCTTACAGAAATTCTTTCTCTCATCTTCTTTTCATCTATTTTCGTCTCTTTTCGTCTCTCCTTGGCTATGACTTAAAAAAAATCTTTTCTAATCATTAAAAATCCAAATTTTCTAATCTAAACAATACTTTAAATACTTTATTATTTGAATACTTTAATATATTTTTTAAAATATTTATTATCGATTCTAAATCAGTTTGAAATCTTTTTTTGTTTGTTTTTATGCTTTATTTTCTTTTATTTTATGCAAATTTTCTGTGGCTCTCCGTTCATCTCGTCAAAATACGGTGCAATTTTTGTGTTTTTTTGGGGGTGGGACAAATGCGACCTTTTTTTGCGCACCAGGACATTTGCGCACCTTTTTTTCCGCACCTTGTCCATTAGCGGACCTTTTTTCGCGTTTTAAAAGAGCTCTAAAAAGCTAATAGTAACCAATTTCGATTCAAAAAGTTGTTTTTCTAGGTAATTTTAGGGCGTAGAATCGAAATTTTGACATATCAGAGCTTGTGGAAACAAACGGACGGAGTTATACAAAGAGAAAAATCGACAATTTTCTGTAATTTGATTTGTTTTGTCTTTTGATCTAGCCGTTTTGTCTTTCAAATTGGTTCCAAACGCTCTGTTATGTCAAAATTTGAATTCGACACCCTAAAATTACCTAGAAAAATAGAAAAATAGAAAAACAACATTTCGAATCGAAATTGGTTACTATTAGCTTTTTAGAGCTCTTTTAAAACGCGAAAAAAGGTGCGCTAATGGGCAAGGTGCGGAAAAAAAGGTGCGCAAATGTCCGGGTGCGCAAAAAAAAGGTCGCATTTGTCCCACTCCCCTTTTTCTTTTTCTTTTTTTTTTTTTCTTTTGTAAATTTTTAGCCTGTACATATAAAAAGATTTATTTTCACAAAAAAATCAAATACTTTTTTTACCCTTTTTTATGTTAAATTTTTGAAATCTCAATTACCCAATTGTGAATATGGCGGAAAAATGAACTGGAAAAATGGAAAAATGGAAAAATGGAAAAATGGACACAACTTTGACTGAGAATAACTTTTCGTAGATGAGATTTTTTGAAAATCTGATTTTAAATTTGAAAAGCTCAGAGATTTTTGCGTTGAATGAGCAAAAAAAAAGCAAAAAGTTTCAAAAGAAATCAAAGAATTCAAAAGAAATTTTAAAATTTAAGCATTTTTGAAATTTTCTGATCAATTTTTGATCAATTTTTGATCAATTTTTGATTAGCTTTTTCTTTTTTCAAAAGCTTTTTCAACTTTTTCAAAAGCTAACTTTAAATCAAAGATTTAGAAGCATTTACTAAGCAAAATTTGTATTTAATGAGCGTCATTAGACGCAGAAATTGCTTAGCTTTCCGATTTGAAATTGGATTTGAAAAAAATGTTGCACCAGTGAGAAGCTATTCGGAAACAAAGGCGGAGTCATGAAATCGAGAAAATGCTAGCTAACAAGACTTACAAGACAACACAACCGACAAGAAAATTTGAAATTTGGAACGAAAAAAGAGAAAAGCTTTGAATAGAAAGCGAATCACAATGCTGAAATATCGAAAAACCGAAATTTAATCAGTGCCAAAATATTTGGTCGCAAAATTGTGGATGATTTCGTTTGTGATCTCCGAGGTGATGATGCACATATCGGGGTAACGATCACGCAGAGTGCGAATGCCTGAAAGGGTACAGCAATTGTAAATGAATAGAATGAGTGCAAAAAAAACCAGTTTAACATTTTTAACATTATAAATGCACATTTTTGTCAGATTTTGTCTGATTTTGTCAATTTTTGTCAGTTTTTGTCAGTTTTTCTCAAAAATTTCTACCACGGCATTGAAATTGAGGACTCTGAGCAGTTGAATCTAATAAAATAAACCCCGGCAATAGATTCTACGACCTTAAAAACCCTAAGGCACAAAATTTTAACATTAAATCTCATTTGCGAATCATTTACAGAAAAAAAGAAATTCCTTTGTAAAGAGAGGGCGCGGTGTTCTTTATGCGGCCGCGTAATCGCTCTTCATCTGGCAAACCCCCTCAGCATAAGGGGCTTCTCTTTTCGCTTTCGTAAGTCATTCGTAGAGGGTTTAGGTGATCCGTGAGGCCTGGTCAGAATTCCTGAAGAGTTTCCGTCGTGTTAAAATGTTATCAGGGTTGTCAAGGCCATCGTAATCCTTGAAAAAGGGGAAGAATCAGCAGATTTCATCTACTTGCGCGTCACGTTCTTACCGGTTCTTACCGGTTCTTACCCGTTCTTACCGGTTCTTACCCGTTCTTACCGGTTCTTACCCGTTCTTACCGGTTCTTACCCGTTCTTACCGGTTCTTACCCGTTCTTACCGGTTCTTACCCGTTCTTACCGGTTCTTACCCGTTCTTACCGGTTCTTACCCGTTCTTACCGGTTCTTACCCGTTCTTACCGGTTCTTACCCGTTCTTACCGGTTCTTACCCGTTCTTACCGGTTCTTACCCGTTCTTACCGGTTCTTACCGGTTCTTACCGGTTCTTACCGGTTCTTACCGGTTCTTACCGGTTCTTACCCGTTCTTACCCGTTCTTACCCGTTCTTACCCGTTCTTACCCGTTCTTACCCGTTCTTACCCGTTCTTACCCGTTCTTACCCGTTCTTACCCGTTCTTACCCGTTCTTACCCGTTCTTACCCGTTCTTACTCGTTCTTACTCGTTCTTACCCGTTCTTACCCGTTCTTACCCGTTCTTACCAAATTTTTGGGATAGAAAATGTTAAAAACTGTTAAAAACCATCATGAGTTTTTAAGCTATTTTTTAAGCAATCATTTCCAAGCCAATACGCTCATCAAAAAGCTCTTTGAAACCTGGATAATTAAACGAAAATGGAGAAAAAAAGAGGGAAATCGAGTTTCGGCTCTGCTCTATATGCTTAGAAGTCGTGTGTTAGGCGGTTACAAAAACGCGCGCGCGATTACAAAAACTGCGCTAAGTGTTGCGCTGTTTATCTGATGATCTTGCTTATCAAGCGTATCAGCGTAAATCTGTGTATCAAGTGATCTTGCGTCCCGACACGACATGTCGTCGTTGCCGAGTGCGCTAGGCGCGAGTGTTTAGTGCTCTAGGCTCTCAACTCGGGACAATCTCGTTCGAGCCCGGACTTGTGTAAAGCTTTTGCAAGGACGATTTGCTAACCTTTTATTATTGTTTTAACTTTGTTTACGTTCTCTGTTTGTTGTTTTATGGTGTAGCGGATAGTGTTCACCCGCGTTCGGCGCGTTCTGATCCTGGTTCGAGTACGCGTGCCGCCGAAATGTTTTGCTTTTTTTGCAATTGACAACTTAAGTGTTTAGCAACATTCATTTAATGTATAGGACTTTAAAAATCATTAAAAAAATTTGTTTTTCAGAGTCCCTCGGGTTATTCTTGCGCTTAAGTATCAAATGAAAGCTGAAATTCAGGGCTATTTTTTTGATACCAAAAATGTATTTTTAAAAATTACGAAAGAAAAAAATGATTTAGGAAACATTTTTTTGCGACTACGCGACTGTACGGGGGGCGTGGCGGGTTCCTTATCTCTCTAAATTTGGTTCCTTATCTCTCTAAATACGGGGGGCTACTATTAGAGGTATTACGGTAGCGTTTGTTGAGCCCATTGGCACAAATGTGTTAAAGAGAATGATTTCCTCACTTCTAATCAGCTTCCTAAACCGTTTCCCATTTCTCGACTACTGTAATCTTTCCATCGTTTTGTGTGAAAGCCCAAACTCCAAACCAAATACAGTAATCCTTGAATAATCTTTTGCATCCTATCTTCGCTTTTTTAACAGTACTCCAAGTACTTTAACAGTACTTTTTAACAGTACTTAACAGTACACGACTCTTTGAAGACGTAAAGTCATCCCTTTTAGCAGCAGCAGCAGCAGAAGCAGCAACTTTTAGACTCGATTTACAGTAGTTCTTTGTACAGTAGTTACAGTAGTTCTACAAATCTTTGAATCCATTTCAGACAACGGATACAGTAATCCATTATCCATCGAATCTTTTCAAAACTCACTTTTCGGTGAGGCAAAGAGACTGATGAGATAAATATTCTCCTCAAGCACATCACTATCGGCAATCAATGTGGCCACCGCTTTCAAGGCTGTCAATCCAGTTCTGGAAAGAGGATTGTTTAAAATAGAGCCAAAACGCATTGTTACCCATTCTTTGAAAGTTCTTTGTACTTACGTGAGAATTGGATAAAGCAGAAGACATCTCCTTGTCGCGATGTCACTCGTGAGACGGGCGTACAAAACGCGTTGCTCATCGCCAAGTAGCATTTTGCAGATGCGAATCGATCTGGGAATTCATTTTAAAGCATTAGATTACGGATTACGGCTTACGGTAGCTTGAGACTCACCGTAACACTAACAGCTGACACTACCGTAACACTTTCGTACGTTACCGCAATCCGATTGTAAGTAACGATCGGATTTGTGACCGGATTAGTGCGCACTACTATTAGGGAAAATACGTTATTAGATTAACTAAAATAACCCATAGTTTTGATTTCTCTTATGCGAAGATTTTGTAGAAAGATTATGGTTACTTTCGAGACACCGTAATAATAACAATCAGAGAGTATTCCGTAGAGATTCCGTAGAGTAAAGAGATTTTAAAAAAGGACAGAACTTTCGCTGCACCCTGTAGAAGTTACCGAAATCCTATCCTATCGTAAATTCTTTAGACTTATTGCCTCACCTGCAACATTGTCTCAACGCGATCTCCATCGCTTCACCACTTCGACACAAAGCGACACCGCAATTGCCGCGAGCGAATTGAATGCCTAAAGTGCGTGAGGATTTGGAGATATTTTGAATTTTTAGATATTTTGAATTTTTAGATATTTAGATATTTTTAGATGACACCTATATTTTTTACCAACCATGATACGGACAATGCTTTGGTGTCATCACTGTTTTCTCTGTGTACGGCAAAAGATTCAATCCTTCTTCAATGACAAGTCGCATCAAACGGTCCGCGCAAAAGACGAAATGCGAGTGATCAGTGCTTCTAAAGGGATTTCTTTTATCGCTTTGTTTTCCGAACAAACCGATCCTTGAGAATCGTCTGCAGTTCGATCAGTTGATCGCTTTTTTCGAGAACGACAAGACGCTCCGATGAGGCGATGTCCTATACATTTTTATGGGTTCTGGTTTAAAAAGTTCTGGTTTTAAGCGTTCATCAAACGTTCATCAAACTACAATTTCATCCTACGATTAGAAATTGAATGTGTATTCAAAAATAAATCATGTCTTATTGGATCGCTCACTCTACCTGAATCGAAAGACTGTCCACCTCGGCATTCTCGTCATCGCTCGGGACACGAGATCCGGCCAGATCGGAGCCTAAACTTATAATTAGATATCGAACTTTTCGCATTTGATCTCTTTTGATACCCTAAAGATCTTGTAAATCCAAATCTATATAAATCCAAATCTATATGTCGTAGCCGATTATGAATGAAATTTTTTGGTAAATCTTTCTAGTAGAGCAACCCTTTAATATATGAGGACAATATTATATCATCCTGTAGCGAATTAAATTCTGCGTCGATTGGTACCAAATTTGTGAGTTTAGGTTAAAAATTACCGGCGCTACAACGTTTCACTCAAAATCGGCGGCACCCCCGTAGCCGATTATGAATGAGTGGGTCTAGGAGCGTCCAACCATCAAGTATTTGGTATCATTCAACACAGAATCATTAATAATTATGTTAAATTTTTAAAATTAGAAAGATTTGATAAAAAGAAAAAAAATTATAGCAAAAAACCGTTTGTTCAAGAGGAAACTTTGAGGCCCCATAATTTTTTTCTTTTTATCAAATCTTTCTAATTTTAAAAATTTAACATAATTATTAATGATTCTGCGTTGAATGATACCAAATACTTGATGGTTGGACGCTCCTAGACCCACTCATTCATAATCGGCTACGACATATATAAATCCAAATCTATATAAATCTAAAGATTCAAAGTGTTTTCGACCCACCGTTCATCTCGGAGCTTTGTAATGAGATTTATCCAGCAGTAAATTGCGCAGTAATCTAAATTTGAGCAGTAATCTAAATCCAGCAGTAATCTAAATTTTAAAAACTGAGCAAATCAATGGCAAAAACCAAAGCTATAGGAAAAGATTTGATCTTTTGAATGGTTTATTTTCGAAAAAATTTCGAGAGAAACAACGATTTCAAAAACATTCAAACGAGGAAAAGAAAAAACGGGCGCGTTGTAAAATTGAAAAAAAATGTGAGATTTTGAGTCTTAAACTTATGGGAAAATTTAAATGGGACAAAAATTTGCAAATTTAGAAAATGCAATGCAAAAATTCTAAAATGCAACATTTCAATAAGCGCTTTGACTTCAATACGGTGAAGAAATTTTATCATTCTTTTGTTTTTTTGAGGGTGGGACAAATGCGACCTTTTTTTTGCGCACCTGGACATTTGCGCACCTTTTTTTTGCTGGAAAAGGCCTTAGGCAAGGCCGTAGAGCTTCGAAAATATTTCCATATAAGGGAATCGTATGCGTAGATTCCGAATTTCGACAAATCAGACCTCGCTGACACGTTTGGGCTAAAAGGCAAAAACTGCGGAAAAGCGTTAAGTTGCGTAGTTTTTGCCTTTTAGCCCAAATTTAACGTGTCAGCGAGGTCTGATTTGTCGAAATTCGGAATCTACGCATACGATTCCCTTCTATGAAAACATTTTTGAAGCTCGCGCAAAAAAAGGTCGCATTTGTCCCACCCCCGTTTTTTTTCAAACAACGATCAAGTTCTTGAAAAAGTTTTGGCCTTAACCACGTAAATCGTAAACCTATAAGTCTATACTAGCTCTTTTGCCAAAAATAATCACTTAGAACTTTAAAAAAGCTGCGAATTCGGCAGTGAAAGAAATGAAAAAAGAAAAGAACCTTTTTTTACACGCTCGGTCCATTTAGGCACCATTTTTCGCGTTTTAAAAAGCTCTAAAGAGCTAATATTAACCAACTTCTATTCCAAAAGTTGTTTTTCAATTTTAGGGTGTAGAATCCAAATTTGGTACTAAGGCAGTTGGGAGTACCTAAAATTCTCCCAAATGTAGTTTTTTTAGGGTAATTGATTGCGTTGATCACGAAAAAAACATTTTTAAGTTATGTTTTCAATTAAAAAAAACTTATGTATTGGAGTAACTTTTGTTTTGAAAAAACTGCATGTACCTTTAACTTTGTTTTTTTACATGTTAAGAGTGGTTTAATAAGCTTAAGGTCAAGGTCTTTATAAGAAGCTAGAAGCTAAGTTGGCCATCTTGTTTCCAACATAATATAAGCGCTTAAAGTTTCCTAGGCTTTGGCTCAGAATCACGTGGCTCCCAGGCGAGCCTGATACTCCCCGGGCGAGGTGAGTTTCGTACCAGAGAGGCTTTGATCCTAAGATACTTCAGTACATTTATGGGAGCCATGTGCTTCTGGTACAAAACTCACCTCAGCCGTAGGAGAATCAGGCTAGCCTGGGTACCACGTGGTTCCAAGCAGAGGTGGCGAAAGGGTCGCCCCCTGTCTCTCATCCGTCCCGTCTAAAAATTTTCCGCCCCTTATAAGGGCAGAAATAAGACTCAATCAATCACCATCCGCCCCTTTATAGTTATAATTTTTCATTTTTTCAAGCTCGCCCCACTCCTTAGTGTAAATTTGAACCAATTCACTGCTCCGCTCCTTGCAAAAATTTACAAAATCTCGCCCCCGCCCCTTATGCCACCTTTGGTTCCAAGATGCAGAGACAAAGCCTAGAAAAATGTAGACACCTGACTCATGCCCAACCCAACGGCCCTCTTAAAGGCCACAAACTACCCAATATAACGACAATGCATAAGTTTTTTTAATTGAAAACATTGGTAAAGTTGGATGGAACAATAAAAATGTTATTTTCGTGATCAGCGCTATCAATTACCTTAAAAAACTAAATTTGAGAAAATTTTAAGTGCCCCCCCCCCCCCGCAACTGCCTTAGTAACCCAAATTTTGACATAGAATTCATGGAATCAGAGCCTGTGGAATTAATTTGAAAGAAGGTAGGTCAAATTACGGAAAATTGTCGATTTTTCCCTAGGTATGTCCATTTGCTTTCACAAGCTCTAATATGCCAAAATTTGGATTCTACACCCTAAAATTACCCAGAAAAACAACTTTTGGAATAGAAATTGGTTAATATTAGCTCTTTAGAGCTTTTTTAAAATGCGAAAAATAGTGCGCTAATGGGCCGGGTGCGCAAAAAAAAGGTCACATTTGTCTCACTCCCGCGAATTCCCTTGTCCTAATCTCTTTCCATATTTTCACCTCAAAGCAACGCTTTTTCCCATGAACGCGTCAAATTTCCGCCAAGTCAAACATTTTACGCGCGGTAGTTAATCCCCAATCGCCTATTGCGCTTTTAAATCACTTTAGTTGAGTACGTTAACTTTTTTTGTTTTTATCAATCGCTTTCTTTACTTTACTTCAATTTTCTTACTTTAGAAGCGACGATTTAGCAGGAGAAATGGGCGAAAATGTGAAAGACCCGATGGCAGTTCAGGTAAAATTTTGACTCAAACTAACTATCTATTCGGCTGAAGTGAAAAAGTGTTCTTGTTTGGTCGTAAAGTTGAGTTGCAAGAGCCAACTTTAAACTCTCGTTAATTTGTATTAAATCTGTTCAAATTCTAAACCCTCAAATAACGCTTTAATTTAGGTCTTCATTCGGGCTAGACCTTTAAGCCAGAAAGAAAAATTTGAGCGTGCCCAAATGTGTGTCCAGATATTCAGCGAAACCAATCAGGTATGCTTTTTTAACCTTTAATGCAATAAAACTTTTGCTTTAGATCCGTCTTGGCGAGAAGATTTTTGCGTTTGATCACGTCTTTGCACCAGAAGGAAGCCAAGTCGACATTTACAACGAATGCGGTGCTCAAATGCTGAAGAAATTCTTGGAAGGTAATGTGCTTTTTATGAGTCGGATCTACTTTTAAGTTTTAGGCTACAATTGCACTATGTTGGCCTATGGACAAACTGGGTCCGGAAAAACATTTACTATGGGAACAGAAGAGACAAAGGAAAGCATCAAGAAGGATTCGACCGGAATCATTCCACGGCTTATCTCGGACTTGTTTCAGGTTTGACCTTGACAATTAGAAGGGAACGGTTTTTGTTCAGACCATTGACAACTCTGCTTGCCCTTCATCATACAAAGTCTCCGTCAGCATGCTTGAAATCTACTTGGTAAGATTCAAGGCTTTGAATTCTTATATGATTTTTGTTTTAGGAAGATGTCGTTGACTTGCTGACGACAAGCTCGGAGCCTTTGAACATTCGTGAGCAGAAAGGAACGGTCTTCGTGCAAGGATTATCGAGCCACACAGTAGCATCACTTGAGGACACGATGACACAATTGGAGATAGGTATTATATACTCTTCGTAACAAGTATGCATTGAATACTTTGTTTCAGGTTGCCAAGCACGCACAAAAGGAAGCACGGCGATGAACAGTCAATCTTCACGTTCGCACGCCATTTTCACAGTAAACCTTCAGAAGACGGCTATCGATGAGAAGTAATAGTCATTGGCTTTTGGTTTTATAACGTTTGTTTAGCGAATGCTCCTACAACGCCAAATTTCATCTCGTTGATCTTGCCGGATCAGAACGATTAAAGAAGACACAAGTAAGAAGAGTCAAGTGCGATTAATGATGACAGGTTTATGTTCTAGGCGGAAGGAGACCGCAAGAAAGAAGGAATCAAGATCAACGAGGGATTGCTGGCGCTGGGCAATGTTATTCAGGGACTTTCCGATGGAGTCAAGCATGTGCCGTATCGGGACTCAAAAATCACTCGTCTTTTGCAGGGTTTGCTCATCTTTCGTATTAGACGTCTAAGTAAACGTATTGTTTAGATTCTCTTGGGGGCAATTCATGCACAATGATGATCGCCTGCATATCGCCAGCTGACACAAACAACGAGGAATCATTGTCAACTCTTCGTTATGCTGATCGGTGGGTTTTTCTCTAGCACGCTTCTTTGAGCTCAAGCTTTTAGTGCGAAGAGAATCAAGAACAGCGCAGTCGTCAACATCGATCCACAAGAGGCACGGCTAAAAGAATTGGAAAGAGAAGTATGGATATCCAATGTTAAATTCAAAAATTTGTATACATTTAGATATTGGAGCTTCGCCATGAGAATGCCAAGCTCAAGAGCGGAGATGTGGCGCCGATCACAGTTGTCTCAACAATGTCGACAGATGAGGAAAGGGACACAAATCAAAAGCAAATAACCAATCTGGAGAATGAGCTGCTTGAAACAAAGATTATTTTGGCGGAGAAAGTGAAGGTAAGCAAGTTTTGCTAACTTTTGGTAATAGACTTTTTAGGATCAAAAAATCCTCAACTTGCAAATAAAATCACTTCGCGAAGTCTTCGATTCAAAAGATGAACCAGATGAGGCCAAGCTATCTCAGATTTCAAAGATCATCGAAGTTCAGGTAATTTTCATATCAAAAAGGAGAGTTTACATAACTATGTTCAGTACCCCGAAGCAGAGTCAGTAGAAGGTGAGCAAATGGAGGTTGATATGGAGGCGGCGGAAGATGAGCAAGTTATCGAAGAACAAGGCACGGCTCTCCGAACAAAGTTAGTTTTTGGAAAAATATAAAAGTGCAAAAGTTTAGATACTACTCGCTCGACCGTCAATGTCAAGAGCTCTCGGATCTGATCAAGCGCAAGGAAGAACTCTTTGATAAGACGCAAAAGAATGACGAGGAGATGGGCAAGATACAGGAGAAACATGCGGTATGCGTTGGGTTAAATTTTCAAATCATCTAGCAATTACAGAGTGAAACTGCCGAACTTAACGCCAAGATTGCTGCCTGTCAAAAAGAAAGGGACCAACTGGTCGAAAACAGCCGCAAAAACACAATCTCTAGCAAGTTGGTCTTATTAAATGAACGGTTAATTGTGTTTTGTTTAGGATTTCTGAAGAGCGACGCAAGCGGCTTCAAGAATTGGAAAAGGAACTTGGCAGCACCAGGAAGAGGCTCATTGAGTTGAGCAAACTTGAGAGTTGGAAGAAGGAGAATGAGAAAAACTCGAAACGAATGCATGACGAGATTGAGAAGCTGAAACACGTAATCTTTGATTAATCTCCCAATCCTAGCGTCTTTTAGAATCGCATTCAACTTCAAAAGCAGCTCAAGATCGAATCGGACAATTTCCGCATCTGGAAGCTAAAACAAGAGCGACAAATGCAGGTCCTAAAGACTAAGGTTTGATTATTTGAATAGTTAATCGGATTATCGACTTGGTTTAGGAGAGAAAGTTAGAGCTTCAAGCTGCAAGAAAGGAACAAACACTCAACTCACAGCTTGCAGTTTTCAAGTCAGTTTTATGAGCTATTCAATATGCAAAAATCATTTTTAGGAAGAAATACCAAGAGGCTGTAGGATGCAACAAAAGACTCCAAGCTCAAATGTTAAAATCCTCCACTCATAACCAGCATGGAAAAATGGAAGAAGGCGAGCTGCAGGTAGGATTAACTATAACGTTCTTTAATGTGGTATGCTTTAGAAGTTTGTCAATGACGAAATTGCCCTGCTCAAGGCGGCTCAAGAGGCAAAAATTGCTTGCGAAGGGATGCTCGAATTCAGGAAGCAACTGGCGCGCAAGCTTTGCAACATTCAAGCACAATTGTCTTCATTTGACATGGAGCCACCAAATAAGGTTAGTGCTGATCGTTTGTTTGCATTGTGCACGAACTAACTGTGATGTATCTTTAATGTTTTGTGTAATCATTTGTCCCTTTTGTTGCATGTGTACTTTCGTTTTGAAGCTTTCGAACCACGGCCTTGATAACTTCATCGAAGCTCACGGAGTTCCAATCATGGCGCTTCGTCTCCAGGTTCGGTCACAAATCCTCGACAGATCTACTTCAGCGTTTTCCTGTGATGTTTTTGTAAAAATGTCTAGTTGTTTGTAATTGCATATTTTCTGCACTGCTATGCCATTAACCAACCAGCAACAGTTCAATGAACAAGTTGTAATTCACTAATTTAGCGTCGCGCAACCAATGATCGAGAAGACGGGAAAACTGAGGAGTCGATGAACAGACAAAAGGAACTTGAAGAAAGCAAAGTGGCGCTTGAACACGAGATTGAAAATTGGTATGAGACTTATCGTTATCTTGGTTATCCTATTTTTAGTAACAATCAAATCCGTGAACTTCAAGCTGACACAAGCTCCATTGATTTGTCGGTTCGCTTTGAAGCAATCTTTCGTCAGGTATTTTCAGAATATCCTGCTCACTTACTTTTGGCAAATTTAGATTGCGAGTCTTCAAGATGGAAAAGTTGTTTTGAGGGCGCTTTTTGATTTATTCGTTAATGAATGCAACAGTGCGCTAGAGGGAAAACGCGACGTTGATGAGCTCAAACAACACCTCAGGGACGCGCAACAAGAGCTTACTTCAAAACAGTAAACTAGTATAGTTTGCTGATTATATTTGTTTTAGGAAACAACAAGAACACTATTTGGCCGAGCTCGATGTACGATTCAACGAAGTGTATCAACATGTTGACGAAGCTCAAGTGCAAATTTATGGACAGGTATCAGCTTACATGAATCTTCGATGAATTGCTAGTTTAGATTATCCCTGTGCTGAACAGTGTGTTGGAAAATGCGGCTATGACAACAGATCAGTATAACTCGATCAAAGTTTGTTCTAACTTCTGGATTTGTTCATGAATTTGTCTAGGAAATGTACGGGCAAATAGAGAAACTGCAAGAATCGAGCGTTGAGGTGATGAAGGAATACCGAGAACATCAGGTTTCTAATTGGTCACAATTTTTTGCATAACGAATGTGAATTTGAGATCCGACAAACTCGCCCAGGAAAGAAAAGTACTCTTCGAAGTGCTTCAACGGCGGATTTGCGTCCGATAGTAGATGGATCAAGATGTGTGCGCAAGCCTGAACTCTTTGGAAATGTAAGTTGTTACTACTGTTTGTTGTAAATTAATTTTAATTAAGCCGATCACCGCAGAGAACTCGTTCTTCACCGACAAGACTCCAATTCCCGCCCCCACTGCCAAGACATCGCGCGTCAAAAAAGCCATTATCAAGTGAGTACTTCTCGAATGTAGCTAAAATTTCTTTTTTAGACCTTCTCCGATTTTAACATCACGGCAACAACAAGAAAAACGGAGGACACTGGTGTTTGATGAAGCCCCCTGTAGTGGAAAGGTAGGTATTGTCAGTGGAAAATAAATCTGATATTAAGTTTAGACGCCTCCAACGGAAACAGTGAACACCACGTTTATAATGGAGCAAGAAGAGGGCGCGGATGGAAATACGACTTTCATTAAAGGCGAGGAAAATGTCAATGCCACGTTTGTAAAAGGAGCCACTGTGGATAAACTGCAGGTAAACTTTTGATAATTTAAGAATTAGCGTTTCCGAAAAACTTAACATTCGTACAAAATTTTAAGTCACTGAAAAAACGACAAGTGATTTTTAGCTGCATGAGACGATGCTTGACAACCCGGAGAATCGCAGGAGGACAAATGCTCGAGAGCCACTGCAAAGGTTGTAAATTGCGGCAATAACTTATTCATAAGGCAATTATTTGTGATTTTGTGTTCCCTATTTAGCGTAGGAAATTTATTCATTTGTTTGTGTAAGCGACAAGTATTTGGTAGCGCTTCATAGTATTTTTGTATTATTGCATCATTTGGTTTTGGGTTTTCGTGATTTACGTTTTTATGTATCTAGATTTGGTGAATAATATGGGTATAAATAAAGTTATGTTCTATTAGTTATCATGATGAGGGTACTCTAAAATTGTTGAGGAGATGATACTTTGCCACTTTGGAAAAGGTTTAGCAGAGCTTAAAGAGAAATAAAGATTGACACGAACATTATTTTGCGTTTTCTTTTAGGAAAAAATCTTTTTTGTTTTGGAAAAGTTTGCATTTAAATATAGCTTTGTTGTACTTTCCCGTAACTTGAGACATTTTGTTCCTGCTAGTGCCAAAAGTTTTGGCAATGAAATGCGATGACTCCATGAGATTGCAATTGACGTAAATTTCTTGACACTTTACGCCGTGCTCGCCGTGGCTTTGTGCGACTTTTTCTTTTGGCTAAAGAAATATTTTTGAAAATTAACCATTTCCTCTTTAAAATCGCGATCTTCTGATAGATTTCTTGTCGTTTCCAGGTAGAATGCTTGCCCGTAGCGTTAGGGTGATCGGTCTACCAATCAGGCGAGGGTTTGCTGCTGCTGCTGCACCGGCTGCACAGGGGTCCGCTGATCAACTCAGACTCACCTTTGCCTCTCCTTATACGGCGCTTTACAATAATGCGGTAAGGTTTTGAATATGACTAAGCACATGTTTTACCTAGGTGCGTTTAACGTTTTAAAAAACAAATTGGAAAAAGTGCTTAAAGTTTTAAGAACCTATTACAAGATAAAAATCCCGGGCATATATGTATGTGAAATTGTAGAATACCGGTTTTTTTTTGAATAATCTGATTTTTGCAGAATGTGAAACAAGTGGACGTGCCCACGCTTGCTGGTGTTGTCGGTGTGCTTGCGAATCACGTTCCCACAATTGGTGTCCTCAAGCCCGGAGTTGTTCAAGTACCTACATTTAAAATTATTTCTTTTAAGTTTTGTTTTTAGGTTACTGACATGGATGGAAAGGTGTCTAAATATTTTGTTTCATCTGGGACTCTTTCAATGAACATCGATGGATCGTGTCAAGTGCTGGCCGAGGAGGCAATCCAGGTAGATTTTGATTAGATTCATTTTTAGGCAATGACATTAGATATCGTGTAACCATCTTACTTGTTTGCTTGCCTTATGATATTGTTTAGGTTGATGCTATTGATGAGACTGCGGCAAGAACTGCATTGGAAGCCGCTCAACGTGCTCAAAATGAGGGAAGTGAGAAAGATCGAGCTGAAGCAGGAATTCGTGCCGAGGTGGATTTTGATACCCAGTTTATGAAAAAGAAACTAACTATTGCAAAATTAACTGTCCTCGAGCGCTGTGTATGAGCTATCATTTTGACGATAGTTTTTACATTGCTTTTTATTTTCAGGTTGCTGATGCTCTTCTCAAAGCCGTTGGCGGAGCCCATTAGTTCATAGATAATTTTAAACAAGTTTTTATGTGTTTTTACTTGTTTTTGTAGCCTTTGTGTACTATTTAGATGTGGATTGTGTAGATGTTACGACAAGATAATTTCTATGTATTGAATAAAGCATTACGTTATGCGTTAAAAGTGATGATGGCAAAGTTGAAACAAACTGAAATATTTAGGCAAAATGAGGGGTGTTGGTGAGGTGAAGAAAAAAAAGAGTGGTTATTGCTGTTTTTCTAGCCAGATGTCAGATGGCAGTGATTTGGATGAGGCCGCTCACGAGCGGATGTTGCAGGTAAAATCTATTAAATTAAATGCATTAGATGACCTATTCAATGCCGTCACAACGCGGAGAGTAAACCGATCAAAATAGCGACATATTGCATAAGCAAACTTGCTTTAGTCGGTTACCGGCGATGTTGGGAAACGATACGTGAAAAGAGAAACGCAAAAAACGACCGCCGATGATCTATTAAATGCCGTTACAACAAAAAGGTAACTTCTACCTAATGTAATAGCGAAGCTCGTTATTAAAAAAACCAATAACGCGTACGCGTTTTTTATCGTTAAGTTTAACAAGTTTGGTATCATTTTGTTAAGTTTGCTTATTGTTAAAGCTTGTTTTCATTGGCAAATACAACAATTGAGTACAATCTTACTTTAGGAACATTGGACAAACGAGAATCGATGAAACAAAGCGAAAACAAATACGCGGAAAGGAGACTTTGGCAGCACCACTTCACAGGATTGCTCGGGATCGTTTACAGGTTTTTTTTCCTTTTTGAGCTGATGGAAACATGTGTTGAATTTAGGGAGCTGTCAGCTATGTTGAGTTGAAGAAAGAAGTAAACGTTTGGGCGCCGATAGTTGAAGAAAATCGAGTCTCGGATCAACTTGTGTTCCACGAGGACGATATGGACGTCATGAAGCCGATGATCGCCGCTGATAAAGTTAGAACCTATTCTATAAAGTAGCTAGGTACTTTTTTTTTATAGACGGCGGCTTTTTACGCTAGGGGGCCGAAGTCGGATTTGGAACGCGAGATGGCCGAAGTCTTAAAACAAAGCAAGTTCAATATGACTAATGATGCTGAATTGACCGAAGGCGAGAAGGAAATAATTCGAGCGATGGATTTGAAAGAGGTTCAACAATAATATTTTGGTTATTGAATTTGGTCTCTGAAATTTCTACATTGCTAACGCTTTACTTTTTGTTTAGGCGAAGGCTAAACTTGCTCAGATGCGAAAAATGCGAGCACTAATGAGCTACAAACAAGCCAATGACGCTCGAAAGTCGAAAATTAAGAGCAAACGGTTAGTGCGACCTTTTTAAAAAAAATTTTCGAAATTTTATTTAGGTATCACCGCATCCAAAAGAGACAAAAGCGACGCCAGCTTTTGAAGGAATTTGAAGATTTACTTTCTCGAGATCCCGAGGCCGCGAAGGAGAAGTTGAAAGAATTAGATTCACAACGGGTTTTCGAGCGAGCAACGCTGAAACACGGCAAAGGAAATGCATTCAACAAAGAGCTTCGAAAGTACGCCAGCAAGAACAAAGAAGCCGCTGCACTATTGGAGGATCATTTAAGGTTTGTGGGATCTGCTATTTGTAAATCAAAATTTCGATTAGACTTGGACGAGAACTCAAAACGAAGGCACGGGATGAAACGGACTCGGAAGCTAGCACATCAGAAGACGAAGAAGATGCCGGAACAAAGACGTTCGAGCAAATACTGAAGGTAAAGCTAAATGTTTTCGGTGTTTAATCTATTGTTTAATGTTTAATCTATTGGTTTCTAGGAATCCGCTATTGAAGCGGCTAAGGCGGCTGAAATGGAGCCTGAAGAAGAAACACCACGGATACAACTTGCGGAAGCAAAGATGACTCTTGCCAAAATGCGAGCCCAGAAAACACGCGAATTAGAGGAAGCGAAATTGCGAGGCGCCGGAAAGGTTAGCAAATGTAACGAATTTACTGTTTTTTACCGTTATATTTAGGATTTGCCGAAAAGCAAGATTTTTGAAGAAAACGAGGATTGGGAAGGTGGTGAATCGATTTCAAAGATCAATGAGAGCATAGCAAAGCAGAGCACTGGTTTGGGTGCCGAACGCTCTAAATGTATCACTAATGCTTTAGTGGAAACAAAGCCACCAAAGAAGAAGCGTATCAAAAAGGATACTACAGCTGAAGATGAAAAGAACGATTTGTTCTCTCAATCCAAACACAAAGACGTCGTTGAATTGTTCGACGAGGCTGATGAACAGATGCTCGAATTGGCCAAAAAAGTATTTGCTGTCTTTTTTAATTGACCACAAATGTTTAGGAGATTGAACGAGAAAAGCGTCGAGAGCAATTTGAAAAAGAAGATCAAATAGAAGAAACGACAAGAAAAACGAAGAAAAAGAGTAAAAAACCTACTTCCGTTGTCAACGAAGAACCTATGATTGACCCAAAGAATTTCTTGACGGTATCGTTTTCTTTTGCAAGTCTGATAAAAATTCCTTTTAGTTAGAGACAAATAACTTGAATGCACTTCCGACGGATTTTATTGAAAAAATGGATCAAGCAGACTATGGTTTGTGAGTTTGTAAAAAAATAATATGTAAAATTTTCAGATCAGAGTCAAGCCATTGCTCTTGCCTTTGCTGATGATGATGTTGTTGGAGCATTTGAAGAAGAGAAAGGAGAGGTTAATTAACTATCAGTGTTAATGTAATGATAAGATTTTAGATTGAGGAGAGGGAAAAGGGCAAAGATATCGACCTGTCATTACCCGGCTGGGGCTCTTGGACAGGCAATGGAGTTATTGAGAAAAAGCCAAAGAAAAATCGGTAATAAATCTCATTAAGGCACAATTCATGTTGTTTTAGATTTGTAATAAAGGCAAAAGGGGTCATGAGAAAGGACAAGAGTCGAGCCGGTATCATCATTTCTGAACAAACTACCCAGGCTAGTTGTGAAACTTTATTTGTAGTAGTAATTTTTTGTTCAGGGGATCACAAAGTTACAACCGAAGACCGTCCCATTTCCATATACTCGAATGGAGGATTTCGAGGCGGCCGTTCGACAACCGATTGGACGAGAATGGAATTCAGCGTCAGCTCATCAATCGATTGTTCGTCAATCTGTTAAGGCATCGGTATGTTTTGTGTTTGTTACTACTTTACGATGCTTTTAGGCTGGACGTGTCATTCGACCCCTTAACAAGAAAGACGTGCTACAAGAAGAATTTGTGGATGAACTCAAGTAAATATTATTGTTTTGCTGTTGATCACTGTACTGTTGAGTTTGATTGTTGTTTGTTGATTTGAATAAATTTTATTACTTTTCTTCAAAGCTTAAATTTTGTGGGTTTATGCCACTGAATATTTAACGATTATTCAATCGAAATGACCTTGTGGTAAAAGTTAGTTTGTTTAGAATCGAACACAATGGCGGACGACGATGATTATGGTAAATCTAGGCTCTATTTTGTTAAAGCAAACTAATTTTTAGGTGAGATGGAAGATTTCAATGATGAAGAGCCAATGGATGACCTTGGTGACATCGATCAGGAGAATGAAGATGCCGAGGGTGAACGAATTGATCTCATTGAAGTGAGTTTAATTAGTGATGCCCGGTCAAAAGTCTTACGGTCGGCATATTATAGGCTGACAAAGGCACCGCTTCCACAGAACGAGTCACCACACCATTCATGACAAAATACGAAAGAGCGCGTATATTGGGAACGAGAGCGCTGCAGGTATTTTGAATTTGTAAGAGGTTTACACTTGTTTTTCTAGATTGCAATGGGTGCGCCAGTGATGGTGGAAATTGAGGGCGAGACGGATCCGCTTGAAATTGCGAGAAAGGTTTCACTTTATCATGAGAGTTTTCCCAAAAATGTTCTTATAGGAACTGAAGGCTCGCAAAATCCCAATCATTGTGCGGCGTTACCTTCCGGATGGTTCTTTTGAAGATTGGTCAGTGGATCAATTGGCAGTTGGCAATTGGTGATTCTCTCGAAATGATCTCTATTTATCTAACTCTAATTTTGTTTTTGTTGCTGTTTTGCTATTTTACGTGAATAAAATTTTAAAGAAAGTAAACTCTGTAGTAGTGCTAACATCGATATGGAACGATTTTGTTTTTGAAATTTTTTTTTGCGCAGGAATTCCACGAAGTTTTTCATTCTGGTCAACTCTCTCTGCTGAAATGTTATGTTACTTTCAGTAAAGACTTTTCATTGATGAATCATTTGCCATCTTCACTTGGCAACACCTTTTACGGCCTACACTTTGTTTTTTGGATTTTTTTTCATTTGCTGAAGACTACGCAAAAGAAAGCTCTGCGCTCTCTCCTTTTCTCCCATTCTTTCTCTTTCTCACGCCCCATTCTTTTGCTAGCCATCGCTTTTGGTCTTGCATCAGTTTGATGCCAGATCCCCGCTTTCGTAACATTATTCGCCAATATTTAAACGTCCGCCACTTTGTTTTTCTTTTAAAGCAGCTGATTCTGTATTTACTTTTTGTTTAACGTTTAAACTACACCTTTTTTCTAGCGATGTCGCTTCGTTATTACGTCTGCGCCGAGACTGGAGATGACAGCCGAGATGGAACAAGTGAGACAAGCGCCGTTGCAAACCTTTTTCAAGCAAGTTTTTGGGTGTTTGTTAAGTTCGACCGTACATTTGGCTCTTGTATTGTTATTTTGAAAGTTTACATTTTTGTTGAGCAAACTGCAAATTAATCAAGTCTTGAAAATACGCGTGTACGGCTAATTAACCTTATTCGTTTAGGCAATGTTGCTTGCTCGATCGCCAAAGGGAGATTTTCTCGTGCGAACGAAGAAAGACGATGGCACGGCGAAATGGGAAGCTCCATCGCAAAGTGCAATAAAGAAAAACGTGAAGAAGTAAGTGGCTTTTCGTTAAAATAATATAACTGATTCTTTAGGTACGAAGCTGAAGTGAAGAAACACGAGAAAGCTCGTGAGAAAGAGGCTGAAGACAAGGATTCTCATGCTAAAGCAATTGAGGATGCTAAAAAGGTTGCTTCTTATTAAATCGTCAAACCTTAGCTTTTAGATTACTTTTGTCCAAGATGCCAGCCTACCCAAGCCAAAGTTGATTCGGATTCGTGACACCGTACAAAACCGGGATATTCGTGTTACACTAAAGGGATGGGTGCACCGTCTACGGCGTCAAGGTATCGTTGTTTTCGTAGAGTTCATTCACAGCTTTCATTTTAGGTAAATCAATGACGTTTCTGGTTCTACGCGACGGAAGCGGCTACATCCAATGCCTTCTCACGGACAAGCTTTGCCAAAGCTTTGAGGCCATCACGTTGGCTACAGAATCGTCTGTGCAAGTAGAATTTTTGGCTTTAGTCACATTAAAATATGTGTCTTAGGTTTACGGAACAATTAGCAAGCTGCCGGAGGGAAAGACGGCTTTCGACGATCACGAGATGCTAGTTGACTACTGGGAATTGATTTCTGCGGCGGTTTGTTTTTTTAAAAATAATCCATGTACAGTAAATTTAAGCCTCCCGGTGGAATCGACAACGTACTCAACGAGGAAGCTGGAGTTGACACTTTGCTTGACAACAGGTAAAGTTGATATGGTAAAGCTAGACTTTATTTTCTTTTAGGCATCTCGTGCTTCGTGGAGAAAATGCCTCAAGGGTTTTGCGCATTGGCGCCGCCGTGACTAGAGCAATGCGTGAACACTTTTATCACTCTGGATACACGGAGGTTGCTCCGCCAACTCTTGTGCAAACGCAGGCAAGTTAACGGTTAAACATCCTTAATTTATGGATCGTTTTAGGTTGAAGGAGGCTCAACCCTTTTTGGTCTTGACTACTATGGCGAGCGTACATATCTCACGCAATCATCGCAACTCTACTTGGAGACGTGTAATGCTTCGCTCGGTGATGTGTACACAATTTCACGTTCTTACAGGTTTGTATAGTAATCTCATTTTTTTTTCAAATATATATAAATCTAGGGCTGAGAAATCCCGCACCCGTCGCCATTTAAGTGAATACATGCATGTTGAGGCTGAGGTGATTGATTGAAGTTTTTCTTAGTTTGACTTAAATTTAGGTCGCGTTTGTGACTTTTGATGAATTGATGGACAAGATTGAAGACCTCGTGTGTGACACTGTGGATCGACTTTGGAGTGACGAAACGACCAAAGCTTTGATACAATTTGTTAACCCGGTAAGCTTTTAAGAAGCTTGTCGAGCTTCGAATTGTTATAAAATAATATAATTGAATCGTTTAGACATTTGTTCCACCACAACGACCTTTCAAGAGAATGGATTACGGTGACGCGATCAAGTGGCTCAACGAGCATGGAGTGAAAAACGAAGAAACGGGAGAAGATTTCAAGTTTGGTGAAGATATCCCTGAAGCTCCTGAACGACACATGACTGATACGATTGGAGTGGTAAGTGAATCAAAAAATCTTTACATTAAGGTGCCCATTTAGCCAATTATGCTCAACAAGTTCCCGGCCGGAATTAAATCTTTCTACATGGCTCGCTGTGGTGAGGGGAGCGAATTGACGGAATCGATCGACTTGTTGATGCCTGGAGTCGGAGAAATTGTTGGAGGTTCGATGAGGTATTTGTTACTTGCTTTTCAAGAAAGTAATTATTGTTTTAGGATTTGGAAGCACGATGAAATGTTGGCCGCTCTGACCAAAGCTGGAATCGATCCCAAGCCATATTATTGGTAGGTTGTGTAGGCCAATGCAGATAAGAAATAAATAACTGGAAACCAAATAACTTGTACTTTAGGTACATGGATCAACGCAAGTACGGAGGTGTTCCCCACGGCGGTTATGGTCTTGGATTGGAGCGTTTCATCTGCTGGCTGACCGACACTCATCACATTCGCGATGTCTGCCTCTACCCTCGCTTCATCGGGCGTTGCCAACCATAAAAATTGAAAAGTCATTGCGTTACAATTGTTTGTTCTTTTTACATCGGTTTAAATTATTGCTTTATGGGCGAAACTGTTATGTTTGTTTTGGGGTTTCTAGTTACAAAATCTATTCTTGTTATTTCCTTGTGATTTTAGATAAAATTCTTTTGTTCATAAATGGTTTACCTTATAATTTTGACTAAATTTCTCGAAAATGCAATTCTGGAAGTTTTGGTGGATTGCAAGAGTTGAGAGAGTCGTTACTAGGCGAGATTTTTTTTTTGTAAATAGTGATCTTTGAAAAGAAAATTGTTTTTTTGAAAGACAAATTGACTATTTTTGCACGACAATAGCATAGCCCAATTGTTGATGTTCAGAAAGAGCTACATATATCCGGCTGCCCACACAAAATTGCCTTACTTTGGGTCACGCAAAATCAACTTTAGACGAAATTGCGATTTTAAATTGAAATGGTCTGCTCATAAACGTTTTTACTTTACAATTTCAGTATTATGGCGAAGAAACATGACATCGATATCAATCATCTCAACAAAAGGTAAACGAGTTGTTAATTGGGGAAAATATGGGGGAGGGGGGGGGAAACACTCGTAAAATGCTTCACAAAGACGGATAACGTTCTAAATATTAAATAGTAATGCACAAATTCCCATAATTGAGCTATATCACAACAATAGATATCACAATCGATTTTAAGATTTGAAGAAATTAGAAATTCTCAGTCGCTTTCGATACTTGCATGGGCGGTCGGATTCAAATGCTCATTTGCTTCCTCTTCGTAGAGTGTTAACAGGAGAGGGACGACCATGAAAACGATCACAACCGCGGCGAGAAGTGCCCACACAGACCAGCCAGATTCGGGAGAACGAGCGTCGACGAAATGGAATGAACCGGGAATTCCTATAACTGTAATTGAGGTCGTTTTGGGGAAACAAAGTGAGGAAGTGAGGCAACAGAAGACCAACAGGGTTAACGAAAGTTTGGGATTAACAGATATGCGAATGGATTAGTCGAAAATTAAGACATTGTTATTTTGGCACTTTTACTAGTTAAATGTTTCCAGGCAATCTACAAAGTTCAGTTATTAAAATTTGGAATGCAAGACGTTTTAGCCATGTAACGTGCTTAATAAACCTTAGAACCCTTCAACTTTCATTGATTCCCGTAGTTGAAAGCTAAACCAACCATCTTCCGGTAACGCGTCGCGAACTTGGGCAATATTGTTGTCGGTTTTGTGAAAAATATCCTCGACTGAGGGATCACGCGAGTCCCGAAGGGATTGTGCTCGTATCAACGGAACGCGATCAGTGTACTCGTGCAATTCTTCATCGGCTGAACCTGAAAGAATTCAGATAAGAAAATTGGATAAACAACGGGCTTCTAGGGATTTAAAAATAACCTTGACGGAAGGATCTTCTGGATCTCAAAAGGATTTTAAAGCTACGCTAGTTCTTTTAAACTTTATAGCAAAGAAATAAACCCAGACCTTCAACTCCAAGATTCAACGCGTGCCTCATACGGCTCACCGGGATTTTCACAGTGCTGAGCGCAACGAATTCTTGATCACCGACCAGGTTATTCGCTCGTTTTAGCTCAGAAACCTAAAAGCAAATAAATCAAAGATTTCGGTACTCTTGGCTTTTTCAGGAACCACTTTTTTTTCGCCAAAACTACTTTTCCCGGGGTAATTGAGTACGCTGAGCACGAATAAAACATTTTTAGGGTAAATCTTTAATCAAAAACTTTTAATCAAAAAATTGCTTTTTAAAATTTTAGTATATAAATTTATAGTACTTTATAAAGTTAACAGATTTGTTTCCAAAAATTATAGACGGGGTCTTTTCCAAATTCCTGCCGCCACATAAATATCTGAGGGAAGTCTGTAAGCGGTCATTTTATAAATGAGAGTAGTGGTTTTGGACCAGTTTATTAGTTTTTTTTGTTACGTTTTAATGGAACCTTTTTCAATTTGGTTATTGTTGTTAATTTTTTAGATTTAGATAACAGACAATCAAATTTTTTATTGAAAACCGAACTTAAAATGTCATATTCGTGCTCAGCGTATTCAACTGCACCGGAAAAAGTGGTTTTAGCGAAAAAAAAAAAAGCCAATAGTACCAAGATTTCTAACCAAAACACTTACTGTGAGGGAGTATTGGAGTGCAATCTTATTCAGCGTGTCGCCCGGTTTTAGCCTTCGTTCTAGCAAAATCTAAATCGAAAGTGTAAAATCGGTATAGATAAAACGCAAAACCTTGTCTTTATAGGAACCTTTCTTCTCGAGATCGGTGGATCCAGTTCGACCGACTCGACTCCTCATCTGGATTTCGATCTGTTGCTCATCCATTACTGAAAAAAAAAAATAATTATTAGAAGTTAAAGTTCGAATGAAAAAGCTATAGAAAACATAAAAAACGCCAAAATTTACAAGGGATTAAGGTCGAAATTTGATGAAGTAGACTGAAACTGACCTTTTTCTAGTCCACTATGAGAAAACTGGAAAAATTTGCGTTAAAAACGGCTCGCTCAAGCACAGAAATCGGGGTAGGCTAATTTCCGCAATTTTTTTGCGCAACAGAGCCATTTGCGCAACTCGCCATAACTTTCTTCTAAGTGAGCCAATCTTTATGATTTTGGTTTCATTTTGTAGATCTCAATAAGTGCAACAAAATGACACCAAAATCATAAAGATCGGCCGACTTAGAAGAAAGTTATGGCAAGTTGCGGAAATTAGCCCACCCCCAGAAATCTCCAATAAGCAAAACTTCAAAAGTACCTCTTTTAAAGGACAAAATTTAAAAGTATTCACTTTGCCGACTGAATACTTCTAACTTTGTTCTTTAAAATAGGCGCTTTTAAAGTTTTGCTCATTAGAGATTTTTGTGCTCGAGCGAGCCGTTTTCAACGCGAAATTTCCTAAAAGTTCATGAAAAATGTATTTTCTTTTACAAACAGTTGAATTTTTAACACGATTCATCAGAAAAATTGTATTTGATGCGTTTAAAGCTCTCAAAAAATGCCAACACACAGGAATGTCTATTATTTTGACAAAGATCTCCCTCTTTTCGCCCACTTTTAATTTTGCGACGTCATAAACGACACGCTAATACACCGAACATTTGCGTGAATGTGTTCCTTAGTAAAAGTTGTCCGATAAGTTTAATTGCGTTTATAGAATTAAACGATTTTTATGATCTTGTACTTTTTTGTACTCTTGCCTTTGTTTTGACCTGGGTTTTCTCGTTATCGCTTCTTTTTTAGCCGAAGATGCTGACTCGTGGTGTGCGCCAGTCGATCGCTTACGGACGACAGCTCTCTTCGGAGGCAACAAGAAGGGTTGGTTTTTGAGCTTTTTGAAAGAATAAGTGAAACTTTAAAGAAAGAGATTTGGCTTGTTGAGTGAGGAAAGTAAAGAAAATATGCACAAGATATCTCTAACATCTTGCTTTAAAATATTATCGTTTAAAACTTGCTAAAAAATTGTGCTAACATTTCCAAGCTTTTTCATTTAAGCCAAAAAGGTTTATTGGCTAAGAATATTTATGACTAAGACAAACTTATAAACACGTTTTAAAGTATCTTTTAAGGTAACTCTCATCCCTGGAGATGGAATTGGCCCCGAGATCTCGAAAGCTGTCCAAGAGATTTTTGAGGTTTGTCTTTCTGGAAATGAAATCAAATTATCGCAACAAATTCAATTTCTTTAGGCTGCCAAAGTTCCGATCTCGTGGGAGCCGGTCGACGTGACGCCAGTGAAAGGACGAGATGGAATTTTCCGCATTCCACAACGTTGTATCGACTTGATGCATGAAACTAAGGTTTAAAGTTTCAATAAAATGGTGAATTTTATTTTTTTAGGTTGGTCTTAAGGGCCCACTTGAAACCCCAATTGGAAAAGGACATCGTTCTCTTAACTTGGCCGTCAGAAAGTTTGTGCTTTATCAATTGCTTTTCAAATATTTCTTTAGGGAATTCAATTTGTATGCCAACGTTCGCCCTTGCCGTTCTCTTGTTGGACACAAGACTCTCTACGATAATGTCGATGTGGTGACCATCCGTGAGAACACAGAAGGAGAATATTCAGGAATTGAGCATGAGGTGGGTGTTGGTTAGCAATTGCTAATAGCTCTGTTTGACTGAGAATCACTCAAAGTTGCATTCAATTCTCACCAAAACTTACAATATAATTACAGTATATCAAAAATCTATTAAAAGCAACATACCATGTAAAAAAGTTTTTCAAATTTTTGAATTTAGGTCTCTCCCGGTATCATGCAATCGATCAAGTTGATCACTCAAGAGGTTTGATCAAAATTGAGTTTGACGTTATAAAGTTTTTTGTAGGCTTCTCATCGTGTCGCCAAATACGCCTTCGAGTATGCCAAACAAAATGGAAGAAAACTCGTCACCGTTGTCCACAAGGCGAACATTATGCGAATGTCGGACGGACTCTTCTTGAACTGTTGTCGCGAAGTGGCCAACGATTATCCGGAAATCAAATTCAAGGTATCGTTTTGGTGCATTTAACTCTTCAGACCTTAAATTAACATTGGTCACCGTTTAGATCCGAACACATTAAAATGCAAAATCGCAAAAGATATTGATAGATTTGTTTTATTAGAAAACCCCTTCCAATTTTCTAGTTTTAGGAAGCCTATCTTGACACCGTGTGCCTCAACATGGTCCAAGACCCAAGCCAATACGATGTGCTCGTGATGCCAAACTTGTACGGAGATATCCTCTCCGACTTGTGTGCTGGTCTTATCGGTGGGCTCGGAGTGACTCCATCTGGAAACATTGGCGAGGGAGCGGCAGTCTTTGAGTAAGTTTTCCACAAGCTAGTTTGTAGGCAGCGCTCGGTGATTCCTTCAAATTTATGAATGCTATCTTTAGATCTGTGCACGGAACTGCCCCCGATATCGCCGGACAGGACAAGGCCAACCCGACCGCTTTGCTTCTCTCGTCGGTGCTGATGTTGCGGTGAGTTTAATTCTTTTCTATAAGACTTGATTTATTTGCCCTATACATGTGTATTTTTAGTTACATGGAGTTGAACAGATATGCTGACCGAATTGAGAAGGCGTGCTTTGATGCTATTGCTGACGGTTAGTGATTTTTTTTATTGATTAACCACTTCAACAGACTTATTACTGAAAAGACCAAAATTCGCAGATTAAAATTAAAATTGAGGAAATATTTCTTTTAAATGACAAGCTAAACGGCAATAAGTGTACCAAATTTGCCTAACTTTCAGCATCTAACATTTTGCATTTAGGCTCTCATAAGACTGGCGATCTTGGCGGTACTGGAACTTGTACGTCGTTCACCCGTGATATCTGCGCTCGAGTGAAAGATTTGGATTGAATGAACGACCGTTTACCTTAGTTTGTGAATCGATTCGTATTTTGTTTAATTTTCTATGTAAATTGTGTAAATTGTAGTCTAACTTGGCTTTATTAGTTTTCTAGGGTAGTTTTTGTTATTCGACTTTTTCCGGCCATATCAACGGCACATCGATTTAAAATTGCGCCCTATTTTATTACTTTTTGTAAAATCACATTTGGTCCTACTTTATCTTTACCTTTTTCAGAATATCTGTGTATTTGCCTCCATATATATTCAGATAGTCATCGACTGAAACTATTGTATAACCCTACTCGTTTCTTTTTACTTTTCTAGTAGTTCTATCGGTCTTCTAGAAATAGGTTATTCTAATTACATTTATCTTGAGAAGCCGCGCTAAAGTCAAACCTGATTTTTATTGAAGACGCTAGGCATAATTCAGGTGACCCATTTATTTTAATACCGCTTTTCTCCTTTTTTTATTTTGTTTTGCCTTCCAGAGATTTCTATATTCGTCGCTAAGAAACGTTCTTTTTAAATGTGTAAATAAAGAATGCTGGAAATGGATAAAAGGACTTTCTAAAAAGTACGCAAAAAACAAGCTTGAATCATAAGAAGCCCAGTTTCGTCTTTGAATTTTGAACAAAGATAAGATGAGAAGATTCCTCTTCAGAAAGAACAAAACAGTCAATCATTTGACTCTCTAGCTTCTTGGAGACAAACTATGGAAAGAGAAATGAGAACGAATCTTCTCCGTCTTTCAAAGTCGAAATCATTTCAGTTTTGACAAAAGCAAAGAAAGAAATACAATTCGAAACATATGCTTTTATGAAACTTTTGGATGGACAACCTGAATGAACTCCGACATCCGAAAATCGTTTTCTTTTATGGTCCTAAGATCAAAGAGTATTGGACGCATCTCTATCATTGTTGATAATAGAATATTGTGAAAGAGGGATCGCTATTGAATGGCTGAATTTGCATAGCAATCAAAATTCTAGAAAATTTTTCTATGTATAACTCCTTCCACAAGCTTCCACAAGCTCTGAAATGTCAAAATTTGAATTCTATGCTCTAAAATTACCTAGAAAAACAAATTTTGGAATGGAAATTGGTTAATATTAGTTTTTTAGAGCTTTTTAGAGATTTTTAGAGCTTTTTAGAGATTTTTAGAGCTTTTTAGAGCTTTTTTAGAACGCGAAACAGGTGCGGCGATGGGCTGGGTGCGCAAAAAAAGGTTGCATTTGTCCCACTCTTGTAAATTTGGCCCGTAAATTTATGTTTATTAAGGTATTTAAACGTGCTCTGTTGAATAAAAAAAAAAGAATTAGAGCTCTAGCATGCTTTTAACTTAGGATAAAGCACTTTTCTTGGGTGGAGTACTTGATGTGAAACGTGGTGTATCAAATTTTTTCAAAGGAAAAGCACATAAAAGGTTTAAATAGAAAAATTGCTAAATTGCAATAAATACATAAATTGCTTTTTGAATTTGTTTTCGATTTTTGAAACAATGAAATCTATTATTTACAAAATTCTCTTTTTTCATCGATAAGGAGGACACTGGTTGAGGACTCCCGTTGCATCACAAGTTCCGTTCAGAGCATTCTATAAATTGAATTGAGTAAGTCACTAGCTAGATAGTTTAAAAGATATTTCAGATAATCCCTGGGTACAAATTCACAGCTTCTTTTTGGAGCATCATCATCTAATTTTTGGAAATAGCTTCTTTTTGGATCATCTAAAGAAAATCCCCATGATAAATGACTGAAGAAATGTTCTTTGTGCGGCCGCGTAATTGCTCGGGATCTGGCGGATTTTCTCCGTATACATATAGCCCTATTTCATACCATTCAAAAGCCAAAAATCTCCTCAATAAAACTACAGTCGAACCTCTCTATAACGAACCTCGATATAACGTAAACCTCTCTATAACGTAAGGCGTGACCGGTCCCGGCCGACGTTAAGCTATATAAAACGGCACTCTATATAACGTAAACCTCTATATAACGTAAGCTATAGCCGTCCCGTGAGTTACGTTATAGAGAGGTTCGACTGTATATCAAAAAGTTAACAATAAGAAAATCTCTAGACAAAGTTATCACCCTTAAAAGCAGGATTACGCTTTCAAAACCAGAAACAGCTTGCCAAAAACCGATTAACTTCAATTTTATCTGAAATATCCAAAAGAGATTATGAATAAGATATTGAGTAAAGAATGATATTAGGTACGTAAAAGTTATTCGATTAGTTACAGTCATGTGCAAAAGTCTTTTCACATTCGATTTTCTAAATCATTTTCATCATTTTCATCATTTTCATCATTTTTCTTCGATAAAGTTCATGGCGCTCTTTTAAGCTATTAATCGTTTTAGTTACACAAATATATATATGTCGTAACCGTTTACGAAATTCAGCCGCTAACGAATGATTCGTTAACGGCTAGTCGCTAACGAATGAAATTTTTCGCTAGCCGGCTAGCCGATTACGTCAACTCACAAAAGATTAGGACACACCGGCCGGGATCTGATGTAGAAAGAATTATCACGGGATCTCAAAGGAAATACTCGAGATTTTTATCAAACTTTGCCCAGAATGTGAATTAAAGAAGGGAACGCCAAAAAAGGAGTTGTTGTGAAGCCGATCATAACGATCAAAATGCAAAATGAACGCTGCCAAGTCGACTTAATTGATCTTCAATCGGTTGCGCATGCATTTTAGTTGATGTTTTGTTTGTTATAAACGTTATTATGTTATAGATGTTAAATGTTATAAATTTTATTTCACTTGTTGTGATTAGTTTGCTGATTTGCGTTTTGCATAAATAGTTTGAAATCAAAAACTCATTTGAATCGAGCCATGTTCGCAGAAGCCGTTTACAAATTGTACACGGCTAGCGATCGTAATCGGCTAGCCGCTAACGAATGATTCGTAATCGACTAGCCGCTAACGAATCATTCGCAATCGGCTAGCCGCTAACGAATCATTCGCAATCGGCTAGCCGCTAACGAATCATTCGTTAGCGGCTGAATTTCGTAAACGGCTACGACATATACAATTTATTTACACAAACTTTATCGCTATACAACACTTATTCATTGAGAAAAAAATATAATTGTCAAAACACCCCTGAAAATCGTGATGCAAAAGTCTTTTCACAAAAAACGAAATTAAGCTTTAATCAATATTTAGTCGCTCCTCCTTTTGCCGAAAGTACTTCTTTAATACGAGTAGACATCGATGCAATTAATTCATCAAGAATTGCAGCTTCAATCGTCCTCCAAATTTTTCTGATGTAAAACCATAGCTCGACTTTACAATTGAATCGTTTTCCTCGCAATTTTGATTTCAAATAAGCCCATAAATTCTCAATAACATTTAAATCCGGTGCGAATGGTGGAGCTTTGATTAAAGAAACGTGATTGATTCCAAACCATCCCGGTAAATGTGCTTTTCCTCCATTCGAAAGAGAGAAAGAAAGAAAATTGATGGAACTTTTTAGAAAATTGAACGTGAAAAGACTTTTGCACATGACTGTAGTTTAAAAGTTTAAAGTACTTTAAAGTTATTTAGAAAAATGACTTCTGTTTTTTTTTTTTGGAAAATAGCTTGGATAGCTTAGCTAAATAGCTACAAGTGATCTACAAGTGTCGATTGATTTCCGAGCAATTTTTGACTACCAGGACGTCACAAATCCTTTTTGAAACCATGTTTTTCGGAAAGAACGCAAAAAAATGAGCAAGAAAAAGTTGTTTTTGACTAGTTAAAAGAAGTTATATGCACGATTTTGACGAAATTCTCTCACACTCACCACAGCAGCCCGATCCGAATTGCATTGAAAGACGAAAGCGTTGAAATCATTGCATCCCAATTGATAGACTGCCGCCTTGCAACCAATATAACGATTGAAAGCACTGGAAAATGATTTTTGTGACTCGAATTCTTCATTTGTTAGTGGATTTTCTTTAATTTTCTTGAGCATCACGAAAAACCTACGGACAAACGTCACCGTCAATGAGTTCGGAGTTGAACAAGTCAATCGAGCATTGCTGAACCGCTGAAAAATCGGCAAAGAAAAGTGAATCTTTTTACCGCAATATCTCCATGTGATTGATCGTAGGTCGAGGTTAAACAATCGAAATATTTGGTCCAAACTAAATCGGGCAATAAGATTTCAGATGTTGGAGTCACCACTAACCGACAAGGCCTTCTGTGCATTGGTAATTGACCGAGAAAAGATCCATCCAATACTGTGCTCCGGCTAAATGGTTTATCCAGAATCGTGCACAATTATGGAAACGCGGTTTTTCGACTATAACTCAAGGCCCAATTATTCAACTCACCTAATTTTAAATCTATCGAAATTTCGGCTCTTTCCCTGAATCGTGGTTCTTTTAAAGTTTCGTGGTTCTTCTAAAGTTTCGTGGTCTTTTTAAAGTTTCGTGGTTCTTCTAAAGTTTCGTGGTCTTTTTAAAGTTACGTGGTTCTTCTAAAGTTACGTGGTCTTTTTAAAGTTTCGTGGTTCTTCTAAAGTTTCGTGGTTCTTCTAAAGTTTCGTGGTCTTTTTAAAGTTACGTGGTTCTTCTAAAGTTACGTGGTCTTTTTAAAGTTTCGTGGTTCTTCTAAAGTTTCGTGGTTCTTCTAAAGTTTCGTGGTCTTTTTAAAGTTACGTGGTTCTTCTAAAGTTACGTGGTCTTTTTAAAGTTTCGTGGTTCTTCTAAAGTTTCGTGGTCTTTTTAAAGTTTCGTGGTTCTTCTAAAGTTTCGTGGTTCTTCTAAAGTTACGTGGTCTTTTTAAAGTTTCGTGGTCTTTTTAAAGTTTCGTGGTTCTTCTAAAGTTACGTGGTCTTTTTAAAGTTTCGTGGTCTTTTTAAAGTTACGTGGTTCTTCTAAAGTTACGTGGTCTTTTTAAAGTTTCGTGGTTCTTCTAAAGTTTCGTGGTCTTTTTAAAGTTACGTGGTTCTTCTAAAGTTACGTGGTCTTTTTAAAGTTTCGTGGTTCTTCTAGCAATCTTCTTGCTTTCTTGTTAAACTTTCAAAGAACCACGAAACTTTGGAAAGACCACGATTTAGGGAAAGAGCCGAAACTTCAAGTTAATTTCTGCGGTTAATTTCTTAAAATATGTGCAAATCCTGTCAAAAAACGATTCTGCCGAGAGGTTGGCTCTAAAATTCGAAGTACTATAAAAAGCGTAACACTGTTTTTTTTAAACTAAAAATTGAAATTGACTACAGAAATTAACTTGAAATTTCATATAAATATGAAATTAGGGAAATCGGATAATTGGGCGTTGAGTTAGAGTCAAAAAATTGAGTTTCGCTAGTTGTGCGTCACTGTAAAATGGTTCTTTAATGAGTTATTTTTTTGACTTTGACTAAATCCGTCAAGATGTTTAAAGTTGTAAAGTTAGACATTTGACATTGCTAGAGAGGAAACTCTTATGAGTGATATTAAGTTTTTAAAGCAATTCAAACCTACCATAGGTGAAAACTTGCTCGACACAGCTCTGATTTAGCAGGTTCATCGAAGAGAGGCAATTGTAGAGTTGTGCGTTGATTCTAAACAAGAAAATGTTTTCGTTATGACAACTGAGAGATAGAGAGACAATTGAGATTAAAAGAATTGATTAAAAAACAAAAGGAAAGCGAAAAGCTGTTACCTGCAATTACCCGGCAGTCCATCGACGCCTCCCTTCTTGATTCGAGCCTCTCGCGTCGATTGAAATTCCACATACGTCGGGTAGGCACCAATATCTAAGAATGGGAAACTTGTACGTTTTTTACATGAAAACTTTTCGCGAAACGACTTCCTGACCAGCCTAATACCTTCCGACTAACAAACAAATAAACAAAATCAAAAACAAAATCAAAAACAAAATCAAAAACAAAATCAAAAACAAACTTTTAATAACGTTTTAGCCGTTTGCCTCAAAATAGGGATCATAACAAGAAGAGATCATTCTTTGAGAGTTGCACGCTTAGGCTTAGGCTTAGGCTCAGGCTCAGGCTCAGGCTCAGGCCCAGGCTCAGGCTCAGGCTCAGGATTTGGTCGAACTAAGAAACACATTGAGGATAATGTTCAAAAAGAAACCTCTTTAATACCCAAAGAAACCGCAGTAACTATTGAAAAGAAAGTTGAAGATGATCGAAAAATTGATGAGGAAAAGGGTGATGGAGAGATGGGTGAAGAGGGGAGAAAGTGAGCTATTAAAGGAGGGGGGAAAGTGAGTTGATCAAGTAGATAATCAAGTAGATCAAGTAGATCAAGTAGACCAAGTAGAAATCAGTAGGAAAACTTTTGTAGAGTCTTATCTTGCCGATCCGTTTTTAGTTGTTTAAAACCAACTCACAGATTGATGCGAATAGTGATAGGTTGAGATTGTGAATAGAAGAGAAAACACTGAGAAAATGAATGCTAAAATGATTTTTTGAGAGTAAATTCATTGAAAACACTCACCCGGTTTTAAGAATTTCATTTCCTGAAGAAACAGATGCGAAAGAATCTTTAATTTTTAACTTCCGTTATCGGTTGGATTTTTCTGACCTTTTTACCGAAAAATGTAGTTAGTGAAGATAAGAAAGTGGAGAAATTTCAGCTGCTTGGTTCTATTTTGATTAAAAATCAACGCAGAAACGAAATTGGATTCAAAAAAAAAGCACTCTTTAGTTTAGTTTCAGTCGAAATTCGTCATTCAAAAAAACAGAAAAACTCTGTTGCCTCAAAAGTGAGTTAAGTCTTTCTCTTTTTAAAATTTCAAACAGTTTTTATGAGAGTTGACTGGATTAATTGGCCAATCTGCAGAAATCATTGAAACGTAATTGTACAGACCCATTTTCTGTGCCATTCCTCGAGCCGATTGGTTAGGGTTTAATCTTAGACGATCGCGCACTTTCTTGACATTAGCCGGAGTAACCGCTGTTCGTTTTGCACCTCTTCCAGGGCGATCAGATCCCTGGATCGATCAGAAACTGTGCCCAGAGTTTCATAACGTTGAATGGTTCGAGAAACGAGCCTTCTGGGGACATTCAGGCGCTTTGTGATCTCGCTCGCCTGAACACGCTGCTCAAGGATCGATTGTCGATGTGGAGACGCTTTCACCATTCCTGAAAACAAAAAATGCATTGAAAGTTAGTAATCATACCATAAAATAAGAAAAATACACAAAAACCATAAAAAAAGGTAAGCAAAAAGTGAAATGGGGCTCATAACATAATACGACGTTGTTGCGGTAATTCTTGGTCACCCTGTAAAAGTAAACGTACGATTGACGTTGTTACGAAAACGTTGATACGATAATTCTTGAATATCGTGCTTTGATACAGCAATCTTTAAATAACTGTATCTTCTTGATGTCCTGAACACTATTCCTAGTGTGCCTATTCCTGCAGTGTGCCAGAAGAAAGCGTTTCTGCGAGAGCACAAAGCAGAGACACTACACTTTGATGCACGTTAAACTCTTTTTCAAGCACAAACAGTACTTACATAGGGAAAAAGGGTCATTCCTCTTTGCCTCTCTCTTGTCCCGCGCCGCAAATTCGTTACCATGGTGTTCTCTCCAAATACACACAGACAATTATGGCAAGGGTTTCAGCTTTTTGGCTAACTGTTTAAAAGATATTTAAAAGATTTTTTAACCTTACAATTAGTTTTAAAGAAATACTGAGATACTTTATTTTGCTAAATTTCATTTCGCCAAAAATTCATTTCGCCTAATTTGACCAAAAATTCATTTCGCCAAGATTCATTTCACCAAGACATTTCTCATTTTATTATCTTTATATTTACGAATTAGAATGAATGAATGAATGAATGAATGAATGAATGAATCAATTCTTTATCTCTACATGTACACTACTGGACAATGAAATACATATTTGAAAATCGATCGTCACTTTCGCGCGTCTGTAACTCCCTTGTCTTTACCGTATTTCTAAATATTAATATTACCATTGTGTAGCCCTTGAAAAGAGCTTTCAGAAAATGTATAACACTAATAGTTTAAACTCAAAGACAAGGGAGTTACAGAGGCGCGAAAGTGACGATCGTTTTTCGCATATGATATTTCATTGTCCAGTACTGTATCTTGAACATTTGTTTTAAATGAAAGTAGCACTTTTTCGAACAGGCCCCAAGAACAGACCATTTCTTGAAACGCAGTGATGCACCCGGTTTCGAAATCGGTTCGAAATCGAAATCGAAATCGAAATTCGAAACTCTGAGGCTTTGCAGTTGGACACGCTTAAAGGGGGTATTAATCGCGGCCGGGTGACGATAAAAATTTCTTTACGGCAACCACCTGTTTTTTTATTTCAATATCGCTGATTTTATTATAAAAATAATAAAAATCACCCGACTAGAGTGATTTGATGGGTTTACAAATTTTTGGAGACGCTGTAAGACTTGGAGAAAAACAAGATCGTCACTCATCAGACACCTCAGCACAGTCTAGATCGATTGAGTTTTAATTGCAGATAAATTTAAAAGCAAAATAAAAAGCACAAAAAACAATAAAAATAAATTGTTAATCTATAATTCTTCCTCTTGCTCACTTTCATCTTCGCTCAAGTACAGCAGTTCCTCAAATCGGCTTCCTATCTTATCAATTTCCAGCCCATTTTCACCAGAAGTGACTGGATCTCCTCCACCCTAGGACGTCTTCAGCGCTTTGATTGACACAATTAGATCTTTTTTCCATTTGTGGTCGACTGTGGTTTTATTAGGTTGTCCAATAAGTAATGCGTGTTACTTATTTCGAAAATATTGCGAAATAGCTTCGAGCAAATATATGCTCTTTTTAATCATCAGCATCTTGTGTTTATTTTTGTATATTATTTTATTCATTTGCCTTTGTTTTATAATAGATATGTTGCTTTGCAGATGAAAGACAAAAAGTTTGTTGTCCGCGCATCAATGCTGTATGATTTCAAACGAGGTAAAACTGCAGCGGATTGCCATCGAACTATCTGTGCCGCATTTGGAGAGGATTCAATTTCAATCAGCCAGTGCCAGCGCTGGTTTAAACGATTTGCGGACGGAAACGAGTCGTTAGAGGACGAGGAACGCGCTGGAAGGCCAGTCGTTTTTGATAACGAAGCTTTGCACCATTGAGTCTGATCCAACTCAAACCACTCGTGAGTTGGCCGAATTATTTGGTTGTTCCAAATCAACAATCGACAATCATCTCCATGAGATTGGAAAATTTAATCGATGCGGAAAGTGGCTTCCCCACAAATTGAGTGAAGCGAATAAAGCTACTTGAGATTGAGATTGAGAAGCTTGGATGGTCGACTGTCCCACATCCGCCGTATAGTTCAGATCTGGCTCCATCTGATTTCCATTTGTTCCGTTCGATGGCGCACGCTCTTGGAGAACACAAGTTCAAAAGTGTTGACGAGGTGCAAAAATGGCTCGACAATTTCTTCTCATCGAAACCAGCTTCATTCTATTATGACGGACTTCACTCTTTGCTCGGACGATGGAGAAATGTTGTTGATTGTTGTGGAGAATATATCGATTAATAAAGTTCTCTTTTGTTAATTTTGTGATATTTTGAAAATCGTGTCAAAACACGCATTACTTATTGGACAACCTAATAGTTTTCTCAAATAGGTGCCTTTTAGAAAACGCATTACTCGAGAGGAACACACTCTAGTAGATAGCTTTGGGTGTTTTGATGGCCTTTTGCATTAAACGTTGCGTCTAAACATAAAATCTCCATCTGGAAAAGGCATCTAGAGATGTTAAAAACCAAAAGTGTAGATCGAAAGTCTAAAGAAAACAAAAAGAAAACATAATGTCTGACTTTTGCTTTACTTTCGCACTTACCTTGTAGATGAACTACGCGAGCCTTGCAGCGTCTCCAAAAATTTGTAAACCCATCAAATCACTCTAGCCGGGTAATTTGAATTCTTTTTATAATAAAATCAGCGATATTAAAATAAAAAACAGGTGGTTGCCGTAAAAAAATTTTACCGTCACCCGGCCGCGATTAATACCCCCTTTAAGGGAACCGTAAAATCACTACAGCAATTGTTTTCATTAAAATAACAAAATATTTCTTTTATTTGGGCTGTAGACTGGGTTTTACAATATTTCAACTGCAAATTAACTCAATTTCCAGATAAATATTCAAATTTTATACTAAAATCGGTACTTTTCCTATAACGGGGGGATTTCTTTCTCTGCACCTTATTGGCGCAGAGAAATTGGTTTATTTAGACTCAGTAAATTTGTTTTTCTATGTGTTCTCTGCGCGTCACGTGGCTTCCGGCGCCTTTAAAAAAACGCAGGCCACTTCCCAGTTGACCCAGGCCACTTCCCGGTTGATGCAGGGCACTTCCCAGTTGATGCAGGCCAGTTCCCGGTTGACGCAGGCCACTTCCCGGTTGATGCAGGCCACTTCCCAGTTGACCCAGGCCACTTCCCGGTTGATGCAAGCCACTTCCCAGTTGATGCAGGCCAGTTCCCGGTTGACGCAGGCCACTTCCCGGTTGATGCAAGCCACTTCCCAGTTGATGCAGGCCAGTTCCCGGTTGACGGCCACTTCCCGGTTGATGCAGGCCAGTTCCCGGTTGATGCAGGCCAGTTCCTGGTTGCGCATCATGGGCTAGTACGAATGTCACCTACGGCGCTGCCGTAGTTGGCACGAGTATGGGGAAAAATCCCCCCCGTTATAGGGAAAGTATCCTAAAATCCATCATTTTGTGAGTCGATTTTTGAGTTTTCAAAACAAAAACTCAAATCTTTTACGATATTTTACATCAGTTTTTACGTGGATTACTGGATTCCATTCTCCATCGAAATCGTAATTCCATTATCCATTATCCATCCCCTAGAATGTCGAAAACGAACGAGGAAAAGGGTGACCCGAGGAGGACGTATCTCTTGAGGTTTTTCACCATTTCATCTTCACCGCATAACCAATCAACAATTCTCAGAGTTGCCTCACACATCCTCTCGCTGAACATCGTCGAAGAGAAACTGAAACAAACGTCGGCTTTGGATGCATTTTGCGATGGACGGGATACGTTGTTGACAATTGCGAGAAACGATCAGGTGATGGGGTTGAGTGACTTGTGAACTGGTGAACTGGTGAACCAGATTCTCCTTATTGAATTTTGCGTTTCCTCGTTTCCTATTGAGATCCTTTTCACCATCCCAACCAACCAACTAGAAGGGTTACTGTAAAATCTAACGATTGGGGTTGAGTAATCTAACAATGGTAAAGGTAAACGAGTCACGCTGTAAAGCGCTAGTAAGCGCTAACGTTCGTGCAAGTCGGTCAGACTGGATAAAGAGTTACTGTAGAGAACTTAAAGTCATTTTTCTGCAAAATGAAACAAATCAATCTTTCTATTAAGCAGATTTCTCTATCTAAGAATACAGTCTCTATCTCTATCAGTATTTCAAAAAATAATCTATTTTGATTCTCAGAAAGGCGTCGAAATGTCGACATCGTCAAAAGATGTCTCAACTCCATCACAAGGACGAGTCGTTTTTTACAAGAACAAACCTGGCCCGCTTCCAATGGACACTTTTAAACAGGTGATTCATCTCAAAGAACTCATCAGTCTCAGCTTTTAAGCTATCAGCTCCATTTTAAATTGCGCATTCGTTAAAGAAAACGCAATTTTCACTTGTACATTGTACCAGCTGCGTTGGGCTTCCGTTGGGCTTCCGGGGCTTCCGATATCCGTGCGGATATTCTATCTAGAGGTACTGAGGGCACGTAGCACAAATCTGATTGCAGATTCGGATTCCTCACCCCCGAAAACCCCGAGTACAAATTTTCAGCTTCCTAACTCACTTCCTTGTAATTTTACGTTAACGTAATTTGTATTGTCGCGTAGGCGTGACGGACGGACGGACGTTTTGTTTTTTTTTGCATATTCATACTGATATTCATATTGCATATTCATACATATTTTTGCATATTTTTGCATATGCTTATTTTTTGCATATTCATACTGAAGCCAAAATTCGAGACTAGTTTGACATCGAAGTTTTCAACAGCTTAAAAGGCTTTTCTCGCGGGGGGCTAAGATGAGCTGATGGTTTAGGGGATAACGTGCTTGTATATGTCGTAGCCGATGAAGGATTTCAGCCGAAGAAGTCTCAAAAATTAAATCTTGAGTTATGTATTGACTCAAGTCAATACCACAAACTCAAGCTCTCTAAAAGGCGCTTAAAAGCTAAAAACGTATTCTAGTTGCAGTTGCATTTTGCATTTTTCGACCAAAATAAACAATAATACCAAAAAGCGAGTTTATAAACACTAATAAAAAAACAATAATACCACCGGTTCACGAGTTCTTTGACCTAAAAGCAAACTAAGACGAGCTCCTTTCCGTTGTCGGACTAAAGAATTTTTGGGGCTCCAAACGTTCCGAATATTTCCATTAGATGATCGACACCTTCAAATTGTGTTTTCCTTTGCAATGCCCGCAAAACGACGAACTTTGTGAAATGATCCTGGTAGACCATCAAAAACTTGAATTCTCCATCGGAAACGGATTGAAGATCGATTAAATCCGTGCCTTTCGGAATGACGAAAAGGGCCCTTTTATAGCCTTTGGTTATAGTATGATAAAATGTGCACTCTTTAGAATGCGTTTTTAGCTTTTAAGCGCCTTTTAGAGAGCTTGAGTTTGTGGTATTGACTTGAGTCAATACATAACTCAAGATTTAATTTTTGAGACTCCTTCGGCTACGACATATACAAGGCGAGCTAGGCATTCTTTGCTCGGGTTCGAGTCCCGTCTCGCGAATCTTTTTGATTTTAACGAATTGGCGATTTTGTTGTATTTTGTTTCTTTTCCTTCTATATTTCAATAAATATAGAAAAAGAATAATAAAGAAGATAATCTTTGAGCGTCTGCCGATTGGCGATGGCGAGCTGGGGTACTTCCCTTGTCCCGTTCCCATTCTGACTTGATTTAATTGTAAAAGTTGGCCTGGATTTCGTTCTATTCTTACTATTGGTCTTGTCCGATTTTGATCTCAACAAAACTAGTAAACTAGTGAAATAGAAAACTAGTGAAAAAGAAAACTAGTGAAATCAACTTATTTCCCAATCTCAGATAATCAACATGGTGACCGTGAACGGCCCAGCGAATCAAGTTTTTCTCAGCTCGGTGCAACAGGTTTTCTTTTGAAGCTGAGCATACTGTTAGCGAATATTGAATTCTAGGTGTTCGGAAAGAATAAAGAAAATGGATCAAGACAGATCGAGGCGGCCGTTTCCCAATTGGAGGACTCTCTTTTGGCCACCGTTCAACAGAATGCATCATCGCCTAGATGTGAGAAAAAAAATCAAAAATCAAATACAACCGTGCACTATAATTTCACCTCTCTCTAAATTTGGTTCCTTATCTCTACAAATATGGTTCCCTATAGAAATAACCCATTTTTATGCAAATTTTATCTCCAGCTGGCTATGGTTCATTGAAAGACGAAGTGAAAGCGATTTTGGCGACGAGTGACGCAAAAAATGAACCGTTACGCGATCTTTTTAAACCGCTCAACGAGGCCATTCAAACGGCGCAGGTTCGGCACTATGAAAAGATTTTTATTTATCGACAAAAATTAAAATTAAAATTAAAATTGAAATTAACAATTAAAAGTGAAAATCAAAACTAATCTGCACACGCACGAGAACGATTAATTACTTGAAAAATGCGGTTTGGCATTGAAGTGACGAGGTTTTGAGTTTTAAGAGATGGACGTCGCTGTTTTAAGAGACGTCGCTGTTTTAAGCGTCGCTCGCTGCCAAATGCCGAAATCCATCTACTTTTTGTTTGATGTCTGTCTTTTTGTCTTTCTACCGTAATCTTGTCTGTCTTTTTCTCTTTCTACCGTAAGCTTGTCTGTCTTTTTGTCCTTCTACCGTAATCTCGTCTGTCTTTTTGTCTTTCTACCGTAGCCTTGTCCGTCTTTTTGTCTTTCCACCGTAATCTTGTTTGTCTTTTTGTCTTTCTACCGTAGTCTTGTCTGTCTTTTTGTCCTTCTACCGTAATTTTGTCTATCTTTTTCTACCGTAATCTTGTCTGGTTTTTCTCTTTCTACCGTAATCTCGTCTGTCTTTTTGTCTTTCTACCGTAATCTCGTCTGTCTTTTTGTCTTTCTACCGTAGCCTTGTCCGTCTTTTTGTCTTTCCACCGTAATTTTGTCTGTCTTTTTGTCCTTCTACCGTAATCTTGTCTGCTTTTTCTCTTTCTACCGTAATCTTGTCTGTCCTTTTCTACCGTAACCTTGCCTGTCTTTTTCTCTTTCTACCGTAATCTTGTCTCTATTTTTATCTAATCTATTCAATTTTTATCTGATTCTGTGAGGGTTCACAAAAGATATCGAAAGATACAAAAGTGAATAGATTCGATAAAAATAAAGACAAGATTACGATAGAAAGAGAAAACGGTTTAGAAAACAGATTCGCGTTTGTAATCTGTAATAAACTGGAATCACTGTAGGAACAAAGTAAAGAAATGAATGGGAACGAATTTGAAACCGAGAAGGAATTGAACGCTCGACCTTTTGCTTGCCGTGCAATTGCTCTAACCACCGAGCTATCGGCGCCTTCTTCGCGCAAGAAGAAATAGGAAAGACAAGGAAGAGAAAGAAAGAAAGAAAGAAAGAAAGAAAAAAGGAAAGAAAGAAAGAGATAAATAATAGTACTCTCAGGGCGGTCAAATCGAGGAGATCGGGACATTGGTGGAATCGATGGAGGATTGTGTGGACGGATTGTGGAGAGGAACGGATTATGGAGAGACAAAATTGGCGAGATTCATCCATTCTTGCGGTACGACTGTTTTCTGATAAGTATTACTGGTGACCAAAGCTTAGCGTTGGTAAGAATAAGATACTTTTCAGTTATTAAACTTAGTTAACTGTAGTTATTAAGCTAGATTCACGTTTTAGCCGATTTCTTGATCGAGACGATTTCCGAGCGTTTCGACGATTCGTTGTGGGTTGACAAGAATTGTGTTGATGGTTTGAATGTCTCACTGCAAGCGGCACAACAATGGATTGACACTGTCAAGTTAGTGAAAAGCTGAGGCTTGAATTGCAAAGGTAATTTCTTTTTAGGTTGAACACCACTCAAGTCTGGGCTCGTGGTGTTGACGGGAATTGGCGAGGTGGTGAAGTGAAAATGCCATACATGGAGGGTTTCGTGAAAAGGCTTGAAGAGGTACAAGATACCGTAAAAACTCTAATAGAACAGCGCTCTATAGAAGCTTAGCGTAGTCTAGGGTCAACTTTACTCTCAAATCGAGGTCAACTTAACTCTCAAAATAAACCCTCATATCTTGGCACCAGTGCGTTTGTTTTTGCGCGCTTTGGTATCAAATTATAGTAGAAAGATAGAGCTATTTTTTTGTGATATAACACATTATTTTAGCATTAACCAGTGCTTAGAAAAAAGTGATTAAAAACCGGCTCTTGAAAAGCGACGAAAAATCGGCTTTTTTTTGCTACTTTTCAATCACTTTTTTCTAGGCGCTGGTTAATGCTAAAAATATGTGTTATATCACAAAAAATAGCTCTATTTTTCTAATATAATTTGATATTAAAGCGCGCAAAAACAAACGCACCGGTGCCAAGGTATGAGCGTTTATTTGAGAGTAAACTTCAATTACGCGACACTCCTATAGGGGGTCGTTCTAGTCAAGTTTTTACGATCGATTTTAATTCAGATACGAATGCTTTTTTTTTATTAAATCAACATATATGCTTTTAAAGACGAGATATCGATAAAAACTAGATCGAAATATTCACTATTCACTCAGATTTTGTCACTCCGAAGTTTCCCCGAGCAACTCGCCTCTTTACTCAACGAGCCTCATGTGATCGGAGAAGTTGAAGGTGTTGTAAGAGTTTGAAATTCATATTCAGTGATATAAAAAAAGTGATCTAAACCTGTAGAATAGTGATCAAAAATACGTTTCATCGAATTTCTATGAACATTTTGCAAATTTTAACTTCTACTTTCGCGCATAGCCTTCTTGGATAAAAGTTTCCAAGAAGTTTCCATTTTAACCGATTTTTTTTGGTATTTTTTTATTGCAAATCTTTAGAACTTGATAGCTGATGAAATAGAGCTCAATTTTTAAAGAATAGTTTTATTTTTTAGAAACAATATCAAAAGGAATGATTGGAGTATCTCCGTTCGTCTATAGTCCCAACTCGGAAACGGCGTGGAGAGCGAAAATTCAGGTAAGCAAATCCAAAGCAATCTCCAGAATTTGTAAGTCATGCAAGCAAGGCCAGAATCCAAGTCCAGATCTGGCCTCTGTCCAGATCTCCCGAGCGCACAAGGGAACGTTTCAAAGAGGGTTTGAGACTTTTAAACGGTTATTGAGCATTTGATAACTGAAGATTTGATAGCTGAACATTTGATAACATTTATTTAGCTCTAAAATCCGAATGCAATAAGAAAGATCAATAATTATGTGTTGACAAATGCCTACCGTAAATACTGTAATAGTACCCCATCCCCATAATGACGTTGCGGAGTGTCGCGTAGTCTAGCTTTGGACGCGTTTTTCTCGACACTGGTTTATGCTACAATGCGCGCTTAGGTATCAAAAAATAGCCCTGAATTTCAGCTATTTTTTTGATACCAAAGACGCATTTTTTGAAAGTACGGGTGCTTAGAAAAAATGAAATATTAAAAAAAACTTTTGCGACTACGCGACTGTACGAGGGCGGTGAGGTACTATTACAGTATTTATGGTAGCTTTTTTTATAGCACTTTGATGTTTCTTTGCTTTAAGTAATTATCTTTCAAAAGTTTATCTAAACCAACATCTTTATCAAACCAACCATCACAAAAAGAAAAAAGTGAAACAAGTGAACACTTTTTGATTTGAAAACTTCTGAACTTCGGCTCAGATTGAACCGAACTCTCAATTCGAAAAAAGTCAGACTGAAAATCAGATTTAGAAAATCCTAGGGTTAGGTTTAAACAATGAAAGAAGCCAAATCAGCACAGAATAGGATAAGGCTTGAGATCGGATCAGGAACGGGAACCAGGCCTGGACCTGGTTTCTGATCTGGTCTTGGCCTAGCCTGGTCTAGTCTAAAATTTTTAGGAACAAAAAATTGCCAGCAATTGCCAGCGATTGCCAGCATTGCAAAAATTGCTAGCCATTCCCAGCAATTCCCCTCATTTCCAGGCCACCGAGCGCTCCCTGGAGCCGATGATCGAACGGGTGATTCCGATCCTCAAAAATCGACTCATGCCATCAAATTTGGATAATAATATGGTAATTAAAGGCTTTTAATATCTAGATAGAAGCTAAATTCAACTTTTCCAGCTTGCCATGGATTTGGAGAAGTTCAGGAATTTTCTCAGTCGAACGAGGGTTAAAGAGAGGATGTTGGCTGAGAGGTAAGCTTGAGAATGAAATAAGCAATTTGTTCACGATAAAAGCTGGGTAATTTCGGTAGAGGTCTTACGGTAGAGCTTTCAATAGCTGTTTTATGACGTAGGCTTTTTCAGTTTTGACAGCTTCAGTTTGACTACTTGCTGACTTGCCTAAAAGATCTGAAAACGGTCAAAACAATTCTCTTTGAATTGATTTGATTTGGCCTTGGCTAGCCATAGCTAACACGTGAGGCAAAAAACCAAAGCTATAAAATTTCACATTTTCAAATCTAGAGAAAACCTTATGTCCCGCTTGATCAATGTCCTGTCAAGCAAAGAAAACGAGATCGACGATCGGATGAATCGAGGAGGACAAGCGGGGAGGTAAACAACAAAAAAATATGATAAAGATTAGAGCTAGCATTATGGTAGCTGTTGAAAGTTGGCATGTTTCAAAAAGCAAAACTTCTCCTAGTTCAGAAAGTTGTCAGTAACGAAATCAACTTCATACACTTTATAGATACAGTAGTCAATATTTCTAGATATCTATGCGAGGTGGCCGCGCGGATCGTTTGGATGCGAGAGCAGGGAGCACAGGTGAGATATGAGTACAGGGTGCGGCAGGATTATTGCAACCGCCTCAGAGCATCAATGTTATTGGGTTGGGGAGAATGAGTCGGCGCCGAAAATCAAAGAAATTTCTAAAACTTATAGCAGACTTTGTCAAATGATATGCGTTTGATATCCGTAGAAGGGTAACTAATTCTCTACAAAATAATATTTAAAAGAGAACTCAAACAGCGCCTCAACTCAACAAAAGGCCATTTTTTCACAAAATCTATAAACTGTGACCTAGCGAAAACGGTTGGAGGGATCTTCCTGAAAATTTGGTAACTTATGCAATTGAGTATACTCTATCTTTTTTATGTAGACACCAAAGAAGGTTTATGTGGAAGAAACTGTTCAAACGAGGAGTCGGACACTTTGCCATTTTGACTAGCTGTGTTTGGGAATCCATAAAATCCCAAAAAAGAAAAGCTTTGTGGAATCTCTCAAAAGTCATTTTGTAGAGAAATAGTGGACCTTTTTGATGAAACAAAACGTGTATTTAAAGAATGTTTTATGGGTGCAAAAAGTTTCTTTAAATTTCGGCGCCGACTCATTCTCCCCAACCCAATAGTTTCAACAACTAACAGCAACAGCAACAACAACGACAGCAGCAACGACAACAACGACGACAACGACAATAACGACAACGACAACAGCAACAGCAACGACAACGACAACAACAACAACAACAGCAACAGCAAGAGCAACAGCAACGACAGCAGCAACGACAATAACGACAATAACGACAACAGCAACAGCAACGACAACGACAACGACAACAACAACAACAACGACAACAGCAACAGCAACGACAACAACGACGACAATGACAACAGCAACAGTAAGAGCAAGAGCAACAGCAACGACAGCAGCAACGACAGCAACGACAACAACGACAACAACGACAACAACGACAATAACGACAACAGCAACAGCAACGACAACAACGACAATGACAACAGCAACAGTAAGAGCAAGAGCAACAGCAACGACAGCAGCAACGACAGCAACGACAACAACGACAACAACGACAACAACGACAATAACGACAACAGCAACAGCAACGACAACAACAGGATTTGGTGTTTTATGCAGGATGATGCTTATGGCTCACAAGGCTCGAGTGGCTTAGGACGGGCGTATACAGCATTTTCCCGATTTTTGTGTGTCTGTCCGTTCACCACATAACTCGAGTCGCAGTGAGAATTTTGGTCTGATTTTTTGGCACCATATGTAATCACATGCGGGATCGAGTTTATCGAGCTTTTTGAAGAGATTTCTTAAGCGAATCGATGCTAGAATGGGGTTTTTTGGGACGCTTTTGCTTCAAGAATATTCAAAACACAAACATCGGATTAAGATCGGCACTTTGGTGGCCGATCGGTGGCCACTAAAGGTGGTCAAATCGGGGAAATGCTGCTCGCGCCAGTCCTGAACCACTCAAGGCTTGTGAGCCATAAGGATCAGCCTACATAAAAGACCAAAACCAAATGTAATAGAGAACACTGCCTCTCGGTCACAGGAATATTTTTCAAGCGAAGAAGGCAAGGCAAGCGAAGAAGCTTTACAAAGAGGTAGCAAAAAATTGAAAGCCAAATTCCTTGCGCTTGCAAGCTATTTAGGAAAAAGCTAAAAGCGAATTCGAAAAGCCCGTGAAAAACTGAACAAGATAGGATTGGTCTCGTTTTGAAATTCCACCTTAAGTTGATGATCTTTTCTAGTGAGACGGTTGTAATAGTGCTGCTGCAACCTGTAATCTTGCCGCAAGATATCAAAATCTTTCAGCTTGAATCAATCTCGTCAGCTTGTCAAACGCTGCTCTCCGATCTGAATGGCGTGCAAAATCTGCAGATGAAATTGGATCGATTACAAGAAAAGCTACGAGCCGCTGAGGCTGAGCTCTTTGAGCAATGGTGAGTTCAAATGATTAGAAAGTTGAATAGTGTCGAATCGTTCCTAAATGGCATCTATTTTAGCCCTAGCGTAGTCGTCAGTTTTCATTCGATCAGCTTCATTTTTCATTTGATGCTGGAATCACAAAGCTCAGTTAAATAATATAAAAATTGATTCAAATGATAAAAAATGATAAAAAATGATAAAAAATGATAATAAAATAATAAAAAATGATAAAAAATGATAAAAACGATAATAAAATGATAAAAAGGATAAAAATGATAAAAAACGATAAAAAACGATAGTAAAATGATAATAAAATGATAAAAAATGATAAAAAATCATATTAGGTTGGTCAAAAAGAAATGAGCGTCGTGTTTGTTGATTTGTATATTATTCACAGTAAAAGATTTTTTTAAATAGTTTATTCTATTGGAAAGAGCGTGTTCTTGCGCATCGTTTGATATATAATTTGTCGATGTTTACTTTGTTTTTTTACAAGAAAGAGTGTTTAGAAAATGTCGGACCAAAAATTTCGCTTGCGGGCCTGCTTGTGGTATGAATTTAAGCAAGGCAAATCGGCTGCTGAAGCTCATCACGCTCTATCTCAAGTGTTTGACGAAGATGCTCTATCCGAAAGTCAGTGTAAACGATGGTTCCAGCGCTTCCGAGACGGCGAAGAAAGCTTGGAAGACCAAAAACACGGGAGTCGACCTCAAATCATCGACAACGACGCATTGAAGGAAGCCATTGAGTCGGAAACCACTCGCGACCCGGCAGAACAGTTCGGCTGCACTCATGTCACCATTGAGAACCATCTGCATGGCATGGGCAAGACGAATAGATGCGGAAAATGGGTACCGCATAAGCTATCCGACGCAAACAAGGCGACACGCATCGCAATCGCCGGAATTCTCACTCACCGCGCCAAAGAACAGTGGGTTTTTCGACTCCATTGTTACGTCGGATGAGAAGTGGATCCAATACGACAACACAGCAAGAAAGCGGCAGTGGTTGGACCGCGGCGAAGCTCCAAAGCCGACTCCAAAACCGGACATCCACGGAAAAAAGGTGATGCTTTGTGTTTGGTGGAACAGTAAAGGCCTGGTGTACTTTGAGGTTCTGAATTCGGGTCAAACAGTTACGGCGAACCTCTACCAAGGCCAATTGGACCGCGTGGACCAGGCGCTGCGACGTCAAGGTGTGGATACGGCGTCGACAAAATTCCTCCACGACAACGCTCGGTCGCATGTCGCAAAAATCACCCAGCAGAAAATTGAAGAAATGGGCTGGGAAGTCCTGCCTCATCCGCCATACAGCCCAGACTTGGCGCCTTCCGACTATCATCTGTTCCGATCAATGCACCACTCCTTGGCCGAGAAAAAGTTCAAGAACCGCGACGAGGTCCAAATTTGGGTGTCCAACTTCTTCGAGTCGCAGCCGGTCGAGTTCTTCAAGAAGGGCATCCATTCTCTGCGTGAACGTTGGCGACAAGTCATTGATGCAGATGGCGAATACCTTTTGGATTAATGTATTATTATCTTGTTTTTATAATAAAATAAACTTTTAACGAAAACGCGCATTTCTTTTTTACCAACCTAATAATTAAATAATAAAAAATGATAAAAAATGATAAAAAACGATAATAAAATGATAAAAAATAATAATAAATGAATAAAATCGACTGAAAATCGGTTGGGTTACGGTAGTTTTGACTAAAATAAATTCCTTTTAGACTTTAAACTCAAGAAAGTTTCCAGGAGTCGCGAAACGATTCAATCAATCGACAGCACGACAGATTCGATTGCTTTAGAAACGAAAGGACAAGTGCGTTTTTTGTCTTTTTGATTTATAGACTTACTGTAGCTTTTGATTAGCTTTATCATTTAGTCAAGAATAGGAAAAAGGGATTACGGTCGAGATTTTTGCGCTTGCGATTTTCAGGTGATGATTTTGGAGCAAAAACGAGGCACTTTAAATGTGAATTACTCGGATCGATTGATAGCACTGTTGAGAGAGGTTTGAGAGACGATTTTTCAGTTAAAATTTGATAATATTAGATAATATTTGATAACATTAGAATTTAATAGTATAATTCTATTATTTACCCTACTTTTAGGTTCGCCAATTGGCCAGTTTGGGCTTACCGATCCCGTCGAAAATCCTCAACTGTGTGACGAATGGGGAGAGGTTTATTTTGTGATATCTCAAGAAAATACTTGCTAATTGGAGCATTTTACAGTAAAGCTAAGCTACAGTGGCCTTACAGTGAATATGCTAGAGAAATCAACGTAAACATCTAGATTCTATCGTTTCGGCATCACCCTCAAACAGATCGCCCATTTCTACAACACAATCGACAAGCAAATGTTGCCCTGTCAACAAGTGAGATACAAGGAAAATAGTGGAAATGTAGCCTTTCTGGCGCACTCAATTCTCACAGCAATAATTGGTGTCTTTAGAAAAATGAATCAACTCTACCAGAAAGGTAAAAAATGAATCAACTCCACCAGTATTTGCAAACTTTGAGCACAAAGTTCCAAGCTGAGCTTTGAGATGTGCTTTTTGCTTGAAAAAAATGGAAACACAGGTGTTCTGGTGCATTGAAAAACGCCTTTTAGGCTTTGATGTTGGACGAGGCGATCGCCTTTGAAAAACTCGTCATTCCACAGAAAGGACACGGATTGAAAACGGTAAGTTTTCATATTTTAATTATAGCCTAGATACACGATATTTACATAGTAACCTTAAAAGATTTCTTAAAAATATGTCTAAATATTTGAATAAGCTTCTAGGTGACCTGGGAAAACCCGAACGAGCTGGAGGCTTTCGTTGCCGAGTTGCAGAAAGCGGCTGAGCGGCTGGCCACGCATAATCGGTAAAAATATCTATTTTCGATATTTTAAATATCTTAGATAATAATTAGCTTCCATTTCACATATTTTCAGCCGTCTCCGCAATAAACACTCGGAAATCGTGGAAATGTGCGTGGAGTTGACCGGTTTAGATGTGCTGAAAGAAGTGAACAAATGGAAAGAGATACTCGTGCAAATGAGGACAAAAGTGAGGGTTTAAAAAAGAGATTTTCTATTTTCTAAATCCCTTTCCATTTCCACATAAATCCCTTTCTCTTTCCACCGTAACATTGTCTTTTTTTTATCCACTTTTTCGATCTTTCGATATCCTTTGTGAATCCTCACAGAATTCGACAAAAATTGGATCAATTGGATAAAAAATAGAGATAAGATTAGGGTAGAAAAACAAAAAGACAGACATCACACAAAAGAGAGACCTAGTCAAAATAGCGCCGTCAAAACAGCACCGTTCAAAACAGCGCCATCAAAACAGCACCGTTCAAAACGGCGCCATCAAAACAGCACCGTTCAAAACGGCGCCATCAAAACAGCGTTAATTTTAAAGATTTTTATGTAGATTAACCAACGCTTTTTTGGAGCTTTTAGAGTTTTCGATAAAAGCTTTAGTTTTTTATGCATTTTCAAGTAAAATAGTAGATGAAGACTTGTTTATTCAATTAACGAAATGAAAAAACGAAACAACGGAGTTAACACATGTAACAACATAAAGATTTTCAATGATCGACTGGACTCTTACCCAAAAATCCATCTTGAACTGCAACTTTTCTTACACGCTGGCCGTGAAAAACTTTCGACGATTGAGGTGATGAGGTAGAGTCATGTGCTGAGATGTAGTCGCATCTAGACATTTTTCGAAGTCTTCTTGAACATCTGGTAGCTTTTGAGCAACATAGCGAGCGGAACATCGTGTAGTAAGAGTCTAAATCTTTACAAATTAACTAAACATTAAAAACACAAACTTTTAGTAAAGAATGGTAAGATTCCTGAGACGATTTGTCAAGTTGTTTGCCACGACAGATTGTATCAAACGAGTTTCACGTTTCAATGGAGTGTGTCGGTCGAACGAAACGAATATTTTGAACAAATCCAACAAAAGACTTTTCGAAGGTCGAAGCTTAATCTAAAAAATTAAATTTATAACAAAGATAAACAACAAACTTTGTAACTCGTTAATAACGGAGGGCATTTGCTTGAAGGCTTTCGAATTCCTGAGACGATTTGCCAAGTTGTTTGCCACGACAGATTGTATCAAACGAGTTTCACGTTTCAATGGAGTGTGTCGGTCGAACGAGACGTGCACGAAAATGAAACATCCCACCAATACTCCAAATGGAGTGCTAAAAATTTTCAAGTTTTGTTATTAAAGTTGAAAGAGTTTAATATACCTGACGTAACATATCGATTCCCCAATCAGTAGCAAAGAATTTCATTGCGTTTGCGTGTGGAGCTGGGTGGTTGAGCAGCTATCATATCGTAAAAATAAAACTCCTAAATGTAAATGTTTATGAGACTGACATAACAACAACTCACGAGACGTTCCGGTGATCGAAGCAGGCCAATCTCTGTCACTATCGACGCCGACTGAGATAGCGACATTCCTAAATGAAAAAAAGATGTTGAGAAATAAAAATTTTGCAGAAAAGAGTAAAAATTAGCTTAATCTATCTTATTAAATTTATTTTAGATCAAACAAACAAAGTCGTTACCTCAAATAAGTAGAAACTCTTCGCAAACGATATTGTATGAAAAGTACCTGTGATTGTTGAACCACTTGCACGCTAGCCACGTTGAATCACTTGCAACAACCTTTCTATTCCTTCAGTCGACGTTCTTTTTATCTGAAAAATGCAAAATTAAGTACCAAGAAGAGTAAAAACAAGATAAAACGATGAAAAACAAAAAGTGCCACATGGTTTATCGAAAATGGACCATAAAACATGATTCTGATGATGAAATAATCCGTCGGTTTGTTAAAACACGCGTAAGGTGCTTAAAAATGTTTTAAAAATAACAAAAGTCACAAGTTGTTATGAGAAGTATAAAAACATTGGGGTTGAAAAATCTAATTGCAGTCATTTTCAATTTGGCGCTATTTTTGTATGGGCGCTGTTTTAAATCGCCTTTTTTTGAACGGCGTTGTTTTGGCGGCGCTATTTTGACTAGGCCTCACAAAAAGTGGATAGATTGGACAAAAAATAGAGACAAGATTACGGTAGAAAAAGAAAAAGACAGACAAGATTACGGTAGAAAGACAAAAAGACAGACAAGGCTACGGTAGAAAAAGAAAAAGACAGACAAGATTACGGTAGAAAGACAAAAAGACAGTCATCAGGCAAAAAGTGGATAGATTGGATCAAAATAGAGACGATTTTACGGTAGCTTTTAGTGTTTTATAAAATATTTTTTAAATATCTATTTTAATATTTAATCTCCATTCTAACATAGTCCAGTTCGTACTTTGTACTCGCAAACACCTTTTACCATACTCGATGCTTCTTTTTTTAGAGCAGTATTTCAGAAAGTGAGCGTTTATGTACGACAATCTTTAAATGCAGTAATCCTTAGCTACAGTAATACTTAGCTACAGTAATACTTAGCTACAGTAATACTTAGCTACAATAATCCCTATCGTACTCTTTGGGTTTATTTTTGGTTCCGATTGACTTTTCTACAAATCCCTTTTAGATCAGCGAAGAAGAGTTGGCTTTCGGAGCCACGAAGGCAAATATGAGACCTTGGCAGATACATTGGGATCGACAATTGTACAAGGTACGTAATGGTAGAATCTATCTAGATATCAGTTATCTAATATCATTTATCTGATATTAAATATCTGCTATTAAAGTATCTAATCTAATCTAAATAGAAACACATTTAATAGTAAGAACTTTTTCAGTCCCTTCAACTCCAATACCAATGGGGTCTCGAGAGTCTTCACACCCAGATTCCAACGATAAATGCGCAGCTTGTTTTCACGTGCGTTTAAAAGTTATCTAGCATTTTTAACGTAATCTTTAGCCAACAAAAGCTCCAACTTCGGCCACCGATTGAGGAGATTCGAGCAAAGTACTATCGAGAATTGCGCAAATTTCTCGGGATTCCAGAGAAGTTTCGCGGGGTTCAAGACGGGGATCAAGTTCGTTTTAACAGTACTATTAGGTTTTAACAGTACTATTAGGTTTTAACAGTACTATTAGGTACTTTAGCCGTACTTTAACAGTACCCATAAAAACCCAAAGATTTTGAATTTCATTTATTTTCATAGAGATTTCCATAGAGTAACCTCCCGACTTTTTATTCCACTTTTTGCATGACATTGATAAACATCGGTGTTGTGCCTGGCTTAAGGTTTAATTTTGCCTTGGTTTAAGAAGTTCCCAGAAAAGGACGCTTGTCGAACACCAGCCAACACACAACATTTTTGCTTCTTTTCGTGGATGTTCCGTTTTGGTACCATTTTACATGCTTGCCCTTTCTTCAACCACTGCCATTGTAGAAAAGCATCGTAGAAAATGTAGCATCGTAGAAAACCCACGTTTGATCGTGAGTGATGAATCGTTGAATCGTTCGAAAGAGGAAGCCGATCATGCATTCGCTCCACAAGTGACTGCCAAAACGGAACATCCACGAAAAGAAGCATTCGCTCCACAAGTGACTGCATGTCCGCTTTCTTTTAACTTGGATTGTTTCCGATATTTCATATGGAATCGTTTTTCGTCTTGGCATTGTTTTCTACAATTTCTTTTCACTTTTCGCAGCCATCACTCAGTCATTCGTCAACAGTAACTTTCTCAATTTCCCGGTTGATTCATCATCGGGATTTCGCAGGAATCGGTGCCTCAGATCGATCCTCAGAATCGATCAATCGACTTTCCTAGGTCGACCGCTTCTCCTCTTCCGTTTGATCCTTGTGTTGTTCGTCTTGAATCTGTGAAATCATTACTATCCAACAATCCAATTGGATTGGATTATTTCCGACATTTCATATGGGTTTTGGCGTTGTTTTTACAATTTCTTTTCACTTTTCACGGTCATCGCTCAGTCATTCGTCCACAGTAACGTCCAGCAAATTTCTGGGTTGATCCATCGAGGTTTCGCAGGAATCGGTGCCTCAGATCGATCCTCAGAATCGATCAATCGACTTTCCTGGGTCGACCGCTTTTCCTCTTCCGTTTGATCCTTGTGTTGCCCGTCTTGAATCTGTGAAATCATTCCTGTGCAGTACTCGTTCCAACAATTCTGTTACCATAAAATTGATTGATTTCTCATGTTGCTTCGACCGCTGAAATCCCTCTTGAAAATCGTTGGAGCAGTAGGGTGTGGATTTCTTCTCGAGTTGGCATCATTTGATTGACTTCTTCATTTGATTGACTTCTTTATTTGATTGACTCTCTTCTCGTGTCGATCTCTAAAAAATGAATATCAGTGCAAGAAAGAAGAAAGTTTTAGCATAAAAAAGAAAAAAAAAACAAAAAGCTGATCAGAACAAAAATCTCTAGGTTTTTATGGGACAATCTAATACAGTATTCGAGTTTTTTTCAATTTCAGGCCTCATCTTTCTTTGCTCCAATGGCTGATAGGAATGCTGATCGTTTCCACACGGTTTACGAGAAAGCCGAACAAGTTTTGATGAGAGTTGCGGAAGCTGATCGAGAATTTCAAGTATAACTCTTGAGCTTATCTACTTTCTAACGTTCTAACCTAACCAAACAGCTTAAGACATGCCCGGCTATCGTAATCTGGTCTACCATTAGCTCCATGATAGCCAAATAGCCAGAGATTAAAACCTAAAACAACAGTAACCTAAAACATGTCCGTAATACATCGAGTAGAAAATTTTCTTTCGTAACTCGTAAAAATCTACTTAATAACTTTATAATGATATCCAGGTAGCATAAAAAAAACAAGAGTTTTCAAAATTCTTCTACTAGAAAAAAAGTTATGAAGATGAACGGTTTTCAACTGAATAACTTTTTTTCCAATAGAAGAATTTTGAAAACTCAAGTTTTCCTTATCTCTACAAATTTGGTTCTTTATCTCTCTAAATTTGGTTCCTTATCTCTAGAAATTTGGTTCCTTATCTCGACAAATTTGGTTCCTTTGCTTTCTAAATTTGGTTCCTTATCTCTACAAATTTGGTTCCTTATCTCTAGAAATTTGGTTCTTTATATATATACTTTATCCGACAAGGAAAAGTGACAATGCAAACAGATTGAACAGCGTAGACGAAGAAAGATAATTGATATACAAACACAACTACAATTAGACACGTGTATATATGATATTAAAAATTAATTTAAAATTGACAGAGCTACAAGATCGAGCTTATATATTGAGGATTTAAAATAGTTCAGAGACGAAAAAATATCACAAGGTAACTTATTCCAAATACGAGGAACACGACAAGCAAAAGAATGATACAGTTGGCGGTTATGAAAGCTTTGAAAGGGGGTAATCTGAAAGTTGTGACTACGAGTTCTTCTGGCGTGATTCGAAATCTTAAAGAGTCCTTTAAGTTTATCTCTCTAAAAATTTTACCTTTCTTGATTTGCGTAATCCAACCTAATTCTAATTAATAATCAACGATCAAGAATCGAAAAAAGCTTGCAAATAAGCTTTTAAAAGAAATGTTTAACTGCTTTTCTATTAGGAATGGGTTGTATTGGCGCAAATCGATTTGGAGGCGCTTATCGAAGAGCGTTTCATCGTTGCTTCACATTGGGAACAACACTTTCGAATGTTAAAAACGAAAGCGAGAGAGGCCGAGAAATTACCGACGTTTGTTTTCTTTTGACATGCTTTGTGCTTTTATCCAACAAATCCTTTTTAGCGAGGTTCGCGTCGAATGTGTCGTCGTCTCTGCATCACCCGTTCTCTCAACAATCGAAGAGCTTCTCTCTCGTTTATTCGATTCTCTCGTTTGGACGTTGAGGCAATCCGTCTCAACGCAAGTCCAAATCATCACCATTTTTCTTAATGGGGCAAGTTTTACATTAAAATACGATTTTTCTTCATACCTAGACTCCACAATATTATCAGGGTGTAAAGAAAATGAAGAAAAAAGGTTTACTAAGTGCTTTACTATTTACTAGGATTAATAAGTGCTTTACTTATGATTCCTACGAGTAACTACGGCTAAATGCATCTAAGGATTGCTGCTGATTAGACATGGACACTACAAACTACAAACGGAAACTACAAACGCTTTTAACTTGCTTCAAATCTGTCAGATTGACATGAGCTATAGCTCAAAAAATAGAGAATCACAAGAGCTTTTGAATGGACTAAAGCACACCAAAAATAGCTCTTTTCTACGCAATTCTACAAGGGTTGGTAGTCTGTAGTCTGTAGTTTGTAGTCTGTAGTTTGTAGTCTGTAGTTTGTAGGGTCCATATCTAGTTTCGAGGCAGGCTACAAACCCTTGTAGAATCGCGTAGAAATTATATTTTTCGATGTGCTTTAGTTCATTCGAAAGCTCTTGAGATCCTCTATTTTTTGAGCTATAGCTCCTGTCAATCTAGCAGATTTGAAGCAAGTTAAAAGCGTTTTTAGTTTTTGTTTGTAGTTTCGGTTCGTAGTGTCATGTCTATCGTGAGGCTAATCTTCTATCTTTTAGGCGATCACCACCCTTTCAACCCGTCCTCAATCGGTCGACGAAATCGCTGACGCGAACGCCAAACACGCCGAATTCGGTCAAAAGAAAAAGGAGTTGAAAGAAAAGTTGGGAATCGTTGATGAGCAACACTCATTACTGAGATCGGTGGCGGGAAGTGGGGTGAGTTTTCGGAGGATCAAAGGAGACATTAGTAATGTACAGGGCGCGTCATAATTACTCATAATCGGAAAAAAATTGGAAAAAATTTCCTTTAGATTCCATATTCAAATTTTTATGAAAATAATTATATTATACGAATCATAGAATCATAAAAAGAACTAAACTTCAAACTTAGAAACAGCGTAAATACGATTATTTAGCTTATTAAGCACTTATTCGGCAGTGGACAGCTTCCTAGCACTGAACACAATGCATGTTGCTGGTCTGGGAACCGTTGAAGAAGACCTTGACATCGAACCATTTGTTTCGCTGCTTCTGTTAAGCCTTGTTCTTCTTGAAGGCTTTTAATTTGAGATGTTTTTGAAGAATTCTCCTTATCGACGGCTCGGAAAGGCACGCGAAGACTCGTAGACTTGCCAAGACTGCGCCAAGAAGCACTCGCACCCGCGCCCGGATTTCTTCTGATCTTTTCGCGCAGTTTCTTGACGTCCGCTCCTGTAATGACAGACGGAAATCACAGACTTGCGCGCCAAGACTCGCAGACTTGCCAAGACTCGCAGACTTGCCAAGACTCGCAGACTTGCCAAGACTGCGCCAAGACTTTCAAGGCTTGCAATTTGAGGTGTTTTCGAACAATTCTTCTTATCGACGGCTCGGAAATGACACTTGTTCGTGCCTTGTTCTGTTTGACACTTGTTCTTGAAGGCTTTCAATTTGAGGTGTTTTCGAAGAATTCTCCTTATCGACGGCTCGGAAAGGCACGCCAAGCCTCGCAGACTCGCCAAGACTGCGCCAAGAATCACAGACTTGCAAGCCCGCGCCGTACGCTTCATTCCGGGTTTCTTCTGATCTTCTGGCTCACTTCTTGACGTCGGCTGTGATGACAGATCGCCTGTCTCGTCCGAAACGACCCTTATTTCTTCTCAAGGCTTTAAATCTTGCAATCGTTTGGTAACCGTCTAGCAAACGATTGCACGGCTTGACTTGCTTCCAGGCGATTCTTGAGCGTGCCTTGACACCCCTTTGATGGAGATCAATGATTGACTGACGGTGGATTGATGGCTTCACCATTCCGACAAATCGTTTACCTTAAACAAAATTTTAGTTAATTTTAGTTTTAGTCATAAAAAGAGAAAACAAACAGAAAATCTAGACAATTCTATTTGAATGCGCCTTATTATGGGTTATGACGCACCCTGTACAGTACTCGAAACTCAGGATTAACAAGCTGAACCTGTTCCGGGTGTACTTTGTGCTCAAATCTTGTAAACGCACGGTTTCTGAAGGACTATATTCTCCGTTTCAGTGCTGTAACTGTCATGTTTTTCAGTAAAAAGGATACGGTGACTAAGTACACGATTTTGTTTTATTATTTCTATGAAATGCATAAATCTATTAAGGATCTATTAAAGATCTATTAAAAATCTATTAAACATCTATTAAACATCTATTAAACATCTATTAAACATCTATTAAACATCTATTAAACATCTATTAAACATCTATTCATAACAAATTTCAGGTCGAAGCAGCTGCCTCAGTGAAACAACAATGGGAACGCTTTGAGCTAATGCTTGATTCACACCAAATGATGATCAAAGAACAGGTTTGATTGCTATAGTAGTCCGGAGAGCCGTGTACTAGCTAGACCTGATTTCTATTGAGTCAGAGCTTAATTTTTGATTCTAGGATCTTTCCATGGCCTAGATTCTTAACATGGCCTAGATTCATGGTTTATATTTAAGCTTTATTAAAATTCTAAACACTTCTCCAGGTGGATGTGTTGCGATCAAACCTTGAGACGAAATCTCGCGAGTTGGAGACAGAAGCAGAAAGGCTTCAAGCAAGGTACCGTATCAGATACAAATCGTTTAAATTCAAATTTCAGATGGGATCAAGTAAAGCCGAAAAGTGAGGCACTCGATGGTGAAAGGGATGCTTTGCAAAAAGCGATTGACACGATCAAAGAGAAACGAACGGAAATGGAGGAGTTGAAGGCGAAAAGAGTACAGCTGGTCAAGGAATGCGAACAATTCGGGGAACAAGCACCAACGTTGCCGATATTGGAGAGACTGGAAGTGGAGATCGAGACAATGGCTGAGCAATGGTTTGTGAGGGGGAAGCTGTGGAAGGACTTGCTTAGTAAATCAGATTGAAATTGGTTGGAATGGGGTACTTTTAAGGCAGAGTTGTCCAAAAAGCAATTTAATTAAAACCCAGCTCATCTTGGCCAGCGGATAACTCCAGGGGAGATTAGACTTGGCTAGGAACTAAACTAGAAACTAGAGTTGGCTAGGAACTAGAGTTGGCTGGGAACTAGAGTTGGCTAGGAACTAGACTAGAAACTAGACTTGGGTTAAGCTGGATTAAGCCAAGACCAAAACCAGGATCAGACCAGAAAGCAGATCCAGTTCTCACTTTGCTTCTGATCTTGCCAGGATCCATCAACACTACTGTACCCAAGAGATTGCAAAATTGCGGAAACTCAGATCAGCCCGGAACTAGGTTTGACTTCTGACCTTGTTCAGAAAGAGTATCTGGACCAGCTAAAAGCTAGGCTTGTCCACAACTGTTGTCCTTGTCCACTTGTTGGTATGGACGCGTACCTGGTATACCTGGACATCCTTTGTCCAGGGCAGTTAGGTGAGATCGACTCATAAAGCCGGAGAACTAGAAGCAAGGTCAGCTAGAATTCGAGCCAGCCTATCCACCAGAACCAATCGAATCTGGCATTGTTTGACCCTAACTGATCCCTAACTGTTTGACCCTAACTCTGGACTGACCTGGCAAGAGAACAAGGATCTGAAACTACATTAGGACTGACATCCTTTCAGTAGGATGCTCTTTCAGAAACTACAGAGCTCATGAATCCTCTTTCAGGTTGCCGATCGAACAATTCTCTCAAGAAATGGCCACAATGGGCGACGAGTTGTGGGTGGTTTTCCGCTCGAAAACCTACCTCTTTGATGAGTTTTTGCAAAAATGGGCCGATAAAGTGAAAGGCACACAAAATCATTTATTATTTCGTCTGGGAAAAGAAATCGAATCAATGCGGGAATTCGGAGCAGCGTTAAAGTTTTGCAGGTTTGTTTTGTGATTGAAAAAATAGGTCTAGACTTTTGCCAGAGCAAAGAGAAAGGTTTGCCAGAGTAAAGAGAAAGATTTGCCAGAGCAAAGAGAAAGATTTGCCAGAGCAAAGAGAAAGGTTTGCCAGAGTAAAGAGAAAGATTTGCCAGAGCAAAGAGAAAGATTTGCCAGAGCAAAGAGAAAGGTTTGCCAGAGCAAAGAGAAAGGTTTGCCAGAGCAAAGAGGAAGGTTTGCCAGAGCAAAGAGAAAGGTTTGCCAGAGCAAAGAGAAAGGTTTGCCAGAGCAAAGAGAAAGGTTTGCCAGAGCAAAGAGGAAGGTTTGCCAGAGCAAAGAGAAAGGTTTGCCAGAGCAAAGAGAAAGATTTGCCAGAGCAAAGAGAAAGGTTTGCCAGAGCAAAGAGAAAGATTTGCCAGAGCAAAGAGAAAGGTTTGCCAAAGCGTTAGACTCTGCTCAATTCTCTAAATATCATCAAAGTACTCAAAAGTACTATAAGCAATTAATAATATAAGTAATGAACGATATAAGTAATGAACGATATAAGCAATTTTCTAGTTTTAAATGTTTAGAGGTGAAGTGCTCGGGAGTGAGCATTGGTTGGAGTTCTTTCGGATGGTCGGCCTTCCTCGAGGGACGACTATTGAAGCGCTGAAGTTCTCGGATTTGATCTCTGTTCATTCAGCGATTTTGGCAAATCTTGAACAATTAAAGGTAAGATTTTGATGTAATCCGTTTCCTAAGCCGTTTCCTAAGCCGTTTCCTAAGCCGTTTCCTAAACCGTTTCCTAAGCCGCTTCCTAAGCCGTTTCCTAATCCGTTTCCTAAGCCGTTTCCTAAGCCCTGTTCTTTTTCCGTTTCTTCTACCGTTTCTTCTACCGTTTTTTCTACCCTTTTTCTACTGCAATCTTTTCTTGAGGCATCATGAGGCATTCTTGCCCAATCACACAATCTTGCAGGCTTTAAACGGTCGTGCGCAAGGCGAAGTGGCCATTCGAGAAGCGATTCAAGAATTGGAGATGTGGGCAGCGCAAACCGAATTCACATTGGTTGACTATAAACACTCAAATGGATCAGCGATGAAAATAATCAAAGAATGGAAAGAAGCGATCAATTCAGTGAGGAATCAGTAATCAGTTTTAAGCAGTAAGCAGTACAAAGTAAGCAGCACTTTGTGCTCAGAACATCCAAACTCAACACTTGATTCCTTCATTTTGCTTCCTCAAATGAGACTAAAGCTTACTGTAAAGAGCTTTATAGAATGCTATGCACTAGAGCCTCATTTGTACACTCAATTCGTACACATTTGTACACATTTAAGCACAAAGAACAGTTTGGATAGGTAAACGACAGCTTTTCTGCAATTGCTCTTCTGCAATCGCTCAAAAAAAGACTCCATACTACTGTAGCCAGCAGTAACTGTAGCCAGCATTACTGTAACCAGCATTACTGTAGCCAGCATCAACTGTAGCCAGCATTATTTTAGCCAGCATTACAGTAGCCAGCATTACTATAGCCAGCGTTACAGTAGCCAGCATTACTATAGCCAGCATTACAGTAGCCAGCATTACTATAGCCAGCGTTACAGTAGCCAGCATTACTATAGCCAGCATTACAGTAGCCAGCATTACTATAGCCAGCATTCCAGTAGCCAGCATTACTATAGCCAGCATCACAGTAGCCAGCATTACTATAGCCAGCATTACAGTAGCCAGCATTACTATAGCCAGCATTACGTAGCCAGCATTACTATAGCCAGCATTCCAGTAGCCAGCATTACAGTAGCCAGCATCAACTGTAGCCAGCATTACAGTAGCCAGGATTACTAGCCAGGATTATAGCCGCATACGCCAGCTATAGCCAGCCTAGCCAGCAGCCAGCATCTAGCCGCATGCCAGCATTACTAGCCAGCATTACTAGCCAGCATTACTAGCCAGCATTACTAGCCAGCATTACTGTAGCCTATTTCAGCATAACCCTATTTCACGGATTACTGTAGAATATGAATATGGCTTTCAGGTAAAAGACAGCGAAGCACTTCTGCAATCACTCAAAAACTCCCCATACTACTCGCAATTTGCTGATCGCACACAAATTTGGGAGACGAGATTAGGCGATTTGGACACATATTTAGCACAAATGGTCGACATACAAAGGAAATGGGTTTGTTTTTGGGCAAAATTCGTTTGTTTTGGGGCAAAATTGGTTTGTTTTGGGCAAAATGGGTTTGTTTTGGGGAAAATTCGTTTGTTTTGGGGCAAAATTCGTTTGTTTTGGGCCAAATTCGTTTGTTTTGGGCAAAATTGGTTTGTTTTGGGCAAAATTGGTTTGTTTTGGGCAAGATTCGTTTGTTTGGGGCAAAATTCGTTTGTTTTGGGGAAAATTCGTTTGTTTTGGGGAAAATTCGTTTGTTTTGGGGCAAAATTCGTTTGTTTTGGGGAAAATTCGTTTGTTTTGGGGCAAAATTCGTTTGTTTTGGGGCAAAATTCGTTTGTTTTGGGGCAAAATAGTTTGATTTTAAAAGATCTATGCGAACAAGCGATCGCTTCAAGTAGCTTGCACTTTGTGATCTCAGAAATGACTCAGAACTGTCTCAGAAATGACTCAGAAATGACTCAGAAATGATCTCAGAAATCTCAGAACTCGCTTTTCTTCTTTCTGCCTCTTTCTGAGCCATCTTTCTATCTTTTTAAAAGGTAAAAGACTGAAAATTGATTCATGCTTTGGCGAGAGCACAAGAAATTGGATTTAAAATTGTTATTTAGTCAATAGGTCTATTTAGTCAATAGGTCTATTTGTTCTAGGTCTATTTTAGGTCTATTTGGAGCCAATTTTTGGGCGAGGAGCTCTGCCGCATGAAGCGTCGAGATTTGCGAGAGTTGATGCCGAGTTTCGTTTGATTTTGGGAGGTAGATTTGAAGAAGAAGAAGATCTTTTTGCCATAGACAATATCCACCATTGTTGAAATAGCCATTGTTGCACTGGCAAAAGCCTTGGATACAAGTTCGGAGTTCTGGGTACAGCCCTGAAGCTAATAGTAAGAAGTTGAAGATTAGAACTAACATTTGACGACTGACATGGCTGATTGGCCAATAACAATGGCCGACAATAGACTTCAATATTTAATCTTCATTATTTAATCTTCATTATTTAATCTTTAAATTCATATTTATCGTATCGTATCGTAGTCGTTTAGATGTGGCAAAAGATGCCCGTTTGGTCTCTTTGTGCTCTCGAGAAACGCTGAAAAGGGGATTGGAGCAGATTGTCGATCAATTAAATCGATGTCAACGAGCGTTGAATCAATTTTTGGAGGTTAGTTTTAACGTTTGTGATAAGAAAATGATGGATTTAATTCTTCGTGTTGATACTTTGAGTTACAATCTACAATCTAACTTTGAGCTGAGATATCTTGGTGTTGGGTTATCCAATTTACAAGTGCTTGGTATCATTAGATGCGTCAAGTCTTTCTCTATCGATTGGTACAAAAACTATTGCAATTGAACAACCCAACACCGAGATATTTGAGCTTAAAGTTAGATTGCCAATGGCAAAAGGGGCGGGACTATTGGACCTTTGCTCCGCCCCCTTTGCTATTGATAACCTAACTTTGAGCTCAAATTTCTTGGTGTTCAGCTGGCCAAAAGCTAGATTGCCAATGGCAAAAGGGGCGGGGCTTGTAAAAGGGGCGAGGCGTATAAAAAAAGGCCGGGCGTCCTTTTGCCATTGGCAATCTAACTTTAAGCTCAAATATCTCGGTGTTGGTTTGTCCAATTTCAATAGTTTTTGTACCAATCGATAGAGAAAGACTTGACGCATGTAATGATACCAAGCACTTGTAAATTGGATAACCCAACACCAAGATATCTCAGCTCAAAGTTAGATTGCCAATGGCAAAACGAGTATTGATTACTAAATTGATATTGATTACGACCACAAGTACTAAAATTACTCGAATCCCTTGGCCAACAGGATTTGTGCCAAACTTGCCCTAGGTTGGCTTGGATTTGGTGAAAGCCTGAATAGGGCCAGCTCTGGATGCCAAAATAGGGTCAGCTCTGGATGTCTGATGCCAAAATAGGGCCAGCTCTGGATGCCTGATGCTAAAATAGGGCCAGCTATGGATGCCTGATGCCAAAATAGGGCCAGCTCTGGGTGCCAAAATAGGGCCAGCTCTGGGTGCCAAAATAGGGCCAGCTCTGGATGCCTGATGCCAAAATAGGGCCAGCTCTGGGTGCCAAAATAGGGTCAGCTCTGGGTGCCAAAATAGGGTCAGCTCTGGATGTCTGATGCTTTGAAAGATTACGGTAGTTGCGCTGCGTTGTTTTGTTGCTTTGCTTTGCCATTTTGCGAAAGTTACCATTTTTTAGCTTCATTACAACATTATTGAGGCTTTTTCAGGAAAAACGCGCCGCTTTCCCGCGTTTCTATTTCGTTGGTGATGACGATCTGTTAGAGATTCTTGGGCAATCGACGAATCCACTCGTCATTCAGACGCATCTCAAGAAATTGTTCCAAGTTTGTTTAAAGATCTGAAGATCTTTGAAAAAGAACCTGGATAGGCTAAAAAAAGAGTCACTTCAGGGGATCGAGAAAGTCGTTTTTGGAGATGGCAATCTCTCGCTTGTTGCTATGGTCTCATCGCAAGGAGAAACGGTTCCATTGAATAAACCCGTTAGGATTGTGGCACAAGTTGAGGTTTGTAGAAACATTGCTGATCACAGTTTCACAGTTTCACAGCTTCACAGCTTCACAGCTTTTCACATTCACACGTGCAGGGTTTCCTAAAATTATCCGGACAAATTTCAATCGTTTTTTGTTTTCAGCTGACCTTTAACCTGTACTTTAAGCTGTACTTTAAGCTTTAGCTGGTATTTTAGCTGAGCTCCAAGCTGAGCTCTAGGCTGATGATTAAGCTGATCTTTAAGCTGATCTTTAAGCTGTGCTTTAAGCCGATCTTTAAGCTGATCTTTAAGCTGATCTTTAAGCTGATCTTTAAGCTGATCTTTTAGCTGTGCTTTAAGCTGATCTTTCAGCTGTGCTTTAAGCTTTAGCTGGTCTTTTAGCTGAGCTCTAAGCTGATCTTTAAGCCGACCTTTAAGCCGATCTTTAAGCTGTGCTTTAAGCCGATCTTTAAGCTGATCTTTAAGCTGATCTTTCAGCTGTGCTTTAAGCTGATCTTTAAGCTGATCTTTAAGCTGTACTTTAAGCTGTGCTTTAAGCTTTAGCTGGTCTTTTAGCTGAGCTCTAAGCTGATCTTTAAGCCGACCTTTAAGCCGATCTTTAAGCTGATCTTTAAGCTGATCTTTAAGCCGACCTTTAAGCCGATCTTTAAGCTGATCTTTAAGCTGATCTTTAAGCTGATCTTTAAGCCGATCTTTAAGCTGATCTTTCAGCTGTGCTTTAAGCTTTAGCTGGTCTTTTAGCTGAGCTCTAAGCTGATCTTTAAGCCGACCTTTAAGCCGATCTTTAAGCTGATCTTTAAGCTGATCTTTAAGCTGTGCTTTAAGCCGATCTTTAAGCTGATCTTTAAGCTGATCTTTAAGCCGATCTTTAAGCTGATCTTTCAGCTGATCTTTCAGCTGATCTTTAAGTCGATCTTTAAGCTGTGCTTAGCTGATCTTTTTTGCAGACTTGGCTTCAACAACTCAGCGACGAAATGGTCTCAACACTGAGATTTCTTACCGTACAAGCTGTTCGAGAGGAAAGCCTCAATCCGACAAAATATCCATCACAAGTGCCAATTCACATGAAAATCTTCACCTAACTTCTCTTTTTAGATTCTCTGCTTGGCTGAGGAGATCCGTTTCTCGCGTGAATGCGAGAAAGCTTTGGAGAATGGTGGAGGACAAGAATTGGAGAGAATGAAAGCTGATTTGCAATCACAATTAGCACAAATGACTGATGCTAAGGTGGGGTTCTAAACTGGGTAAAGGTCTTTTTCTTTCCTGGGCAAAGAGGAGATCGATAGACTGATGCTCAGCTCAGTGTTGGAGCATCAGGCTGGTAAGCAAAAGGTCAAGGGTTCAATTCCGCTTGGCTCGAAATTCTTTGCCATTCATCTTTGATTCATTTGATTCATTTTACTTTATTAAACTCTTTCCAGACTGAAGACAGAGTGATTTCATTGAAATTGAAAGCTCTAATTCTCGATTTGATTCATCACATTGATGTGATCGATCAATTAATCAATGCAAAAGCGAAAGGATCTGGGGAATGGATGTGGCAGAAACAATTGCGCTTCTATATGGTCAACGATGGAGTGGTGATGCGACAAATTGATGCGCATTTCGATTACACTTATGAATATCAGGTAAACATTGATTTTAAGATGATTACTATTTTTAGATGATTACTATTGTATTGTGAGGAATTTCGCTTTGTTTGACACCAAAAATCATTCTGAGGGGTGAAAGTCGAAATTTTAGTTTGCAGGACTTTATACATGATTTTTTTAAAGAAAGCTTAGCTTAGAGCTTAGCTTAGAGCTTAGCTTAGCTTCGAGCTTAGCTTAGCTTAGAGCTTAGCTTAGCTTAGAGCTTAGCTTAGCTTATAGCTTACCTTAGCTTATAGCTTACCTTACCTTAGCTTAGCTTATAGCTTAGCTTATAGCTTAGCTTAGCTTATAGCTTAGCTTATAGCTTAGCTTATAGCTTAGCTTATAGCAGCTTATAGCCAGCTTATAGCTTAGCTTATAGCTTAGCTTAGCTTATAGCTTAGCTTATAGCTTAGCTTATAGCTTAGCTTATAGCTTAGCTTATAGCTTAGCTTATAGCTTAGCTTATAGCTTAGCTTATAGCTTAGCTTATAGCTTAGCTTATAGCTTAGCTTATAGCTTAGCTTATAGCTTAGCTTATAGCTTAGCTTATAGCTTAGCTTATAGCTTAGCTTATAGCTTACCTTAGCTTAGCTTAGCTTATAGCTTAGCTTATAGCTTAGCTTATAGCTTAGCTTATAGCTTACCTTAGCTTAGCTTAGCTTATAGCTTAGCTTATAGCTTAGCTTATAGCTTAGCTTATAGCTTACCTTAGCTTAGCTTAGCTTATAGCTTAGCTTATAGCAACATAGCTTACCTTAGCTTAGCTTAGCTTAGCTTAGCTTATAGCTTATAGCTTAGCTTAAGCAGCTTAAAGCTTAGCTTATAGCTTAGCTTATAGCTTAGCTTATAGCTTAGCTTATAGCTTAGCTTATAGCTTACTAAGCTTAGCAAGCAGCTTATAGCTTATAGCTTAGCTTATAGCTTAGCTTATAGCTTAGCTTATAGCTTAGCTTATAGCTTAGCAGCTTATAAGCTTAGCTTATAGCTTAGCTTATAGCTTAGCTTATAGCTTAGCTTATAGCTTAGCTTATAGCTTACTATAGCAGCTTATAGCTTAGCTTATAGCTTAGCTTATAGCTTAGCTTATAGCTTAGCTTATAGCTTAGCTTATAGCTTAGCTTATAGCTTAGCTTATAGCTTAGCTTATAGCTTAGCTTATAGCTTAGCTTATAGCTTAGCTTATAGCTTAGCTAGCTTAGCTTAGCTTAGAGCTTAGCTTAGCTTATAGCTTAGCTTATAGCTTAGCTTATAGCTTAGCTTATAGCTTAGCTTATAGCTTAGCTTATAGCTTAGCTTATAGCTTAGCTTATAGCTTAGCTTATAGCTTACCTTAGCTTAGCTTAGCTTATAGCTTAGCTTATAGCTTAGCTTATAGCTTAGCTTATAGCTTAGCTTATAGCTTAGCTTATAGCTTAGCTTATAGCTTAGCTTATAGCTTAGCTTATAGCAGCTTATAGCTTAGCTTATAGCTTAGCTTATAGCTTAGCTTATAGCTTAGCTTATAGCTTAGCTTATAGCTTAGCTTATAGCTTAGCTTATAGCTTAGCTTATAGCTTAGCTTATAGCTTAGCTTATAGCTTAGCTTATAGCTTAGCTTATAGCTTAGCTTATAGCTTAGCATAAGAATCTTTTCGATGTGTGCTTAAATCTATCGCTTTCTCGAGTTCATCAACAGGTCCCAAATTCTGAAACATTTTCAGGGAAACACTCCGAAACTTGTGCACACTCCGCTCACCGATAAATGCTATTTGACGCTAACACAAGGTTTACCTTAAAAAAAAGAGATTACAGAAACTACAAAAGCATCCAAACTGCTATTTACGAGTAAGCTATGCTCAGTAGTGCGATATTTTTAGCTATTTTTAGCTATGTTTAGCTATGTTTAGCTATGTTTAGCTATGTTTAGCTATGTTTAGCTATGTTTAGCTATGTCAGTTTAGCTATGTCAATGGGTTTGGGTGGGAATCCGTTTGGACCGGCTGGCACTGGGAAAACCGAATCCGTGAAAGCACTTGGGGCACTTTTCGGAAGACAGGTACAAGCTTTGATGAGTTTGATAGGTTTGGCTTTGATGGGACGAATCTTTATGTAAAAACTATCTCTGAAATCTTTACAGATCAATTACAGATCAACAGATCAATTACAGATCAACAGACCTTTACAGATCAATCAATTTCCAGGTTTTGGTATTCAATTGTGATGAGGGAATCGACGTGGTGTCGATGGGACGAATCTTTATCGGAATCATTCAATGCGGGGCATGGGGATGCTTTGATGAGTTTAATCGACTGGAACAGGTTGGAAATAACGGTAGTTACTGTAGCTTACTGTAGTTTACTGTAGTTTACTGTAGCTTTTAGTCTACAGAGTGAGCTATGATTATTTTATAGTTATTTTTAATCAGAAAAAGCCAAGAGCTTGACACTTATTCTTCTTCAAGGCACTTATTGCCTCTAAATGCCTTCTTCAAGGCACTTATTGCCTCTAAATGCCTTCTTCAAGGCACTTATTCTATGCGCCTTATTCTGTACAGTACGACGCACCCTGTACAGTACTCGAAACTCAGGATTAACAAGCACACCAGTTCACCTCACCACACTTACTAGGGAACCGCTCCAGAGCTTCTTACCATTTATAGACACTTTAAAATACCTAAAAATTGGTTTTAGTGCCTTAACAAAAAAGCAAAAAGGCTTTGACAGCGACGGAATTTAAACCAGAGCGAGTAGCGAATAGGGAATAGCGCGAAGAGCGAGCACACTATCCGCTACACGATTCGCTCAATGCTCGGAGGAAGTATTGGGTTGATGCATAATTATCCGGACTTCTTTTATAAATGATTTTATTTAACAAAAAATAACATAAATAGTTGGAAAAATATGTTTAATTGATTATTCTGGAGCATATTCACCGCCTACATCAATAACTGATTGCCATTTGCTTGGAAGACGATCGATTCCACGAGCGAAGAATAAACGATCTTTGGAGGCAATCCACGCTTTAACATCGTCTATCAAGTCATCCAAATCGTTGTAGATCTTATTTGTTTGCCAATTTTTGAGCGATCGATTGACGTGGTAGTCCGTTGGGGCTTCTCCAGTTCTTTGAGATCGCGAAACGACTCTGCGGCAGACCATCCCTTTTCGAAGTGGTAGAGCATGATATGGCGAAGATGGATATGATTGTCGACACGCATTTTGTTCACTAAAGAATAACGAATATTTAAAAAAAAAGAAATAGACAAAAAGCTTTCAAAACAAAAAAGATACAAGCACGCAAAAAGAAGTCCGGATAATTATGCATCAACCCAATATTTTCTCGAAATACATGTCGTAATCGATTACGATTTCAGTCAATCGGGGCGACTTTAAAGTCGACTTTTTGGATTAAACAGAACGGGGAAAGTCAAGCGCATAATGATTTCGAAAGAACAAATTGTTACCAAGACTTATGAGCCAGTCTAATAAATCAATAATAACAATAATCTTGAAGTCAAATCCAAATTGTTCTTCATCAAAAATAAATGGTGTAGGAGACTCTCTTACATCTTTCCAACCATAAATAAACGGTGTGATACCGTGGCGGCGCCGTTTTTCAAAAAAATGCCCAAACTTCAAAAGCATTTTTCTCGAAAACTGGATGCTATAGAGTAAAACTGAAAAACACGTGTCCCTTTGAACTTCACGATGACGTTTCTGTGCTGGGTCACATATTCAAGGTGGTGCTAGGTCACATATTCAAGGTGACGCTAGACGCCCATTTCCCAAATCGATCCTAGAGTTGGAGCAGTCCTCTAGTTTCTTTTTGGACACCTGTTCCGGGTATACTTTGTGCTCAAATCTTGTAAACGCACCGTTTCACTGTTACTTCTCATTCAATTTCAGACCGTGCTCTCAGCCGTTTCCCAGCAAATCCAAACGATTCAATACGCGATCAAAAATCGTTCACCCACCTGCACGCTTGGGGTAAAAACGGCAAAAGTCGACCCGAATTCCGCGATTTTCATCACCCTAAACCCGGCTGGGAAAGGCTACGGTGGAAGGCAAAAAATGCCGGATAATCTAAAGCAATTATTCCGGCCAGTTGTCATGTCTGTGCCCGATAATGAGATCATCGCTGAGACTCTTCTTTTCTCTGAAGGATTTCGAGGAGCCAAGGAATTGGCAAGGAAAACTGTAGCCATATTCAAATTATGCAAGGAAATGCTTTCCGCACAACAACATTACGATTGGGGATTGCGAGCGTTGAAGGCTGTGCTAAGAGGGTGGGTTTCCTTTGAAAACGCTTCCCTTCTAGCCCACTAGACAGCTTTAGAGAGCTTTAGCCAGGCTTTAGACAGCTTTAGACAGCTTTGGACAGATTTAGACAGCTTTAGGCAGCTTTAGACAGCTTTGGAAAGCTTTAGACAGCTTTGGAAAGCTTTAGCCAGGCTTTAGACAGCTTCAGACAGCTTTAGAGAGCTTTAGACAGCTTTTGGACAGCTTTAGACAGCTTTAGCCAGGCTTTAGACAGCTTTAGCCAGGCTTTAGACAGCTTTAGCCAGGCTTTAGACAGCTTTAGATAGCTCTAGACAGCTCTAGACAGCTTTAGCCAGGCTTTAGACAGCTTTAGCCAGGCTTTAGACAGCTTTAGCCAGCTTTAGACAGCTTTAGATAGCTCTAGACAGCTCTAGACAGCTTTAGCCAGGCTTTAGACAGCTTTAGCCAGGCTTTAGACAGCTTTAGCCAGGCTTTAGACAGCTTTAGCCAGGCTTTAGACAGCTTTAGCCAGGCTTTAGACAGCTTTAGCCAGGCTTTAGACAGCTTTAGCAGCTTAGTAGTTAAAGCTAGATACCAACAGCTAGAAGCTAGGCTCTACAGGCTTTAGACAGCTTTAGCCAGGCTTTAGACAGCTTTAGCCAGCTTTAGACAGCTTTAGACAGCTCTAGACAGCTCTAGATAGCTCTAGACAGCTTTAGACAGCTCTAGACAGCTCTAGACAGCTCTAGACAGCTTTAGCCAGGCTTTAGACAGCTTTAGCCAGGCTTTAGACAGCTTTAGCCAGCTTTAGACAGCTTTAGATAGCTCTAGACAGCTCTAGACAGCTTTAGCCAGGCTTTAGACAGCTTTAGCCAGGCTTTAGACAGCTTTAGCCAGGCTTTAGACAGCTTTAGCCAGGCTTTAGACAGCTTTAGCCAGGCTTTAGACAGCTTTAGACAGCTTTAAACAGCTTTAAACAGCTTTAGACTTTTAACAATGCTTAGGCTACCGTAATCTCGGCTTTCTTAAGCTACCGTAATCCCGGCTTTCATTTGTTTAGCCTAATTTCCTGTGAATCTTTTCAGTTGTGGTGATCTTCGTTCACAATCTCCAGACAAAGAAGAGTCACAAATCGTCGTGCAAGCTCTTCTCCTGAATACTCTCTCGAAATTGACATTTTCGGATTCAAAGCGTTTTTCCACGCTAATCGATGACATTTTCACGAGCGGTGTCGACAAAAAAATGGCACAATTCGGGGAAATTCTCGAATCATTAGAGAAAGCGGCTGAGGAAATGCGGATAAAGATCACGGAGAAGCAGCTTCAGAAACTCTTTCAATTATATGAGCAATTGAGGCAACGAATGGGTGTGGTGATTGTCGGGCCATCGGGTGAGTGTTTTCGCGAAAGTTTTGGTATAGTTTTGCCCTTTAATCTCACCTGCCGCACGGAAATCTCCGTTCAGACGGCGTCATCGCAAAATTAGCCGTTTAATCGATGCAAAATGAGCGCACCACATAGAAGTTTTGTGGCTCTACTGCACTGTGTACTGTACAGCAGACAAGTACAGTAGATGTACAGTAGATGCGTACTGTACAGCAGACAAGTACAGTAGATGTGTACTGTACAGCAGACAAGTACAGTAGATGTGTACTGTACAGCAGACAAGTACAGTAGATGTGTACTGTACAGTAGACAAGTACAGTAGATGCGTACTGTACAGCAGACAAGTACAGTAGATGTGTACTGTACAGCAGACAAGTACAGCAGACAAGTACTGTACAGCAGACAAGTACTGTACAGCAGACAAGTACAGTAGATGTGTACTGTACAGCAGACAAGTACAGTAGATGTGTACTGTACAGCAGACAAGTACAGTAGATGTGTACTGTACAGTAGACAAGTACAGTAGATGTGTACTGTACAGCAGACAAGTACAGTAGATGCGTACTGTACAGCAGACAAGTACAGCAGACAAGTACTGTACAGCAGACAAGTACAGCAGACAAGTACAGTAGCTTATCGTAGGTTAACAGAATAGTCCGGTAGCTTGCTAAAGACTTATCCCTTATGGCGTACTTTGTGCTAAAGTTTTGTACTTTACTTTCTTGGGATTGGGCATTCCTAATCCTGCACTGATCACTGAATTTTTTTTCTTAGGCAGTGGAAAATCGACTCTATGGCGAGTGCTGAAACGAGCGCTTTTGTTGGCAAAAGAAAACCTAAGCGTTTACAATTTCAACCCGAAAGCGATGAGTCGAACAAAGGTTGGGGAAATGGATCGAAAATCGAAATTGCGCCCCGTTTTCAGCTCTTGGGTCATATGGATATGGACACGAGAGAATGGAGTGATGGAGTGCTCACAATTGCAGCTAGACAGGTGACAGATTTGGGATTTTTGAAACTAAAGCACTACAATTGGAATAACAACACTATAACAGAAACTGTCCAGACCAAAACTTTATGTGTCCAGACCAATCAACTTTCAACTTTCAGGTAATCAAAGACACTGGAATGCACACGTGGATCATCTGTGATGGAGATATCGATCCAGAATGGATTGAGGCACTGAATTCGGTGCTTGATGACAATCGATTGGTAAATTGGCAGATCTTTAACTTATGTAAATTGAATCCACTGGATCCCGAAAGAATCCCGAAAGAGTTGCACAGATTTGAACTAAAACCAAGCCACCAATTCAAGCTTGTTCACAAGCAGCTTGTCTTGGCACCTGGCTTGGCATTTGGCTTGGCATCTGGCTTGGCATCTGGCTTAGCTCTAATCCTAATCCTGCACTTATCAATCAAACCAATGCTGTGAAGTCTGGCTTCACATTGACTAGTTGACTATTGACTAGTTCAAAAACTTCGAAATTGAATTTGACACTGATTTGGTTTAGCCGTTTTTGACTTTTGATTTCATTCTTGTTCCTAAACTTGTTCCAAGACTTGTTCCAAGACTTGTTCCAAGGCTTGTTCCAAGACTTGTTCCAAGGCTTGTTCCAAGACTTGTATCAAGGCTTGTTCCAAGGCTTGTTCCTAAACTTGTTCCTAGACTTGTTCTTAGACTTGTTCTTAGACTTGTTCCAAGACTTGTTCCAAGACTTGTTCCAAGACTTGTTCCAAGGCTTGTTCCAAGACTTGTTCCAAGGCTTGTTCCAAGACTTGTTCCAAGACTTGTTCCAAGACTTGTTCCAAGACTTGTTCCAAGACTTGTCTTAGACTTGTTCCAAGGCTTGTCCCTAGACTTGTTCCTAGACTTGTCCTAGACTTGTTCTTAGACTTGTTCTTAGACTTGTTCCAAGACTTGTTCCTAGGCTTGTCCCTAGAATTGCCTTAAAAATTTGACACAAACAGAGCTTGTTGTTAGACTGATTTTGATTTCTTTTAGTTAACAATGCCGTCTGGTGAGCGAATTCAATTCGGCACCAACGTCAATTTCATCTTCGAAACTGACGATTTGAGTTACGCATCGCCAGCAACGATCTCGAGAATGGGAATGTTGTTTATTAGGTGATCTTTATTGGATGATGTCTATTAGATGATGTCTATTAGATGATCTCTATTAGATGATGTCTATTAGATGATCTCTATTAGATGATCTCTATTAGATGATCTCTATTAGATGATCTCTATTAGATGATGTCTATTAGATGATCTCTATTAGATGATCTCTATTAGATGATCTCTATTAGATGATCTCTATTAGATGATTCTATATATGTCTATTAGTGATCTCTATTAGATGATGTCTATTAGATGTCTCTTTAGATGTGTCTATTAGATGTCTCTATTAGATGATCTCTATTAGATGTCTATTAGATGATCTCTATTAGATGATCTCTATTAGATGATGTCTATTAGATGATGTCTATTAGATGATCTCTATTAGATGATGTCTATTAGATGATCTCTATTAGATGATGTCTAGAAAAGAAAGTCATTCGGTATTAAATAACAAAATTTCATCAATCCCATCATAAAAACTGGTCTGTGTTTACTTTTAATCTTAAACAACCGGGTCAATAATCTTAAACAACCGGATCAATCATTATCATTATCAATATCAATATCATTCTCATTCTCATTATCATTATCATTATCATTATCTCAATCAATCATTATAATCATTATCCAAATCTCATAAGATCTTTAATCATTTACATAAACTCCAGCTACAGCTAAGCTTACAAGCTTAGCTTGTATTAAAGTAAATATTAAAGTTATGTAAATGTTTTATTAAAGAATTTTATACATCTTTTTATAGTGAAGAAGATTTATCGCCAAGTGACATTGTGACGAAATGGTTGAAAGAAAACGATGAAAGCTCTTCAAATCCGAATATTCGCGATTGGATTGACGAGAATTTCTATCGGTAACAATCAAAAAGGCTAGAATGATTAGTGTTACGGTAGTCTAGAGATAGAATTTGTAATAGATTCTTGGATTAGCAATTAGCAATAGATTCTTGAATTTTTTTACCTTACTAAAGCTTGTTTTAGAGTTCTGAAATTTGTCAACACAAAGCAAAGCCAATCATCTCCGATTCGACTCACTCCGACAGCTCTAACACAGAATGGACTATCTTTGATAAGGTACAAACATATAATAGTTAATTTTAAAAGGATAATAGTTAATTTTAAAGGATAATAGTTAATTTTGAAGTACAGTAACCCTACAGTAAAGCTAGTTTTCCATTTCCAGAGGCTCCAAATCGAAAACCGAATTCCTTGTCTCATTGTTTCGCGGCTTTTCCGGGAGTGTCCCCGGAGAGACAAGAAAAGAATTAGCGGAAATCGTTTATCAAGGTAAATTTGAATTTTCTAGATAATTTCTAGATAACCAACAAGGGAATGTCAACTGGGTGATCCACCAACTGGCCAACGGGTGATCCCACCAACCGGGTGATCCCACCAACCGGTGATCCCACCAACCGGGTGATCCACCAGTGATCCCACCAACCGGGTGATCCACCAGTGATCCCACCAACCGGGTGATCCACCAGTGATCCCACCAACCGGGTGATCCACCAGTGATCCACCAGTGATCCCACCAACCGGGTGATCCACCAGTGATCCACCAGTGATCCCACCAACCGGGTGATCCACCAGTGATCCCACCAACCGGGTGATCCACCAGTGATCCACCAGTGATCCACCAATCGGGTGATCCACCAGTGATCCACCAACCGGCTGATCCCACCAACCGGGTGACCAAATGGCACGAGCCATAGATCTTTTTGGACGTAGAATTTTGTGCTGATTCCGAATCTGCTTTCCGTTTCCGCTAAAGAGCACTCTATCAAAAGTTATACGCGTTCAAAGTTTTGTATAGAATTGGAATGAAAAAAATCGCCCCTTTAGTTTATAGGCAGACTTTCCAAGACTCGTCGTCGAGAAGAGCCTGAAAATTGCAGAATTTTAGATGGATTTTAAGTTTTTTAAGGATCTGGAACGCACACTATGAGCAGAGCATAAAAAAACGGCGATTCATGCACTTTTGTATCTCGGTGTAGATTGTACTTTTCGTAGTGTAGACATTGTAGTATAGATTGTACTTTTCTATTGCCAAATTTCATGACGATTCTTTTAAAATCAACCTTAAGTCAATCCGATTGCTGGGAGTCGAGTTATAGAGTAAAAATAGAAAAGGCGCTAAAGTGCCATTTTGACTATAAAAAAACGGCACTTTAACGCACTACTCTTTAAGGCAATTTTAAGGCAATATTAATCAAAAATCTTACTCAGGACTAACTCTACCCGATTCGCAAAACCCGGAGCTTGTCTATTTTGATGATCGAGCTCAATCGTTGATGGTTTACACAGATGATACGGGGATGGGACTACGAGTGGAACAGGTAGCAATAAACTGACTAGCAATGCAAACAAACAATAAACAAGCAATAAACAAGCAATAAACAAGGTGCTCTAAGCGGGCCTTACTGTAGCCAGGCTAGATTCCCAGTCGGGTTAGACTTACTGTAGGCGAAGCTCTGGTTAAGCCTAGCCTCCTCAAGGACTTTTGTGTGTCAATACTCACAAGGGATGGTCAATTGGCTGAGCCAAACCTATACAATTTGCAGAATTTGATGCTGATTCCGAATATATATTCCGTTTTTGTTAAATCACAATCTGTCAAGTCTGTCAAGCGTCTAAAGTTGAATGACTCTGAAAACGGAAAATCTGATCATTTGGGTCTTAGCGGCCTCCGTGCGGACCGGTCTTAGCGACCTTCTTGCACCCCGGACGGAGTGCAGCCGTGGCCGAGTGGTACAGCGTTTGTTTCCAGAGCGAGGCCTCGCGGGTTCGATGCCTTCTTTGGGTTTTTCTTTTTTCTTTTGCTTTTCTTCAAGAAGGAGTCGAAACTGTGAGTTCTCGCCCTGGAAATGAACGCTTTACCACTCCACGACGGCTGCACTCCAGACGCGGGTGCAAGAGGGTCACTAAGACCCGTCCTGGATGGAGGCCGCTAAGACTCAAATGACCACATTTTCAGAGTTTTCAGAGTCATTCAACTTTAGACGTTTATAACTCCTGCCAGATTGTCATTTAGCAAAAACGGAATAATTATTCGGAATCAGCATCTAATTCTGCTAATGGTATAGGTCGTATAGGATTTGGCTCAGCCGTTCAGCTGACATTCAGGCAAGCCCAGGCAAGCCCAGGCAAGCCCAGGCAAGCCCAGGCAAGCCCAGGCAAGCCCAGGCAAGCCCAGGCAAGCCCAGGCAGGCCCAGGCAAGCCCAGGCAAGCCCAGGCAGGCCCAGGCAGTCCCAGGCAGGCCCAGGCAGGCCCAGGCCTGGGTCTGTAAGCCAAGTCACGCCAGGCCAGAGCTCTGGCAGGAGCCAGAACCGCCTACAGTGACGTCAGCAACCCCAATACCTTAAAACAATCCTGCTATTGCTAGATATCCACTAGAGATCGAATTCCCACTACAATTCATTAGATATTGAATTCCAGCTTGAGCACGAGGAATCGCGGCCGATGGTGATGACATCACAGGCTCAAGCAGCTGCCTATACGGTGGGTACCGTACTTCTATGACTATAGTAGCTTTTAGAAAGGATCAGCTTCTGGACAAAGCTTAGACAAAGCTTAGACAAAGCTATAACAAGAATGAGCCTTACCACAGCTTCTACTGTACAATTCTTTGCTGCATAATCGAATTTCTAGATGTCCGCTTGGTTGAATCACCCAACCCATCCATCATTTTGCGTGGTCGGCCCGGAGGGAAGTGGAAAAGCGCGGCTGTTAGAGAATGCGCTCAGCCAATCACCGCATGCACATTCGGCAACGTTGTATTGCTCGGCGCAAACATCGTGAGTCTTTCAACTAAGCGACTAAGACTGTACTTTGCGTTAAAACTCGTAAACACACCCTATCTGGAGCATTCAATCGAATCAAAACATTCAACCAAATTCAATCGAATCCAGAAGGAGTGCGTTTAGCCAATTTTAGCGCGTTCACGCTTGAGCACAAAGTACACACGACGTTTGGTACTAGAATGGACTAGAATGTAGTACTAGAATCTAGAAATGATTCCGACCTGGCAAAAACCAGGTCGGATCGGATCAGATCGGTTTAGCGCGATTGGTCAGATCTATCGGATCGAATCGAGCTAGCTAGATCGGAGGGATCGGATCGGGCTAGATCGATCGGTCGGACGAATCGGATTGGGCTAGATCGGTCGGACGGATCGGATTGGGCTAGATCGTTCGGACGGATCGGATTGGGCTAAATCGATCGGTCGGACGAATCGGATCAGGCTAGATCGGTCGGACGGATCGGATTGGGCTAGATCGGTCGGACGAATCGGATTGGGCTAGATCGTTCGGACGGATCGGATTGGGCTAGATCGGTCGGACGAATCGGATTGGGCTAGATCGTTCGGACGGATCGGATTGGGCTAGATCGGTCGGACGGATCGGATTGGGCTAGATCGGTCGGACGAATCGGATTGGGCTAGATCGGTCGGACGGATCGGATCGGGCTAGATCGATCGGTCGGACGAATCGGATCGGGCTAGATCGGTCGGACGGATCGGATCAGGCTAGATCGATCGGACGGATCGGATCAGGCTAGATCGATCGGACGGATCGGATCAGGCTAGATCGATCGGTCGGACGAATCGGGTCGAATCAGGCTAACTTCGGACGATCGCGGGCAGATCGAGGTCGGACGATCGGTCGGCGGATCGGATCAGGCTAGATCGATCGGTCGGACGAATCGGATCAGGCTAGATCGGTCGGTGGATCGGATCGGATCGGATCGGACTAGCCCAATCGTTATCGGATCGAGCTAGCCCAACCCGATAACGATGTCTACTAGGATGTAATCTAATCTACTATTAGATTACTTTAGCTTAGATCTAGATAAAATTCTCCAATTTTCAGTAGCACAACCCTTTTGCAAACCCTCCTTCAACACACCGTTCAAGTTTCGCGTGCCGGTGGCCGAGCGTTGAAGCCGAAAGATGGCCATCATTTAGTCCTTTTATTGAGAGGAATCAATCAAACAACACCCGATAAGGTTTGCTTTTACATTTACAATTTTTACAATTCAATTTTACAATTCAATTCTTCATTATCTAGTATGGAACGAGTGAGCTGCACGCACTTTTGCATCAATTGTTGACATACGGCGGCTTTTATGACGAGCATTTGGAATGGATGGCGCTCGATGGGATCCAGGTGAGCTTTTATGTTGTAATTAGAGTTGGGAGTCGAGGTAAATCGCGGTAAATCGCAGATCCAGACAAAATCCAGGTTTTGATTTGACTTCTGCAAAATTGGCAAATGTTAAACTGTTAAATCCGTTCAGCAAAATTGCTAGATGATAAATTGGTGGATCTAGATGATATTTGGTTGATCTAGACGATAAATTGGTTGATCTAGACGCTAAATTGGTAGATCTAGATGATATTTGGTTGATCTAGATGATAAATTGGTAGATCTAGACGATAAATTGGTAGATCTAGATGATATTTGGTTGATCTAGACGATAAATTGGTTGATCTAGACGATAAATTGGTTGATCTAGACGCTAAATTGGTAGATCTAGATGATATTTGGTTGTCTAGATGATAAATTGGTGATCTAGACGATAAATTGGTTGATCTAGCGCTAAATTGGTGTCTAGATGTATTTGGTTGATCTAGATGATAAATTGGTGATCTAGACGATAAATTGGTAGATCTAGATGATATTTGGTTGATCTAGATGATAAATTGGTAGATCTAGACGATAAATTGGTAGATCTAGATGATATTTGGTTGATCTAGATGATAAATTGGTAGATCTAGACGATAAATTGGTTGATCTAGATGATATTTGGTTGATCTAGACGATAAATTGGTTGATCTAGACGATAAATTGGTAGATCTAGATGATATTTGGTTGATCTAGACGATAAATTGGTTGATCTAGACGATAAATTGGTTGATCTAGATGATATTTGGTTGATCTAGACGATAAATTGGTTGATCTAGACGATAAATTGGTTGATCTAGACGCTAAATTGGTAGATCTAGATGATATTTGGTTGATCTAGATGATAAATTGGTAGATCTAGACGATAAATTGGTTGATCTAGACGCTAAATTGGTAGATCTAGATGATATTTGGTTGATCTAGATGATAAATTGGTAGATCTAGACGATAAATTGGTAGATCTAGATGATATTTGGTTGATCTAGATGATAAATTGGTAGATCTAGACGATAAATTGGTAGATCTAGATGATATTTGGTTGATCTAGACGCTAAATTGGTTGATCTAGATGATATTTGATAGATCTAGACGTTAAATTGGTTGATCTAGATGATAAATTGGTTGATCTAGACGCTAAATTGATAAATCTAGACGCTAAATTGACGCTAGACGCTAAATTGGTAGACTAGACGCTAAATTGGTAGATCTAGACGCTAAATTGGTAGATTGAGATGCTGACGCTAAATTGGTAGATCTAGACGCTATATTGGTAGATCTAGACGCTAAATTGGTTGATCTAGACGATAAATCGGTAGATCTAGACGCTAAATTGATGCTAGACGCTAAATTGGTAACGCTAGACGATAAATTGGTAGATCTAGAAGCTAAATTGGTTGATCTAGACGCTAAAGCGGTAAATCTAGACGCTAAATTGGTAAATCTAGACGCTAAATCGATAAATAATCTTTTGAATCCAGGCCCTAATGCATAGGCCAAAGCAGAAAACAGAAAAACCAGGATCAAGTCGAGCTTTTGTACCTTAGATAGTGTTAAAATGATCAGTGTTGATCGTGCAATCACCACACAACTTAATGAGAGCTTGATGAGAGCTTAATGAGAGCCTAATGAGAACGAAAATCTCCTATATTCGGCAATTAATACTACTACATAGGATTCAATTGAACATTCAATTCATTCGATTTTTTCCAGTTTGTGGTGACAATGGCGAGTGAGGGTGCGGGTCGTTATCGTCTTTCTCCTCGTCTCCTATCTCTTCTCCGTCTCACTCAAGTTTCCACTCCGAATGATCGAGATTTACACACAATATACTCGATTTATTTGATGCCAATATTAGAAGTATGATTAGATATTAGAAGTATCATATTAGAAGTATGATATTAGAAGTTTTTAAAAGTTTATTTAAAGTTTATAAGTTGTAAGTTGATTTATACGTTGAAAATTTCAAAAAAGCAAATCGAAACCAGTAAGTCTACAAAACAGATTCTATATTTCTTTAGTCAAATTCAATGTAGATTCTAATAAAAGAAACCAGGAGTTGTTTGGGTTTCTCGGCCAGGATCGAATCACCGACCTTTTGTGTGTTATAGAGGTGCTCTCGGCTGGTCAATACGAAAATTGCAGTTTAGTAGAATGTAAACCTATCGAATGCAATCGAATGCAAATGCGAATCTAATTCATTGTAGAATAGCTACCATCAATGGTGATTCGACTTTGGAACTTTAATTCGAATCAATTGAATCAATCGGATCAATCGAATCAATCGAATCAATTGAATCAATTGAATCAATCGAATCAATTGAATCAATCAATTGAATGAATCAATTGAATCAATCGAATTGAATCAATCAATTGAATCAATCGAATCAATTGAATCAATCGAATCAATTGAATCAATCGAATCAATTGAATCAATCAATTGAATCAATCGAATCAATTGAATCAATCGAATCAATCGAATCAATTGAATCAATCGAATTGAATCAATCAATTGAATCAATCGAATCAATCGAATCAATAGAATCAATCAATAGAATCAATCAATTGAATCAATCAATCGAATCAATTGAATCAATCGAATCAATCGAATCAATCGAATCAATCGAATCAATTGAATCAATCGAATCAATTGAATCAATCGAATTGAATCAATTGAATCAATAGAATCAATCAATAGAATCAATCGAATCAATTGAATCAATAGAATCAATCAATAGAATCAATCGAATTGAATCAATTGAATCAATTGAATCAATCAATTGAATCAATCGAATCAATCGAATCAATCGAATCAATCAATAGAATCAATCGAATCAATTGAATCAATTGAATCAATCAATAGAATCAATCGAATTGAATCAATCAATTGAATCAATCAATTGAATCAATCGAATCAATCGAATCAATCGAATCAATCAATTGAATCAATCGAATCAATCGAATCAATCGAATCAATCGAATCGAATCAATCGGATCGAATCGAATCAAATCAATCGAATCGAATCGATTCAAGCCCAATGTCTAGTAAATATCAACTAAAAACAGAACAAGCCTTTTCTAAAAGGTAACTAATTTGAAAATCTAGCGTAATCGATAAAATTATCCACCTTTTAGAAATCCGCTCAAATTCAATGCCTCACCTACTTTACCCTAAACTTTTAGCCGGTTCTCCAATCGTCAGCCCGGGTTGAGAGCGTTGCTAGCATGCTCGTACAGATCTACGAAGATGTAAGAATCTATTTAACATCTAAAAAACTAGATAGAGTCTAATACTAAGATAGAGTAAAATACTAAAAAACTATATAGAGAATCTATTTAACATCTAAAGAACGATATATCTAAAATCTTCCTTATTTAAGTTATTATAAATCCAAAATCGATTCTTAATTCGATTCTCTACAATTCTCTACAATTCTCTACAATTCTCTACAAATATCCTTAAAACTCAGGTCCGAAAAACGTTTAAAAACACGGATCGAAAGCACTACGTTTTCTCACCAAGAGATCTCACCAAATGGGCTTTAGCCATGCTCAGATACGATTTAGAGGTAAGAATTTTCTAAATATTAGCATATCTAAAGCATATCTAAATCAATTTACATATAAACAATAAAGTTTCTTGTTGAAAAATATTTGCAAATATTTGTAAAATCTAAATTTAACCTAGGGAGATGTCGACAAAACGACGTGGGCTCTTTTGAATGAAGCACAAAGGATTTTCCGGGACAGGTACTGTAATCTAATAAGACACCGAAAAGCTCCAAAAAGCTTAGAAAGCTCCAAAGAGGCTTAGAAAGCTCCAAAAAGCTCCAAAAAAGCTTAGAAAGTTCCAAAAAAGCTTAGAAAGCTCCAAAAAAGCTTAGAAAGCTCCAAAAAAGCTTAGAAAGCTCCAAAAAAGCTTAGAAAGCTCTGAAAAGCTCCAAAAAAGCTTAGAAAGCTCCAAAGAGGCTTAGAAAGCTCCAAAAAGCTCCAAAAAAGCTTAGAAAGCTCTGAAAAGCTCCAAAAAGCTTAGAAAGCTCCAAAGAGGCTTAGAAAGTTCCAAAAAGCTCCAAAAAAGCTTAGAAAGCTCTGAAAAGCTCCAAAAAAGCTTAGAAAGTTCCAAAAAACTGCAAAAAGCTCCAAAAAGCTTAGAAAGCTCCAAATAGGCTTAGAAAGCTCCAAAAAGCTTAAAAAGCTCCAAAAAGCTTAAAAAGCTCCAAAAAAAGCTTGGAAAGCTCCAAAACTAGATAAATAAAACCAAATACTAGATACAAGAGAATCGTCGGAACTGGTCGGACGATTCCGCTACGCCATTGAGATGCAAACGCTTATCGAGCATGGGGACACGATGCTCTATTTATTTTTTGCCCATTCTTAATGGTTCACGAGAAAAACGCTTGCAAATTTTGGGGGAAATCGCAAAAGAAACGCGACTCGGGAAATCCCATCTCGGGGATATATCGGCTCTTTCCCTTTCCCTCTAGCGTGATAGGATGGTCTAGAGGTAAATGCACACGCTCTTGATCGCATTTTTGCTTTCTTTGACCCTGGTTCGGATCCGGTTGTGGACATTTTTTTGCTTTCTTTTTGCTAAACCTTTAATAACACTTTTTGTTTATTTTAGAATGCTTAATAATAATTATTAAGATCAAATGACACTCAAAAACTCTGAAAATAAACAAAAACAAACAAAAACAACCTAGTTCTGATCTTCTTCGCATTAAATTTTGTTTTTTTCTGTAAAATTTTTAGTTAGTTCCATTTTTGGTTCATTTTCGGAGTTTTTGAGTGTCATTTGATCTTAATAACTATTATTAACCCATTCGAAACTTCTGCAGCGAATAATCGCTGCAACAAAAACTCAGGAACGGACCGCTGCAGCGATTATTCGCTGCAGCGCTAATTGAGCTATTTTCATTCAATTAATTGGTTTTTTTTTGCTGTTTTTCAGCATTACATGTATATTCCAATTGTAACAGATCTACAAATTAGGTGGGCAAAAAAGACGTGTCATATTTACCCGGAATCAATGCAGCCTCTGGTTTTGCATTGAAATTTTCCATAATAGCTCTAATCTTATAAAGCCGATCTCCTGCAGGATCCAGTTCATTATCACAAAAACGCAGGTTGCGAAGAATAGATTCAAATTTTGCTCTTGACATAATGACTCTGGACATGTGGGAAAATTCTCCTAATCCAGGCCTGCTACTCCAGTAGTCACGAATCTTCGGTAATTTGACGATTCCCATTTGAAGACAGGAAGAGCTTGAAAGATTTTGCATCGAAATCCTGCCAGTTTGTTTTCCTTTTTTCATGTTTATTAGATTCGCCTACTAAAATATTGTCGTCGATAAAATATTGGGTTGATGCATAATTATCCGGACTTCTTTTATAAATGATTTTATTTAACAAAAAATAACATAAATAGTTAGAAAAATATGTTTAATTGATTATTCTGGAGCATATTCACCGCCTACATCAATAACTGATTGCCATTTGCTTGGAAGACGATCGATTCCACGAGCGAAGAATAAACGATCTTTGGAGGCAATCCACGCTTTAACATCGTCTATCAAGTCATCCAAATCGTTGTAGATCTTATTTGTTTGCCAATTTTTGAGCGATCGATTGACGTGGTAGTCCGTTGGGGCTTCTCCAGTTCTTTGAGATCGCGAAACGACTCTGCGGCAGACCATCCCTTTTCGAAGTGGTAGAGCATGATATGGCGAAGATGGATATGATTGTCGACACGCATTTTGTTCACTAAAGAATAACGAATATTTAAAAAAAAGAAATAGACAAAAAGCTTTCAAAACAAAAAAGATACAAGCACGCAAAAAGAAGTCCGGATAATTATGCATCAACCCAATATTTCTCGAATCCTACTCCCCCGGGTTGTCACTTTTGTGGGGGGCGCCTATTTCAGCAATTGTTACCAGACTATGAGCCAGTCTAATACAAATAACAATAATCTTGAAGTTAAATCCAAATCGTTCTTCATCAAAAATAAATGGTGTAGGAGACTCTCTTGCATCTTTCCAACCATAAATAAACTGCTTCGGAGTCAAAAATGTCAAAAAAGGGCTTGGTCCGGAAAAAGAAAAAACGCTGCGGTTTCGAATGGGTTAAGCATTCTAAAATAAACAAAAAGTGTTATTAAAGGTTTAGCAAAAGAAAGCAAAAAAATGTCCACAACCGGATCCGAACCAGGGTCAAGGAAAGCAAAAATGCGATCAAGAGCGTGTGCATTTACCTCTAGACCATCCTATCACGCTAGAGGGAAAGGGAAAGAGCCGATATATCCCCGAGATGGGATTTCCCGAGTCGCGTTTCTTTTGCCATTTCCCCCAAACTTTGCAAGTGTGAACCTCGTGGATTTTCCTCGTGAACCATTAAGAATGGGCAAAAAATAAATAGAGCATCGTGTTCCCCATGCTCGATAGCCGTTTGCATCTTAACGTTTGCATCTCAACGGTGTAGCGAAATCGTCCGGCCCAGTTCCGACAATCCTCTTGTTAGGTACAATATAAGTAGAATAAAGATATTTAAGCTTTAATACCATTTTGATATAATCAGATTGGCGAGTGAGGAGGATCGACAAAAATTCGACTCACTTTTGTTGAATGTGAGCCCGATGGCGAGGGGATCGGATATGGGTGGGGAAATCGATACAAACTACAAACTATAAACAAACAACATCCAAACAACAACCAAACAACAACCAAACAACAACCAAACAACAACCAAACAACAACCAAACAACAACCAAACAACAACCAAACAACAACCAAACAATAACCAAACAACAACCAAACAATAACCAAACAACAACCAAACAACAACCAAGCAACAACCAAACAACAACCAAGCAACAACCAAACAACAACCAAACAACAACCAAGCAACAACCAAGCACCAACCAAGCAACAACCAAACAACAACCAAGCACCAACCAAACAACAACCAAACAACATCCAAACAACAACCAAACAACAACCAAGCAACAACCAAACAACAACCAAGCAACAACCAAACAACAACCAAACAACAACCAAACAACAACCAAGCAACAACCAAACAACAACCAAGCAACAACCAAACAACAACCAAACAACAACCAAGCAACAACCAAGCAACAACCAAACAACAACCAAACAACAACCAAGCAACAACCAAACAACAACCAAACAACAACCAAACAACAACCAAGCACCAACCAAACAACAACCAAACAACAACCAAGCAACAACCAAACAACAACCAAACAACAACCAAGCACCAACCAAACAACAACCAAACAACAACCAAACAACAACGAAACTACAACGAAACTACAACGAAACTACAACGAAACTACAACGAAACTATAAGCAAAATAAAAACTATAAACTACAAAGTAGTACAAACTATAAACTACATAAACTACATAAAGAAACTACAAAAATACGCTAAAATTTAGCTATGACCATTTTCTAGGAAAACTCTTCATCACCACAGCCACCGTCATTCACTCCACCGGGCTCCCATTGACGCAAATTTCTCGAAATGACTACACAAACCTTCTACAGAAAGCCGTGAATCGTTTCGGTTTGTCATTTGAGGGAAAATTGATGGAAAAGTTTACAATATTCTGCAAAGAATTCCGCAAAGAGTTCTGGAAAGCGTTCTGCAAAGAATTCTCCAAAGAATTCCTCGATTTCTCTACCTCTATCGAGAAATCGATCCTTCGATCTCATCTCTTTTTATTTCGAAGCATTCCTTCGAGAGTGAATTCAATTCAATTCAATTCAATCAAGAATTCAATCCCCCAGAAGCGATTCGTTTACAAATTTTAGCCCAAAGTACAGAAAAATGACAACTAGAAAGTGCTCAGACTCAGGAGAAATCTCTTCGTTTTTAGAATTCGATGTGTGTCAATTCAAACCAGCGCTTGTCGATGAGATTGTTGATGTTTGCGCCAAAATCGATCGAGCGCTTACGACACCAGGTTTGAATAAAGCATTTCGTTATCTGGAGAAGTAGAAGAGAAGAACGAGCCCTCTAAAGTTAATCGAGGGTCTAACAAACGTCCCCCGCCCCTTGATCAACTTTAGAGGTCTTGTTCTTGGCTCCATTTTGAGAAATTTTAACGTATAATATACCAAAAGAGAGCCCTTAATGTCTTCTATCTTTTGGCATATTAAACATAAACATCTCTCAAAATGGGGCTGAGAACGAGGCGTCTAAAGTTGGTCGATGAGGGAGGCGTTGGTTAGACCCTCAATCAACTTTAGACGTTTCGTTCTTAGCTCCATTTTGAGAAATTTTTATGTATAATATACCAAAAGATAGAGGACATTAAGGGCTATCGTTTCGTATATTAAACATAAAAATCTCTTAAAATGGAGTTGAGAACGAGCCCTCTAAAGTCGGTCGAAGAGGGTGGGGCATTTATTAGAGGAAATACGGTAACTGCTTTTATAAAAAGTTGTATAAAACTTTTGGGAAAACCTGTAGAATCCGTTCCAAATCCCATAAAATATCTATAATATTTATTCAAAGCCAATGAACTAATCAAACAAGCGAATTTAGGCGGCAATGTGTTGATCGCTTCTCGTGCCGGGATGTCACTTTCTTCATGTATTCGCCTGATCTCTCATCAACATCAAATCACTGTTCACACGCCACGTTTAACTCCATCATATGCACAGAAACATTTTGATAATGACTTGAAAAATGTGGGTTTTTTAAAAGAGATTTCTGAAGTACGGTGCTGTCGTTTGAAAGCCTGGAACGTCCAAGAACAAGTACGTTCCAGAGCTGTAGTTCTCCTGGAACATCTGTATCCTGGAACATCTGTACGTTCAAGAACTAAAGCATTACAGTATTCTAGAGCTGAACTAAAGGCTCTAATCTTAGTCTTGGACTTCAGGGATGGCTTTACTTTATTGGAGATTAAACTCAAGTTCTATTATTCTTTAGTAGAACTTGAAAAGTAGAACTAAAAGTAGAACTAAAAGTAGAACTATTCAAGTTCACCATTCAAGTTCACTATTCAAGTTCTACTAATTGAGCTATTGTTACAGTATAAATTAACCAATCTCCAGGCCATTTCCACAGCTCTCTCAACCGGTGAACACGTCGTTTTCCTCCTTGAAGAGTTTCAACTGATCAGCAACGGTTTCCTCGAAACGATTAATTGTCTTTTATCAGCTGGTGAAGTGCCAGGATTGTTTACGGCACAGGGTGGGATTGAGAGAACTTTTCTTGGCCTGATTTGACCTTTTCTTGGCCTGACTTGGAGCACTTTGACCTTATTGGAGCATCTTTGGCTTCAGCATAGGACCAGGAATGTCTTCCAGTCAGGAATTACAGCCTGGCTAGAGCTTGGCTTTTGTCCTAGTCTTGCAATTCTTCATAACTCTTACCCTTTCCAGAGTTGGACGGGCTGATTGCGGCGATGCGCGATCAAGCGAGTCAGATGAATTTCCAGCGAAATTTGCACGACTTCTTTGCATATCGTTTGTTTTTATTTGGCGTGTTTTCATTTTATTTAAAGCAATTTTAAACTTCCCCACCCTTTTCAGGCGTCCGATCACTTGTTCACGTCGCTCTCGTCCTTGATGTCGACAATGAGAAGTGAGAAAATGATGAAACTATTTTCTCGAAATACATGTCGTAATCGATTACGATTTCAGTCAATCGGGGCGACTTTAAAGTCGACTTTTTGGATTAAACAGAACGGGGAAAGTCAAGCGCATAATGATTTCGAAAGAACAAATTGTTACCAAGACTTATGAGCCAGTCTAATAAATCCCAGCTACGCGGCTACTTTACTAAAGTTAACCTTGAAAATAACCATTGGCAAATCCCCATCTAAAAGCTCCTATTTCCTTCATTTTTGTCAAAACTCCGATCAGTTCATCAGAAATTTGCATATTTGAGAAGTAAGAGCGCAAAAACGTAAGAATTTTAAAAATCTGGCTCCTCCTCACGGTCTGGACGGGTCTAGACAGGTCTAGACAGGTCTGAACAGGTCTGGACGGGTCTGAACGGGTCTGAACGGGTCTGAACAGGTCTGGACGGGTCTGAACGGGTCTGGACGGGTCTGGACGGGTCTGAAGGGGTCTGAACAGGTCTGGACGGGTCTGAACAGGTCTGAACGGGTCTGGACGGGTCTGAACGGGTCTGGACGGGTCTGGACGGGTCTGGACGGGTCTGGACGGGTCTGGACGGGTCTGGACGGGTCTGAACGGGTCTGAACAGGTCTGGATGGGTCTGGATGGGTCTGGACGGGTCTGGACGGGTCTGGACGGGTCTGGACGGGTCTGGACGGGTCTGGACGGGTCTGGACGGGTCATTCAATCTTAAACGGATTCATCTAGATTCGAAGAGCGAACAGCCGCTAATCCGGCACTTTTCCGCGACTGTGAAGTGATTTGGATTGAGGATTGGAGTCGGAAAACATTGGAACAGGTAAATGATGGTTGATGGTTAATGGTTAATGATGGTTAATGGTTAATGATGGATAATAGTTAATGATGGATAATGGATAATGATGGATAATGGTTAATGGTTAATGATGGTTAATGATGGTTTATGGTTAATGATGGTTAATAGTTAATGATGGATAATAGTTAATGATGGTTAATGGTTAATGATGGATAATGGATAATGATGGTTAATGGTTAATGATGGATAATAGTTAATGATGGTTAATGAATCTATTGATAATAAAATAGATTATTATCAATAAAATAGATTATTATCAATAGATCTCAATAAGAAAATAGATCTTTTAGATAAATTTAACCAATATTTGTTCTGACTCTGGTTTAGGCCTGATTCTAGCGTGAGTTGGCCTGGTTGCCTGGGCTAAATGGCTTAGACTTGGCCTGGCTTAGCCTTGACCTGATCTTTGGCTTGAACTGATCTCGAGCCTGATCTTGGTCTTAACTAACACTGGCTTTCGAGCACAAAGCAAAAAGTAGAACATAATTGGCAGTGCCTGGCAGTTACTTTATCTACACTACTGGACAATGAAATATCATATTTGAAAAAAGATCGTCACTTTCGCGCGTCTGTAACTCTCTTGTCTTTACCGTATTTCTAAATATTAATACTACCATTGTGTAGCCCTTGAAAAGAGCTTTCAGAAAATGTATAACACTAATAGTTTAAACTCAAAGACAAGGGAGTTACAGAGGCGCGAAAGTGACGATCGTTTTTCGCATATGATATTTCATTGTCCAGTACTGTATTTTAAAAATACATTTATTGAAAACCAATAATGTGATACAAACAAAGGGTACATAATAAGACATAAAGGTTAAACACACAATTTTATGGCACTGCGGCCGTTCTCACCCCTATGAACAACTTCTAGATGAAGTTAGAGATGTGGTAACTTCTAGATGAAGTCATGGAGATGTTATGTTTTAGATGAAGCCATTGATATGGTAACTTTTAGATGAATTCATAGATACAGTAACTGCCATATCATTAACTAAAAGTTAACTTCAACTAAAAGTTACCTAATCCATGACTTCATCTAGAAGTTACCATATCTCTCACTTCATCTAGACGTTACCATATCTCTAGCTTCATCTAGAAGCTACCAGATCCTTAAATTCATCTAGAAGTTACCATATCTCTCACTTCATCTAAAAGCTGCCTAACCCATGACTTCTAATACTCAACTGATCCCTTTAAGTCACCAATTCCCTTTCCAGATACCGCGCTCTCTTCTCCCGAAATTCGGTGTCGATCCATCGGATGATTTGCTGTCCCTTCTCCCGCAATTGTTCTCAATCGTCCCCTCAAATCTTGGCACTCCATCGAAATATTCATCCTACATCGAAAACTATGCACACATTTATAAAACAAAGAAGGAAACTGTCACGTCTAGACTGCAGCGATTGACGGTATGAAATCCCAGAGTGCACTTTGTGCTTTCTTTCTAAATCCATCTGATGTACTGAATTCTTGAAGAAGTGATGGGGCGACAAGACAAGCTTCTCCAAGCTCCAAGCTTCTCTTATTGTCCAAGCGTCTCTTCTCCATTATTTTGTATGATCACTGGAATCACAGTAATCTGGGTTCCCCAATTCTACAGTGGTTAAACTGCTAGATCAACTTGAACTAGAGATCAGCTCTAGATTTTCAACTCTAGCTTTTCAGCTCTAGATCTTCAGCTCTAGATCTTCAGCTCTAGATCTTCAGCTCTAGATCTTCAGCTCTAGATGTTCAGCTCTAGATCTTCAGCTCTAGATCTTCAGCTCTAGATCTTCAGCTCTAGAGATCAGCTCTAGATCTTCAGCTCTAGAGATCAGCTCTAGATGTTCAGCTCTAGATCTTCAGCTCTAGATCTTCAGCTCTAGATCTTCAGCTCTAGATCTTCAGCTCTAGATGTTCAGCTCTAGATCTTCAGCTCTAGATCTTCAGCTCTAGATCTTCAGCTCTAGAGATCAGCTCTAGATCTTCAGCTCTAGAGATCAGCTCTAGATGTTCAGCTCTAGATCTTCAGCTCTAGATCTTCAGCTCTAGATCTTCAGCTCTAGATCTTCAGCTTCAGATCTTCAGCTCTAGATTTTCTTAAAGGTACAATTTTCAATATAATGATATTTTTCCAGGCCGGTGTCTCAAAGCTGACCGAAGCTCGAGAAGCTGTGGGAAAAATGCAACAACGAGCCGCGAAACAGAGCAAATTGTTGGCTGAGAAGCAGCGAGAAGCCGATGGAGCGCTGGCCGCGATATCACAATCGATGACGGTACAAATAGCTATTGTTTCTGAGTGTATTTCTGATTCACAGGGTGCCCAAGATCAAAAAGAATCGATGGAGAAGTTGAAAGTGGCGACAGAAGAAGAGAATGTGAAAATCGAAGAGCAAAAGAAAATAATCGAGATACAGCTGGCTGATGTGGAACCGTTGCTGAGGGTGAGTTTGAGACTGCCAGTAACCGTACTGCCAGTAACCGTACCCAATAAACCGTTACAACAACTGGAGTAGACTTTTAACGAAAAAAAATCTATCGATGCTTTTTGCCGTTGGCAACTTAAGGTTTTTCGTGTTTTTCTCAGCTTTAACGCTTTGATTTTGGCTATATTGGCTATCATTCGATGCAGAACAAAATTACGCATCGAATGATACCAAAACCAACTCAAAATATAATATCCATGCAAAGTTATGAGGCAAAAATGAAGTCCCGCCCATAATAGCCCGGGTTTAGCCTTTTGCCGTTGGCAATTTAAGGTTTTTCGTGTTTCGTGTTGTTCTTAGCACTAAACCCTCCTTTTTTGGCTATTTGAACTATGGTTTTTGGCATGCTTTAGAGTAAATTTGTAACGAAAACATCTGTCGGTCCTTTTTTGCCGTCAATTTAAGGTTTTTCGTCTTTTCCACAACAATAACTCTTCGATTTTGATTATATTGACAATGCATTCGATGCAGAATCAAATTACGCATCGAATGATACCAAAACGAACTCAAAATATAATATCCATGAAAAGTTATGAGGCAAAAAGTCAAGCACCGCCCATAATGAGCGGGGTTTAGCCGTTTGCTGTTGGCAATTTACCATTTTTACCACCTGCCGAAACAACTAGCCCTGAAAATGGATGGCGCTTGAGCGGACCACTTATACCCGACCGTTGCCGACTTGAGCGCAATGCCCGCCTGGTCGCAGCGAGTAAGAGGGTCGCGGTGGTTTGCGTTGAAGGCTTTGGGCGTGGGTCCAGCTGGAGCTTCCATCGGTGCAGATCTTGGTGGTAGTAGCAAATATTCAAGCGAGATGCTTGGAGACTGAAGTGGGGAAGGGTTCCACGTGAACAGCAGTTTGCCGTTGCCAATTTACCATTTTTCGTCTTGTTCTCAGCACTAAACCCTCCTTTTTGGCTATTTGAACTATCATTTGATGCAGAATAAAATTGCGCGTCAAATGAAACCAAATCAACTCAAAATATAATATGCACGCAAAGTTATTGGCTAAAAACGTAAACCCCGCTCATTACGGGTGGGGCTTGACTTTTTGTCTCATAACTTTTCATGGATATTATATTTTGAGTTGATTTTGGTATCATTCGATGCGTAATTTGATTCTGCATCGAATGCATCGTCAATATAATCAAAATCGAAGAGTTATTGTTGTGGAAAAGATGAAAAACCTTAAATTGACGGCAAAAAAGGACCGACAAATGTTTTCGTTACAAATTTACTCTAAAGCATGCCAAAAACCATAGTTCAAATAGCCAAAAAGGAGGGTTTAGTGCTAAGAACAACACGAAACACGAAAAACCTTAAATTGCCAACAGCAAACGGCTAAACCCCGCTCATTATGGGCGGTGCTTGACTTTTTGCCTCATAACTTTGCATGGATATTATATTTTGAGTTCGTTTTGGTATCATTCGATGCGAAATTCAATTCTGCATCGAATGCATCGTCAATATAATCAAAATCGAAGAGTTATTGTTGCGGAGAAGACAAAAAACCTTAAATTTAAGGTTTTTAGTATTTTTATCTGCACCAGCCTTTCTATTTTGACTATTTTAACGATAATTCGATGCAGAATTAAATTGCGCGTCGAATAACACCAAAGTTAGCTCAAAATATAATACCCATGGAAAGTTATTGGCTAAAAACCGAAACCCCGCCTATTATGGGTGAAACTTGACCTCTTGCCTCATAACTTTTCATGGATATTATATTTTGAGTTCGTTTTGGTATCATTCGATGCGAAATTCAATTCTGCATCGAATGCATCGTCAATATAATCAAAATCGAAGGGTTAATGCTGAGAAAAACACGAAAAAGGTGTAGTCCATAAGGCTCACTTTTATATGAGCTTAAATGAGCTTGAAATCGACTTTATGCTAGTCTTGTTGCTAGTCTTACCAGTTCCAAACTTTTAGGAAGCCCGTGAAGCGGTCGGATCGATCAAATCGGAATCTCTTTCCGAAATTCGATCTTTAAGAGCTCCGCCAGAAGCAGTTAGAGACATTCTACAAGCTGTGCTCGTATTCATGGGAATTCTCGACACATCCTGGGAAGCGATGAGAAAGTGAGTGTACTTTGGGTTTAAATTTGTAAACACACCCTCTCTGGTGCGCACCTTTGTTCTTTCTTTTTCAGATTCTTGGCAAAATCCGGTGTTAAAGAAGAAATCATTAATTTCGACGCTCATCGTATCACAGCCGATGTCCACAAGAAAGTTTCGACACTTGTTAGCTCAAAACAAGGATCGTTTGACCCAAAGGTTTGCTTTCTACTGACTTACTGGAGTTACTGACTTCTTCCTGAAGCTACTGACTTCTTCCTGAAACTACTGACTTCTTCCTAAAGCTACTGACTTCTTCCTGAAGCTACTGACTTCTTCCTGAAGCTACTGACTTCTTCCTGAAGCTACTGACTTCTTCCTGAAGCTACTGACTTCTTCCTGAAGTTACTGACTTCCTGAAGTTACTGACTTCCTGAAGTTACTGACTTCTTCCTGAAGTTGCTGACTTCTTCCTGAAGTTGCTGACTTCTTCCTGAAGTTGCTGACTTCTTCCTGAAGTTGCTGACTTCTTCCTGAAGTTACTGACTTCCTGAAGTTACTGACTTCCTGAAGTTACTGACTTCTTCCTGAAGTTGCTGACTTCTTCCTGAAGTTGCTGACTTCTTCCTGAAGTTACTGACTTCCTGAAGTTACTGACTTCCTGAAGTTACTGACTTCCTGAAGTTACTGACTTACTGGGGTGGTTCCAATATGGTTCCAATATGGTTCTACATATGGTTCTACATATGGTTCTATATATGGTTTCAATATGGTTCCAATATGGTTCCAATATGGTTCCTATACATGGTTACTGACTTCCTGAAGTTACTGAAAAGGATTCTGTTACTTTCTAGAATGCGAAACGAGCCTCTGCAGCTGCGGCTCCATTAGCTGCTTGGGTTTTGGCGAATTTACAGGTAAAACTCGAATGACTCGAATTAGTTTACTCGAATTTTAAAGCTTTCTATTAATCTAGTAAATAAAAGTCTTATTTTTAGATAAAATTTTATTTTAGTATTCGGAAATTCTCGACAAAATCAGCCCACTGGAACAAGAGAAAAACGCGTTGCTGAAGTGAGTCAATTTTTAGCAAACTTGGGCTTTTTTTTTAGCACTTTTTATATCTGATTAGACTAAAAATTCTATTCTAGGGTTTCCAGGGTCAGTGAATCTGAATCCGGCATTAGTTTTTGGCTATAAAATTAGGTTGACGAGTTATAAACGATCGTTTTAGGCAACAAATTGTTTATTTCATAGAATGAAATGTTTCATAGAATAAAATATTTCATATTTCATAGAACATTAATCGAAAAGGTATTCTCCATTATTATCGATGACTTCTTGCCATCTTTGGCTTGATAATTCCTTGATATCATTCTCAAAAAACTGAGCGTCCTTCTGAGCAAAGTAGAAATCAAGTCATCGTTTTTTTTAGAAATCAAATCATCGTTTTTTTTTGACTTGTGCATGATCATTGAAAAGTTTTCCATAAAGGAATTGCTTTAACGATCGAAACAAATGGTAATCTCAGGGGTGCTAGGTCGGGTGAATAAGGCGCATTTGGTAGAAGTTTCTAGCCAAGCTCGTCGCGTTTTTTGTGAGTGACTGTTGAGTGCCAAGTTTTTGCTGTGTGCCGTTTTGCGTTCTCTTGCAAAAAAAGGACCTTCGATGGATCGATAGCCCAATTTCTTTAATGATTTCAACTAACACTCATCAATTGTTTTGAGTAGAGATCGATGAATTTTTCCATTACGCCTTTAAATGGTTGAAAGAAGTAAAGATCCAATGGTTCAACGAGTCCTGTACACCCCGCTTAAACTCATCTTGTCAATGATTAAATAACATTATACAAATTTCTAATAATCAACAAATTTCTAATAATCAAAACGATTTTTTAATGTTTTTCAAAAAAAGCAAAAACTTTAACTGCTAGCGATCCGCTCATTGATCCAATGAGAGCGGATCAACCAAGATCAATGAGTTCCGAGCGCATCAAAGAGTTCCTAGTGGCACGCTCCACTAGGCTACGAGCTGACTTTTGGGATGGCGAAAGGAAAGCCTTTCCGCCGGCCAAAAAATCGGTGTGCCAGAAATTCGAGAAAAGCCTTCATTTTTTCGAAATTCAAATGGCTATAACTTTGTGCGTTTTGCCGATTTGCGCTTTTTGAAAACAGTTTCTGAACGTACATTTTCAGGCCTTTCTTTTTTGCACCTACCTCATATTGTAACTCGCGGGTAACTTGGGAAGGTTCCCTGGTTAGGCTCAGGCTTAGGCTTAGGCTTAGGGCTTAGGCTTAGACTTAGGCTTAAGGCTTAGGCTTAGGCTTAGGCTTAAGGCTTAAGGCTTAGGCTTAGGCTTAGGGCTTAGGCTTAGACTTAGGCTTAAGGCTTAGGTTTAGGCTCAGGCTTAAGGCTTAAGGCTTAGGCTTAGGCTTAAGGCTTAGGCTTAGGCTTAAGGCTTAAGGCTTAGGCTTAGCCATAAGACTTAGGCTTAAGGCTTAAGGCTTAGGCTTAGGCTTAAGGCTTAGGTTTAGGCTTAGGCTTAGGCTTAGCCATAAGGCTTAAGGCTTAGGCTTAAGGCTTAGGCTTAGGCTTAAGGCTTAAGGCTTAGGCTTAGCCATAAGACTTAGGCTTAAGGCTTAAGGCTTAGGCTTAGGCTTAAGGCTTAGGTTTAGGCTCAGGCTTAAGGCTTAAGGCTTAGGCTTAGGCTTAGGCTTAGGCTTAGCCATAAGGCTTAGGCTTAAGGCTTAAGGCTTAGGCTTAGGCTTAAGGCTTAGGCTTAGGCTTAAGGCTTAAGGCTTAGGCTTAGGTTTAGGCTTAGCCATAAGACTTAGGCCTTGGCTTAGGCTTAAGACTTAGGCTTGGGCTTAGACTTAGACTATTTATTGGGCTATGTTTTGGCTATAAAATCATTTCTAGAAATCTTTCCAAAGCCGAGAAACAGATGGAGAAATTGTCGAAAGGGCTGACGACAGTCGATGAAAAAGTGGCCGAGTTGAAGAAAAGATTCGAGACATTGATTAAAGAAGCGACACAGATAAAAGTTGATTTGGATAGAGAACAGGTGAAGGGAAAAAGGGTACTTTCCGATTATTGGGAAAAAGCATCACCTAGACATCACCTAGACAGAAAATTCGAAGCCAAACCTAATTCTACCTTTGTTTTCTTGGCCAATTCTTGACCGATTACTTTGAAATTTTATCTACAGCTAGAGATCGATATTTTCAGTTTGTAGACAAAATTGCAGAGCAATCGGCCAAGGAACTACCGAGAAAACGAAGGTGGAATTAGGTTCGGCTTGGAATTTTCCCAGCTCTAGCACAACCAAGTTCGGAACATGGTTTTATATGGAAATTTTGTGCAAAACGCGTCTCGATATGCAAATGCAAATTCCCTGAATCGAAACGCACAGAGAAAAGATAGATATCAAGATATAAAGATATTCAGGCAACCATTCAAGTGGCGGGCACACTCGTGGATCGGCTCGGTGGAGAGTACGAGAGATGGAGACAACAAATGGATGTGCTGCGGAATGAATTGGATCAGGTAGAATGGTGAACAAAAATCAGAGCTGAACCTGGTCTGACCTGGACCTAGTCTGACCTGGATTTTGAGGCGTTTGCTCACATTTGATATTTGCCAATGGCAATCTAACTTTGAGCTAAAATATCTTGGTGTTCGTCTGTCCAATTTAAATGTTCTTGGTATGATTAGATGCGTCAAGTCTTTCTCTATCGATTGGTACAGAAAGAGGGCGAACGCGGCTCAAATATCCGATAACTCTTAACCAGATGAAGTTGGTGAACCCAATAATGCAAGCTAAGCCTGCAAGCTAAGCCTGTAAGCTAAGCTTTTGGTGGACTCGGGGATTTTTCTGGTTTAGGCTAGGCAGTAAAACCATTTAGCCACCACAAACCTAAGCCTAAGCCTTCAAATCTTTAGCTCGAAAAACGCTGTGCCGTCTCCGCTTGTTTTGTCTCATTTCTCGGTTCGGCCTCGGAAAGGATTCGACACGATGTGGTCAAACAATGCGGACAGGTGAGAAAATGATCAGCTTAAAGATCAGCTTAGTCGTAGCTACAGTAATCCTTTTTCTTGACTGCCTGCAGTAGGGCTTGCAAAAGTGCTAAAACTACAGTGTAATTCCTAGGCTTCCAAGGGATTTTGTAATCTTTGGATGTAATGCAGTAGAGTGCCTTACAGTAGCCCTTGAAATGTGACTACAGTTACAGTACTCCTCAGTAGTGCTTAGTAGTGCTTAGTAGTGCTTAGTAGTGCTCAGTAGTGCTTAGTACTCCTCAGTACTCCTCAGGACTTCTCAGGACTCCTCAGTGCTCCACAGGACTCCTCAGGACTCCTCAGGACTCCTCAGGACTCCACAGGACTCCTCAGGGCTCCTTAGGGCTCCTCAGGACTCCTCAGGGCTCCTTAGGGCTCCTCAGGGCTCCTCAGGACTCCATAGGACTCCCCAGGACTCCTCAGGACTCCACAGGACTCCTCAGGACTCCACAGGACTCCTCAGGACTCCTCAGGACTCCACAGAACTCCCCAGTACTCCTCAGGACTCCTCAGGACTCCATAGAACTCCCCAGTACTCCTCAGTACTCCCCAGTACTCATCAGGACTCCCCAGTACTCCCCAGTACTCCTCAGTACTCCTCAGTACTCCTTACATCACTTAGTTACAGTATAGTAACGTCTAGCACTCTGTACAGTATCAACTACAATACTTTCCATCAATTTCCAGGCAGTCCGTCTCGATACTTTCGACGTTCTCAACTTTTGCGCCCTTGAAACAGAACAGGTTTGTTTTTGCGTGTAAAAAAAGATCATTTTCAATGAAAAACAATGCTAATTCATTAGCGCAAACGCAAGAAAAAATTTTTTTTTAAAGTGAAGCAAAAGAATGAAAAGAGAAATTAGAGAAAAAAGTGGTTTTAGGGAAGAATTTTTGGGAAGAATTTTTGAAAAAGGAAACTTTTTGATCACAGAAGAAAGCTAAAAGAGTAAAAACTTTATCGAAAACATTTCTTTTTTGCGATTATTTCCCCGGGCACAGCTTCCATAGACATTTCGTTGGTGGATTGGCAACTGAAATTGGGTAATTTCCATGAATACAATAATCTTTGGGTGGTTTTCTACAGTAATCTAATGAGTACAGTAATCTAATGAGTACAGCAATCTAATGAGTACAGTAATCTAATGAGTACAGTAATCTAATGAGTACAGTAATCTAATGAGTACAGTAGTCTAATGAGTACAGTACTCTACCGTAGCCCTTGCTACAATTGCAGTGATCTTTAGAGAAGTTTCTCAATTCACAGCAACTCTTGCAACGATCCTACAGTTACAGTACCTCAAAGAGTACTTTGTGCTTGAACCCTTGCAAACGTACTCTTACTGGTGCTCTGAATTCGTTCATTTTGAAGCTAATGGGTTCATTTTGAAGCTAATGGGTTCATTTTGAAGCATTTTAAAGGGTTCATTTTGAAGCATTTTGAAGCATTTTGAAGCATTTTGAAGCATTTTGAAGCATTTTGAAGCATTTTGAAGCATTTTGAAGCATTTTGAAGCATTTTAAAGCATTTTGAAGCATTTTGAAGCATTTTAAAGCATTTTGAAGCATTTTAAAGCATTGTAAAGCATTTTAAAGCATTGTAAAGCATTTTAAAGCATTTTGAAGCATTTTAAAGCATTTTGAAGTATTTTGAAGCATTTTAAAGCATTTTGAAGCATTTTAAAGCATTTTAAAGCATTTTAAAGCATTTTAAAGCATTTTAAAGCATTTTAAAGCATTTTAAAGCATTTTGAAGCATTTTAAAGCATTTTGAAGCATTGTAAAGCATTGTAAAGCATTGTAAAGCATTGTAAAGCATTGTAAAGCATTTTAAAGCATTTTGAAGCATTTTGAAGCATTTTGAAGCATTTTAAAGCATTTTGAAGCATTTTGAAGCATTTTAAAGCATTTTAAAGCATTTTGAAACATTTTGAAGCATTTTGAAGCATTTTGAAGCATTTTGCAGCGTCTAGGCTAAAGTATAATTGGCTATTGTAACTGCAGCAAAGAAAAGATAAGTAGAGACGGCAAGGAGTCAAGCCAAGACTTAGCCAAGACCGGCAATCACTTTTTTCTAAGCACTGGTTTATGCTAAAAATCTGTGTTATATCTCAAAAAATCACCCATTTTCTCTACTTTAATTTGATATCTATGCTCGTGGAAACAAACGTACTGGTGTCGAGATCTGACCGTTTGTTTGAGGGGAAACTTCGACTACGCGACGCTCCCATAGGGTCTTTTATAGGGCTTTTATAGGGCTTTTATTCGAGTATTTATGGTAGAAAGTTCTCGTAATTGGCTACAATAATCCGAATTTTTCACTTTTTAACGTTTTAACGTTCTAACCTCTTTTATCCAAATAGCTAGCCAATGAATAGGACCTTCTCGGTTGGGTTAACATCGAGAGAGTTCTCAACGAAACACCGTCTTCATCCATTATCTGAAAATATATCTGAATAATGATCTATCTGTAAATCTATATTAAATCTATATTGAAAACCCACCAAGAAACGTGCTTCGACGGCTAATAAAATAAAAAATAGCGCTAATAGTACCCGCCACGCGGTGGACATTACCTGAAAAGAAATCTGGATTTAAAGAGAAGCTTAAAGAAAGAAAGAAAGAAGAAACGAGAAAGTCGGTTCGTTAGAAAGGGTGCTTTTGCTCAGGCTCAGGCTCAGGCTGAGCCCAAGCCTTGCAAAACTTGAGCACAAAATACACTAGAGAGCAAAAGTACCAGTCAGAAAGTACAAAAAGCGAATACTAATGGGGTTTTTGTGAGTTAGCTTTATGATAAAAAATAGGTAAGATAGCTGATAGCTGAATAGCTGAATAGCTGATAGCTGATAGCTAATAGCTGATAGCTGATAGCTAATAGCTAATAGCTGATAGCTAATAGCTGATAGCTGAATAGCTGATAGCTGATAGCTGATAGCTGATAGCTAATAGCTGATAGCTGAATAGCTAATAGCTGATAGCTAATAGCTGATAGCTGAATAGCTGAATTGCTGAATGAGCTGGATGACTTTTGAACCTTTGATTGACTTTTAAAGTACGCCAAACTTTAACCAGACTAAATGTTTGTCTAGTAAGGGATAAAGCCATATCCTGTCAACGGAACACATATCAGTGAGCTCATTGGTAAAGCGTTCGGTTACCAGGCGAAAGTCGCGGGTTCGAATCTCGGTGATGACCTGAGCCTGAGCCTGAGCCTAGGCTTAAGCCTGAGCCTAAGTCTAAGCCCAGGCTTAAGCCTAAGTCTAAGCCTGAGCCTAAACCTGAGCCTGAAATGAGCATCGGCAAGCGGGTGTCCCTTAGCTCCAGGAACCAGCTGAGATCCAAAAAATAGAGGTTTAGCCCAAACCCAAATCGACTAGCCTCGACAATCGAATCGACAAGCGAGGCGCTAGCCGCTAGCCTTCGTACTAAGTCCAAGCCTAGGCCTAAGTCTGGGTCTTAGCCTAAGTCTAAGCCTAAGCCTAAGTCTAAGCCTAAGTCTAAGCCTAAGCTTAAGCCTAAGCCTAAGCCTAAGCCTAAGCCTAAACCATAAAACTACACCAGTTCAACTGTCCAACTGTCTTTTAATGTCTAAAGTTAGCTACAAAAACTTATTGAGTAGGTGTGAGTAAGAAAAAAGTTGACAAGAACGGAATTTTCAATGAGAAGAAAAGAAAGAAGGAAAAGCTTAAAGAACAGAAAAATTTCGAGACTAAAAAAAGTACATGGGAAAATTGCTGAAGTAGACAAAAGCGTGGGTGTTCTGAAGGGAAAAACCTTGCTTCATAAACATTGCTTTAAAGTGTACTTTTGTGGTATAAACGTACCCCTTTCTACCGCACTGCATTCCTCGTTTTCTTCGAATGTTGCTGTGCGAAAAATGAAGAATTCAGTGCACTAGACGGGCTACAAAGCACAAAGCAGAGAGCACAAAGAACGCCACTGATATGTAAGCAGATCTAAGCCGAGCTACCTTCGTGCTAAACAGTAAAACAATAAGAGTAAACCGTATTTTAATGCACCAAAAGGTGTGCGTTTTCAACAAGCTTTCCAAAACTTTCCAAAACTTTCCAATAAGCTTTCTTTTTGGTCTAAAGACGCGGAAATTTGACAAATTTGACCTTTTCCGTATAAAATTTGACCAAATTACCAAATTAGTCCCTTTTCCTCATTCATTTGCATCTTTTTTGTCAAAACACAATTGTTTTTATTGAAATAATTGGATAATTAGGATAATTGGATGAACTTTGAAAAGAAAAAGGGAAGAAATTCACATAGTATACAATGAGTTGTCTGCTTTGAAAGAAAGACAATACGGTTTTGAATGAAAAATGGATAAAAGCTTGGTCCTATAGTTGGTAAAATTGAAATTTGTGATAACGAATTGCACTTTTATTGCAAGAACATAGATTTAGCAGAATATCATGTATAAGAACTCTAAGAACAAACTCTATAAGAACAAACTCTCTAAGAACATAGAGAAACATTGTGTCAGAGTTGAACTGGTGACCTGCAGAAGTTGATCAACGGTCTATAACTTTTGGCGGTCTATAACTCGAGATATGGAAATTGAATCGACTTGTAATTGCTTTTAATAGGATCTTCATTAAATTTGGTTATAGAAAAGTAGAGCTTGTTTTGTAAACTCAGGTATAAAAACATAGAGAAAATTTGTGTCAAAGTTGGCTTACTTGTCCTGCAGAAGTTAATCAACTTTGACGGTCTATAACTCGAGATATGGAAATTGAATCGACTTGTAATTGCTTTTAAAAGAATCCTCATTAAATTTGACTAGAGAAAAGTGAAATTTGTTTTGTATACTCACCTATAAAAAGATAGAGAAAAATGGCCTTAAAGAGTAGTGCGCTAAAGTGCCGTTTTTCTATGGTCAAAATGGCTTTGGCACTTTTCTATTTTACTCTATAATTCGACTTCCAATTATCAGATCGATTTAGGGTTGATTTTAAAATGATCCTTATGAAATTTGGTTATAGAAAAGTAGAGCTTGTTTTGTAAACTCAGGTATAAAAACATAGAGAAAATTTGTGTCAAAGTTGAACTACCTACCTGGAAAAGTTGATCAACTTGAACGGCCTATAACTCGAGGTATAGAAGCTGAATCAACTTATGGTTGATTTTAATAGAATCTACATTAAATGTGAGTAAAAAAATGTAGAATCTGTTTTGTAGACTTACCGATAAAAACATAGAGAAAATTTCGGTCAAAGTTGGACTAGTGACCTGCAGAAGTTGATCAACTTTGACGGTCTATAACTCGAGATATGGAAATTAAATCGACTTGTAATTGCTTTTAAAAGAATCCTCATTAAATTTCGTTATAGAAAAGTAGAACTTGTTTTGTAAACTCAGGTATAAAAACATAGAGAAAATTTGTGTCAAAGTTGAACTTCCAAATTTGGGAGTTTGGGAATTGCAGAGTTATACTTTGTGCTTTACATTTTGTTAAAATCAAACAAAAATGTAAAGTAGATTTAAAAGAAGATAGCTTTTATGTTAGAATTTGAAATTTGTGACCCTGGAAGCACGTGAAAAAGGCGGAAAAATGTCATGAATTTGAAATGGAATTAGATGAGAAGGGGAAAATCAAGAGAAAATCAAAGAAAATCAAGAGAAAATCAAATAAAATCAAATAAAATCAAAGAAAATCAAAGAAAATCAAAGAAAATCAAATAAAATCAAAGAAAATCAAATAAAATCAAATAAAATCAAAGAAAATCAAATAAAATCAAATAAAATCAAATAAAATCAAAGAAAATCAAAGAAAATCAAAAGAAAATCAAAGAAAATGATGATTTCATTGAAACAAAAAACGGAGATTACGATTTTGACTAGTTAAAAAAGTGATATGGTAATCGTTTTCTGAAAGTTGAGAAAAAGCTTTCTGAGAAAAAGCTATCTTAACCTCTAAAGCTATCGTAAAGGAAAAGCTATCGTAAAGAAAAAGCTATCGTAACCTCTAAAGCTATCGTAACCCTAAACTCTATTAGTTTAGGTTTTAATTTTTGAAAGAATGAAAAAGAATGATTGCAAATCTTGAAGAATATTGTTAGTGATCTATTTTTTTTATATATTTAGTTAAATTGGAAGAATCTTGGCCTTCCAGCGGATCAGTTATCATTGGAAAATGCAGTGGTTCTCCTCAACTCAACTCAAACACCACTTGTCGTCGATCCAACTGGAAGAGTGGCCAGGTGAAACGACAGATTTGAAAGATTTGAATCTCTTTTGAATCTCTTTTAAATCTTTTAAATCTTTTAAATCTCTTAAATCTCTTAAATCTTTTGACCTTTTGATCATTTCAATCTTTTGAAAATACTTGCTGCAAAGCTATTCAGAAAAAAATGAAACCATCTGGCATAATTGGCAATCAGCTGGCTTCCGCCTTGAACTAGTCCGGAATAGAAGGTTTTTTGGCTTTGATTTGACTTAACTACCGTAAATACTGTAATAGTACCCCATCCCCATAATGACGGTGCGGACGGTTGCGTAGTCTAGCTTTGAACGAGATTTTCTCGACACTGGTTTATGCTACAATGCTCACCTAGGTATCAAAAAAAAGCCCTGAATTTCGGCTATTTTTTGATACCTAAACGAGCATTGTAGCATAAACCAGTGTCGAGAAAAACTCGTTCAAAGCTAGACCACGCAACACTCCGCACCGTCATTATAGGGATGGGGTACTATTACAGTATTTACGGCAGGCTTGATTAGTGTTTCTCCTCAACTCCACTCAAAAATGACAGCTACTTCAGATCAACTTCAAAATTGCAGCTGATAAAAAGCGCAAAAATAAGAATTTTCTGTATTTTTAGCTGCTAGATGCTAGAAATAACTGTAAAAAGCAAAAAAAAAAAAAAAAAGAGACGGAGCCAAAGCACCGGCCTGTGGCCCTATGAACTACAAGCGTAGACTCGTAGACACCCTCGGCCACTCGGCTGTTGCTCGCGTGCGTGTGAAAGTCCCCTTTAAAGACTTAAAGAGAAAAATCTTGAATTTTAAGCATTTTTGGGAAAGACTTGGCACTCCTGGCACTTAAAAACGACTTTCATACGGACTCGACTAGTGACCGAGTGGCCGAGCGGTTTGAAGCACAAGCTCGTACTTCAAGAGCTGCTAGTTCGACTCCGTCGCCGGTGATTTTCTGTTTTTTCCCCTCGAATTTTTAAAAAGCAAAAAACCCGAGCAAGGAGCCGAACTATCGACCCTTCGACTACGAGCTCGGGCTCCTAACCACTCGGCCATCGGCCACTGCTTTCGGGCGTTTGAAAGTCCCCTTTAAAGACTACCAATCTCCAAAATGCTTAAGATTAAACATTTCTGGGGATTGGGTAGTCCTTAAAGGGGAGTTAAAGGGGACTTTCAATCGTCCGCGAGCAGTGGCCGGGTGGCCGAGTGGTTAGGAGCGTGAGCTCGTAGTCCGAGGGTCGCTAGTTCGACTCCATGCTCCGGTTTTTTGCTTTTTAAAGATTGCTCGCGGCCACTGCTCGCTCGCGGCCATCCGGCCATTGCTATTTGCGATTGAAAGTCCCTTTAAAGACTACCAATCTCCAAAAATGCTTAAGATTAAACATTTTTGGGTAGTCCTCAAAGGGAACTTAAGGGTTCTAAAAAGAAGTTAAACTACGCGACTGTACGAGAAGATGTCGTTCTATTAGAGGATTTACAGAGGTTCAGAGGTTCAGAGCTTAGGTTCAGAGCTTTATGTAAGCGCAAAAATTTCAAGATAGAAATTGGGAAGGCTTGGGGAAAACTATAAGGCTTGGCAAGGCTAGGGGAAACTATAAGGCTTGGGGAGGCTAGGGGAAACTATAATATTAATCGTAAAACTATAATACTAAGCTAAGTTTGGGCAAAACTATAATACTAAAGATGAAACGGGGATGGGAAATGGATAGACAGAAGACTCAAATAACAGGCAACTCAATTTACGAAACAAGAAGTACTGATACAAACTTCCGGCTCCTAATTCTCCGATTTCCGATGGGGGTTGAGGTTTGCCCAATTACTCATCATCTTATACAACTCCTTCCCTCTAAATGTCCCTGCCGGAATGCCCTAATTGTGTCTCGTTACTTACTCTCATCCCCGTTTTCCTTTTCCTTTCCTTTTCCTTTCTTTTCCTTTCTTTTCCTCTTCCTCCTTTCCTTTCCTTTTCTTCTTCCTCCTTTTCCTTTCCTTTTCTTCTTCAACTTTTTTATTCCACCTACGCTCACTTCTTTTCCTTTAGGCACTTTCTTTAAGCTCTTTAAGCTCTTTCAGCTCTTCAGCTTAAGCTCATTAGATGGGAAATGTCAGCGTTACACGTTTTTAAAGTTTAGCTCCAATTAGCCAAATTTCGACATGACGGGGATATTTTTAAAGGAAATGACTCTTTGCAAGATTACCATAAACTACTGTAGTTGTAGGCATAGTAAAAATAAGTTTAAGTGGTTGTAAGTAAATGGTTGTTGTAAGTTGTTGTCTTATTGTTAGCATAGGATTTAGCCTGAGCTCTTAGCTATTATTATTAACTATCTCGAGCTCCCAAAAAGGTCAAATTGCTCAATTTTTACACAATTTTGCATCAAAGCATTTGAAAAATCAAATTTGAAAGCAAATTTGGGATTCACTGGGATTTCAGTGATCTCGTTGAGTAAGTAACTAAGAGCCCAGGCTAAAGCCTGTGATAAAGCCTGTGATAAAGCCTGTGATAAAGCCTGTGCTAAAGCCTGTGCTAAAGCCTGTGCTAAAGCCTGTGCTAAAGCCTGTGCTAAAGCCTGTGCTAAAGCCTGTGCTAAAGCCTGTGCTAAAGCCTGTGATAAAGCCTGTGATAAAGCCTGTGCTAACAAGGGAATCGTCTTAGCTCAAAGTTCGGAATTGACTGAAAACACAGTGCATAACGTAGAAACGACAATGGTGAATAAAACGCCGCAAAAATTAGCCGCTAATAGCCACGGAAACCCGAGGGATCTGAAGGAAAAGGCACGCAAAATCGGGATTCTTTTGCATTGGATTCAAAACTGATTCTTTTGCAAGGATTCCTACCACTGGAATGCCAAGAAACTTGGATTAATTACGAGACTGTCAAAAGGAAGAACAAAAGGAAGAACAAAAGGAAGAACAAAAGGAAGAACAAAAGGAAGAACAAAAGGAAGGAAAGGAGGACGGAAAGGAGGAAGGAAAAGAGGAAGGAAAGGAGGAAGGAAAGGAGGAAGGAAAGGAGGAAGGAAAGGAGGAAGGAAGAACAAAAGGAAGAACAAAAGGAAGGAAAGGAAGCTATTTGCCGCTCTCCCTTCAAGCCTTCAAGCTATCCCTTCAAGCCACTCCGAAACCTGATATTCATGGAAAGAAACTAATGCTCTGTTGCTAGTGGAACTCAAAAGTTTTGGTGCACTGCACCAGCCAGAGCCAGCCAGAGCAGCCAAGCCAGCCAGAGCAGCCAAGCCAACCAGAGCAGCCAAGCCAACCAGAGCAGCCAAGCCAACCAGAGCAGCCAAGCCAGCCAAGCCAGCTCAACCCAGGCCAAAGTTACCAATGGCTATCTTATAAAGGAATCAGTTTTTCCCGATTTCCCTGCTTTTATCTTTTAGATGACTCACGCTAATCTTTGACACTTCTAAAGAACACTATAAAGAACACTATAAAGAACAGATCTATTGATAGTACCCAAACGTACCATAGTACTGATACAGATAGTACCATAGCACTGAAACAGATAGTACCATAGTACTGATACAAACTATTGATAGTACCCTCAAGTATCAAGTATAGTACAGTATCCTCAAGTCTCCCTAGCTGTATCACCATAAAAGAAACCCTAAAAACAGCTCAGAAAAAAAAGCAATAGCAATAGCAATCTCTATTTAATTCTCTATTTAATTCTCTATTTAATTCTCTACTTTAAATCTCTATTTAAATCTCTATTTAATTCTCTACTTTAAATCTCTACTTTAAATTTAAATTCAACAAAACACAGCAATCTTTTGTGAAAATCTAGCAAAATAAGGTCAAAAATCTTTGCGCAAATAAGATTATGCAAATTTTCTGCACAAATCTCAGCTATTTCTGCGCAAATCTCAGCTATTTTTAATCGAATTCTTCGAATCTGATGGGAAATTTTAATGAACAACAAGCTTTTCTTTTCTTTTTTTTCTTTTTTCTCACATTTCTTTGAAAGGAATTAAAATCTCTGGCTTTTTTAGCTTTTCTAGAGTGTTTTCTAGAATGTTTTCTATTAAATTCCTTCGTGAAAATGAGCTAATTGGTTTTGGAGGGAAAAAAGAAGGAAATTAGCGAGAAATTCGAGGAAAATTCGAGGAAAATCATGATGTTTTCGAGTGGGATTAGACTAAGAAAAGGAAAAATGAAGAAAGGAAACTTTTTCTAGTTCTTTTTCTAGTAATAGACTCAAATTGTAATAGTAATAGACTTCTAGACTCAAATTGCAAGCGCTTAGGCGAACGTGAAACTGTGAAAAGCCTGGTAAAACCTGGTAAAGCCTGGTAAAGCCTAGTAAAGCCTAGTAAAACCTGGTAAAGCCTGGCAAAGCCTAGTAAAACCTGGTAAAGTCTGGTAAAAGCCTGGTAAAACCTAGTAAAACCTGGTAAAACCTGGCAAAGCCTAGTAAAACCTGGTAAAGCCTGGTAAAACCTGCTAAAGCCTGGTAAAACCTGCTAAAGCCTGGTAAAGCCTGCTAAAGCCTGCTAAAGCCTGCTAAAACCTGCTAAAACCTGATAAAACCTGCTAAAGCCTGGTAAAGCCTGCTAAAGCCTGCTAAAGCCTGCTAAAACCTGCTAAAACCTGATAAAACCTGCTAAAATCTAGTAAAGCCTGCTAAAACCTGGTAAAGCCTGGTAAAGCCTGCTAAAACCTGCTAAAACCTGCTAAAACCTGCTAAAACCTGCTAAAACCTACTAAAACCTGCTAAAACCTGATCAAAAACCATGTTCAGTTCTGATTTCTGATAGATTTCCAGTGAAATCAAGCACCAAACACGAACTGAACAATCAAATACACTAATATACAATCAAATACACTAAAAATTGAAGGATAAACTTTAAAATGACAAACTCTTACACTAAAAACGCTCCAAACTTGCTCCAAATTCGCCCGATTGACATCATCTATAGCCCAAAAAATAGAGAATCTCAAGAGCTTTCGAATGGACTAAAACACATCAAAAAAAATATCTATTCTACGTAATTCTACAAGGGTTTGTAGTCTATAGTTTGTAGGATCCATATCTAGTTTCGAGTCAGGCTACAAACCCTTGTAGAATTGCGTAATCGAAACTAGACATTGGCTTCACAACTACAGACTACAAATTCTCATAGAATTGCGTTGAATAGATATTTTGAAAAACTCTTTCTATCAAAAAATCGAGCCAACTTTAGGCTTTCGAGTGACACTAAAACCAAGAAAATTCGCCATTTGTACTCTGAGAACGAGCCATTTATAGCCGTTCGTAGTCTCATTTCACGGAATGAAACTAAGAACATGATTTGGTCTGATTTTTGTGTCATTCGAAACCCTAATAGACCATTAAGCTGGTCTATTAAGCTGTCCAGAAAGGTTATTTGACTGATACGCGACTTTTGCCATTGGCAATCGAACTTTGAGCTGAGATATCTTGGTGTTGGGCTGTTCAATTGAAATAGTTTTTGTACCAATCGATAGAGAAAGAATTGACGCATCTAATGATAGCAAGAATATGTAAATTGGACAACCGAACACCAAGATATTCAAGCTTAAAGCTGGATTACCAATTGCGAAGAGGGCGAACGCGGATCAAATATTCGATAACTCTTAACCAGATGAAGTTGGTGAACCCAAGAATGCACGCTAAGGCTGACAGGCTTAGCTTACAGGCTTAGCTTGCATTCTTGGGTTCACCAACTTCATCTGGTTAAGAGCTATCGAATATTTGATCCGCGTTCGCCCTCTTCACAATTGGTAATCCAACTTTAAGCTTGAATATCTTGGTGTTCGGTTGTCCAATTTACATATTAGTCTGACCTAGTCTGACCTAGTCTGACCTGGATTTTCAGACGTTTGATAGCATTTGATATTTGCCAATGGCAATCCAACTTTGAGCTTAAATATCTTGGTGTTCGGCTGTCCAATTTAAATGTTCTTGGTATCATTAGATGCGTCAAGTCTTTCTCTGTCGATTGGTACAAAAACTATTTAAATTGGACAACCCAACACCGAGATATTTGAGCTTAAAGTTAGATTGCCAATGGCAAAAGGGGCGGGACTATTGGACCTTTGCTCCGCCCCCTTTGCTATTGACAACCTAACTTTGAGCTCAAATTTCTTGGTGTTCAGCTGCCCAAAAGCTAGATTGCCAATGGCAAAAGGGGCGAGGCGTATAAAAAAGGGCGCAGCGCCCACTTTTTCCATTGGCAATCTAACTTTAAGCTCAAGTATCTCGGTGTTGGGTTTTCCAATTTCAATAGTTTTTGTACCAATCGACAGAGAAAGACTTGACGCATCAAATGATACCAAGCACTTGTAAATTGGATAACCCAACACCAAGATATCTCAGCTCAAAGTTAGAGTGCCATTGGCAAAAGTGGGCGGGGCGTGTATCAAAGGTTATCGAAGGTGTATTTGTTCTACAATCGCCCAGTCTACAATCTTCGTCCTTCTGTTTAAAACCAACAAATACACCAATTAAACTACGGTTTTTTTTCATTAGAAAGGCCAATTCTTTTTCTCTAAAATAACATTAAAGATGGGAAATTGAGCAATAAAAAAACTCACGATCGAATCTAGCTTTCATTATGGTTTACAAATGTCTGATGTCTGTCTTTTTTTGGAATCTTGAAGTCGAGTAGTCAAAAAGCGGCTCAATGATGCGCTAGAGAGCTTTAACTAAATAAACCCATCTTGGTTTCAATAGATAAAAGGTAGAGCACAAAAAGTGAGCCCCATTGACTTGATCTAAGCCAAGCCAGACTCAGATTCGAATCCAGATCGAGAAATTTTCAGAGAAATTTGATTTAGCCAATTTCTTCTTAGAGGTTTTATAGGTTTTTATGGGTTTTTATGGGTTTTTATAGGTTTTTATAGGTTTTTATAGGTTTTTATGGGTTTTTATAGGTTTTTACGGGTCTTTAACGGAAAAAGACGTCAAATTTGCTTGTAATTGAGGCGAAATTGAGTTAAAAAGATGCGAAATTGAGCAATAAAAAGACTCACGATCGAATCGAGCTTTCATTATATGATGAGGTTTTAGATTCTTGGAAAAAAGTCTGCCGAATGCGACTCAATTACGAGCCGGACAAAGTGATCTCTTCACACAGGTATTTAAAAAGATTTAAACATTGAAAGATTAAAAGTAAACACAAATTAAACCCAAATTGTCTTAAATTAAACTAAAATTGTCTCAAATTGCCCCAAATTCTCTTAAATTCTTTCAAATTCTTTCAAATTCTCTCAAATTGCCCCAAATTCTCTTCAAATTCTCCCAAATTCTCTTAAATTCTCTTAAATTCTCTCAAATTGCCCTAAATTCTCTTCAAATTCTCTCAAATTCTCTCAAATTGCCCCAAATTCTCTCAAATTCTCTCAAATTCTCTTAAATTCTCTCAAATTCTCTCAAATTGCCCCAAATTCTCTCAAATTCTCTCAAATTGCCCCAAATTCTCTTCAAATTCCCTCAAATTCTCTCAAATTCTCTCAAATTGCCCCAAATTCTCTCAAATTCTCATACAAAACGATAGAATAAGTAGTGTAAAGTTTTTTTGAAAACTAAAGCTATAACTAAAGCTATAAGTAAAGCTATAACTAAACCTATAACTAAAGCTATAACTTAACCTATAACTAAAGCTATAACTAAAGCTATAACTTAACCTATAACTAAACCTATAACTAAAGCTATAACTAAACCTATAACTAAACCTATAACTAAAGCTATAACTAAAGCTATAACTAAACCTATAACTAAAGCTATAACTAAAGCTATAACTAAACCTATAACTAAAGCTATAACTAAACCTATAACTAAAGCTATAACTAAAGCCTCTCAATAAGGAAATCCCGCTAAAAATCTTTAGAAAAACTTTGTTAAGTTGACTACCTTTGTTAACTTCTGACTACAGTAACTCAGAAATTCAGCCTGAGCCGTACTTTAGGGATTTTTTTGAGGAGGCTGGGACTGAGAGGGGACCCTAGAGGGAGACCTCTTTCTAACGTCACCTCAAATCATCACACAACCCACTTTTCCCTTCCTTTCCATGAGTTTCCTTGTTCTCTGGTTTCAGAAAAGCTTCGATGCGGTTTTTAGAGTTGCGAAAAGCAAGGAAAATGCACAAGGCAAGCAAGGCTTTAGCTTTAACTTTAATTGCTTTAACCACTCAGCTATTCGGTACCTTAACTTGCCAAGAGAAAGAAGGAAAGATAAGGGGAAGAAGAAAGGAAGAAAGAAGATGAATCCAGTTCTAGACCTAGTTCTAGATCCAGTTCTAGATCCAGTTCTAGATCTAGTTATAGGTCTAGTTCTAGATCCAGTTCTAGCTTCAGTTTTATATCCAGTTCTAGTTCTAGATCTAGTTCTAGATCTTGTTCTAGATATAGTTCTAGATCCAGTTCTAGCTCTAGATCTAGTTCTAGTTCTAGATCTAGTTCTAGATCTAGTTCTAGATCTTGTTCTAGATCCAGTTTTAGACCCAGTTCTAGACCCAGTTTTAGATCTAGTTCTAGATTTAGTTCTAGTTCTAGATCCAGTTCTAAACCCAGTTCCAGATCCAGTTCCTCAATCAGCCAGCCAAGTCAAGTCCAACCAATCCTTTGACTTGATCTAAGCCAAGCCAGGCTCAGATTCGAATCCAGATTGAGCCTGGCTTGTAGTAAAGCCAAGCTGGCAGCCTGGCTTGCAATAAAACCAGGATACCAAGTTTACCTGGCCTTGAAAAGTATCTTAGAACAACTCCAGGGACAACCCCATGGCTCCAGGGCCAACCCCAAGGCTCCAGGGCCAACCCCAGGGCTCCAGGGGCAACCCCTCGGCTCTCAACTTTGAAAGGCTATATAAAAAAGTCGAAAGCTTGAATCGATTAGATAATGGACACCGTTCTAGGAGACATACTTGAAAGTTATTTCCAAAAAAAATCAGAACGATTCACTCAATTTTGAGTGGCCTGGATGTTTAAAAAGGATCATTATAAGATAAAAATGAAGTATAAAGGAATCCTGATTCAAATTTATTGCATTGAATCATTGCAAAAACAATCATTGCAAAGAGTCCAATGGACTTAAATGGACCAATGGCATGGTGACTTAAAAAGCAGATTTCAATCGTGTCTAGCTAGGGAATAACCTTTCAAAAACAACAAAAACCTTCTGTAAAACGCCCAAAATCTTCCGGAAAACAGCAAAATCTTCCGGAAAGCAGCAAAACCTTCCCTAAAACCCTTTCAATTAAATCTTTTCTCAAAAATTGAATGAATTCACATGAATACCCCGTGAAATCTCTCAAATTCGCTTCCTTAGCGGCTTCTTTTCTTTCTTAGCGGCTTCTTATTTCTTACGTCTTCTTTTCTAAGAGACAAGCGGTTTTCCTCTAAATGATGTCATTCAATTCTACTCATATAGCTAATCCTAAAGCTTACTAGATAAAAAATAAGATTTAATTGAATTTTTTGAAAGTAGCTGAGCGAGACGATCTATTCAAAAGCCCCCAGTTTTTTCCAAAAGCCCCAGATTTTACCGAAGAGCCGAAAACTGTTCTAAAAATGGAAATTATCACAAATTTTAAGTAATCCAACAGATTTTGCGACTTAATTTGCCTTTATTTAAAGCGTAACACATACAATAGGCTCAGTGCACAAGATTTGAGTACAAAGTACACCCGATCACTTTCTCTAAATCTATTTTTGGTCAAATGCGAGGGTGGATGTCAATGATGACATTTAATTTCTTGATTTTTGCAATTACGAAAAGAAATCCCCTTTTAGAACAAAGTAAACAAAGTGATTTTGCAGAGAAAAGGCTGAAAATGAGCTGAAAATGAAAAATCTTTGAGAAAAATGGGAATCAAAATTTTGCAGGAAGTTTTAAGAAAAGATTACTGTAATCAAATCATACTTTAGCCAGGAATTGTTTAGACAAAGATAGCTGCTGATTACTGTAGCTTTTAGGCTACAGTTTGGGGTACTGTAGATCGCCTAGAGTTTGGGGTACTGTAGGTCGCCTAGAGTTTGGGGTACTCTAGCTTGCCTAGAGTTTGGGGTACTCTAGCTTCTAGCCTACAATTTGGGGTACTGTAGCTTGCCTAGAGTTTGGGGTACTGTAGCTTGCCTAGAGTTTGGGGTACTCTAGCTTGCCTACAATTTGGGGTACTGTAGCTTGCCTAGAGTTTGGGGTACTGTAGCTTGCCTAGAGTTTGGGGTACTCTAGCTTGCCTACAATTTGGGGTGCTGTAGCTTGCCTAGAGTTTGGGGTACTCTAGCTTGCCTAGAGTTTGGGGTACTCTAGCTTCTAGCCTACAATTTGGGGTACTGTAGCTTGCCCAGAGTTTGGGGTACTGTAGATCGCCTAGAGTTTGGGGTACTCTAGCTTGCCTAGAGTTTGGGGTACTCTAGCTTCTAGCCTACAATTTGGGGTACTGTAGCTTGCCTAGAGTTTGGGGTACTGTAGCTTCTAGCCTACAATTTGGGGTACTGTAGCTTGCCTAGAGTTTGGGGTACTCTAGCTTCTAGCCTACAATTTGGGGTACTGTAGCTTGCCTAGAGTTTGGGATACCGTAGCTTGCCTACAGTACCGCAAACTTGTCTACAGTACCTATGTTCGTCTGGAAGATCGGAGGTACTGTAGCTTTTAGTTTACAGTACCCAAGATTAACCAGCTGAACCTATTCCGGGTGTACTTTGTGCTCAAATCTTGTAAACACTTTCTTTTTTGCATTTGTTTATTTTGTTGCATGAAAGTTTTGCAAGAAAAATGGAGAATTAAGTGCACTAGGACGTTTGTTTTTACAATTTTCCACAAAGTATCTGGAAAAACAAGAGTCTCTTTTTTTTTCCTTTCTCTTCTCCTTGTATTTCCTCTTTCTTCTCCCGTGATCAGATACCAAATAGCTCAGTAGTTAGAGCTCAGTAGTTAGAGCTCAGTAGTTAGAGCTCAGTAGTTAGAGCTCAGTAGTTAGAGCCAAGGGCCGAGTTGGCGTAGTTAGAGCTCAGTAGTTGGCTCGTAGTTGGCTCAGTAGTTAGCTCAGTAGTTAGAGCGTTTGTCTGGAAAAGTTGTCTGTCTCGTTTGTCTGTCTGGAAACTCGGTGATCGAGAAACAAGGTCGAGGATTCAATCCCCTGTTCAATCCCCTTTTCTTTTCCATTTCTTACATCCATACTTTACAACTTTCTAGATCGAGTTAGGGATTCGTTTCGGGAAAACGCTGATCGTTGATGATGTGACCGAGATTGATGCAGTGTTGTATCCATTGCTGAGAAAAGATCTCTCTCCACAAGGACCCAGACAGGTGCGTCGATTTAACTAGATACTTTAACAAATTCGCCTTATTTTGAGCGTACAGTCGCGTAGTCGTTAACTGTTTTTACTGATAACTTGGTGTAAATCCAAAGATAAACTAAACTATCAGAGTGATTCGATAGCTCTGAATAACTCATTCGATAGCTAGCTCTGAATAGCTCATTTGATAGCTCTGAATAGCTCATTCGATAGCTAGCTCTGAATAGCTCATTCGATAGCTCTGAATAGCTCATTCGATAGCTAGCTCTGAATATCTCATTCGATAGCTAGCTCTGAATAGCTCATTCGATAGCTCTGAATAGCTCATTCGATAGCTAGCTCTGAATAGCTCATTCGATAGCTAGCTCTGAATAGCTCATTTGATAGCTCTGAATAGCTCATTTGATAGCTCTGAATATCTCATTCGATAGCTAGCTCTGAATAGCTCATTCGATAGCTAGCTCTGAATAGCTCATTCGATAGCTCTGAATAGCTCATTTGATAGCTCTGAATAGCTCATTTGATAGCTCTGAATATCTCATTCGATAGCTAGCTCTGAATAGCTCATTCGATAGCTCTGAATCTCCTCTTGACACTAGTTTGAAAGTTATCGAGAGCTTTCTGCGAAATAAATAACAAAAAACAAAACTTGAGTTGATACAAAGAACTAATCGTCATTAGTACGTGTTGCGTACAAAGCTATTCGCCATTTGTACGTGTTGCGTACAAAGCTATTCGCCATTTGTACGTGTTGCGTACAAAGCTATTCGCCATTTGTACGTGTTGCGTACAAAGCTATTCGTCATTACTCAGTATCAGTGCGTTTAAAAAAACCGCCATCTTTCAGGTGGTTATCTTCTGTGACAAATCCCTTGACTATCACGTCGATTTCCGTCTCATTTTGTGCTCAAAGAACGAACGAGTCGAGCTATCGGCTACAGAAGCGGCCGCTTTACAACAAATTTCATTCATAACGACGAGAAGCGGATTGTCCGCACAGGTAGAACTGAAATACGGTTGTCGAGCCACTTTCAAGTAGCCAAATCAGCAAAAGTTTGTACTTTTCCAGTCGATTACGGGTTTATTCAGCTTTAGCTTTATTTTATTCAGCTTTTAAAAACTCATAAAACTACGGTAGCTTTCTGTTTTCGATTATCGTTGTACGCTTTTCTATTATCGTTGTACGCTCGAGTTAGGAACACGGTAGCTTATCCATTTTGTGGTTTTCAAAAGAATACCATGAAACACGCAAATACAGTAAGCTGGGATTACGATAGTTGATACAATAGTTTATACAATACAGTTGATTCAAGGTAAGATTTAATCCAAGACAAGATCCAAGACAAGATTCAAGACAAGATTCAAGATAAGATCCAAGATAAGATTCAAGTCAAGTTTCAAGTCAAGATCCAAGACAAGATTCAAGTCAAGATCCAGGATAAGATTCAAGACAAGATCCAAGACAAGGTCCAGGATAAGATTCAAGACAAGATCCAAGACAAGATCCAGGATAAGATCCAAGACAAGATCGAAGACAAGATCCAAGACAAGATCCAAGATAAGATCCAGGATAAGATCCAGGATAAGATCCAAGACAAGATCCAAGACAAGATCCAAGACAAGATCCAAGATAAGATCCAGGATAAGATCCAAGACAAGATCCAAGACAAGACCCAAGATAAGATCCAAGACAAGGTCCAGGATAAGATCCAAGTTAAGGTCCAAAACAAGATCCAAGACAAGATCCCAGACAGGATCCAAGACAAGATCCAAGATAAGATTCAAGTCAAGTTTCAAGACAAGATCCAAGTCAAGCTTTAATTCTTCATTATCAAGTCTTAAGGCGCAATTCTTCATTACCAAAGTGGTTTTGCAGTAGGGGATTACGGCAGCTCGTCGAGTTTTCAAATCCAACTACTGTTGGATTTGGAAAGCTATGAAGTTGTTTAGCACTTGCTACTGTAAAGCTACTGGACTTTTTCTTAAGTACAGTACGACAGGATTACGGTAACTCGTCGACTTGTTAACGTCGGTGTTGGGTTGTCCCATTTAAATGTTCTTAATGCGTCAAGTCTTTCTCTGTCGATTGGTACAAAAACCATTCAAATTGGACAGCTCAACACCAAGATATTTGAGCTCAAAGTTAGATTGCCAATGGCAAAAGGGGGCGGGGCGTGTACAAAAAGGGGCGAGGCGTATAAAAAGAGGCTCTCTTTTGCCATTGGCAATCCAACTTTGAGCTCAAATTTCTTGGTGTTGAGCTGTCCAATTTGAATGATTTTTATACCAATCGATAGAGAAAGACTTGACGCATCTAATGATACCAAGAATATGTAAATTCGACAGTCCAACACCAAGATATCTCAGCTCAAAGTTAGATTGCCAATGGCAAAATTGGGTGGAGCGTTAGATTGCCAAAGGCAAAAGGGACGGGACGTGTACCAGTCTGATAACCTTTTTCTTTTAGCTACTTGGTCTCGCCATTCAACTGGAGCGTCCGGAGTTGGAGGAGAAATCCTCAGAGTTGACGAGAAACGCTGAAACGATGAGAATACAATTGGAAGCATTAGAGCACACACTGTTACAGGTATGAGAAGAGATTTACAGTAATTCAACTGGAGCGTCCGGAGTTGGAGGAGAAATCCTTTCCTGGAGCTTACAGTAATTTGAAGTTTACAGTAATTCATTTAGGAATTGGCCTCATCGGAGGGGAATCTCTTGGAGAACACGGCTTTATTGGACTCACTGAATAAATCAAAGGAAAACGCGCGCACCGTTAGTGAAAGTATTGAAGAAAGTGAGCGGTTGAGGAAAGAATTGCAACAGGTGAGTGATTGGGGAATTTGAAATTTCTCCCAGATATGAAATGTCGGCTTTCTCGTTGGTCCAAAAGGTTCCAGATTGGCTACGAATCATACTAAATAGAGATCTCTTGATTGATTGGCTGATTGATTGATTGATTGATTCAATGCTAAATTTCTTCAATGCTAAATTCAATGCTTTACAGCAACGTGAAGGCTATCTGCCCGTCTCCGAGTTCGCCTCATCACTTTTCTTTGGTTTCTCCAATTTGCATATCATTAATCACATGTACAATTACAATGTGAACACGATTTTGCGATTGTTTGAGGGAACAGTGAGAAAATGCAAAGTGAGTCGTGCTCTTTGAGTTTTAACCCATTCGAAACTTCTGCAGCGAATAATCGCTGCAGCAAAAACTCAGGAACGGACCGCAGCAGCGATTATTTGCTGCAGCGATTATTCGCCGCAGCGCTAATTGAGCTATTTTCATTCAGTTAATTGCTTTTTTTTTTGCTGTTTTTCAGCATTACATGTATTGCAAAAGTCTTTTTCATTTTTTTCGTACTTCTTTTGAAAAATAACAAAGTCATCAATTAACCTATGGTTTGCTCTAAATGAAAAGTGTTTATTGTTCAATTTCCTCATCTTTTTAAAGGGGGGGGGGGCACATCCGCGCGAAATAAGGCGAAAAATCGTTCTCTATCCGTTTTCCATGTTTGAATAGCCATTCAACGCAAAAAAATGTGCTGATTTCAGTGGTGAAAAAATTATCAAAATCCGTCTGATACATTTTTTAAAAATCGCATTTTATCGAAAAAACCGCACTTTTACAAACAACTCGCTCGCAGTGACCAACTTTCGGCGGCTCGTTTTCAGCGTGGTCGAAAGATTGCGCCCTCAAAACCGATAACTTTTGTGTGGACCTTTATAAAGATCATTTTGATACCAAAAAACAAGAACAAGAAATATACCGAACCTATTAAAAAGCTTACTAAGAGTTTGTTTATCAACAATTTAAATAGAGATAAGTTAAATATAAGTTAAAAGCCTCTGGGAAAAAGGACAAATTCAAATAGAGTAATATAAATGTCTGGCTGCTTTAAATAGGTTGTTGGCGATTGCCCACGTTTTAGCGGGCAGAAAGTCGCAAAACGTCATTTTCAACGGCGGCATTAATCGCGGCCGGGTGACGATAAAAATTTTTTTACGGCAACCACCTGTTTTTTTATTTTAATATCGCTGATTTTATTATAAAAAGAATAAAAATCACCCGGCTAGAGTGATTTGATGGGTTTACAAATTTTTGGAGACACTGCAAGGCTTGGAGAAAAACAAGATTGTCACTCATCAGACACCTCAGATAAAAGGCACCTATTTGAGAAAACTAAAACCACAAGCGACCACAAATGGAAAAAAGATCTAATTGTGTCAATTAAAGCGCTGAAGATGTCCTACGGTGGAGGAGATTCAGTCACTTCTGGTGAAGATGCGCTGGAAATTGATAAGATAGGAAGCCGATTTGTACTGCTGTACTTGAGCCGAACTGCTGTACTTGAGCGAAGATGAAAGTGAGCAAGAGGAAGAATTATAGATTAACAATTTATTTTTATTGCTTTTTGTGCTTTTTATTTTGTTTTTAAATTTATCTGCAATTAAAATTCAATCGATCTAGACTGTGCTGATGAGTGACGATCTTGTTTTTCTCCAAGCCTTGCAGTGTCTCCAAAAATTTGTAAACCCATCAAATCACTCTAGCCGGGTGATTTTTATTCTTTTTATAATAAAATCAGCGATATTAAAATAAAAAAACAGGTGGTTGCCGTAAAAAAATTTTTATCGTCACCCGGCCGCGATTAATATTTTCTCTGAAAATCTGAAAAGATATCTAACTTTTTGTGCTCTATCTTTTATTTATTAACATCAAGATTGGTTTCCTTAGCTAAAGCGTCTAAAATGCATCATCGAGCCGTCGCCTTTTTTGACTACCCGACTTCAGGCTCTCAAAAAAAATCTAGACATAAGACATTTTAAACTCGTTTTAATGTCATTTTGCAGAAAAATAATTGGCCTTTCGAATGCAATAAACCGTTGTTCAATTGGTGCATTTGTTACTTTTTAACGGAAGTACGAAAAAAATGAAAAAGACTTTTGCATCAACCTAATATATTCCAATTGTAAGAGATCTACAAATTACGTGGGCAAAAAAAGATGTTTCATATTTACCCGGAAGCAATGCAGTCTCTGGTTTTGCATTGAAATGTTCAATAATAGCTCTAATTATAGCTCTAATTATAGCTCTAATTATAGCTCTAATTATAGCTCTAATTATAGCTCTAATTATAGCTCTAATTATAGCTCTAATTATAGCTCTAAAGTCAATCTCCTGCAGGATCCAGTTCATTATAACAAAAACGCAGGTTGCGAAGAATAGATTCAAATTTTGCTCTTGACATAATGACTCTGGACATGTGGGAAAATCCTCCTAATCCAGGCCTGCTACTCTACTAGTAGTACTGCTACTAGTAGAGTGTACTACTAGTAGTACTGCTACTGCAAGGTGAAGAAAACGAGGAAACACACGACGAGAAGGAGAATAAGAAAAAACATGATTGGGGCTTCCACCTACCCTCGTTCAAAATCGGAGGAAGCAGAAGGTCGACCAAAGAAGGAGAAGAGCCCTATCCAATCGCTTCTGAACCTTATGAAGGCCCACTCGACTCTGTGGATCGTGAGAACGATCTCGAGAGACTTCCATTTGAGACCGAGCCAGCAACCGACAACACCGAAGTCGTTGCTGTGCCCAGTGGTGAGGAAGTGGAAATGACGCGAACGGCTGTCGTTTACCTCAAAGAGGTGCCAGGTGAAGAAAACGAGGAACTTGACTTCAGTAGTCACGAATCCTCGGTAATTTGACGATTCCCATTTGAAGATACAGAGCCAGGAAGAGCTTGAAAGATTTTGCATCGAAATCCTGCCAGTTTGTTTTCCTTTTTTCATGTTTATTAGATTCGCCTACTAACATATTGATTAATAATAAACGTCGTCGATATTTGTCGTCGATAAAATAAGAACAATAATCGATAGGATCTTGAAAAGTACTGAAGTCAAATCCAAATCGTTCTTCATCAAAAATAAATGGTGTAGGAGACTCTCTTACATCTTTCCAACCAAAAATAAACTGCTTCGGAGTCAAAAATCTCAAAAAAGGGCTTGGTCCGTAAACGAAAAAGAAAAAACGCTGCGGTTTCGAATGGGTTAAACAAAGAAGGTTTAAACAAAGAAGGTTTAAACAAAGAAGTTTGAAACTCGAATTTATAGGACAAATCATCAAGCCGTTTGGACGCGTTGAGAAGAGAGCTACAGGTACTCTTCGGGCTTTAAAACATAACTACTATAATAATACTCATAACTACTGTAATAATACTCATAATAATGTAAAGAAATCATCATTTCCTTCACCTTTCTTTAGATCACAGTCTTCCATCATGTCGCCCGCGGTCTCTTCAAAGCTGATCGTCTCCTTTTCGCTCTTCAATTCATCCATCACACTCAACCAAAACTTTTTCAGCCAAATGCAAGTCGAATTTTGCCATTTTTTTTGCCATTTGCCATTGCCAATTACCATTTTTCTTTTCAGGAATGGGAACTTTTCTCGGGAACTCTTTTGATTGAAGCGAGAGAAGCCGGGTATTCGAATGATTCGATTACGTGGATTGACGAAGAACAAAGAACGGCTGTGGCTAGGTTACAGGTATGAGAATTGGCCGTCAAGGGCTCGAATCGTCAAGGGTGTCAAGGGCTTAACGATACATGGAACCTGGTGAGCCTGGTTTTACAGTGATACCCCGGCTCACAAACTGTTCCAGCTCAGGCTTAGGCTTAGGCTTAGGCTCAGGCTTAGGCTCAGGCTTAGGCTTAGGCTCAGGCTTAGGCTTAGGCTCAGGCTCAGGTACAGGCTCAGGTACAGGCTCAGGCTCAGGCACAGGTACAGGCTCAGGCTCAGGTACAGGCTCAGGTACAGGTACAGGCTCAGGTACAGGCTCAGGTACAGGCTCAGGTACAGGCTCAGGTACAGGCTCAGGTACAGGCTCAGGTACAGGCTCAGGTACAGGCTCAGGTACAGGCTCAGGTACAGGTACAGGTACAGGCTCAGGTACAGGCTCAGGTACAGGCTCAGGCTCAGGTACAGGCTCAGGTACAGGTACAGGCTCAGGCTCAGGCTCCTGTCTCAACCCTGCTTGACCTGAACTGGCTTACTTTAGCCGCAAGTCCTAGATTGCCTGATCTTTCTCAGCCCTGGAACCGTCTTGACCTAGCCATGCCTGATCAAGTCCCTGAACCCACAAGAAGCTAGTTTATAGCTAGCTTGGGTCTGTAGGGCTTCGTTCAAGTTTCTGGGCTTATGAGAACTCAGGCACTCAGCCGTTTGGAAGCTGGAAAGTCTGGTCAAGTCCACGAGACGAAATGCCAGGTTCTCAGGATTCACTGCAAGCTTGCCCCAAGTGTCGAGGCTCATAAGCTTCTTCTTGCCCGGCGCTGCTCTGGTATGGCCAGCCTACAGGTTCAAGGACCAGGAAAATCCTTGAAATTCTACAGTACACTAAAAATTCGTGAGCAAGTACTCGACAAGTATGAAACAGTTAGGCAAGGCCACTCAAGAACAGGTTTAAGCAAAAAGAAAACACCTAATCAGAAGCTTTATTATGCTAGGAAGTGTGTGGTTACTTGAAAACTTTAGGAAACCTATGTAACCTATTATAAAGTTGTAGGGAAACACAAGACACTTTTAGACGTCCCTTCCCTCACTCTACAACACACTGAAATTATCCGATGTGGGCACTTGGGCAGAATTCGCGCGAACAGCCGACGCTGAGACGGCAATCCCGCAAGCGATTGGCACAAAGATTACGCCATTTCAAAAAGTAAACGAATAAAGGGCAGCCATTCAATTTGTCTTCCTTTTTCAGGTACTTTTGATTCAAGTGACGCGCCCGAGTCGTCTCTACGCTTGTTTGCAGAGTTTTTGTCAGGTATGGGTTGTAACATTGAGTAAAACACTCTACTCAAACTCTACTCAAACTCTACTCAAACTCTACTCAAACTCTACCCTTCTTCCTTTCCTTTTTCACCTAAAAGATTCAAAATTTAGTCCACTCTGTCTTTATCGGATTTAAACCCGCCACCCTTTGATCTACGAGATGTTTTCGAGGACTCGAACAACGAGAATCCGATTCTTTTATTGATTGCTGGTGGCGCTGATCCGTCACAGGTAAAACGAGAAAATTAGAACATTTATAAATCAAACTCTATAGATTAGAACATTTATAAACCAATCTCTACAGAGATTCTTTCAGTGTTGCAAACATTTGCAATGTGTAAACGTTCGGATAGGCGTCTTTTTTTTTACGGTTACGGTTTTTTACGGTAGCTTTCCCTAAGCTTTTAAAAAACAATATCATCATAAAAAATGTGACCCATTTACACTAATCGCTCGCTAGTTTCTTATAAATAAATAAAATTTCAATAAAAACTCTTTTCCACTAAATATTTTGCTTCTCTTTTCCACTAAATATTTTGCTTCTCTTTTCCACTAAATCCCGTATTCTCTCCAATAGTAGTGCACCGTGAGCGTTGCCTAAATTCCTCGAAATCTCGAGAACCGCTTATCGAGTGCTTATCGCTTATCACCTATTGATGTGGGGTCGGAAAATGTAGCTGACGATGAGATCTAGTGGGGGATTAGAGGTGTTGAGCTTCTGCAAAAGCTTGGGAAGTGTAAAATCGTCATCAACTCAGCGGAGTGCACTACTATTAGAGAGAAGACGGTAGCTCATCCGGAGAACCCGGTAGCTCATCCGGAGAACCCGGTAGCTCATCCGGAGAACCCGGTAGCTCATTTGTTCAGCTAGAGGACAAGATACTTTCTAGAAATAGAATCATTTTTTTGATGTTGTTAGAAGGCTTCGAAGGCTAAAAACGAGAAAAACGAAGGAAAATCGCGAAAAGCGGCGGAAAGGCTATTGGTCTGAGGGTCGCTGGTTCGACCCCCGCCGGTGACAATATTTTTCAAAAATTTTTTGCTAAGATTCTGAAAATTTGTGTCTAGGGGTTATTTTTGACGCTGATCCCGAAACACATGTTTTTAGCCTAGGTTTCTGCACGGAAAACTAACGAAACGTGAAAACAGCCATTTTTTGGCTCTGCCGCTCTTTACTAAAATAGCTGTAAAAACTTTTAGAAAAGAGATATCTCAAAACGGTTTTTACCAATCGATCCGTCTTGAATTCAGCTTTAAGATGAGCTATCAAACGTCGAAATTGGACAAATTTAAGGTACTCTCCCAAAAAATCCGAAAGGACTTTTCCAACAACCCAATATTTGATATGCGCTTATAGGCAATTTTTTTGCAATTGTAGGCAAATGTTATTCAAAACTTAAATTAAAGCTTAGATTAAAGACTTACTTATTAAAGACTTCGATTAAAGCAAATTTGATCTAATGCTTTTAAACTTTCAGACTTCTTTTGCCCATTTGCCATGCCATACGCCATACAAACGCCCTAGAGTTTACAATTTCATTAAATTAATGATAATATAGTTCAATCAAATTTATAATTAATTTAAAATTAGAATCAAATTGGAGTCGACTTGTAAATAATAGAACAAAATGTTTGGACGGAGTCGGTCGGTCGTTCCTTGGAGTCGGGTTGCCTGAGAACGCAGCCTTAAGCGGGTGGTAAACTTCTTCTAAGGCTAAATATGGCTACGAGACCGATAGCAAAAAGTACCGTGAGGGAAAGTTGCAAAGAACTTTGAAGAGAGAGTTCAAGAGTGCGTGAAACCACTGGAGTCAAAACGGATACAGTCGTAACGAGGCAACATTCAACCGATCCTTCGGCCCCGGTGCACTTGTTGTCTGTATGCGCTGAGTGCGTTGATTGTGCGCGTCGAACCGGCACGTGTTGCCCACTTATGTGGTGTCTTGCGTGATTCGTTTTGAAGAAATTTCAGTCAAACTTTTTCCGAGAACTTTCTTTCCAACCTAGTATTATAATGTGTTATGTTTTTTTTTAACTTTTAGGAGTTAGAAGAGTTGGCGAAGAAAACGGTGGGGCCGGATCGTTTCCATTCGATCGCAATGGGACAAGGACAAGAAGAAACAGCTGTTAGAGCACTCAAGAAGTGAGTTTGGGGGAAATTTTGGTACAGGTACATCTGGCAATTGCAAAAGGTACATCTAGCAATTCTGGTGTCTCTTTCTACCGTTATTGTCTCATGTTTTGCCTTATGTTTTGCCTTACCGTTATCGCCTTACCGTTATTGCCATACCGTTATTGCCTTACCTTTATTGCCTTACTGTTATTGCCTTACCGTTATTGCCTTACCGTTATTGCCTTACCGTTATTGCCTTACCGTCATTGCCTTACCTTTATTGCCTTACTGTTATTGCCTTACCGTCATTGCCTTACCGTTATTGCCTTACCGTTATCGCCTTACCGTTATTGCCATACCGTTATTGCCTTACCTTTATTGCCTTACTGTTATTGCCTTACCGTTATTGCCTTACCGTCATTGCCTTACCGTCATTGCCTTACCGTCATTGCCTTACCGTTATTGCCTTAACGTCATTGCCTTACCGTCATTGCCTTACCGTTATTGCCTTACCGTTATTGCCTTACAATCTATCCACTTTTTGTATCCTTTGTAAACTGTCACAGAATAAGACAATGAATTGGATAAAACATAGAGACAAGATCACGGTAGAAAGATCGAAAGAAGATGGTTTAGAACACGGTTTAGAACAGGGTTTAGAACAGGGTTTAGAAAACGGTTTAGAACATGGTTTAGAACAGGGTTTAGAACACGGTTTAGAAAAAGGATTAATCGAAAAGAGGAAAAAAGAGAATGGTACGGTGGTTAAGATGATTGAATGCACGTGAAATTACAATCTTGATTCAGATGTGCCTCGGAGGGCGGCTGGTTGTACTTGCAAAATATCCATCTCATGCTCTCATCAATTCCAATCATACAAAAAGTATCCAAGTTCTTATTTCTATCTATAGTTTGAAAGCTTGAAAGTTTGAAAGCTTGAGAGTTTGGAGACTTGAAAGTTTGGAGACTTGAAAGTTTGGAGGCTTGAAAGTTTGGAGACTTGAAAGTTTGGAGACTTGAAAGTTTGGAAGCTTGAAAGTTTGGAAGCTTGAGAGTTTGGAATCTTAAAGGTTTGGAATCTTAAAAGTTTGGAAGCTTGAAAGTTTGCAAACACTTTCAAGGATAGTTTGTACACTTTCAAGTTGCCAATATTATCAAAAATTCCATTTATCATTCAGGAACTTGGCATTGAAAAGCACGAGAGTTTCCGACTGTGGATGACAGCCGAATCGGATGAAAGGTTCTATGCTGTTGTTTTCTTTATCTTTGAATATAGTCCCGCGAAATAGCCGGCAATTTATGAATATTGAAAATCTTGAGATTTTACAGATTTCCCTCAACGATCCTTCAAGATTCCCTGAAAATCACATTTGAAGCGCCGCCGGGGATCAGGAATAATTTGTTGAGGTTAGAATGATTGTATCTTTACTGTATAATATTTATTGTATAATATTTATTGTACATTTACTGTATAATATTTATTGTATATTGCAAGATTGTGTATTTTTTTGTATTCTCTTAGATCACTAACGCAAGTCGAGGAGAAACAACGATCCCCAGTGTGCTCCCAGGCGATTTTCGTGGCCGCTTGGCTTCACGCACTCCTACAAGAAAGGAGAACCTACATTCCACAGGTGTATAGAGGTTTTTGGAAACTTATAGCAATGGAAAGTTCTCTTGGAAGCTTATAAGTTCTCTTGGAAGCTTATAAGTTCTCTTGGAAGCTTATAAGTTCTCTTGGAAGCTTATAAGTTCTCTTGGAAGCTTATAAGTCCTGAAGCTTAGTTCCTTGGAGCTTATAGTTCCTGGAAGCTTATAAGTTCTCTTGGAAGCTTATAGTCCTTGGAGCTTAGTCTCTTGGAAACTTGGAAACTTATAAGTCTCTTGGAAGCTTATGTTCTCTTGGAAGCTTATGTTCTCTTGGAACTTGGAAACTTATAGTTCCTTGGAGCTTATAGTCCTTGGGCTTATAGTTCTCTTGGGCTTAGGTTCTCTTGGAACTTGGAAACTTATAGTTCTCTTGGAGCTTATAGTTCTCTTGGGCTTATAGTTCTCTTGGAGCTTATAAGTTCTCTTGGAACTTGGAACTATAGTTCTCTTGGAAGCTTATAAGTTCTCTTGGAAGCTTATAAGTTCTCTTGGAAGCTTATAAGTTCTCTTGGAAGCTTATAAGTTCTCAATTACCGGCAGAATTCATAGCATCTTCCTCTTCGATGTTGTCGTTTCCTAGCGTAAACCCCTGCCTTTCTAAAACAGTTTGAAAGTGTTGAAGCTTTAACTTAAATACTCAACTTTGAAAGTGTTGAAGCTTTAACTTCTCTCTTTAACTCCTTGAATACAACTCATTGAATACAACTCATTGAATACAATCCAATAAATCAAAAGGATTAATCAATCTTTTGTAAGAAATTTTACCTGCTTTTTAAAGCTTGCTTATCTCATGGGCTTGTCTCTTTGAGGAAACTTCGTGCCCACATATAAACGCAATCCGTTTTTTGAAGCATCGTGGCTGCTTCGATTTACCAAAAGAGGAAGCTTCTCACTTTCATCCATATTCGCTCCAACAAGCACAGTGATTCTTTATTTGCTCTTCGTTTGCGCATCTTTCGCCAATTATGGGCGGGAATTAACCATTTGCCTCTTAACTTTGCATGGGAATTACATTTTGAGTTAAATCTGATATCATTTCTGATATTCTGATATCACTCGACGCAATTTCACAGCATTTTTATTCTCCATCGAATGATATTCAAAATAAACTCAAAAATTTCTCTTCCAGGCATGGACGAAATTCTACGAATTCTCGTCAGCGGATTTCCGTGTGGCCACGACGGTCGTTGAAGCGATGACAAACAATCGAAGTAATTTAAATCTAAAATCTAAAAAAAGAGTCGAAATAACTTACGAAATAACAAAATCATAAAGAAATCAATTTTGTGCAGCTCCTGAATGGGAATTTGTTCGCGGAACTCTTCAAGAAGTGATCTACGGTGGACGAATCGAGAGTCCATTCGATATGCAGGTGAGCTTAAAATCAAGAATCAAGATCAAGATCAAGGAACAAGATCAAGAACAAGATCAAGATCAAGAATCAAGATCAAGATCAAGATCAAGATCAAGATCAAGATCAAGATCAAGATCAAGATCAAGATCAAGAATCAAGATCAAGAACAAGATCAAGAATCAAGATCAAGATGAAGAATGAAGATGAAGATGAAGATGAAGATGAAGATGAAGATGAAGATGAAGATCAGGATCAAGATCAAGGTCAAGGTCAAGATCAAGATCAAGAATCAAGATCAAGAACAAGATCAAGAATCAAGATCAAGACAAGATCAAGAATCAAGATCAAGATCAAGAACAAGATCAAGAACAAGATCAAGATCAAGAATCAAGATCAAGAACAAGATCAAGAATCAAGATCAAGATCAAGAATCAAAATCAAGATCAAGATCAAGAATCAAGATCAAGAACAAGATCAAGAACAAGAACAAGATCAAGAATCAAGATTGACATTCAAGAAATATCGAAAATTCGAAATTCTATTTTCGGATTCTATTTTCTATTTCAGATCCTTTCCGCTTATTTAATCACATTGATTAATGGAGAGAGAATCAGCGGAAAAGAGGGACAATTGACTACTGGAGTCACGCTACCGGCCATCGAAAAGTTACAGGTGAAAATGGAAAAGGAAAATGAAAAGTTTCAAGTTTAAAAAGCAGATTTTAAAGTCAGATCCAAAATCGGACCTTGATTTCTATTTGATTCATATTCTTGCCAATTTCAATGTGCCAATCTGTCAATTCTTTTCTAGGACTGGCTACATTTCACCACGCAATCCATTCCTGCATCCGATCTTCCATCCCTTTTCGGTCTTCCATCAAATATCGGTTTTTCTTGGCAACTTTCCGAGGGAAATCTCACCGTTCAACGCTTGAGAATTGCTGGTTTCACGAAATATTCGATCTTCTCAAAAATCTCATCTTTAGGTTCATCAGCGACAGTTTTAGATCGAAAGGAGTGGGCCGACGCGGCACAACCGATTCTCTCGTTGTGGAAAAAGTTGTGCTCGGTTCGTTTTTGTCATAAAAATTGGATACGGTAGATATGCTGTAAAGCTGTAAAAATATTCTCTGCTAACACTTTGCATATTTTTTTAGGCAGACGATTTCCACTCTCGCCCCATTCCGCAAATAACTGAAAGCCAAGATCCGCTTGAAGAAGTGCTACAATTGGAGTTCGTTCACTGCATTAGAACGGTAAGTAAAGGAAAAGAGCTACTAGTTTTATCAGTGACCATGGTTGTTTCAAAAGTGATCTTTCCGGATCAGACAGGGCCAGCAGGACCAGGCCAGGCAGGACAAGCAGGACCAGGTCAGGCAGGACCAGGGCAGGCAGGAGCAGGTCAGGCAGGACCAGGCCAGGCAGGACCAGGTCAGGCAGGACCAGTACTAGGCCAGAAGCCAGATCCTGCCCTGATCCTATCGGTCCTGCCTGGCCAGGGGGACCAGCAGGACCAGGTCAGGCAGGACCAGCAGGACCAGGTCAGGCAGGACCAGTACTAGGCCAGAAGCCAGATCCCGCCCTGATCCTGCCGGTTCTGCCTGACCAGGAGGACCAGCAGGATCAGGCCAGGCAGGACCAGCAGGACCAGGACAGGCAGGACCAGTACTAGACCAGAAACCAGATCCATAGAAAGTCCCGAAGCAATGGTAAGGTAAAACATTCCTGTCTACAGTACTCTAATCTACAGGAAGTTGAGCCAGGATCAACAAACTAAACTATATTGTTTGACTGACAGCTCTTTTCTATCGGTGAATCATTGAGAAAGCTGGTTTAGGTGCAATCCCTTCACACAGCTTTGACTTCACTCTCGAAAGTGATTCGTGGAGTCTCGTTGCCCGATTCATCGACAAAAGGAATGGCTTTGGCGTTGTGTCGCCGAGAGACACCCGATTTGTGGATCGATTTTTGGGCCGGCCCAAGGGATCCAGCCGACTATTTGACAGCTCTTGTCTATCGGTGAGTCATAGATAAAGCTAGATATCTTACTGATAATACAATTTATTTGTAGACACTGTCAAACATTGTAGACACTGTTAAACCTTGTAGACACTGTCTAAAGTGTTGCTTAAAAGATGCTAGAGCTGAGTTTCGCTTAAAATGCAAGTTTTGTTGCAAGTTTTGTGAAAATTCGTAAATTTGGCATTTCTTGAAAACCAGTTTTTGAATCGTTCTGAAAATTTGGATATAAGCTTCATTTTTGGTTCTCTACAACTTTTCCATTGACACCAAAATGGATTTCTTTTGAAGAAAGTGCTCAAACTGTGACAGATGACAATAGCCGGCAGTTTTCAATTCACCAATCCAATATTCTAGCTAATACTTTGATAGGATTACTGAAAAAAAAAGGGTTCAGAGCGAAATCCACGGAAACGCTGATGAAAGAGAGCAAAGGAGGAGAGCTTTTATCGAGACCGGTCGATCTCTCACAAGTACTTCGACCGACAGCTTTGCTCACCGCGTTGAGACAAAAAACGGCGAGGGTTAGAAAGGTAATGGTCGGCTTATATTTGGCTTTTATTCGGTAATATTCGGTCTTTCTCGGGTCCAGAGACTTTTATTGCCTAGGCAAGCTCACAATCCGAAGCAATTATTGAAAAGTATGGTGATAAAAGTCAAGAGTACGGTAACTCAATCCAAATAACAGATCCCGATGGACGAGTTGGTGCTGCGGAGCGCGTGGAACGCTCAACTCCTTCAAGATCACTTGAGCATCACCGTGAAAGGCCTACTTTTACAAGGTACTTTATCCATTGAAATGGATAACTGAACGAAAAAATTCTTGTTAGCTTAGAACACGGTCAAATTACGTAGCCTGATCATGACCTCTTGCTTTGGCCATGACCTCTTGCTTTAGCCTTATCCAGATCATTGTCTCAGCCTTGACCCTGGACTGGCTCTGGACTGGCTCTGGACTAACAAAATACAAGAAATGCTTTCTAGGAGCTGTGTTCGATTCTGTTCTCAAAGAGGTCTCCGCCTCGTCAGCTCCATATATCTCAGCTCCAGCACTGACCCTAGCCTGGACCCCGATGGTAAGCAAATAAGTATTTTGTCGGCAGTACTTATAGGTCAAAAATGAGACAAGAGGAAAAGTGAGACAAGAGAAAAAATCAGAAAAGTCAAAAATTTAGGGAAGTATTATCGTAATCCATTAATGCAAAAAAAAGTTAAATTCTAGAGCTCTTCCTTTGTCTACTCGACGGCCGAATCAGTTTTTGTGCCACTTTACACGGATGCCGGTAAGGGAAACTCTAGAGATATTCTTTTGGTGTACTTTGTGCTCAAGTGGTGCACTTGAACTCTCTATTTTCCCCACAGAAACAATGTTGGGCTTCAGGGGAAAATGAAGAATTTAGAGAGCCAGAAAGGGCATGATTACACCATTGAGCACAAAGAACACTCCAAAAAACATCTATGACTACGCTATCCATTTCCAGAACGAGAAACCCATATCGCGTCAATTCAAATGCCCTGCGGACGGGACACAAACAAATGGAATATTGCATCAATCGCACTTTTCTTGAAATGAAACTTTTTTGTGTATGCAGTATCATTCTTTTGTGTTCACGATAAAAAGATTTTTTAAAAACCAGCGCTAACAACTGTACGCGATGGCATCAATCCCATCAAGTTCCGCATACCAAAAGAGCGAATAGTTAAAAAATTGCCTAGATTCCGGTATTGTATGCACATTTTTGAGACAAACAACGATATAACAAAACCATTTTTACGGCAGTTAGCAAAAAAACCTGTAACATTATTTACTCAATAAGCGTAACTACATGTATGGCGATGTGAAAAAAAAGAAAAATGGGTGCCAATCAAACTACGAAATAACGAAATCCTTCGATTTTTAACAATAACTTTGATGATAAACGATTAAAATCATTCCAATAACAGAGATCACTAGAAAAAAAGTACACGTTATTACAAAACTTTCTTCGAGATGTTCAAAATTTTGGTGAGCCAGTGAACAGCGAGAAAAATTGCGCTCGTTTGTTTGCCGATCCAGAAACCAACGCACATCGATCCACCCACGATCATCGTCCAGTGAATGAATGGAGAGCTTTTGTGTCGAAGACGGCCAAGGAACGATTGCTGCTTTCCAATCTAAAGAATGAAATATGTTGGCGACTGCTTTCTAGATACTACGGTTTACTGTAGTTTGCATAGCTTGAATAAGAGAACAGGCTACAATTTTACGTAACACCAATCGGAGTCACCTTTGATTTGCATAGTAATTTAAAGTCCCTACTTCATCGGCCAGATTGCCCAAAGCTTGCTCGAGTTTCACGCACGATCCTTTTCCCGAGACGAGTAACTGGCGCATTCGATTGATGTTGTTCGAATCCTAAATAAAAACAAAAGTTTAAATGATTAAATGTGCCAAAACTAACATCAAATCCTTTGTTCTTTGATTCCTTCTCATCACGAATGCGGGCAACAATCTTCCTGGAAAAGAGTAAACTTGAAAAGTTAAAACACATTTACTTACTGCATTTCGACAGTTTCTTCTCGCATTGCCAACAAGTGGATATTCAAATTTTGCACAAAGTAGCACATCTTCAACACAGAAAGGCTGCCGGTTTTGTCTAAATAGAAACAGATAAAAATTTAAATTGAAAAGCAAAAGCTTTACTTACTAAAAGCATTCATTCCTTGGTAAGTCTCCAGTTCCTGAAGTAGAGATGATGGTTCCCATTTCCTGATCAACTCCTAAACGACAAGCTAAAGCATCTAAATATTTGAAATACCTCTTGAATGGCCGAATGGATCTTCTCAGCTTCTTGTTCTGAAAGACCAATCTAAAGATTTGAAGTAAATATGTATAAGTATCACCTGATTTAAAAGATTCGCTATACAAATGTTTTAAATTCGCCTTAATTTCCCAGTAAAACCAAATCAAATTCAGATTTTGCAGGATCAAATCAATTTAAAGGCCCACTCACGAGTCTTATAAGGCTTTGTACTTAAAAAATATGCACCTTTTTATAATCAGTGATCAGCTTGTCAAAAGGAATTCCCTCGATGGTCTTCACAGATTCATGGCTCAATCCAAGCTTGCCAATGAGTCGCTCCATGAAGTCCGGCTCTTGTTGTGGAAGTGATTTGAAGGAGTATCCCGGAAAAGACGACGAAGCTCGCTCAGACTAAAGTAAAGATAAATGACAGAATGAATTCTTGAAACACACCTTTCTGGCATCCCTCGCCTTGACCTCGTAGTTGATTTCGCTCTCCGAATTGCCATTGTGCACTGGAGTCAAGCTAAAAGTAAAAATAAAATATGACGCAAATTCTTAAAAAAATAACCTAGTAATCTTTCATATGTACAATTATCAAGGAACAGAGCGTCATTAAAGTAATTTTTCAGTATCGGGGGCTATGTTTTAGGTCCGCTAAGCTGATTTTAGGCTTTTTACGATCTTCCCATTGTTATACTGAATGAATCCAGGTAGTAAATGTCCACAACTAGATAAAGTAAAGCTAAAAAGGATAAAGTAAAGCTAAAAAGGATAAAGCAAAGCTAAAAAGGATAAAGTAAAGCTAAAAGCCTAAAAACAAGCAAAAAAAACAAAGCGAGCTACACCAATACTGATAAAATACTGCCCTCAGTTTACCAAAGAACAACACCTACGTCGTTTTAGCTTTGCACGCGTGTACGGGGACGAAATTCTCATCGTCATCGCTTTCCCACGGCGTGTCGCCATCGCCATTCATCGTAGTCGGCATATCGACAAGTCTAAATGAGATAGAATTAGTGAAACAAATAGAAAACAACGAAAAATAATAATAAAAAGGAGACTTTAATACACTTAACTTATTTTTAGGTAATAGTAATGTGAAAATAAGTTGATTTGCCTAAATTAGGGTCAATTTCTCAGCGTTTACTTGACCAAAATATTAAAAAATGTTAAAGTTAAAAACTTCAAACATTTACGCTTAAAAAAAGCTTGGGGCAGGCTAATTTCCGCAATTTTTTTTACGCAACAGGGTCATTTTCGCAACTCGCCATAACCTTCTTCTAAGGGGACCGATCTTTATGATGTTGGTTTCATTTTGTTGAACTTATTGAGTGCAACAAAATGAAACCAAAATCATAAAGACTGGCCGACTTAGAAGAAAGTTATGGCGAAAGACCCAAAAAAATTTGGCGTAAAATAGCCACCCCTATTTTATCGCCATTTTATTTGCGCAACTGGGTCTTTTCTGCAACTCGCCATAACTTTCTTCTAAGTGGGTCAATCGTTATGATCTTTGTAGATCTCAATAAGTGCAACAAAATGAGACCAAAACTTTCAAAAAAACCAAAACCAAAACAAAGAATGAAATTTTTGAAAGTTAAATATGCTATTTTTCCATTGAGACGACGAAACTTAAAATTTTCAATGCGTTGATTGAATATCTTTAAAAACGTTTGAGTGAATACATTTTTCTTCTCAAATTTTCGTATTCATATTGATCTTCCACTACTTGTATAAGTTTATTGTGATCTGTAATTCTGCAAATAGCAAGCCTGATAGCAGTGTTTCTATCCGATATAACGTTACATTTAAAGTGATGTTGGTGGAACAGGTTGATCAGAATGTAAAGTTTAAAGACGTTAATCAAGTGAAAACGAACTTGACATGCGCCACAGGCCTACTTGTCAATCTTAACTCCGCCACTCAAAAATTTACATCCCAGGAATTACATACCGTAAATACTGTAAGAGTACCCCACCCCCATAATGATGGTGCGGAGTGTTGCGTAGTCTAGCTTTGAATGAGTTTTTCTCGACACTGGTTTATGCTACAATGCGCGCTTAGGTATCAAAAAATAGCCCTGCATTTCAGCTATTTTTTGATACCAAAGACGCATTTTTTGAAAGTACGGGCGCTTTGAAAAAAATGAAATACTAAAAAACTTTTGCGACTACGCGACTGTACGAGGGGGATGGGGTACTATTACATTATTTACGGTAGGAAATTCGTAAAGTGCCTTGGTTAGCAGTAGGCTTGCAGACAAAAAAGAATATCTTTCAAAGAAAAAGTCACCAAATGGGGCAGCTACGTTTTTCCGCAATTTTTTTCCACTTTTTTTTCCACTTTTTTTCTGTCGTAGCTGCCTCATTTGTTGAGTTTTGCTTTGAAAATCAAAAGATATTAAATATATTTTTTTATTTTTATATGGTTCCAATATGGTTCGGATACGGTTCCAATACGGTTCCAATACGGTTGCAATATGATTCCAATATGATTCCAATATGGTTCGGATACGGTTCCAATATGGTTTCAATATGGTTCGGATACGGTTCCAATATGGTTCCAATATGGTTCGGATACGGTTCCAATATGGTTCCAATATGGTTCGGATACGGTTCTAATACGGTTCCAATATGGTTCAAATATGGTTCGGATACGGTTCCAATACGGTTCCAATATGGTTCCAATACGGTTCGGATACGGTTTCAATATGGTTCGGATATGGTTCCAATATGGTTCGGATACGGTTCCAATATGGTTCGGATACGGTTCCAATATGGTTCCAATATGGTTCGGATACGGTTCTAATACGGTTCCAATATGGTTCAAATATGGTTCGGATACGGTTCCAATACGGTTCCAATATGGTTACAATACGGTTCGGATACGGTTCCAATACGGTTCCAATATGGTTCGGTTACGGTATATTACTTTTATATTATGATATCTTTTTTCCGCTTACAAGCCTGGTTGAAAGTACACACTCATTTTTGTTGCTCTCATACAAATTTTTCTCATTAAGAAGTGGGGAAAGGTAAAATTGAAACACTCATTTTTTTGTTGACACACCTATTCAAAATGAACAAGAAAATGAAAATATCGAAGAATGAAAGTATTGAAGAAAAAAAATTTGTCGATATGAAGCAACTCGGTGCGTTGAATCCTCGTAAACAAGGCTCTTTTTACGTTTTTTTTTTCTGCCCCGAGTTGTTGTTTTGAAAAGTCTGGGTCCTCTGAAAAAAACGGCTCTTTCGTGTCTTGTTTACTTCGCACTTTGCAAAGCATTCCTTAAAGTTCATCTAACATTTAAAGAGCTTTTTGAATCAAAGGCACACTATTGATTTTGAATGCACTATTGAAGATTTCTCATTAAACGAAGATTTCTCATTAAACGAAGATTTCTCATGAAACGAAGATTTAAAATAGTTTTAGAATATCTTCGCTTCTTTCCAAAGCTCTAGTAGCTCTAGTAGCTCTAGAAAAGCTCATTGTTTCACTTTTTTGATATCTCCAATCCCAGAATGCTCATTTTTTCGTACAAGAAACAATCAATTTTTTGGAAACAAACCGTAATCAATTTTTAAAAGCGTGAATAAAAGTTATCGCGAGAGATTAAAGACTAATTGATTATTTTTGTTCATTTACCGTTTTTCAGTAGCGTAAAACGTCAAAATTGATACTCTTTCTTTCAACTTTTACTATCAGTCTTAAAGAGCTCGATCCATTGAAGCATTGAATTGAATAAGCATTGAATTGAATAAGCATTGAACAAATTCCCCATAAGAAAGTTTTATCTATGATTAAAAGTGACGTCGGCTGCTTTTCGTTCTGCTTTCCATTGACAATCTACGTATTTTGCTGTATTTTAGCCGTATCTTAGCCGGATTTGGTTGAAAATGGTTGGTTGAATTTGCTGAACGGATTTGGTTGGTTGAATTTGCTTTCATTCGATTCGAAATCATTGAATGAAAGCAAATTGAATGAAAGATTTATTGAATAAAAGCAAATTCTATTGAATGAAAGCAAATTCAACGTTTTTCAATCAAATGCGGTCACGGTACGGGCAAAATTCGTATGCCAACGGCAAACAGACCAAAAAAGGGGTGGAGTTAACATAGCTGACCACAACGACTCCGACCTCTCTCTCAGCTCTCGCAAGCGACTCAATCCAACCACAATGACTCCAGCCACTCAATCACATCGAATTGTGCAATGAGATCGATTAATGCAATGAGATCGATTTGATTGGATCAACTCCGATGAGGTTTTGTCTTGCAGAAGTAGTGTTCTTATTTGATTTCTAAAAGGATGATGCAAAAAAGATGAAGTTGAAGAAAAAGAAGGAAAAAGAAAAGATGAATAAAAAGAAGGAAAAAGAAAAGAAAGAAACTTGTTCACAAAAACTTACCGTAAATACTGTAATAGTACCCCAGCCCCATAATGACGGTGCGGAGTGTCGCGTAGTCTAGCTTTGAACAAGTTTTTCCTCGACACTGGTTTATGCTACAATGCGCGCTTAGGTATCAAAAAATAGCTGAAATTCAGGGCTATTTTTTCATACCAAAGACGCATTTTTTGAAAGTACGGGCGCTTTGAAAAAAAATGAAATACTAAAAATAATAAAAACGACTACACGACTGTACGAGGGGGGTGGGGTATTATTACAGTATTTACGGTAAGTGAAATTGATCGATTGCTAGTCAAGACTGCTTCGAATTGGTCACTCAACGAATTGTCAATCAGGGAATTACAGTATTTACGGCAATTCTGAGCATTCCGAGCAAAAATTTCCAGAATTCCGAAAGCCAAAAAAGCCAAAAAAAGGCCAAAAGCCAAAAAAACTGATAAGGCAAGTTTTAAAGATTTCTATCAACCATTTTGGAAATGCAAATCCATTTGGGTACATCCAGTGTTGCCAATTCCTGTTGCCAGTTGTCAGTTGCCAATTCCTGTTGCCAGTTGCCAGTTGCCAGTTTCCAATTCCTGTTGCCAGTTGCCAGTTGCCAGTTGCCAATTCCTGTTGCCAGTTGTCAGTTGCCAATTCCTGTTGCCAGTTGCCAGTTTCCAATTCCTGTTGCCAGTTGCCAGTTGCCAGTTTCCAATTCCTGTTGCCAGTTGCCAGTTGCCAGTTTCCAATTCCTGTTGCCAGTTGCCAGTTGCCAGTTTCCAATTCCTGTTGCCAGTTGCCAGTTGCCAGTTTCCAATTCCTGTTGCCAGTTGCCAGTTGCCAGTTTCCAATTCCTGTTGCCAGTTGCCAGTTGCCAGTTTCCAATTCCTGTTGCCAGTTGCCAGTTGCCAGTTGCCAATTCCTGTTGCCAGTTGTCAGTTGCCAGTTGCCAATTCCTGTTGCCAGTTGTCAGTTGCCAATTCCTGTTGCCAGTTGCCAGTTGCCAATTCCTGTTGCCAGTTGCCAGTTGCCAATTCCTGTTGCCAGTTGCCAGTTGCCAATTCCTGTTGCCAGTTGCCAGTTGCCAATTCCTGGTCAGTCCTAAGTACAATGTCAAAGTGTTCTAAGTCAAAACTCAGAACGCTTCAATATAGAGATCATTCTTCTTCAAATTCTTCGCACAAATTCTTTTCAATTGCTAATCAAGACAAAGTGAAGAGAAGTATTCCCCGTCTTTCCTTGTCTTTCCCATTTTTCTCTTCTCTTCTCTTCTCTTCTCAAGTGGTTCTCTTCTGAATCTTTTCCCAAAAAGATAACAGAAATCTTTTCTTTTTCGATTTTCCCTCTTGGCCAACGCCCTCAATGTAAACCACCACCATTTCTCTGAAATTTTTCTCACCAATCTTTGTTGATCTTTTTGTTGATTTCTGATTTCAGCAAGTGATTTCAGCAAAAGTCTAAAAAGTCTAAAAATTCTTTATTTTCCCCTTTTCAAGTATTTTCCCTTTCAGAAGTATTTTCCCTTTTCAAATCTTTTCATTTTGGTGATGAAATTCTCTGGGTGTGTCACGAGATATCACTGTTGACTCCCATTGAGGTGGAATCGATTTTTTTTGTACTGATTAGGGCTTTTGTCATGTATTTTCTTAAAACTTGTCATCCATGACAAATTGATTTGAATATAATATAGTTTAACATTGCTTTTTCATAGAATTTTATATCTTTAGCTTATTGGCTTGATACTAGGATTACGGGATTACGGTTTAGAGCGCCGGTTTAGAGCGCCGGTTTAGAGCGCCGGTTTAGAGCGCCGGTTTAGAGCGGTTTAGAGCTTAGGTTTAGTTAGACCTAACCCGGTTTAGAGCGCAAAAAAAGTCTTGCACCATCGTTGTATTCTGTTGTACCAGGATTACGGGGTCTAAAGAACTAAAGAACTAAAGAACTAAAGAACTAAAGAACTAAAGAACTAAAGAACTAAAGAACTAAAGAAGAGAATTTTTCGATGATCGATAATCGATACCATTGAAGCGAAGCAAAAATTAGTTCAAACCATCCTCGCTTTTCTTTTTGCTGGCTGACGTAAGCAATTGGCTTTAGAATCATTCGAATTCGCCAGTTCGAAGTTTAGAATCGCTTCGTGAACAAGTGCATCTTATAGAATCAACTATGCTGATGCTGAATTAGCTGAATGATTCTGAATTAGCTGCAAACACCCACGCAATCGCAAAGAATCTGGCATAGAAGATTCCCATCAATTTCGGACTCTTTATGGGGCCACCAAAAAGAAATCCCTTACCGGCTTTGGTTGTTTAGCGGACAGTGTGCCAGCCTACGGAACCTATGAAGTTTTTTTGGCTTCGGTTCGAATCCTCCCATCGGTAATTTTGGAAAATTCTTTTAGAAAGTTCTTTTGGAAAGTTCTTTTAGAAAGTTCTTTTAGAAAGTTCTTTTTCTGAAGTCTTTGCATTAAATATTTATTTTCTATGCACCCTTTCGTAACTTTTAAAGGGATAAAACTTTGCTTGTAGAGTGATTATGGAGGTGATATATGTCGTAGCCGATTATGAATGAGCCTAGGAGTCTAGGAGCTCCCAGTGAGTCTAGGAGCTCCCAGTGAGTCTAGGAGCTCCCAGTGAGTCTAGGAGCTCCCAGTGAGTCTAGGAGCTCCCAGTGAGTCTAGGAGCTCCCAGTGAGTCTAGGAGCTCCCAGTGAGTCTAGGAGCTCCCAGTGAGTCTAGGAGCTCCCAGTGAGTCTAGGAGCTCCCAGTGAGTCTAGGAGCTTCCAGTGAGTCTAGGAGCTCCCAGTGAGTCTAGGAGCTCCCAGTGAGTCTAGGAGCTTCCAGTGAGTCTAGGAGCTCCCAGTGAGTCTAGGAGCTCCCAGTGAGTCTTTTTTTCAAAAATTTCATTCATAATCGGCTACGACATATATATATATATCTGAAAAAAGAACCAATAATCCAGCCGGCGGGATCGAACGATTGAATTTAACTATACCTACGACAGACACGAGACATAAAAGCCAGAGAATTTGTATTCTGATAGAACACAAATATATATATATAAAACATCAAATTTGAAACGAGCATCGTTTAAAGTATCGAATGAAACTCGCCAATTTCAGGAATGATTTTGCAAAAGTCCATACAAAACTTTGAGCGTTTATAACTTTTGATAGAATGCTTCAAGGCAGAAACGGAAAGCAGATTCAGAATCAGCGTGAAATTCTGCGTTAATATATGACCATTTGGCCACCACACCCTGTTGACCTTCCCTTGTAAGATACGATTATGAATGAGTCTTTTTTTTTCCACCCAATTTTTTTCCACCCAATTTTTTTTTCCACAAATACTACAAGTATTAGGGTGTGATTTCCCAAAGTTTATTTTGTCATTAAACTAACGCTACGGTAGTTTACAAAGCTCTTTAAGGTATCGTTTAGAAAACGAATCAAAATAGAGCTAAATAAACCATAAAAGTCTACAAAAGTCTCGAAAATACCACAAAAGACTCATTGAACTAAATTATTAATCCTAAATTCTTCTTCTTTAATCCCAAAGCATTCGAATTGTCCATAAAAATCTCAAAAATTCGATTTTCCATAAAAAAAACCCCCATTAAAGCATTCTATTTTTAATCTTTAAAAGATTAAGAAGTGATAATTTGTGTGCGTGTGAGAAAAACGGTGAAATGGCGTGGCCAAAATTGAGGCTAATCATCGCTTTTGACAACGCCCATTTTTCTCTCTTTGTTTTCTTATTCGATTCGACGATAGCTTAGATTTTAATACTGTAAACTTTTCCAATTTTTCCAATTTCTCCAATTTTTCCAATTTTTCTAATTTTTCCTTTTAATTCTGTACTTTTTTCTCGATATTTCTGTAAACACAGCTTTTCTAGTGCACTGAATTCTTCACTTTATCAAGCTTTGATGGAAAGTGTCGTTTATTTTATTTTTTTGATGATCGAATGTCGTTTACGTTTAAGCACAGATTACACAGGCCATTTCTTGATACACTACCATGCATGAGTTGCTCTTTGTGCTCACGTAAACGCACCTTTTCTAGTGCACGTTCTGTTTATCTGCTAGATAGGGTACGTTTATGAGAGAGCACAAAGTACAAACCGTCAAATGGATGTGTACTTTGCGCTCGGGCAATCGCTGACCGTCTGGGGCTATAGCTGACCCCCTGGGGCTATAGCTGACCCTCTGGGGCAATCGCTGACCATCTGGGGCAATCGCTGGCCCTCTGGGGCAATCGCTGACCCTCTGGGGCTATAGCTGACCCTCTGGGGCTATAGCTGACCCTCTGGGGCTATAGCTGACCCTCTGGGGCAATCGCTGGCCCTCTGGGGCAATCGCTGACCCTCTGGGGCAATCGCTGGCCCTCTGGGGCAATCGCTGACCCTCTGGGGCAATCGCTGGCCCTCTGGGGCAATTGCTGACCCTCTGGGGCAATCGCTGGCCCTCTGGGGCTATAGCTGACCCTCTGGGGCTATAGCTGACCCTCTGGGGCGATAGCTTAATAAAAAAGTTTAATTTGTTTGCTTGTTTGCTAAGAATTTCATCTGTAAATCCAAAGAAAGAAATCTTTGAATGAGTTTGGAAAGAGGGATTTTATCGCCTTTTTGTCCAAAAAAATTGAGGGTGTGGTCAGTATTTTGGCGGAATTTCTTGAAGAAAAGCCGAATTCTGATAACCAAATAGCTGAAAACGGAATGTTGGACTTTTTTTTGATTGTAAAAATTTCTCTTTCTTCTGTTTTTTTCTCAGTTTTGCACTCAAATTATGCAACTTTTTTCTGGAAAAAAAAACGCTTGATCGATCGATAGTGATCGTTTTTGGGAAGCTAAATTTGCTTAGTTGAACAATTATTTAACAACTTTTTATTCTGTACTATAGATTATTGTAGTCGAGGATTACTAAATTACACGAAAAAGAAGTCGTTTAATCTAATCTACTATATAAAAAAGCAGCGTCTGTCCGTCCGTCTGTCCGTCCGTCTGTCCGTCCGTCTGTCCGTCCGTCTGTCCGTCCGTCTGTCCGTCCGTCTGTCCGTCCGTCTGTCCGTCCGTCTGTCCGTCCGTCTGTCCGTCCGTCTGTCCATCCGTCTGTCCATCCGTCTGTCCGTCCGTCTGTTCGTCCGTCTGTTCGTCCGTCTGTTCGTCCGTCTGTTCGTCCGTCTGTTCGTCCGTCTGTTCGTCCGTCTGTTCGTCCGTCTGTTCGTCCGTCTGTTCGTCCGTCTGTTCGTCCGTCTGTTCGTCCGTCTGTTCGTCCGTCTGTTCGTCCGTCTGTTCGTCCGTCTGTCTGTCCGTCTGTCCGTCCGTCTGTTCGTCCGTCTGTCTGTCCGTCTGCCCGTCCGTCTGTTCGTCCGTCTCTTCGTCCTTCTGTTTGCCCGTCTCTTCGTCCTTCTGTTTGCCCGTCTGTCTGTCCGTCTGTCTGTCCGTCTGTCTCTCCGTCTGTCTGTCCGTCTGTCTATATGGGCATTATCTCGGTCGTATTTTGACCATTATAGCAATTGTAGTCTTGTTTTAAGGGTTACGGTACTTTACCAAGGCGTTTAGTAGTGTCGCGTAGTCATCTTTTTGTTCTTTGTATGTTTTTCTAGAGATCCGGGTCCGGATGCGGACATTCCTGCTGTCAATAAACACAGCCTTTCTCTAGTGTACTTTGTGCTCGGTAAATTCGTAAACGCACCCTTTCTTGGTGCGTTTACGCACGCACTTTTCTACGCACTGCACTGAATTCTTCCCTGCACTGAATTCTTCATATTTTCCTTGTCTTTTCCACATTAAATCTAGTTTTTTTGTTTTCGAGTTTGGTTTTTTTGTTTTCTAGTTTGTTTTTTTTTTGTTTTAAATAGTTTCAAGTCTTTTCAATTGCAGTTTTATGTAGTAAAAGCAGCGATTTTTCGCCCCTCCACTCCATTAAATTCTTCCAAATCTTTTTTGAATGGAAGTGGAGGTGCGTTTGGCTGTTCTTGTCCCATCAACGCCACTCTCGCATTCACAACTCATCCTCGTCGAACAACAACCATCAACCAGTCAGACACAACAAGGTGCTTTCTTTCGAAGATCCTGCCGAGCATTTCTATACCTAAACCATCTTGATCAGAGCCACCTAGCTCTATAAAGAAGCATTGTATTAGTTTGTAATGGTCAAAAGGTTCCCGCATACTTTACAAAAGCTCGATTACCAAAAAGCTTGACTACCAAAAAGCTTGATTACAAAAAAGCTTGACTACAAAAAAAGCTTGATTTCTCAGCTAAAATCCAAATCGAATTTGGATTTATTGTATAGTTTTTAAAGCTTTCTTTGATGTTTCCTATTGAGGAGGTTCCTTTCAAGGGCTTGATGCGTCGTTCTCAGGGCTCGTTTAGTGGTCTGTGTCGTGGCCCAGGTCTCTGTCACGTATAGAGTGTTTTCCTTGCAGACAACGCGTTTTCTAAAAAGCGCGCGCCAAGGATAAGCAACCGTAACCCTATGCTTTGCATCAGCAAATTTTTCAAAATGCAAATGTACATTCAAATCTTGCATTCTTTTTTTCTATTACTCTTTCGCTAAAACTTAAAAATGCTATGTAAAATTTTAAATGCTATTTAAAATTAAAGAAAACATTTAAAACGGGAAAAGTTAATAAACACTATTAAAAAATGATATTATTTACGAATTTACCAGGCCTATTGTCTACATTTGCACTAGAAACATTCCAAAAAAAAAATTCCACGCCCTAAAAAACCTAAATCCTTAAATAAAACTATTCATTACTATATTTTAAGAAAAGTTTGCGAATTTTTTTTGACCTTTATAGCTTTGCGCGACCTTTATAGCTTTGCGCGACCTTTATAGCTTTGCGCGACCTTTATTGCTTTGCGCGACCTTTATTGCTTTGCGCGACCTTTATAGCTTTGCGCGACCTTTATAGCTTTGCGCGACCTTTATAGCTTTGCGCGACCTTTATTGCTTTGCGCGACCTTTATAGCTTTGCTTAAAAAGCGCACCTTTTAGAAAACGCGTTGTCGGAAGTCTTGTCGGATCAATTGTCTGACAAAAAAAGTTGTCAATGAAAATTTGTCTGACAAATTGTCTGTCAACAAGAAGCACACTCTAGTCACGTAGCAGAGTGCTGTCGTAGCAGAGTGCCGGGAGGACGGTGCTATCAAAGAGGTGTGCCCGAGTTCTCTGATGATTCTTGAGTATCTTTGTGACTTCTTTGATATTTCCTAGTGCTGTCCAGGCTGCAGAAATTAGACTTGTTATTTCATAAATATGAAATTAGAGGAATTGAATGATTGGGCGTCGATTTAGAGTCGATAAAACCGAGTTTCGATAATTCTGCGTCACTTTGTGGTGCGCTGGATGGCGCTGTCATGGCGCTCACCTATTTAAACCCATTTTCAATTGGAAAATCATTCAAAAAACCTTTTTTAATGTACATTTTTGTATGTACATGTACATTTTTGTTTTAAGGAACAGTTTAATTGTTATTTTAAAAGGATTTCGACTTTAAAATACGATAAAACAGGGAATTTTGTTTTAGCTTTCATTCAGAAAATGGATCATTTAAAAGTGAAAGGAACTTTTTGATTATATAGTATTTTAGCTACCGTACCAAGGCTACGGTAGGCTACCATACCAAGGCTACGGTAGGCTTACTGTGCTTACCTAAACGAAAACTTTAAGCAATCCTTTTCAAAAGTTTGTTCAGAGCGTCCAGTGCTATGTCTTCCGCGAATGAACGTTGCCGCCAACGAGAGCTCGATCATCGAGGCTGTTTGTAGACGTCTCAAGAAGTGAGTTCAGTGCTTTTCTGGTTTGACTTTTTAAACAGTTTATTCTCGATTTAACGACTCTCGATACAACAATTTTAAAATTCTAAAAAATGCCCTTGCTCTCTGCGTGGCTCTCTGCGTAGTTCTCTGCGTGGCTCTCTGTAGCTTCCTGCGTAGCTCTCTGTAGCTCTCCGTAGCTCTCTGCGTAGCTCTCTGCGTAGCTCTCTGCGTAGCTCTCTGTAGCTTCCTGCGTAGCTCTCTGTAGCTCTCCGTAGCTCGCTGTAGCTCTCCGTAGCTCTCTGTAGCTCTCCGTGGCTCTCTGCGTAGCTCTCTGCGTGGCTCTCTGCGTAGTTCTCTGCGTGGCTCTCTGTAGCTTTCTGCGTAGCTCTCTGTAGCTCTCTGTAGCTCTCCGTAGCTCTCTGCGTAGCTCTCTGCGTAGCTCTCTGTAGCTTCCTGCGTAGCTCTCTGTAGCTCTCCGTAGCTCTCCGTAGCTCTCTGCGTGGCTCTGCGTGGCTCTCTGTAGCTCTCTGTAGCTCTGCGTAGCTCTCTGTAGCTCTCTGCTTAGCTCTCTGCGTGGCTGTCCAGCCAAACGCAATCGTTGGCCGTGAACAGCAAGAAATCTGGGACACTTTTTAGAATCTGGCATCAAAAATTTCTGGCAAAGCTTAAGGGTAAAAATCAGTCCCTATATAAGCTTCTTTCACCGTCTTTTCACTTTTCACCGTTCAATTTGATCTTATGTTTTAGTGGATAAGAGTCTCGTTTCCCAAGCAACCCATCAAACTTTTGCTCGGGTTCGATCCCTATCTTTTATTTTTATTTTATTTTGATGCTAATCGCTTGAATTTGCCCTTTTTTTTAGGCTTTTTAGGATTTGGTAAGCTGAATTCTGAATAATTCGATCACTATATGTTATGCTTTGATTTAAGTATGGATTCGAAACATTGTCATTGATCATTGATCATTGATTGATCATTGATTGATCATTGATTGATTGATTCATTGATTCATTGGCTGATCATTGATCATTGATTGGTCATTGATCTTTGATTGATCATTGATTCATTGATTCATTGATTCATTGGCTGATCATTGATCATTGATTGGTCATTGATCTTTGATTGATCATTGATTCATTGATTGGTCATTGATCTTTGATTGATCATTGATCATTGATCGAATCATTGACTTTCAGATACCGTATCCGTCGAGCGATCGAGATCCCGTTATGGCGAAACGATCGTCAAATGGGCGATCAATCACATGATCGGGCCCTTCAACGAACTCGGGGCGTCAAAATAACGACTCTCGTTTGTCTACCGGTGGCGAAATTCGGTAAGTGAACGGTTGTTTTTCGTATCTTGCTTTGTAGTACGAATACATTATAGTAAAGAGAGGAGAAACTTGGAAAGTACAGTAGTACAGTAACTTTTCAGACAAGGTAGTACTTTTGGAGCACAGTAAACTCTAGGAGTACCTGTACAAATGAATTTCCAGAAGAAGTCGAGATAATCGGTGGCAGAATGGAGAAAATGGGAGTGCTTTTGGAGTTGTGCGCGAGGATGAGTGGATTGATCGAAACACAAACGGCATTGCAGTTGAGGAGGATTGACGAGTGAGTTAAAAGCTGGAGTTAAAAGCTGGAGCTAAAAGCTGGAGCTAAAAGCTGGAGCTAAAAGCTGGAGTTAAAAGCTGGGCTAAAGCTGGGCTAAGCTGGAGCTAAAGCTGGGCTAAAGCTGGGCTAAAGCTGGAGCTAAGCTGGAGCTAAAGCTGGAGCTAAGCTGGGCTAAAGCTGGGCTAAGCTGGGCTAAAGCTGGGTTAAGCTGGGTTAAAAGCTGGGTTAGCTGGGCTGCTGGGCTAAGCTGGAGCTAAAAGCAAAGGTAGACAAATATAGACAACGATAAGCAAAGATAGACAAAGATAAGCAAAGATTCAAAGCTAAACTTTGAAAGTTTACTCACATTTTCAGATGGTTGACCTCACTAACCATCCCGGCTTTACTCTTGACGAGTCCGGCCGTCGATCGAGTCTCCCGTTGTGCGCACAATCCGTCAATTGGCCCACCGAACACCTGGAATTGCTAGTGAGTGTAGCTAAGCTGTAAAAGAGACGTTTTTTAGTACATTTGGCTCTTTCCCTGAATCGTGGTCTCTTGAAAGTTCGGAACTTTCAAGGGACCACGAAACTTTTAAAAAGACCACGAAACTTTCAAAAGACCACGATTCAGGGAAAGAGCCGTACTTTTAATTAGCTTTAAATTAGTAGTGTTTTTAGTAAAGTGCCACTCGAAGAACCACAAAGACAAACAGGAAACGGGAGTGAAATCGATCAACAGGTATGGCAAAGAATATAAACGGATTAGCGTGACTCAACTACCGTGACCCGTTCTCAGTTAGTCAATGTCTGGTTACGGTAACATGCTTTAGAAATCGGGGCATAAAGAAGATTTGTTCAACTGTACACCAAATAGTATAACAAATAGTATAACAAATAGTATAACAAATAGTACAGCAATAGTACAGCAATAGTACAACAAATAGTATAACAAATAGTATAGCAATAGTACAGCAATAGTACAACAAATAGTATAACAAATAGTACAACAAATAGTATAACAAATAGTATAACAAATAGTATAACAAATAGTACAGCAAATAATACAGCAAATAGTACATCAAATAGTACACCAAATAGTACACCAAATAGTACACCAAATAGTATAACAAATAGTATAACAAATAGTACAGCAAATAGTACAGCAAATAGTACAGCAAATAGTACAGCAAATAGTACAGCAATAGTACAGCAAATAGTACAACAAATAGTATAACAAATAGTATAACAAATAGTATAACAAATAGTATAACAAATAGTATAACAAATAGTATAACAAATAGTATAACAAATAGTATAACAAATAGTACAACAAATAGTACAACAAATAATATAACAAATAGTACAACAAATAGTACAACAAATAGTACAACAAATAGTACAACAAATAGTACAACTATCTAGCTATCTAGACAGCTATCTAGTCCTCTATCTAGTCCTCTATCTAGTCCTCTATCTAGTACAACTATTTGTTCTAACCTTTTAGGTAGCCCGTGGGAACAGTGCCCGTTTAAGAATGGTAAAGTACGAGAAATTCGACAAGTTCGTGATGAATCCATTGTTCGGAACCGGATTGCACACCCGGGTTTTCGCTGATGAGGTGAGGAGCTTTAAAGCCGACCGTACTTGTAAATATTGTATGTAAATTGGTATATCTAAAAGTTTACCGATAATCGAAAAGTCAAAAGTTGATTTCTAAGCTCAACCTTTCAGCTATCCGTTCGCTCAACCACAATCTACGAGCGCCGCGGGAAGAGAACCTCCACGGTGACCACTTCATCGCCGCCGCGAAGTGCCGAGGATTGGGGATCAAGATATCCATTGCATAAAGCCGCCTATATTGGAGACGCACAACTTATACAGTTTGTTTAAGTATAAATATTTGACAATAGGCGTGAATCGGCTTCCGTAACTCATAAAGGAAAGCTAACTGGATTTGCTGGCCAAATCACATAAGCCATTCGATGCAGAATTTCACGCTGATCATGATTTGGCTTTTCTTTTTTGCTATAGAGCACTCTATCACTCTATCAAGAGCACTCTGTCAAGCGTTATACGCGTTTAAAGTTTTGTAAGGAGTTTTAAAAATCAAACCGCGATGCTAAAACCCTGTCTTTTGCGAGCCCAGTAGTTACAGCGATGGGCAAGTGAGCTAGGACAGTAGTGAGCTAGGAGCTAGGACTGGCAGTGAGCTAGGACAGTAGTGAGCTAGGACAGTAGTGAGCTAGGAGCTAGGACTGGCAGTGAGCTAGGACAGTAGTGAGCTAGGAGCTAGGACTGGCAGTGAGCTAGGACAGTAGTGAGCTAGGAGCTAGGACTGGCAGTGAGCTAGGACAGTAGTGAGCTAGGACAGTAGTGAGCTAGGAGCTAGGACTGGCAGTGAGCTAGGACGGTAGTGAGCTAGGAGCTAGGACTGGCAGTGAGCTAGGATTGGTAGTAAGCTAGGAGCTAGGACTGGCAGTGAGCTAGGATTGGTAGTAAGCTAGGAGCTAGGACTGGCAGTGAGCTAGGATTGGTAGTAAGCTAGGAGCTAGGACTGGCAGTGAGCTAGGATTGGTAGTAAGCTAGGAGCTAGGACTGGCAGTGAGCTAGGACTGGTAGTGAGCTAGGACAGTAGTGAGCTAGGAGCTAGGACTGGCAGTGAGCTAGGACTGGTAGTGAGCTAGGACAGTAGTGAGCTAGGAGCTAGGACTGGCAGTGAGCTAGGACAGTAGTGAGCTAGGAGCTAGGACTGGCAGTGAGCTAGGACTGGTAGTGAGCTAGGACAGTAGTGAGCTAGGAGCTAGGACTGGTAGTGAGCTAGGATTGGTAGTAAGCTAGGACGCAAGTCGAGGGCGAGGGTTTCTGGTTTGAGTCCAGTGGCTTTTTGTATTCTTTCAAGTTTTCTTGGAAAAAATCAAACCGCGACATTAAAGCCCTGTTTTCCGCGGGTCCCTTGTTGCATGGGTGGCCTGGTGGTAGTGGGTTGGGACGCCAGGCAAGGCGTCGAAGTTCGAGTCCGGTAGCTGAGTGTATTTTTTCTTTTTTTAGGTTTTAATGCCTAGTCTGCTATAGTAAGCCTTTACCGTAGCCAAAAAGTTTACTGTAACTTAGAAAACCCAAGTGCCTAGCAGATCTAGATGGGTCTAGATGGGTTACGGTAACTTGAGTTTTACAATTTAAGCACAAATAATGTAGCGACGCGACTAGACGCAGAAATTACTGCTAAGAATCTGTTAGGGATTACGGTAGCCAATGCTATTCTCATAGATTACGGTAGCATTCCCAATCCCAGCAATTCCCATTTAGAAACCTTCTTCAACGAGGTCAAGATCCGAATGAGTCGGATCGTGACTCGTGGACTCCACTCCATTACGCGGCTTTCTACGGTCGACTGGACGCGATTCGGGCTTTGTTGCAAGGAGCTGATATTGAGGTAGTGAGCTTTTGCATTTTTCCAACTGTACTATCAATATCTAAATTGCACTCGATCTATTTATATTCATTTTCAGGTAAACGCCCGGAACAAGGGCGGCGCAACAGCGCTTCACCTGGCGGCTCTGAACGCGCACGCCTTCGCTGTCGAGTTGATGCTCAGTCATCCATCGATTGATATTGTAAGTTCAAAATCTAGAAAATTGCTAGCTCATTGGTCGGCCAGCCTTACTAGGGAACATCGCCAGGTCCGCCAGTGTCCTTTTAGAAAGCCAACCATCTTATAGAATCGACTGCGCTGATTCTGAATCCGTTTTCAGCTTTTGCCCTCGAGGCCTGTAGCGCGAGATATCTGGGTTACAAGTTTTAGGCAATGGAATCAAGGCAGAGAAAAGCCGGAGCCAGGGGCTTGATTCAGTATTGCTCTGAGCTAAGCCTGACATAGCCCTACTACTGGCTTATTCTAGGCTGCCCAGAGTCAGTCCAGGCTGCCCAGAGTCAGTCCAGGCTGCCCAGAGCCAGTCCAGACTGCCCAGAGTCAGTCCAGGCTGCCCAGAGTCAGTCCAGGCTGCCCAGAGTCAGTCCAGACGGCCCAGAGTCAGTCCAGGCTGCCCAGAGTCAGTCCAGACTGCCCAGAGTCAGTCCAGGCTGCCCAGAGTCAGTCCAGGCCTCACATGGTCATCCAAGCAAGGTAACCCAAACAAGGTCAAGCGCCAAAATATCCGAAAGTAGCAAGCTAGGGTTCCCAGTGCTGGCATTTTGCTTTTTTTGGCTTCTATTAGACTCTAGAACTCTAGAACAATTATAGAACAACAATGACATCCAGATTCACCGAAACTTCGATAAAGTCTATCACATGCGATTCAATTACCCAATTTTTCTGACCCGGAAAAATCTTCTCAAAAACCGACTTTTGAAAAATCGCATCATTGCCTTGAGAATAATAATTCTTTGTAAAAAGTGCCCTCCAGGATGATTGTTTCTCATTTCTAGAGTGAATTTTTCTAGAGTTTATCTACAATTTTCTAGAGTTTATCTACAAACTCTGCCCTTATTAGCTCAAAAATTCACTTTTCAGAATATCATCAATCGAAACGGTCAACGGGCGGCTGATCTCTGCCGGGACGTTCACCGAAAAGAGTGGCAAGATGTGGCCAAGTTGTTGGATCGGGGGATAAGGCCAAAGAAACAGCAAGTGAGTTGAAGTTTTGAAATATTTAAAACAAAGAAAACAAAGAAACCATCGTTTAAAGTAGGACACGAAGTAGTACAATTAGTAGTACAATTTTCCATTTCTAGGTAGACTTTGTCGATCTTTCAAATGTGATGGTCGAGCTGGTCTCCGGGAATGATACGACAGCTGAAGAGGTCACAGAAAGTAATAGGGATTCTAAAGCGTGACTACCGTAACCCGGCTACCATGGCTAGCTGCTATGGCTAGCTGCCATGGCTAGCTACCGTAGCTAGCTACCGTAGCTAGTTCTAGTCAGCTACTGCAACCCGATTAGCTACCATAACTAAGCCTAAATACTGTAAGCTTGTAATATTTGTACGTGCTTCCTGTACGTGCTTCCTATACGTGCTTCCTATACGTGCTTCCTGTTCGTGCTTCCTGTACGTGCTTCCTGTACGTGCTTCCTGTACGTGCTTCCTGTACGTGCTTCCTATACGTGCTTCCTGTACGTGCTTCCTGTACGTGCTTCCTGTACGTGCTTCCTGTACGTGCTTCCTGTACGTGCTTCCTGTACGTGCTTCTTGTACGTGCTTCCTGTACGTGCTTCCTGTACGTGCTTCCTATACGTGCTTCCTGTACGTGCTTCCTGTACGTGCTTCCTGTACGTGCTTCCTGTACGTGCTTCCTGTACGTGCTTCCTGTACGTGCTTCCTATACGTGCTTCCTGTTCGTGCTTCCTATACGTGCTTCCTATACGTGCTTCCTATACGTGCTTCCTGTACGTGCTATTTGTACGTGCTATTTGTACGTGCTATTTGTACGTACACTTACACGTACACGTACATTTCCTACTTCTAACAAGGCGATGCCACAAAATGGTCGTAGCAGATTTTGATGTCGTTGAAATGCAAACGTCTATTGGACACGGGGAATCCGATGCTGTATTCAGCTTTTGCCCATATTCAAAACCACGCATGAAAAACGTGTCAAAAGTTTGGGAAGTCGCGAACTTTGAAAATCGTGCCTCGGACTTATAAAGGCTTTTTTCCGACCCTCGAACTGTGGCTAGATGGCGTAGTGGTAAGTGTGCACGTACCCGATCTTCTTATCGCTTTTTGGCCGCTGGTTCGGATCCACTCCGGGGAAAACTTTTGTTTTCTTTTGCAAAATTAGCGAAAATCATTTGAAGTGCTTAAAACAAGAAGAAATAAGTCAAAAACAGGCTCTGAAAATATCACCAAGCGAATCAGCGTACCCGAAAACTCTAGGAAAGCTTTTTGGCAACATGCCAGAGGCTTTTTAGAAGCCCAACTGAGCCTAAGCCTGAGCCCCACCCCAACCTGTACAGCCCATTTGCAATCTTTACGACTACAACAAGTTGGGTTACTGTAAAATTGGTTAACTAAGCGATAAGTTAACTAAGCGGTTAACTAAGCGAAAGTTACGGTAATCGGATCATGTTTTAAGATTTCATTCAAGTCCAATAAAAGTTTACAACTCAATTCCAGATTCTTATTCGGATCTTCAAAGAGCTTTCCTTTGATGATTCCTGTCAACCACTTTTCGCCTTGTGGATTGTGTCGGATCGACTTTGTAAGTTGAAAATTGAATTGAAATCATCGGAAATTCGATTCAATCATGCAAATTCAATTCAAATCCTTGAAAATACAATTGAAATCATTGAAATTGAACTGAAATCATTGAAAATTGAATTGAAATCATTCAAATTCAATTGAAACCATTCAAATTCAATTGAAACCATTCAAATTGAATTGAAATCATTGAAATTGAATTGAAATCCTTGAAATTGAACTGAAATCATTGAAATTCATCAATTGAAATCATTGAAAATTGAATTGAAATCATTCAAATTGAATTGAAATCATTCAAATTCAATTCAAATCCTTGAAAATTAAACTGAAATCATTCAAATTCAATTGAAACCATTGAAAATTCAATTGAAATCATTGAATATTCAATTGAAATCATTCAAATTCAATTGAAATCATTCAAATTCAATTGAAATCATTCAAATTGAATTGAAACCATTCAAATTCAATTGAAATCATTCAAATTGAATTGAAATCATTCAAATTCAATTGAAATCATTCAAATTCAATTGAAATCATTCAAATTCAATTGAAATCATTCAAATTCAATTGAAATCATTCAAATTCAATTGAAATCATTCAAATTCAATTCAAACCATTGAAATTGAATTGAAATCATTGAAATTGAATTGAAATCATTCAAATTCAATTGAAACCATTCAAATTCAATTGAAACCATTCAAATTCAATTGAAATCATTGAAATTGAATTGAAATCATTCAAATTCAATTGAAACCATTCAAATTCAATTGAAACCATTCAAATTCAATTGAAATCATTCAAATTCAATTGAAATCATCGAAAATGAAAAACTTTCGTTCAGCTTTACAACTTCGAAACGATCACAAAGTGATGCACCATTTAGCGCCAAAGAAATGGAATATGAAAGTGAGTGTTTTTTTAGGGGAAAATTGGGTTTTAAAGCTTGTCAGGATTTTAAAGCTTGTAAGGTTTTTAAAGCTTTTAAAGTTTATCAGTTTTTTAAAGCTTGTCAGGCTTTTAAAGCTTGTCAGGCTTTTAAAGCTTGTCATCAGGCTTTTAAAGCTTGTCAGTTTTTTAAAGCTTTTAAAGCTTTAATTCATAAAAACTTTTCCGGTTGAGCGTTGGGGAACAGCGATCGAGAACAGCAGCACGAGAACGGATAAACCGAGATTGATGATGAAAAGGAATGCGAAATGCCCCTTGGATACGGAGAGAAAGGTAGATTCGATAAATTGGTTTTTCTGTGTAAACAAACCCGTTCTAGCGTAGTGTATTGGAGATTTTCAGGTGAAAATGAACGATCGCGTGGTGACCTTACTTTACGAAGAGGCCCGTCAACTCTTTTTAAAGGGTTTCTATCCGTGCAATGAGAAAGATGCGGCAAAACTCGCCGCTTACTCGATAGCGATCATTTATGGATCAAATCATCGGATAAGGTGCGAATAAAAATGAGTTTATTGAATAAAAACGAGTTTATTGAATAAAAGCTCGTATTTTGTGTGAGGATTTCGTTTCTCCTAAGCTTCTGCTAGCTGACAAAAGCTTCTGCTAGCTGACAAAAGCTTCTGCTAGCTGGCAAGCTTCTGCTAGTAAACGCAAGCTGGCAAGCTTAGGTGCTATTTTCAGGGTTACTGTGATTAAAGGATTACGCTATTTATCAAGTGATTACCGTAGCTGGTTACTAAAAAAATTATCCAAGGATTATTGTAAAAAGTTTGTAAACCTTTTTTTTAAAGTACAAAGTATGGATTTGGATCGGATGCAATTATTTTAGTGAACCAAATCTAAAAGTGGCACTGCCAGCGCATCGAATCCGTGGCGATCCGAAGAAAGCTTTGGCGAAGATTACAAAGGAATACAATGATCCGGTGAGTTGAAGAATTTGCATAAGATATTCAGTTAACTAGTTTTTTTTTTGAGAAAATCTTAATGGAAAGCTTAATGGAAAGCCGGAAATCTTAAAGAAAGCCGGAAATCTTAATGGAAAGCTTAATGGAAAGCCGGAAATCCTAAAGGAAAGCTAATGGAAAGCCGGAAATCTTAAAGGAAAGCCGGAGATCCTAAAGGAAAGCCGGAAATATTAATGGAAAGCCGGAAATCTTAAAGGAAAGCCGGAGATCCTAAAGGAAAGCCGGAAATCTTAAAGGAAAGCTTAATGGAAGGCCGGAAATCTTAAAGGAAAGCCGGAAATCTTAAAGGAAAGCCGGAAATCTTAATGGAAAGCCGGAAATCTTAAAGGAAAGCTTAATGGAAAGCCGGAAATCTTAAAGGAAAGCCGGAGATCCTAAAGGAAAGCCGGAAATATTAATGGAAAGCCGGAAATCTTAAAGGAAAGCCGGAGATCCTAAAGGAAAGCCGGAAATCTTAAAGGAAAGCTTAATGGAAGGCCGGAAATCTTAAAGGAAAGCCGGAAATCTTAAAGGAAAGCCGGAAATCTTAATGGAAAGCCGGAAATCTTAAAGGAAAGCTTAATGGAAAGCCGGAAATCTTAAAGGAAAGCCGGAAATCTTAATGGAAAGCCGGAAATCTTAAAGGAAAGCCGGAAATCTTAATGGAAAGCCGGAAATCTTAAAGGAAAGCCGGAGATCCTAAAGGAAAGCCGGAAATCTTAAAGGAAAGCTTAATGGAAAGCCGGAAATCTTAAAAGAAAAGCCGGAAATCCTAAAGGAAATCATGAAATCTTAATGAACAACAGGAAATCTCTTTTAGCAACTACGAAAAGCTCACATTTTACTTCTTCAACAACTTTTTCTCGATCTTTGCCGAACTTTTGGACCTTATGGAGCTCACTTTTTCGATGCTCAGCTTTACATTATCAAGGTGAGATGAAAAAAAATGTTATTTTAGATAATTAATTAGTAAATATTACTAACTATTATCACAAATTTCTCTAATATTCAGCCATTCCAATCGATTGTCCCGGTGAGAGTTGGAGTGAACGATGATGGACTACATATTATCAATGATGAGACGAAATCGTTGATGGGAAGATACTCGTTACAGGTACAGGACGTTACAACGATAAGCTACCGTATTACGGTAGTTTACAGCTAGGATTACGGTAGTTTACAGCTAGGATTACGGTAGAGCACGGTTTAGCAAACAGGTTAACACACTGCGTCACTCAATGCTGAGTTTCTCGTGAATCGCTGAGCCAAATGAGCTCAAAATTTGTGAAAGCATGTAATTTTTGGTCCTCTTTCCGAATCCAACATTAGTTTTATTAGAAAGTTGTATAATTTTTTGTAAAAAGCGGAAAAACTGGGTGTTACCTCGGCTTCCATACCGGGTATTACCTCGGCTTCCATGGCCGAGTGGTCTAAGGCGCGTGTGGCTAGTCTGAGGCTTCGATGATCTTTAAGCTGTTCTTTAAGCTGATCAGCTGATCTTTAAGCTGATCTTTCAGTTGGTTGTTGGTTCGATTCCCGCGAGCGAAAACGTTTCTGTAACTGTAACTTAAGAATTACTGTAACTGCTATTAGAGATGATTTTAGGAGACTTTACTCGAGAATTATCGTGGTTTTACTGTAGCAAAAGTTACTGTATTACTGTAGCAAAGATTACTGTTTTACTGTTTGCTTACTTATCAATTTCAGAGTATCCGCTGGGAACCACCCGGGGAAACTCGTCCCTACATCGATGTCTCTGTGCCGCGAGTGGCCGATTTTCGAATCACCACCAAACAAGTACGTTTAACAAACAAACAAACAAACAAACAAACAAACAAACAAACAAACAAACAAACAAACAAACAAACAAACAAACAAACAAACAAACAAACAACTGAGACTGAGATACTGGGCTCTTAGCCACCCGGTCAGTCCTAGCTACCCGGTCAGGGCTGCACGAAACCCAGCCGTCGCCAATGTGTTAAAAGGGAAAATTTTGTGAAGCTATCTATTCAAATTCATTCACTTTTTGTCTGTTTCTTTGCGAATTCACAAAGGATATCGAAAGATAGAAAAAGTGGATAGATTTAGATAAAAATAGAGACAAGATTACGATAAAAGGAGACAGGGGAAACGGGTTTAGAAAAGCGGTTACTGGCGAGAATTCTGAGGGAAAAGACTGTTAATAAATTAAGTTCTAAAGTACTTTCATTACAAGTTTCAGTTACAGTAAAGTTGTCGAATTGGTACACTAAATGGTTTAGAGTACTTGAATGGTTTAGAGTACTTGAATGGTTTAGAGTACGGAATGGTTTAGAGTACTTGAATGGTTTAGAGTACTTGAATGGTTTAGAGTAAGGAATGGTTTAGAGTACTTGAATGGTTTAGAGTAAGGAATGGTTTAGAGTACTTGAATGGTTTAGAGTAAGGAATGGTTTAGAGTACTTGAATGGTTTAGAGTAAGGAATGGTTTAGAGTACTTGAATGGTTTAGAGTAAGGAATGGTTTAGAGTACTTGAATGGTTTAGAGTACTTGAATGGTTTAGAGTACTTGAATGGATTAGAGTACTTGAATGGTTTAGAGTACTTGAATGGATTAGAGTACTTGAATGGTTTAGAGTACTTGAATGGTTTAGAGTACTTGAATGGTTTAGAGTACTTGAATGGTTTAGAGTACTTGAATGGTTTAGAGTACTTGAATGGTTTAGAGTACTTGAATGGTTTAGAGTACGGAATGGTTTAGAGTACTTGAATGGTTTAGAGTACTTGAATGGTTTAGAGTACGGAATGGTTTAGAGTACTTGAATGGTTTAGAGTACTTGAATGGTTTAGAGTACGGAATGGTTTAGAGTACTTGAATGGTTTAGAGTACTTGAATGGTTTAGAGTACTTGAATGGTTTAGAGTACGGAATGGTTTAGAGTACTTGAATGGTTTAGAGTACTTGAATGGTTTAGAGTACGGAATGGTTTAGAGTACTTGAATGGTTTAGAGTACTTGAATGGTTTAGAGTACGGAATGGTTTAGAGTACTTGAATGGTTTAGAGTACGGAATGGTTTAGAGTACTTGAATGGTTTAGAGTACTTGAATGGTTTAGAGTACTTGAATGGTTTAGAGTACGGAATGGTTTAGAGTACTTGAATGGTTTAGAGTACTTGAATGGTTTAGAGTACGGAATGGTTTAGAGTACTTGAATGGTTTAGAGTACGGAATGGTTTAGAGTACTTGAATGGTTTAGAGTACTTGAATGGTTTAGAGTACGGAATGGTTTAGAGTACTTGAATGGTTTAGAGTACTTGAATGGTTTAGAGTACTTGAATGGTTTAGAGTACTTGAATGGTTTAGAGTACTTGAATGGTTTAGAGTACGGAATGGTTTAGAGTACTTGAATGGTTTTAGAGTACTTGAATGGTTTAGAGTACTTGAATGGTTTAGAGTACGGAATGGTTTAGGAGTACTTGAATGGTTTAGAGTACTTGAATGGTTTAGAGTACGGAATGGTTTAGAGTACTTGAATGGTTTAGAGTACTTGAATGGTTTAGAGTACGGAATGGTTTAGAGTACTTGAATGGTTTAGAGTACTTGAATGGTTTAGAGTACGGAATGGTTTAGAGTACTTGAATGGTTTAGAGTACTTGAATGGTTTAGAGTACGGAATGGTTTAGAGTACTTGAATGGTTTAGAGTACGGAATGGTTTAGAGTACTTGAATGGTTTAGAGTACTTGAATGGTTTAGAGTACTTGAATGGTTTAGAGTACGGAATGGTTTAGAGTACTTGAATGGTTTAGAGTACTTGAATGGTTTAGAGTACGGAATGGTTTAGAGTACTTGAATGGTTTAGAGTACGGAATGGTTTAGAGTACTTGAATGGTTTAGAGTACTTGAATGGTTTAGAGTACGGAATGGTTTAGAGTACTTGAATGGTTTAGAGTACTTGAATGGTTTAGAGTACGGAATGGTTTAGAGTACTTGAATGGTTTAGAGTACGGAATGGTTTAGAGTACTTGAATGGTTTAGAGTACTTGAATGGTTTAGAGTACGGAATGGTTTAGAGTACTTGAATGGTTTAGAGTACTTGAATGGTTTAGAGTACGGAATGGTTTAGAGTACTTGAATGGTTTAGAGTACTTGAATGGTTTAGAGTACGGAATGGTTTAGAGTACTTGAATGGTTTAGAGTACTTGAATGGTTTAGAGTACGGAATGGTTTAGAGTACTTGAATGGTTTAGAGTACTTGAATGGTTTAGAGTATTTGAATGGTTTAGAGTACTTGAATGGATTAGAGTAAGGAATGGTTTAGAGTACGGAATGGTTTAGAGTACTTGAATGGTTTAGAGTACGGAATGGTTTAGAGTACTTGAATGGTTTAGAGTACTTGAATGGTTTAGAGTACTTGAATGGTTTAGAGTACGGAATGGTTTAGAGTACTTGAATGGTTTAGAGTACTTGAATGGTTTAGAGTATTTGAATGGTTTAGAGTACTTGAATGGATTAGAGTAAGGAATGGTTTAGAGTACGGAATGGTTTAGAGTACTTGAATGGATTAGAGTACGGAATGGTTTAGAGTACTTGAATGGATTAGAGTAAGGAATGGTTTAGAGTACTTGAATGGTCTAGAGTACTTGAATGACTATTTATTTTTGCCGTTTTTTCCCTTTTTTGACCCTTTTTGAGCACTTTCAGATGCCCGAAAAGCCTTAAATTTCAACGAATTTCCACAAACTAAAAGCTTATTCCCACTAAATCGAATACGGAGAATCTTTTTGCTGAACATTATCATGCTCTAAAACGCCTCAGGAAAAAGTTGTAAAACTATACTTTTATTTTCATGCATTTTTAAGTGCCTCAAAGTTTTTTGCAGAAAACTCGAAAACTGTTTAATAGATGTATATTGAACTATATTTTACTTTACTTTTGAAAGTAAGTTCAAATAATGCACGAGAGAGAAGACACGAAATAAATCCCTCGGTTCTATTTAATTGTCCGCCACTGTAGATCTTTACCTAGATCAGTTATCTCTAAAGATATCAATGTTATCGTTAATCCTTAAACATCTCAATCTTATCCTTAAACATCTCAATCTTATCCCTAATCCTTTCCAGGCTCATCACATTCACATGTTGCTATCGAATCTCTGCGGAAAATATTCAAAAGGTACCCCATTGTCGAGTGCCTCGTTATCAAAATGATATTCAATTGTTAATAAATTCTCTTTTATTGTCAAAATTTACATTTAAATACAAAAGAAATGGTTGATTTGTCCGTCTGGTTGTCCGTCTGATTGACTGTCTTTTATGGCTGTTTACTTGGAGCAAAGCCGAGTCGTTGACGACCATAATCAAACACGTGACAGTACTGAAAATGGGGGAAATTGATGGCAAAAGCTAACATCTATACATAACATCTACCGTATTCTCTCTAAAAGTAGAGCGTTGCCTAATTGCCTAATTGCACAGAGCGTTGCCTAATTGCCTAATTGCACAGAGCGTTGCCTAATTGCCTAAATTGCTGGAAATCTCGAGAACCGCTTATCAGAACCTATCGAAACGCTTATCAGAATCTAGCTGACGATGTGGGGTCGGGGAAATGTAGCTAACGATGAGATCTAGTGGAGGATTAGAGGTGTTGACCTTCTGCAAAAGCTTGGGAAGCTTGGGAAGCGTAAAATCGTCATCAACTCAACAGAGTGCACTACTATTAGAGAGAATACGGTATTTATTAAAGCATAGCAATATTAAAGCATAGCAATTAGCATAAAGCATAGCAATATCTAGCCCAATCTCTTAAACAATCTCTCTTAATAATAATATAGCTGAGATTCGGGGCTATCGTTTGATACTTAAGCGCACACTGTAGCTTAAAACAGCGCTGAGAACGAGGCGCTTCGAGTGACGACTACGTGACGCTCCGGCCGTCATATCTAATATAGTAACTTTAAACAATTACCTGTCTAATAAATGGATCACCGAGAATCCATTGTGGCGGAAGCATTAATGATTGGAATGGGAATAAAGCCAACCAACATTGACCTTTCTTCTCGCCCGGCACGATCATATTATTTCTGAAATTGTTTTCAATAAAGGTGTTGAAGGTACTAGGGTATTAAAGGGACTGCTTAATTGAAGGTACTGCTTAACTATTGTAACTATTAGCTAACCAACAGCTCTATTAGCTAACCTACTAGCTGTATTAGCTAATCAACTAGCTCTATTAGCTAATCAACTAGCTCTATTAGCTAATCAACTAGCTCTACTAGCTCTATTAGCTAATCAACTAGCTCTACTAGCTAACCAACTAGCTCTATTAGCTAATCAACTAGCTCTACTAGCTCTATTAGCTAACCAACTAGCTCCATTAGCTAACCAACTAGCTCTATTAGCTAATCAACTAGCTCTACTAGCTCTATTAGCTAACCAACTAGCTCCATTAGCTAACCAACTAGCTCTATTAGCTAACCTATTGTAGCCAAGAAGTAGATAGAACAACTAGATAGAACAACTAGTACAAATTGTACATAATACCGTCATTATTCTAATAAAAGCATCCCTCCGTACTTCGTAAATTAAACCGTAAATCTCTTTTAAAAGTTCTATTTTCTAAGCGCTCATATTTTCTAAGCGCTCATATTTTCTTAAGACGTATGTTTAGTGTCAAAATATAGCTGAGATTCGGGGCTATCGTTTGATACTCAAGCGCACACTGTAGCTTAAAACAGCGCTGAGAACGAGGCGCTTAAAGTGACGACTACGTGACGCTTCGGCCGTCATTATAGGCGGTGCTCTTAGAGCTTTTATTTAGTTTTTAATAGAAGAAAAAAGCTTTTATTTAGTTTTTAATAGAATAAAAAAGCTTTTATTTAGCTTTTAATAGTCCTATTTTTGTTTTAGCCAACCAATCAGGCTAAAAATTTGAATATAAATGCAAAAAAGTTGTAAAAATGCTATAAAAATGAAATGATAACATACTTTAAATAATCTGAGAAATTTTCAACTTAATCTTTCTTCATATAAAGCCTAACACATACTATTGCCCACCCTGTACTGTAGTTAGTACAGTAAGTTAGTGTACTATAGTTACCCTGTACTATAGTTAGTACAACTTAAACACAAGAATGTTGTGAAATCAATTCGAATCTTACCGTAGAAGCAATGGATTCTTTAAGCTGTGCTTTAAGCTGGACTTTAAGCTGATCTGCAAGCTGAACTTTTAGCTGATCAGCTGATCTTTAAGCTGATCAGCTTGTTTTTGCCCTGTGACTTCCAGGATGCCCAAAAAGCTTCAAATAAACTTAGAAAGTGGCGTTTACAGATCTTTGAGAGCTCAAAGTCCATAGCGTCAGACTCAGTTTGCTAGATCGCAAACGTTTGCGTCAAAAACAAGCTAGTTATGCCTTGTGACCTCCAGAATGCCCAAAAAACTTCAAATAAACCCAGAAAGTGGCGTTTACAGATCTTTGAGAGCTCAAAGTCCATAGCGTCAGACTCAGTTTGCTAGATCGCAAACGTTTGCGTCAAAAACAAGCTAGTTATGCCTTGTGACCTCCAGAATGCCCAAAAAACTTCAAATAAACCCAGAAAGTGGCGTTTACAGATCTTTGAGAGCTCAAAGTCCATAGAGTCAGACTCAGTTTGCTAGATCGCAAGGGTTTGCGTTAAAAAACAAGCTAGTTATGCCCTGTGACTTCCAGGATGCCCAAAAAGCTTCAAATAAACTTAGAAAGTGGCGTTTACAGATCTTTGAGAGCTCAAAGTCCATAGAGTCAGACTCAGTTTGCTAGATCGCAAACGTTTGCGTCAAAAACAAGCTAGTTATGCCTTGTGACCTCCAGAATGCCCAAAAACTCGAAATAGAACCAGCGGGTGCCCGTTTACAGAACTTAGAGCGCTCAAAGTCCATAGAGCCTGATCTTTAAGCTGATCAGCTGACCTTAAGCTGATCTTTCAGCTAATCCCATGTATTGGTTATTTCATTTAACAATGGCTAAACTCTATTTGAGATTTGTTTGAATGTGCTCACTTCTGGATGTTGTAAGTCTGGTCAGCGATGGTTACGGCAAATGGCCCAATGTTTGCGTTGCAATCGATTCGGTAGACCTGGAAATGAGTTGAAACTAGGGCAAATCAAAAACTTTCGTACTGGCTTAGACTTTAAAAGATGCGCAAAAAAATTCCCTTTCAAATGGTATTTTAAACTCCCAGAATCATCTACTAATTTTTGAGAAAGGGACTAAAAACGGAAAAATTAGAGAGGAGGAAAAACTCGAAAACTATACTATCCAGTGAAGAAGTAGCTGATGTATATAACTTTATAGTAAACCAGTCTTGTACTAGAATAGCCTGTACTTTCTTGCCTTGTACTGGGGACTTCTAGTCCGTACAAAGACAGTACGAAGCAGTACTCGCACTTTACAATGCAAAGTACTGTACAATAATCAGTCTAGTTGCACTCTGAGTACAGTTAGAATACTCGCTACGAGTCGAGTAAAGATTCCACCTCATTCTGATCATCCCATTGAGCTCCATATCCGGCGGCGATCTTATCCGTGTCATATTGGGGTCCTCCAATGAATGAGGTGCCAGTGTCTGAAAAAAACTGTTCTCTATTTCATCTTTAGCTACAGTATGCTACAGTATCCGTTCTCTATTTCATGCAATAGCTACAGTATACTACGTCCCCTATTTCATGTCCTAGCCACAGTATGCTACAGCTACAGCTACAGTATGCTACAGCTACAGTATACTACGTCCTCTATTTCATGTCCTAGCCACAGTATGCTACAGCTACAGCTACAGTATGCTACAGCTACAGCTACAGTATGCTACAGCTACAGCTACAGCATGCTACAGCTACAGCATGCTACAGCCACAGCTACAGTATGCTACAGCTACAGCTACAGTATGCTACAGCTACAGCATGCTACAGCCACAGCTACAGCATGCTACAGCCACAGCTACAGTATGCTACAGCTACAGCTACAGTATGCTACAGCTACAGCTACAGCTACAGTATGCTACAGCTACAGCTACAGTATGCTACAGATACAGCTACAGCTACAGTATGCTACAGCTACAGCATGCTACAGCCACAGCTACAGTATGCTACAGCTACAGCTACAGCTACAGTATGCTACAGCTACAACTACAGCTACAGTATCCTACAGCTACAGTATCCTACAGCTACAGCTACAGTATGCTACAATAACCGTTCTCTATTTCATCTCAGCTACTGGACTGTTGTACCCAAAATACAATCAACATTCACCGCAAAAATATAAATATACCAGTGTGCCAGAAAGTGTGCGCTTACACCGTGAAGTACAAAGTCTCAAAGCTCTCACCAGAAATCGCTTGATAGAAGTTGGCTTGCGTGTCGAAACCGCCGGCGGAGATGTGCCCAATCTTGTATTGCCAATAAGTGGCATGTGTGAGTGGCTGAAAGGAAAACGGTAAACTTGTACTTGGTAAACTTGTACAATCATTCTTTGTTTGTTTCTTTGTTTCGAAAAATCTCTGAGCAATGCTCATTCCCAGCTCGAAAAGCCTCGACCTTTGCCCATTTCTTTTTTCATTTCCCCTTTTTCTGTTACCTGATAAGCGATGAGGCTTCCACAATTTTGCGTATCAATTCCTCCGTACGTGTACACACCGCCATAAACGTTTTCTGCAAAAAATGGCATAGAATTGAGTGCATTCTAGACTTACAAGGCGAATATGGGCACTTTAAAAAACTCAGCTACAGTAACCCAAACTCAAAGTTCTCGTTTTCAGTAAACCCAAGTAGTTTGTAAAGGCTTAGGTTTAGGCCTAAGGCTTAGGCTTAGGCTTAGGCTAAGGCTAAGGCTTAGGCTAAGGCTTAGGCTAAGGCTTAGGCTTAGGCTAAGGCTTAGGCTAAGGCTTAGGCTAAGGCTAAGGCTTAGGCTAAGGCTAAGGCTTAGGCTAAGGCTTAGGCTTAGGCTAAGGCTTAGGCTAAGGCTTAGGCTAAGGCTTAGGCTTAGGCTTAGGCTTAGGCTAAGGCTAAGGCTTAGGCTAAGGCTCAGGCTTAGGCTTAGGCTCAGGCTCAGGCTCAGGCTCAGGCTTAGGCTTAGGCTTAGGTTACCGTAACGTCAACAAGCTTTAAAATATGAAATACAAAGATGCATGAAGGTCAAAGATATGTAGAGATATTCTCTGATATTTGTAGAGATTTAGGCCTGTTTACCGTAGTTTTTGGCAGGCTTTAGAGTGGATTTGTAAAAGAAACCAAAAGAAAAGAAAAGAAAAGGCAAAAGAAGAACCGACCAATTTTTTTTTGGTTAGGAGTCTATTTTAAAGCATCCCCAACCTAGTGAGCTTTCGAAAAAGTTCGAAAATAGTTCTAGAAAGAAGTTTTAAAGCCCTTGAAGGGGAATCCAGCTTTAGTTCACTTGGAAGCGATATAAGTTTAAAAGTAGAACATCTGATAGTGATCTGAGAGTGATCTGATAGCTGCTGGTGATCTGATAGTGATCTGATAATGATCTGAGCGTGATCTGAGAGTGATCTGATAGCTGCTAGTGGATAACGATAATAGATAATCTAAAAACGATAATGGATAATCTAAAAACGGGATAATAATATAATATCGTTCTCATTCGCTATAATAATATAATATCATTCGCCTACCTCCATCAAACATGTGCATGAGGTAAACGGTGAAAATCGGTTGCTCGAGGATTCCTTGGTTGATTGCATTGACTAATGGGGGCTGAATTGGATTAAAATCTATCAGCTAAAGAAATTATTATAGAAAACGACGTTTTTCTAATCTAAATAGGCTCTAAGCTAGCTATGTTCTAATCTAAATATGCTCTAATCTAGCTATGTTCTAATCTAACTATGTTCTATGCTAACTATGCTCTAATCAAACTATGTTCTAATCAAACTATGTTTTCCCAGCTTTTATAAATCCTTACAATGACTTCATCGACGGCGATTGCGTTGAAAGCCAAGCCGAGAATTCCGTCGATTGGATCACCAGCAAAAAAGTCAGCAATCTAAAAAAATGTTTTATATAGATTTAGCTATGCTTTAGATCTATTTAAATAATATATATCTAGAGACATTCTTTCTTTAAATCTTACATCAAGTGCTTGTCCAAAAGTGGTGACCGGGACGACGAGTTGCTTGGTGTTCGCTTCACCGAATCTAAAAGAGATTCACAATTTTAGCCATTTACTCATTTACTTACCTATTTACTCATTTACTTACCTATTTACTCATTTACCTACCTATTTACTCATTTACCTACCTATTTACTCATTCACCTACCTATTTACTCATTCACCTACCTATTTACTCATTTACCTACCTATTTACTCATTCACCTACCTATTTACTCATTTACCTACCTATTTACTCATTCACCTACCTATTTACTCATTTACCTACCTATTTACTCATTTACCTACCTATTTACTCATTTACCTACCTATTTACTCATTCACCTACCTATTTATTCCTTTACTTACCTATTTACTCGTTTACTTACATATCTAGCTATTTACTGATTAGGTTTAAACGATTCAAATTTTCACCGCAGAGTATCGATACCCAAAAATCCCTCAGCATCTCCCGTTCCATATTGAATTTTCCACGAGCGACCATTTGCCTAAACTCATAGTACTACAGGGTGGCTGAAATTTGAAAATTACGTGCGCCCAGCATTTGGCATAGTTTTAAACAATATATAAAGTATTTGTGTCAGCTTTGCAGCTCATCTTTTTGTGCTTTTATATTCTTTTTATCGTTGTCATTAAATCTATTAATTAACATTAAATCTATTAATTTTTCGTTAAAAAAGTTGTTTTCTAGGCCATGACAAAGACGTGCGCTAGTCGGAACGCTGTCGCTAATCGCACAGCTGGCGACGAGCGGCATGAAGAATCGCACCGAGGCAATTGTCGATCGCATCGAGGCAATCGTCATCGCATCGAGGCTTGGAGTGGCTTTGAGGACCGTCCAGAAGATCGTAAAGCAATGGAAAGATGAGGGACATGTTCAGTCGAAGCCCGGCAGAGGACGAGAGGACGTTCACACTCAAAAGATCTTCTAGAGGATCTTCTAGAGGAGGATCGAGCGAAAAGACGATTTTAGCTTGAACAAGATGGCAAAACAGCTTCAAATTTCGCGTTTCTCGGTTCGGTTGTATGGTTCGGTTGTTTAGCTCGGTTGTATGGCTCGGTTGTTTAGTTCGGTTGTATGGCTCGGTTGTTTAGTTCGGTTGTATGGCTCGGTTGTTTAGCTCGGTTGTATGGTTCAGTTGTTTAGTTCAGTTGCATAGTTCGGTTGCATAGTTCGGTTGTTTAGTTCAGTTGTTTAGTTCGGTTGTTTAGTTCGGTTGTTTAGTTCGGTTGTTTAGTTCGGTTGTATGGTTCGGTTGTTTAGTTCAGTTGTTTAGTTCAGTTGTTTAGTTCGGTTGTTTAGTTCGGTTGTTTAGTTCAGTTGTTTAGTTCGGTTGTTTAGTTCAGTTGTTTAGTTCGGTTGTTTAGTTAGGTTGTTTAGTTCGGTTGTATGGTTCGGTTGTATGGTTCGGTTGTTTAGCTCGGTTGTATAGTTCGGTTGTTTAGTTCGGTTGTATAGTTCGGATGCATAATTCGGTTGTATGGTTGAAGCGTTTCCATTCATTTTATTCTATTAGATTTCATTTTATTTTTTTTCCAGTTAAATCTCTCTTTTAACTTTGCCTTCTCTTTTAACTTTAAGCCTTTTAACTTAAACTTTCTCTCATTTTAAACCTTATAAGTGCTGGATTTAGTTTGATCGAATTTTCTCTTCCCATCGCAGGCTCCTCGGATTTTTGGCGACCCAGCGGTTCCCTGGAAAAAGGAGCTGATTAGAAAAAGAAAAAGAAAAAGAAAAAGAAAAAGAAAAAGAAAAAGATTAAAGAAAAAGATTAAAGATTAAGCTAAATAGAGCATTTAGCTGGTGATTGATCTCCTCACCCGGCAACAATTCGGATCATCGCAAGCGAGCGAGCAAAGGAAACCGAGTTGAACACAGTGAGCACAATTCACTGGCCCATCACACGATGAGTCGGGCACCCAGAGATTCGATGAACCAGTGTCCAAAACCACCTAGAAGTTTCATGAATAGCTTTTTGTGCTTTCTGTGCTTTTTGTGCTTTCTAAGCTTTCTGTGTAGCTCTCTGTGCTTTCTATGCTTTCTGTGTAGCTCTCTGTAGCTCTCTGTGCTTTCTGGCTTCTGAGCCTCTGTAGCCTCTGGCCTAAGCTCTGTGTAGCCTCTGTAGCTTCTGGCCTAAGCTTTCTGTGTAGCTCTTGTGCCCTGGCCTGCTTCTGTGTAGCTCTCTGTGCTTCTAAGCTTCTGTGTAGCCTCTGTGCTTCTGTGCCTGTGTGTGTGCTTGTGCCTCTGTGCTTTCTAAGCTTTCTGTGTAGCTCTCTGTGCTTTCTGTGCTTTCTGTGTAGCTCTCTGTGCTTTCTGTGTAGCTCTCTGTGCTTTCTGTGCTTTCTGTGTAGCTCTCTGTCGCTCTCTGTGCTTTCTAAGCTTTCTGTGTAGCTCTCTGTGCTTTCTAAGCTTTCAAAATAGATATTCAATTGCTCTTTTATCTATGATCTAAAGATATTAACTTTAGATTATTAATTAACTCACCAAAAACGGTTGTTCGGGTGTTCCCATTGTGATATTTCCAAGGTACTCTTCGTCATCCCAATCGTAAACCTTCAAAAGATAAGATTACTGTAGAAAATAATACTATCTACTACCAATAATAAGACCAATAATACTATCTTTTTTCCCAAATTCCCAAATTCTCCAAATTTGGGGTCAATGTGGCCGCAATTATGGATTCTATTCAGGTAGCAGTTTTGTTTTAGTTGGCTGATCTAAAGATATTCCCCAAATTCCCTCACTTTTTGTGGATAAGTGTCTCGTTGATTCGGTCGCAAAGCTTTGATCGCTCGCTTCTTGGCCAAGTGCTGCTTCCAGGTTCTAAAAGCTTTTGAAATTTCAAATTTCTAGAACTGTAGAAGCGACAGGCTTTTGTACAGGCTTTTGTACAGGCTTTTGTACAGGCTTTTGTACAGGCTTTTGTACAGGCTTTTGTACAGGCTTTTGTACAGGCTTTTGTACAGTGCACTTAAACGCACCCATCTCTCATCATTCGCTTCCTTCTTGACTCGATTTTCACCAATTTGTGCTCATAGACACCGGCGGCTAGCGCCAACGCAGCCAACGAGGAAAACAACAGCAAAAGCAATGGTCTCATTGCCCTAGAAATGAAAAAAGTGATGAAGATCATGAATAGGTGTAAAAGCGATAGGGAAAAAGCTGATTGTGGGAGATTTGTTTGCCCGCCTCCTTTGCCATTGGCAATCGAACTTTGAGCTTAAATATCTTGGTGTTGGACTATCCAATCTCTATGTCCTTGGTATCATTAGATGCGCCAAGTCTTTCTCTGTCGATTGGGACAAAAACTATTTAAATTGGACCACCCAACGCCAAGATATTTGAGCCCAAACTTCGATTGGCAAAAGGGGCGGGGCAAGAAAGACCTTTTATACGCACCATGCCCCCTTTGCTATAGTCAACTTTGAGCTCAAATATCTTGGTGTTGGGTTGGTCAATTTATAAGTGCTTGGTGTCATTAGATGCACCAAGAATTTCTCTATCGATTGGTACAAAAATGATTGAGATTGGACAATCCAACACCGAGAAATTTGAGCTTAAAGTTGGATTGCCAATGGCAAAAGGGACAAGGCGTGTATCAAGTGTCCCATTTCACTTATATCCAGCGTTGTTTTAAACGGATTGCTAACAAAACCCAGGATTGTTTCAACCGGGCCAGTCCAAAGCAAAGTTTATAGTTAACCAGAAGCTGGACATGGCTACTGGGCTTGTCTGGCCACCTTTTCATTCTTTGAGCCAGCCAGAAGCCTGTCTGGACCTGGCCTAGCCTAGCTTACAGTTTCGGGGTTTATTTATACAAAATTAAGTGGATTCTCATAGTTGGCGATACTGTAACTTCTTTCTACAGTATTCCAAAAGAGTATGAAAGTATTCAGTCAGTTAGTAGCCTGAATATCTTTAATACTTGGTTATTAGGATCGTATCTCTTGCTAAGATAAAGAAAAAGAATAGAATGGTTTGCTATAACTTTAGAAACTTTAGAAATTGTGCTGCTAACCTAATAAATTAATAAATTAAACTGAATAGATAATAAACAAAGCTAATAAACAAAGCTAATAACTAAAGCTAATAAACAAAGCTAATAAATAAAGCTAATAAACAAAGCTAATAACTAAAACTAATAAACAAAGCTACAAAAATGTAATTCAAATCTCAAAATTCAAATGTACTAGGCAAAATGTATAGCTTTAAACAAAAAAAGTGTACAAAATAATCAAGCTCTTTATCTGACTATGGGAACCTTGCCCGTTTTGCTTTTTAAATACCGTTTCTGCAGGGTAAACCCCAAAAAAAATGAGATAAGCGGATTTGGGATTGGAAAAAGAATCAAATTCAAATGGAAAAGCAGATAAATTATCAGATTTCGACCAAAAAACGAAAAGGAGAAGCCGCAGTGCAAAAAAAAAGAAAGAATTGCGTGCAGAGGCGAATTTCTGATTTGTCCACTTTGTCCACTTTTCGTTTAGATCGAGGCATGCTCTTTGTGAATGTTAGAATGAATATCTTTAACTGGAATCACTTTTGGGTACTGTAACTACTCGAGATACTGTAGCTAGTTGGATACTGGGATCCTGTAGCTAGCTGGATACTGTAGCTAGCTGGATACTGTAGCTAGCTGGATACTGTAGCTAGCTGGATACTGTAGCTAGCTGGACTGCTGAATACCTTAACTGAAATCATTCCTGCCGAATACTTTAGCTGAAAAAATCTCTACTGTAACTGTTACTTCAATACTGTAGCAGAAAAGTTGGCAGTTTTAGTAAAAAGCAAAAACAAAAAGCACCATGCGGGATTGAACCTTCGAGCTCGACGGAACTTTCCCCCGTTGACCAAACGCTCTGGCAATGAACTAAGAGTGCAACGAGTTGCTGGGAATGTCTTTTCATCGTCTTGAGTTGGGGTGAGCCGAGTCGCGTGGCTCATCAGCGTGACTCATCACTGAGAGTTGCGTTAAAATGCTATTCTTTTTGCGCCGTCTTGTAGGGGATGTAGCTCAGTGGTAGAGCGTCGGACTTGGCTCTGACGCTCTGACGTGGTAGGCTCTGACGTAGGCTCAGACGTCGTAGGCTCAGACGTGGTAGGCCCTGACGTCGTAGGCCCTGACGTCGTAGGCCCTGACGTGGTAGGCCCTGACGTGGTAGGCCCTGACGTGGTAGGCCCTGACGTGGTAGGCCCTGACGTGGTAGGCCCTGACGTGGTAGGCCCTGACGTGGTAGGCCCTGACGTGGTAGGCCCTGACGTGGTAGGCCCTGACGTGGTAGGCCCTGACGTGGTAGGCTCTAACCTGGTAGGCTCTAACCTGGTAGGCTCTAACCTGGTAAACAAAACTTCATAGAACAACAATAAGCCAAATAATAACACCAACAATAACATCAATCTGGCTAAAATGAAGTTGAAGATCCATTGAAAAGCGATTTAGATTTACAAGGCTTTCTAAACCGTGTCCCCTTCCTCTTATTTTTATTATTACCTCATTATTCGATTACTGTAACTTTCGAGTTATTGTGTTGGTGGTCCTTTCCGATTTTTTGGGAGAGTACCTTAAATTTGTCCAAATTTTTTTTGTCCAATTTGTCCAATTTCGACGTTTTATAGCTCATCCTAAAGCTGAATTCAAGACGGATCGATTGGTAAAAACCGTTTTGAGATATCTCTTTTCCAAAAGTTTTTACAGCTATTTTAGTAAAGGGCGGCAGAGCCAAAAAATGGCTGTTTTCACGTTTCGTTAGTTTTCCGTGCAGAAACCTAGGCTAAAAACATGTGTTTCGTGATCAGCGTCAAAAATAACCCCTAGACACGCATTTTCAGAATCTTAGCAAAAAATTTTTGAAAAATATTGTCACCGGTGGGAGTCGAACCAGCGACCCTCAGATCAATAGCCTTTCCGCAGCTTTTCGCGATTTTCCTTCGTTTTTCTCGTTTTTTTTTGTTTTATCATTTTTTTGATCTTGTTAGAAGGCTTTTTTCAGGAATGTCGTGTCAAGTTGAATCGGAGGAGCACCAGCGACACCAGCGACACCAGCACCAGCGACACCAGCACCAGCGACACCAGCACCAGCGACACCAGCACCAGCGACACCAGCACCAGCGACACCAGCACCAGCGACACCAGCACCAGCGACACCAGCACCAGCGACACCAGCACCAGCGACACCAGCACCAGCGACACCAGCACCAGCGACACCAGCACCAGCGACACCAGCACCAGCGACACCAGCACCAGCGACACCAGCACCAGCGACACCAGCACCAGCGACACCAGCACCAGCGACACCAGCACCAGCGACACCAGCACCAGCGACACCAGCACCAGCGACACCAGCACCAGCGACACCAGCACCAGCGACACCAGCACCAGCGACACCTATTTTTGCATGCATTCAACCGAAAGCTCAATGCCGCACAGGCTCATCGAGAGATTAGATGGGGGTTCCGTTTCGGGGTCGTCTAGTTTTTCCCTGTCTTTGATTCCTTTCATCAATCTCCCTATTCTCTGATTAGAAACTGATAAAAACTTGGCCACCATCCTCTCGGTCACCACTTCACTCTTTCATTTCAAACAGTCCCCAAAAAGAAGCCCTAAAATTTTAAAGCCGAAACTCTCCAGAATTGGAACTATCCAGAATTGGTTTCAACGATTTCGTGAAGGAAATTTCTCACTTCTCGATAGTGCAAGAACAGGAAGACCATCGGAAATCGACGAAGACAAATTTGCTGATTTGGTTGAAGAAGATCCTCGACAAACGAGTCGGGAACTCGCTGAGCAAAAAAAAACTAGCTCTCTCTCAAATGCGCTTCAAGGTATGAGTTTTCAGACGGATGTCGCTCTCGAACTTTGGCTGGACAACTTTTTTTTATCGATGCCCCAAGAATTTTATGAAGATGAAATTCATAAGCTTGTTGAGCGGTGGAAAGAAGTCCTGAATAAGAATGGCGACCATCTTGGCGATTTTCCTTCGTTTTTCTCGTTTTTTTTTGTTGTACCCTAAAATTTGCCATAATAACAAAAACGAGAAAACAAATAACAAACAAAAATTTCAGAAAACAAGAAAAAAAGCTGAAAATTGACGCATCTAAGACGACTATTTGGCGAGCTGTCAAAGAAAATTCACACATTGATCGAGAACTTCTCAATAAGCAGCCAGCCTTGAAGCCAGAACACAAACAGGCCCATTTGGACTTTGCCAAAGTGCACATGAATGACGTTTTTGTTCAGGTAAGGCTTTGGTGTAGTTTCTAAGCTATTTTTTGTGTTTGGTGGATTTTCAGCGATGAGAAAAAATTCAATCTGGATGGGGCGGACGGTGTTTCACATTATTCAGCTGAAAGACTACGAAAAAGGACAAATCGACACGCATTTGCAGAACAAGAAATCGATCAAAACTCGGGTATTTTGGGTCACAACGATCGGGTGATTCATCGATATTTTCAAAAAAGAAAGTTCTTTCTTCTCCTAGACGTCGAATGGGCCCAAAGCCAAAGCTAACTCCTCCAACAAAACATCGAATTGGGAACAACAGCCAGCCAATTGATGCTGAAAATTGATGCCAATTTGCCAATGCTGATTCTTGCTGCTTTTCCATTACATTCGTCCATTACAGAAGTGCTATTTTTGCATTATCAGGAATCCAGGAGTTAAACTTATCAGGAATCCAGGAGTTATCAGGATATCCATACCACTTTGCAAATATTTCTTTGATTCCTTTTCTATTTCGATGTTTTAAAATAGCCTCACTTTTGTATTCTTGACTAACATTGTCGAAAAGTGTAAGCTCCTCTTGAATTTGGTTTGAAAACACCCCATTTTTTTTTGAGGATGGGATCAGGGATTTGCGACAAAGATTGGAACAAGTCACCAATCATAATCGAGAATATCTCATTGATTTATGTGCGTTTGTTTATGTTTTTTGCAATAAACAGTTTTGTGACAAAAACCGACATTACTTTTTCCTCAACCTAATATTAGTATGTAGCCTGCATTTGAAACAAAAAATTTCAATTGACATTATTTAAAACGATAGAAATTGTTGTATTAAAGATTTATCGGGATGAAGATTTACAGAAAAAGATAAAAAAAGTAACAAGTCTACTCCCTACTCCCTAGCCCCGATAGTAATAGATGAACAAGCGGATTGGAAGTGAGTCGTCAATGCATGGGGTAGTCCTCCTTGTAGTTGTTCTGGACGAAGCTTAGATCAGGATTGACCGTGAAACTGCGATTCTCCTTGAAGGGATGGTTCTCGCAACACAGTTGCCGGTCTCCATCTGAAATGCGAAACAAAAGAGATTACGATGGCGGGGAGGCAGAATGTTTCACGCTCCGAAGCACTTATCTGATAATCACCTAGAACAAAATTTAATCTCAACACAGAGACACACAGCGTTTTAGATGCATTCATTCAGACACAAGTTCAAAATTTGCGCTTCCCTTTTTTTTTTTTTTTTTTTTTTTTTTTTTTTTTTTTTTTTTAATTTTTTTTTTTTTCCCCCTTTCTTTTTTTTTTTTTTCCCCCCCCCCCCTCCCCCTACCCCCTTCCCCCTTCCCCCCCCCCTCTTTTTTTTTTTTTTTTTTCTTCTTTTTTTTTTTTTTTTTCTCCCCCCCCCCCCCCCCCTTTTTCCCCTCCTTCCTTTCTGGTTTTTTTTTTTTTTTTTTTTTCCGCGCCCCGCTCGGCGGAGCCCCCCTCATTCACCATTTTTTTTTTTTTTTTTTTTTTTATTCTCCTTTATCTTTTTCTTTTTTTTTTCTTCCTTCTTTTTTTTTTCTTTTTTCTCCTTTTTTTTTTTTTCCCCTCCCCCCCCCCCCTCCCCCCCCCCCCCATTCTTTTTTTGGTTTGTCTAAAAATATTTTTTGGGCTTCCCAAAGATTTCCCCCCCTTTTCCCCCGGTTTTTTAATTTTTGTGGGGGGGAAAAAAAAAAACCCAAAAATTTTTAAGACCCCCCGGTTTTTTGTTCCCTCCCTTCAGACACAAGTTCAAAATTTGCTGACTTCATGTGCAACGAGATGGAGACTAAAGGGAGTGAGGGGACGGAAGTCAATCCAATTTCATCGTTTACACTCTTGTCATATCGGGGATTTGCCATAGTGCAGCACTGAGATGTCTTTCCTCGTGAGGGGGAATCGAGAAGGTTGCAGTACGGGGACAACCTTGCTTCAAGTAACGAAACACCTCTCTCTAAGCAGTTTTTGCTTACGGAGGTAACAGAGCTGTAACCCTCTCGAAGAGTTCTTACTTTCTTGCAACCAACTTTCTTTCGAAATCACCCCGTATCTCAATACATTTTTTCAAGAAACCCTGTGATTTGCATGCTAACCAGGGAACCTTCCCAAGTTACCCACGAGTTACAATATGAGGTAGGGGCAAAAAGAAAGGCCTGAAAATGTACGTTCAGAAACCGTTTTCAAAAACCGCTAATCGGCAAAACGCACAAAGTTACAGCCAGCTTAAAGCTCCAGTGTTTCTGAAATTTCGTCAATATCCATGGTTCCGAGCTGGATACATCCCTCAACATTCGGGAAACTCCAACGGAGTATCTCTTTAACAAGACAAATATGCGCGATTGTGAAGAAAACGGATGCAATAATATTAATTTCATGCTCTGTGCACATTGCTCTTAAAGTTAGTGTTTTAATTGCGCATTTCAGGCTGCCCATTTTTGTTCAATTGCCAATTACCCTTGATTTTTAATTTTTTGCTTACTTTCTTTTAAATAAATTGTCAATCATTAAATTACATTAGAAAATAACATTATACAAATTTCTAACAATCAAAAAGGATTTTTAACTATTTTTCAAAAAAAGCAAAAAATTTTACTGCTAGCGGATCCGAACCAAGATCAAAAGATTTCCGAGTGCAGGCATCCTAAGCACTAGGCTACAAGCTGACTTCCAGGATGGCGAAAGGAAAGCCTTTCCGCCGGCAAAAATCAGTGTGCCAGAAATTCGAGAAAAGCCTTCATTTTTTCGAAATTCAAATGGCTGTAACTTTGTGCGTTTTGCCGATTAGCGGTTTTTGAAAACGGTTTCTGAACGTACATTTTCAGGCCTTTCTTTTTGCCCCTACCTCATATTGTAACTCGTGGGTAACTTGGGAAGGTTCCCTGGTTAGCATGCAAATCACAGGGTTTCTTGAAAAAAATGTATTGAGATACGGGGTGATTTCGAAAGAAAGTTGGTTGCAAGAAAGTAAGAACTCTTCGAGAGGGTTACAGCTCTGTTACCTCCGTAAGCAAAAACTGCTTAGAGAGAGGTGTTTCGTTACTTGAAGCAAGGTTGTCCCCGTACTGCAACCTTCTCGATTCCCCCCTCACGAGGAAAGACATCTCAGTGCTGCACTATGGCAAATCCCCGATATGACAAGAGTGTAAACGATGAAATTGGATTGACTTCCGTCCCCTCACTCCCTTTAGTCTCCATCTCGTTGCACATGAAGTCAGCAAATTTTGAACTTGTGTCTGAATGAATGCATCTAAAACGCTGTGTGTCTCGTACATTTTCAGGTCTTTCTTTTTGCCCCTACCTCATATTGTAACTCGCGGGTAACTTGGGAAAGTTCCCTGGTAAGCTCCGTTATTCATTTTAGACCCTCCAACCCAATGCCTGTTTCCGGGTTGTTTGGCCGCACCTCGGAGACACACATTACGAACAACACGGCCTATAACATCTTTGCGAATGTCAAAATGCTCTCCAAGATTGATGTATTTCTCGACCTCGGAAAAAACATATTCTTTCGTTAGTTTGCGACTCACTCTCCTGCATCGCGCTAAAGCACGCTAATCAATTATCTATTATTTTCAGTCGGCAAGAAGGACTTCACGGCGCCTGCTGACTTCAGCAAAATCGTACCTCGTCAGACGCATAAATTCACTCCTGATGGAAGTGGCAAGAGAATCATGGAAGTGTGCACCGCCTACCTCAGCATCTACATTCAAATGCCGAGTCAGTATTTTTTCATTTCATTTTGAAAAATCGTTGAAATTCGTTAAAAAACGTTGCAATCACGCGCAAATTTTGAACTTGTGTCTGAATGAATGCATCTAAAACGCTGTGTGTCTCTGTGTTGAGATTAAATTTTGTTCTAGGTGATTATCAGATAAGTGCTTCGGAGCGTGAAACATTCTGCCTCCCCGCCATCGTAATCTCTTTTGTTTCGCATTTCAGATGGAGACCGGCAACTGTGTTGCGAGAACCATCCCTTCAAGGAGAATCGCAGTTTCACGGTCAATCCTGATCTAAGCTTCGGCCAGAACAATTACAAGGAGGACTTCTCCATGCATTGACGACTCACTTCCAATCCGCTTGTTCATCTATTACTATCGGGGCTAGGGAGTAGGGAGTAGACTTGTTACTTTTTTTATCTTTTTCTGTAAATCTTCATCCCGATAAATCTTTAATACAACAATTTCTATCGTTTTAAATAATGTCAATTGAAATTTTTTGTTTCAAATGCAGGCTACATACTAATATTAGGTTGAGGAAAAAGTAATGTCGGTTTTTGTCACAAAACTGTTTATTGCAAAAAAGCATAAATCAATGAGATATTCTCGATTATGATTGATGACTTGTCCCCATCTTCGTCGCAAATCCCTATTGCACTTCAAAACAAAAGAAGACTTGTGTGAACCCCTGGAACTATGGCTTATCACTTTAGGAACTATGGTTTCGGAAAACAAATGGTAGAAACTAGAGAGATATGAGAAAAAGTTGAAAAGTGTTGACTTGAGGGGAGAGCATCATTTTGTTACCCTTTATCAGCCCTTCTCTTGAGTCATATTATATAAATTAATCCTTTTATATTAATCCTATTATTAGGTTGAGGAAAAAGTAATGTCGGTTTTTGTCACAAAACTGTTTATTGCTAAAAACATAAACAAACGCACATAAATCAATGAGATATTCTCGATTATGATTGGTGACTTGTTCCCATCTTCGTCGCAAGTCCCTGATCACATCCTCAAAAAAAATGAGGAGTTTTCGAGCCAAAATAAGTGTCGACTGCTTTTTTTGATCTGTACATGATTCTCGAACTTTTCTCCCATAAGAAAACTCTTCAACGACCGAAACAAAAAATAATCTGATGGGTCGGGACTATAAGGTGCGTGGGGCAGAAGTTTCCAACCAAGCTCGTCAATGTTTTCGTGGGTGATTTTTGCAGTGTGAGGTTTTCCATTATCATGCAAAAATAGCACTTCTGATGTTTTAACGCCCAATTTCAGCGCCCTTTAAAGCCTCGTTAACTCTCATCAACTGTTTTGAATAAAGATCAGCGGTGACAGTTTCGAATGGTAAGGGTTGGATTAAGTTCAATGGCATAAAGTATCATAGATGGCTAGACATTCTAGATGATCTGGTAGAGGGTTACAATAAATCTTTTCATAGAAGTATAAAAATGACTCCAATAGAAGCTTCTAAAATAGAAAATAAAGCTCAAGCCTATGAAAATCTTTTTCCTTCGCAAGAGAAAAAAATGAAAGAAAAAGCAAAATTCAAGATTGATGATACTGTGAGAATAACAAAATATAAAGCTATTTTTGCTAAAGTTTACTTGCCAAATTGGAGTACCGAAATGTTCAAAATATCCAAAGTTCATGATGATACTTCACCAATTACTTATGAAATTGTAGACTTAGGAGGAGAAGAAATTAAAGGAAAATTTTATGAAGAAGAGCTTACACTTTTCGACAATGTTGGTCAAGAATACAAAAGTGAGGCTATTTTAAAACATGCAAATAGAAAAGGAATCAAAGAAATATTTGTAAAGTGGTATGGATATCCTGATAAGTTTAACTCCTGGATTCCTGATAATAATTTGAGTTTGAGTAAAGCCTAGATTCAGTAAAACCTAGATTCAAATACTATATTTTCATTAGAAAATCTTTTTTCAAATGCTGAGAACTTTAGCCCTATTATCTCTAACTTCAACAACATTTTCACTCATTATCAGACAATAACAGATTTTAGGGCGCTCATTTCCCACTATATAGTCAAAACCGAACTCTTGTGAAAGTGGGGTTTTGACTCTATTTTGACCACATTAAACTTGTCCCTAAAGGGACTCGATTCCTTTTTTGGTCACTCGATCTTTTTTGGTCATTTCGGCCTCGAAATTTCTTTAATGCTTCGATCAATTGAAATACGTTTTAGCCGATTTTGTAGAGGAGATTTACAACTTTCGTTAGTTTATAGTTTATAACATTCATCATCAAAACATTCATCGATATCAGGTTTCTATCGTTGGAAATCTTATGAAAATGTTGAAATCCGAATTGCTTATGCACGTACCTAATAGAACAGTAAAATGTCTACATGACATAACCAACATCATAAAAATAACAAAAAGAACATCAAAAATAGTGTGACAGTGTGACACAAAACTTTAAAAAGCAATGAGGCTAAAAACAGAAAAAGAGAAATCAATGTTGAACATGAGTTGACTAGAATTAGTTTACTTTGGACTTTGAAACACTTTTGATTTGTTTTACGAAAAAAACTATACAAAAAGTGATAAAACCGGTAAATAACTTGATAAATTCGCTTATTCACACTTTTGATAAGGTTTTGAAGAGCCGTGGCGTCAATACGATTCCAGGTAATCTGAATTGATGCTTTTAGTTCCGAAACGGTCGTAAATTGGCTCTTATGTTTGTAAACATCCCTGACAAGGATGCGCCACGGGTTTTCAATGGGGTTAAGATCGGGGGATCGTGCTGGCCAGTCCAAGATGTTGATTCCCTCAACCAGGCTTTTGTATGAGCGGAGCGATGAATTTAAGCATTGTCATGCTGAAAAGTGTAGGCAGTCGCGTGCTGAATGAATGGCAGAAGAGTATCTTTGAGCACTTCAGTATAATCTTGATTGTTCATTTTGCCGGAGACAAATTTCAAAGCGTTCCATTGACGCAAAAGGCTGCCCAACACATTACACTTCCATCTCCGTAGTTACGTGTTCCGAATATCAGTGGATCCTGTCGCAGGTCTCTCCAGTAATGCCAAACACCGTCTGGTCCGTCAAGATACTATTTTCTTTTCATCAGAAAAGTTTACCTAAATAAAAACCGTTATTTCAGAGTACAGCATTTCCCAACCTTGCTCCAATCAAAGTTCATATGATTTGCGGCCAAGACAGGCTTTCTTGTGCTCTTGCTTTAAGGCAGGCTGTTGATTTAAGCGTTCACGATCGATATGAGGATTTTCTTTGACGGCACACCAGATAGTTGTCTTAGAAGCATCGATTTTAGCTTGTCCATGATTTTGTAAAGTCAACCAGGGTTTTGTAAAGTCAACCAGGGTTTTGTAAAGTCAACCAGGCTTTTGTATGAGCAGAGCGATGAATTGAAGCGTTGTTTATCAAAGATTTTAAAAGATAACAGAAAAGAATAAAAGAATTGGTCATATAGAACAGTAAAGTGCCTAATCAACATCATAAAAATAACAAAAAGAACATCGAAAATAGTGTAACATACAAAAATTTGAAATTAAATATTAATTTGGGCCTTTCCTTTCCGATGTTGATGCCTTTCCGAAACGCTTGCGAGCCTGCTCAAATGCTAATGGTGGCCGATTTGAACTTTATAGTTGACTAGAATTAGTTTTCTTTGGACTTTGAAACACTTTTGGTTTGTTCTACGAAAAAGGCTATACAAAAAGTGATAAAAGTAACAGAAAGGAGACTAATTATTACAAAAATATTGAAATCATCGAAAGATAGGACAAGATTAAGCAAAGATTTATGCCATCCATTGACACAAAGAGATTCGATTTCTTCATCGGATGGCTCGTAATTGTTCAGTACAGCAACAACTATAGAACTCAAAAAGATTAAGGGAATCCCTAGAGCAATAGGAAACAAAGAATTTGAGCCGATCTTTAAAAAATCGGCCTCTAATTGTTTCCAGTGACCGGTAAAACAATGAACGAGCATGATTGGAAAAGATAAAACAAATAATAAACACAACCAAACAACACAAAATATTATAGTTGAGATTCCGATGATATAAGAAAAGATAGCAAGAAGATTCAGAACTATTAAAGCTAGTGAATAGCCAAATAATGAGCTCATATAATCTGTATTTGCCTCACAATTTGATCGAATACTTTTCACGAATAATTGTTCGACTTTTAAAACAATTCCCGAACAGAAAACAAAGAATATCGATGATGTTAGAAGAATTTTGATGACTTCTCGAGACTTCAGAGTCAATTTCTCCTTGGTTTTCTCAATTGTCATCTTTTTCTTTCAGCTGATTGCCCTGAAAATTATCGATTTCTTTTGTTGATAAAGATTTTGATAAAGATTTCTTTCTGATTCTTTCTGATTCTGTTTATTCGTTGTTTTTATTCTCACAAAATATTCACACGGAAAGGAGCCTAGCAGAAAGTAGCCTAACGGAAAGTAGCCTTACGGAAAGCAGCCTTACGGAAAGTAGCCTAACGGAAAGGAGTCTAACGGAAAGCAGCCTAACGGAAAGCAGCTTAACGGAAAACAGTCTTACGGAAAGTAGCCTAACGGAAAGTAGCCTAACGGAAAGCAGCCTAGCAATAAGCAGCCTTTAAATGTAAATAAAAAGCTTAGAATATTAAAACTGGGTCATGGGTATGAGGACCTGGGTGATGGGTGTGAGGTTATGCGTACCTAGTACCTAGTGAGATCATGGGTATGAGGTCCGACTCTCACTTTCTGACACATGGCCTCTGCAGATAGTCTCGAATTTTTTTCAATCCGGTTTAATTACTTTAACTCCCTTAAACACTCTAATAGAAGTACACCTTTAATAAAGTTAAATTGGATCCAGTAACCCAAATCCAGTAACCCAAGTCCAGTAACCCAAATCCAGCAACCCAAGTCCAGTAACCCAAATCCAGTAACCCAAGTCCAGTAACCCAAGTCCAGTAACCCAAGTCCAGTAACCCAAAGTGGTTGACTTCGAAGGGAATCAACATCTTGGAGTGGCCAGCACGATCCCCGGATCTTAACCCCATTGAAAACCTGTGGGGCACCCTTGTCAGGGATGTTTACAAACATAAAAGACAATTTACGACCGTTTCGGACGACGCTACGGCTCTCCAAAACCTTATCAAAAGTATGAATAAGCGAATTTATCAAGTTATTAGCCGGTCGCAGAATCTTCTTTCTTCGTTTTTTTTTGTTGAGAAAACCCACAATTCTTGATGTCTTTTTTATTTATTGTTAATGCTAAATAAATGTGATTTTCAAAATTCCTAAGGGTGG